GAGAAGGGGAGGGGGCAGGCGACCAGAAGGGGAATTTGGCAACGTCTGTCTGCATGCGGGTCTTGGGTCAACACACAACAAACGACGTGAAATCAAGTTATTATGGTGGCGCTGGTCTCGAATTTTGAGTGGACGAAGGAGGGCCGGATATGTATGCATCCGCTGGCGGTGATTGACGGAACTCCTTCCCCAAGCAGGCGCGTAGGAGTTGTGGGTACAAATACGGATCGGGATACTGTAATATAATTAGCCTTTAAATTGAGCCGCTTGGCTGCATTTTTCAAGGTAAAATCCCTGTAATGCTTGCGTGCTTGCTTTGACGCTTTTGGGGCGGTGCCTGATTACTGGGTGGTTTTGCTGCTTTGCTGTTGTTGAGGAAATAGTTCCAACGCCATTCCACCAGGATTCCCTTAACCATGACCAAGTTTAAAGGTTGGGGAAAGAAGAAAGAAAAAAGAGACCATTCTAGATCCGGCTACCACGTGGCGGATGGCGCCTGTGGCTAGGTCATAGCGTCGTCTGGGGAAGACTATACCTGGTGTACTATGTAAAACGTTCGGAACCAAACTTCAGCCACTGGTTCGCTCAGCTCCGTGTTAGCATGGAAGGCAGAAGGAACACTGACATGGATGGGGATGGGAGAGACGGTAAGTCGTGGAAGACAAGTCTCCGTGTGTGTGAGTGTGAGTGAGTTGAGTGTGTGTGTGTGTGTGTGAGTGCCCAGGTGTGTGAGAGTGTGTGCGTGCTGACCTGCGTCAAAGGTGCGTACAAGACGTTCAGGTCTGCCGGAGAACGAATCAGAAAAAGAAAGGATGAAAGCGGGGATGGTATGCATGTCAATCTGCAAGGCTGACCGGCACCCATATCAAAATGACAAAATCCAAATCCCCTCCAGGGTTTTGTGCGTTTCCGCAATAGTCTCCTGCATGACTTCCTTGGCGCGTGGGGCCAATCACAGACTATTCCCACCCTAGGAAGATATAGCCGTCGCTTCTTGATTGGCAATGGGGTTTGATTGTGCCATATTCGGCAAGCAACGGTCTTAGTATGGAAAACAAGGAAAATTTTTGCGGCAAGGTCGAAATGGTAGTTGGGCTTGAAAAGGCGAAGTCTGGGAGAGAATGTCCGGGGGTTTCTGAGAGGGCCGGGTGATATTCCGAAGCCATCGAAACAGAACCTTGAATCTTCAACAGTTGTACTCGCTGGGGATCGACCTCACGCTACGGCAGCTTGTACCTTAGGCTATCAGCTAAGACTTAGGTAGTATCGGGAAAATTTCGTACCGTCTGCAGGCCCGTTAGACTCAATAGGACTATTGAAAGTATATGGCTATTTAAAGCACCTATATTGTTCAGCAACTAAGGGAAAGACACACATACTTTGATAGTGTTAAAGTAACAGCGCTCAAAAAGTATATTTTTGCAACCCATTGGAAGGGAGGGATGGTCGTACTCGAGGGCAGGTGAGCGATTGACGCGTTACCATCTGATACAGTAAAACTGCCGGTTGCCAGTTTGGTACTTTGTGGGCAGCCAGTGATGTATTGCACGCCTCGCCCGCAGGAGCCACTCAGCTACAATGGAGGGAAAAAGTACCGAGCTACAGGAGCAATGAGCACTGCCGTTCCCAATTTTCATGTTAAACTTGCGCTATTGGAAGCGTTTGCCTCGCGGCGCCTGCATCAAGAAGCGCCAGAGGCGATGATCATGATCATTTGCAGCGTCGGAAAGGTCTCTGCAGGGCATTCAGCTGTGCTGCACCTGGTCGTCTGCACGTATTGTTGTCCACTAGGCCAAGTGATTATGTCCTCGGGACCCAGCTAGGAAGAGCAGCTCCACAGAATAAGTGGCTTGCTTGGTCAGATTACTGTAATCTGCAATGGCCATCAGTCTCAAGCTTGCTCTCGTATCGTTGCAAGCACATTTTCTAGCGCGTCTGGCTCTGCCTCCAATGCCCAGGTATTCCAGGACAGTCGGTGAGTAGACGCCTTATGACGCGGCCAAAACTTCAGCTGAAACCTCTAGTACGATATCATATTGGGGTCGTTGGTGGCTGTCGCTCTGCTGCAAGGTTGCTGTATCAAAAAGTATACATTGTGTCGAAGTAACCTGTTGACATCATACTAGAGGGTGCCGTACCGTCATGCCGTCTCCTACGTCCGTAGTCCATGGCTCACAATCAGGGGACATTGTGATGATAGGCCAGCGAGCCTACAAGGCGTTTCGATGTGATGTTGACCGGTAAACACAGAATGGTTGAGAACACTGGACATTTGTCATCCGACGTGGCTGGGATAGGGGTCCATCACTCGAGCCACTCGTGGCCCCCAGAAGCTTCGTGTTGTAGTCTCATGCCCTCATCCTGTGTGCTGCGTGGGGTTGGTCGGGTGCCGTACGGGAAATCGCTCTGTCGGATGGACCTGTCCGATCAAGTAAAGTGAGATCTGAGAAATCCCACGATCTCGTAGCATTCGATCGAGGGATGCATCCAATTTTTTTTTCCTGACCAGTCGTATGCAAGACGTGTTGACTGCACTACTCTCGGTATTGACGAGACCCGTGGACAAAGTGTGATGAACAAGGCGACAATCATACGATAAAACGTCACATTTACAAAAAGGGATGGGAAGTGACCCTGATTTAAATGGTCGTCGCGGCCTCGACCAAAGACACAATGCGAGGTGCGGAGCCGCCAGCCTGGAGCTCCAAGCCTCACACAGTGCACCAGGCCACATTTCATGTTGTGTATTATTATTCCGCGTCGTTGGGCATCGGGACTTTGCGCGGCCGCATCATGCTGTACACTGTAGGGAACCCATGGATGTTGGACGAATGCACGGTTGACCGAAATGGGAAAAACGCGTGCATGCCCTGGAGATTGTAGGGCAACAAATTGTCGCAGTGAGCAAGTGCTGCGACGAGTCAGACAGAAGAGAGAAAAAAGAAAATAAGGAGACGAATTCCCAGGCCCAGAACGTCCCCATTTTCGGCCCAGTGGGCAGATGTATGCATGCGCTGGAAGCAGAATTGGGACAGTGGTTGCTGTTCTGGTCTGGACTTGAGTTTGCATAAGCTTTTAGCTCGTGGGCGGCGCCACAAACACCCGCCCGTCCGATCGGAAAATATCTCAGCGCCGCAATCGTGGGGTTGCTTAGGTAGTACACTAGAGGGTGAGAATTAGGGCAAGGAGGGACCTGGATCATGGTTCGAAGAATTCCAACGGGAGACTTGGCCAGGCCCTCAGGTACCCGTGGCTAGACACCAACGTAGCGCTTCGTTAGCTGACTTAGCGCACTGGTGCGCCTGTTGAATTCCTATGGTACGACAGGAGCAGCAAGCCATGGCCCACAGCACCCAGTTTCGCACCTGTTGCAGTATAACTCTTGCACTACGTGCATGTTGTCATGATATATGTAAAGCATTAACGTGATAAAGTCAATGGGACATTTGGGTGAGATGCAAGGCTAGGCACTATGCTAAGTAGTCCAAGGTGTATGTGTATTTCTTCGTGTATTGATGACATTCATGTTAGAGCTGGTTGGATCAGGTTTATGGCTCAAAGCCGACCACCACCGGCAACTTCCGCTCCGCCCCGCTACCCTACCTGGGGTTACAGGTTCCTCCCGCCGCCATCCTGGAAACCGTCGCAATCGATGGCAAAGACCAAGGAGTGGTGGATCGTTGACAGCTACGTGGGAACGAACCCGGGAACTTGACAGTCTCCACCAGTTCCCAGCAATATGATCGCCAATTATAGGTAGCAATCCAAGATCAGATGTACAGGGCTCGAACCCCCTCTTTCCCTGCGCAGCCGCCCTATCATGATTCGTACAGCGTCTTGAAGGCCGAGGGGCGTGTGAGCAGGTCTCGTGGGTTCCCCTCCTCAATGATGCCGCCTTTGTCAAGCACCAGCACTCTGTCAAAGTCCATGATTGTGTCCAAGCGATGAGCAACGCACAGCACGGTCGCGTCCTTGAACCTTTCCCGCACAAGCGATATCATCAAAGCCTCAGACTCCTCGTCGAGACTGAATTCTAATGTCAACCGCCAAGCTCTTTGATCGTCATCAGGAAGAAATTTGCTTACCTGCTTGATGCTTCATCCATGATCACGACCCGCGAATGGCCAAGCAGTGCCCGGGCCAGACTAAATAATTGTTGTTGGCCTTTCGAAAAGAGCTCTTCATTGACTTCGGCGTCGAGACCGCCCTTGGCTTCTACAACGCTCCAAAGTTTCACAGCCTGGAGCGCTTGAATGATGGCTTCGTCTGCAAATTTGCCTTGCGGATCTGTGTTTAGACGAACATTTCCGGCAAAAGAAACAGGATCTTGAGGCACGGTCGTCAACCTCTCACGGAGGGTTTCGCGGGGGATGCGGGAAGTGTCGAGGCCGTCGATCGTAATTGTCCCACGGGGATTCATCAGGTGGAGAAGCGCTAGGAGCGTTGAACTCTTGCCGCTGAAGTGGTCCATATTAGCAACTGCATACACCGATGACATAGGATGATAGAAATGCCTTACCTTCCACTGCGACCACAAATTCCTATCTTTTCACCATCATTAATCTGCAACGACAGATTTGATATGGCAGTTTGTTCGTCGTCGTCCTTGTACGACGCAGTGACATTGTCAAAGACAATGGTTCCCGTCGAGGGCCACGCATCGGGCGGCTGGAGATCCTCTGTTGCGAGGTTCTCATCCGGCGTGGACTCCTCATATCTCTTGACACGCGCCACGGCTCCTATCGAAGTCTCGAGCATTGTCCAGCTCGTGATGGCCGACTTGAGTGCAGCACTAAGATTCATAATGTTGAAGAGAGCAACACCTGCGAAGCCTACGCTCGAGGAGTTTCGCAGCGCCACTGCGACAGCGATCAAGACCACTGCTAAACAAGCGACTATGAGATCCAAGACTAGATTGAGCCATCTTTGAATGCTGTAAAGAAGGTAAAATGGCTTTTGCGAAAAGTCAAGGCGCTCGTCTGCTTTGGTGATCAGGTCATCTTGCCACCCAAAGGCTCTGACAGTTGCCAAGCCGTTCAGAGTCTCCAAGAATTGAGAACTATTTGCTGTTAGTTGGGACAGAACTCATAAGATGGCAGCTTGGGTGTCTTTGCAGCTGGACCAGAAGTTGACGTACTAGATGGGACTCTTGGCCTCCAGGTCCAAGAACCGGAGTTGTCTGGAGGTTCGCAAGTAGAATCTCTGCAGTAACCAGAGGCCACCAAATAATATTGGATAACCAATGAGGAGCCACACTGAGGCGGGTATGATCATGAGAGCCTGCGCAATGCAGGTCAAGCCATCTGCAGAAATGTAAGTGCATGGTTTCATGGGCAAAGGTCTGCTATGATGACATACTGCATACGAAATTAATGAGTGAGAAGGGTAACTCGGCGTCGATGAGGTTCATATCTTGACTGAATCTGCTTGGTGTTAGACCACTGAGCATTTACGAATGTGGATGCGGATGGAAATTTACCGATTGGTGATAGATCCCGTGTCTGTGACTCCAAAAAAGGATAAGGGAGCCCTGTCGCCTGTTAGTTACCCGGCTCATGCCATTACGGGGGTTTTTGCAAGGGCATGCAGTACCTCATGGTACATGTCAAAAGTGTGTAATGTAGCTTTGAGCCTGAGATGACGGCCAGGTTCAATAAAACGTGCCTGTATGGGGTGTTCTCTTAGTATGGTGACTTTACGTGGTACGATTCTGAGAATTCTTTCATCCACTTACCAGCACACCAACGCCAGAGCAACGAGCGCAGCAACCTCCAGGGCTGCGAATATGCCCAGCCACTTGCTGTTGTGTACGTTCGGCTCTCGATCATTGTCCTCGCCCCACCAGGAAAGGATGATCTCTGACGGGTATCATGATTAGCTCAACACGGAAGACAGCCAATCCCAACCAGGTGGCCCTGCACTTACCCGGAAATTTAAGACAAAATACTAGGGTAACCTGCAGGGCGAAAAACACTATTGTTTTGGGCCAACCAAAGGTGGAGAAGTAATACTTGTACACTGAGCCGTCGCCCAGGCGTTGGGTTTCCTCGTCGACAGAGCTCTCTGACGCGGACGGCACCGGCTGTGAAGGTTCAAAAGCTGGCTCGTGTTTGTGGATCGCGGTCAAAGATGGGTCTTGGGTGATGGCATCCACGCCCTCAAGTACAGCGGCAAGTGTCTCCTCACCACCTAACTGTTCTGGTTGCCCCTGCTTGACGATCCGGCTCTCGGAATTGAGAGCAACAATTTCGTCGGCATGGACGAGAAGATGTGCTATGTTCTTGTTAGACAGACTCTTCGGCTTTGACGGATAGATACCACGCACCAGCATGAGTTACCAAGATGGCCGTGGTTCCCTGGGACTTGAGTAGACCATTAGGACCAAACACCTCTCGTATGACGTGCGATTGCGTCTCCATGTCCAAACCACTAAAAACGTCGTCAAATATCGCAATTTTGCGCCTGGAATATACGGCCCGTGCAATTGCCTACCAATGTTAGTAGGTTCTGATTAATCATGTTGCATGGGTATTGACTGGTACTTACGACTCGCTGCTTTTGCCCTCCACTTAGACTCAGGCCATTGCTGCCGATGTTCACTTGATCGCCCTGGCTGAAGCGTTCGATGTCCTGTTTGAGCGCACACGCATCTACGACCTGGCTGTATCTGGCCGCCTCAAAGTGACTGGTGCCTAGAATATTCGCTCGCAACGTCTCGTTTGCCAGCCAGGGATTCTGGTCACAGAATGCAATGCTATGGGACGAAAGCTCCACTGTACCACGACATACTGGTGTCTCCCCTAGAATACCCTTCAGGAGAGTCGTCTTTCCAGAGGCAATCGGTCCAGTGATCATGGTTAGTTTGCCCGAAGCGATCTCGAGATCCAAGTTTTGTAGCAGTGGATCAGCCTTTGCGTCCCACCCAAAAGAAGCACTCTGTAATCGAAGGGCAGCACTGTTGCCAAGGGCCTTTTCATTCCCGTCATCCGAGTCTGAACTCAGGGAAGAGTCCTTGTTTGACTTTTGTGCTAGTGACTTTTCAGAATTGGTCTCTGAGATGCTGGGGCGGTCAGGAACGCCGTCTTCATACACATAGTTCTGAATGCGAGAGAAACATGCTACACCTGCAATGATCTCGGGCACATAAGAGAACAAGAGGTCAAGAGGTTGTGTGATGAGTGACAACAGAGACAGGGTAGTGAAGATATGACTTGAGTCCAAGCCAGTTGCGTCCGCATTTCGAGCGAAGATGCCAAATGTGGCCACTGGGGCCAAAGTGACGGGAATGAATGCTGAACGTTGTCAGCAGTAACTCTGAATACGGACATGGCGCATAAAAGGTCTACTCACAGACTGCGACGACTCCAAGAAGCATCAATCTAAAGCTTCGTGCCGACGCTATCTCTCGAAGGCGCAGATCCTGCAAGATTTCCACTGCTTTTCTTGACCAGCCAAGCATTTTGACTCCTTTAATCGAACCGAGGAGTGAAGAAGTGACCGCTGTAGTGGATAACAGGATTAGCTACTTGACGTTCCTGTTCTCAATCTTCCTGTTTTTCTGCCCCCGACTTACCAACTCTCTTTTCCAAAGCAGCCATCCATTTGACTTGGAATGTTCCTGCAAAACTAGACAAGACGAGCGAAAGGAATGTGCAGACTGCCGCAAATTAGTCCACTGAAAAAAATTTTTCAACTGTGCTTGTAAGTGAGAATTACCGATGGATAAGACAATGGGTGCGATAAAGACTGCGCCGACCTGACGGTAGAGAATATACATGGCGCAAGCAACTTGGATCAATGTCGACCAAGCGTCATGGATTTTGACCATACCAAGTACAATTCTTTCCACATCAGTACTCATCAAAGTAATTGCCGAGGCATCACTAGCTACAGCCAGTGTAGCCGACATGGTCTTCCTGTAGATGGATGTGACCAGGACACCGCGTAGCATGACGACGAATCGGTACGACAGATGCTGACCCCATGCCGTAGAAACCTGAAGTTGGTTAAAAACAATTAACAGTGAACTATGAGAGGCTATACTCACAGCAATGCATAGATATACTAGGCCATACGCCCCAATGAGTCCATATCCAACATTCTTCTGATCTTGACTGCCGTCATTTGGCGATCCCACATAATCCAGAATGGTGCTAATCAAGAACGGCTGTGCAAGTTGCGATGCAACAAGTACACAGTAAGGAAATACTGGTGCCATCAATGGCCCCCTGAGGGACCAGAATACAGTCAGGAGCAATGACTTCTTTTCCTTTTTAGCTGCATTTTGGTCAGATAATGATCGTCTTTCCCAATTGTACTGCGGCTTACCTTTATGGACTTGAGGACCGATGCGATCCCAGAGAGACTGTGATAGCAATTTGGCATCAATGTCCGGCAGTTTTCCAACCGACAAGGCGCTCGAATACCCAGCACACATGAGCCGGTCAAGCCAAGTGAATAATGTGCGACTGAAGATCCCGCCCGTGACCTCCTTGCTCCAAGGCATTGAGCTAGGAAGGAGCCATCTTCGCTTGTTAGATTCTTCCAGAACTAAAGCCACTATCTTGATTACCATACAAGTGGTGAAGAGACCGGCAATTGATGACTGTGTATTCTTCAGCCACAGAGTCCGGACGCGCACAGCATCGAATAATATGGAGATTAACAAATATGCGTCAAGAAGCAGAGAAGAACCAGCAGATTTTCTATGCTCTAGGAAAGAAAGTGTCATGAAGACGAGGCATTCCACCATGCTCAGGACAGCTGCTGGGACTGATGCCCGAGTACGGTACATTGAACGCCCGCCTGATGACCATAATGCCAATAAAGCAGCAGATAGAACAAGCAGAATTCCAAAAACAACCTATAAATTTTTATAAAAGTTTCCCATGAGTTAGTCAAGAATATTCGTCTTTCGTAATGCTCAATATGTAGTGGCTGGAGAAACTTACAAGTTTGACAGCGCTGAATACATGGCCCCCGACGCGGCGTTGTCGACCACTCAGCACTCCGATGCGAAGAAAAGCGAAAATCAAGAATATCGAAGAGGGCAGTATGGATAAGATAGATTCTTCAAACAGAATCGTGAAGTCGAATGTTCGGACGCATTCATCAACAATTGGGCCAAAGGAGCCATCAACAGACGGCGAGCAGCCCGGACGCGCTGGATCGTCTGCCATGTTACCGATGTTGGAGATTATTTTTCGCAAAGCAACTCGGCTACTACTCGACGGCAGCTGCTCATATCCACTGCTGGCAAGATTGGTAATGACACGGGAGTCTAGGTGCTTATTGTGAAAAATAATCTGGACCGATTTGATCAAGTGTTTCCCCCCTGGCGATCGAGCCCGAGCTGTGCAGCGCGAACGTCTTGTCTTCCTGCCTTTTTGCAGAGGGCGTAAGATTATCAAACTATGGAAATGGCAAAGATCGACGTCATTGAGTGTTCGAGTCGAGAAAAAAGCATGCAGAGTTTGACAACGGGAGGAATATACAAATTTAGGCGTGCATGATCCCAAGGTACTCGAGGGTACTTTCGTGAGCCGAGCCTTGGCTGTATGCGTGCCCAGAATGCGTGTCAGCTATATCGAGTGCGAAGTACCTCGCAGGTGCCAGGGCAAGAGGAAAACGAGAAAATCGCCATCCTCTCGCTTGACTGCATCGTAAGGAGCTGTCAACGGATATTGATCAATCAGGTGCCTACGGTGTGGGCCAGTTTGCAGCTGGCCTGGAAAGTTGAAAGGGCATCCAAGGCATCCTCAATAAGTGGTTGGTCAGCGACTCATTCAGCCAGCGCTGGAGTGCAGTGGACTTGGCTACCGGAACGGGCTGACGGGGGAAACTCGAGCTAGAGAAGCTGAGGTGAGCCACTACCAGGTCCGGAGCGTGTGCCGTTCCTGGGCGTCAGGGGAGCGAGCGCCTTATTTCAGTTCTTTAGTACGCAGTGGTTGGGGTCCTTAGGGTTGCCATTAGGCAGGTCATCGCTGTCCTAGACCGCGCTGGGTTAGGTAGCTGGGGGACTGACAAAGACCTGTTAAATCCGTCAGAAACTTCAAGACCCCCAGAAACGCAGGGGTGGGAATGGCGCGCCGGCAGCAGGCCAACCGACGACCTAACAGGCTACATAGTCAGATTTTGGCGCGCTTGATTGGTCCGCTTGAGCCTCACGATCAGCTCCCGTTTGTGCGTTGCCATTCAGACCACAGACAAACATACAACAGCATCGATGAGATGGATGTCGCGCCTTTGACGTTGCACCTTGCACCTGCAGCAAGCAATTTTTTCTTGTCTCCACGACATCGACCATCGAGACCTACTATGTACCTACTCGCCTGCGGCTGCCCAGACTCCGGCTACTCTGTTCACGCCTCCATCCGCCCCTGCTTAACGCACAGCTCAATCGAGTGCGTGCATAGTATGTATTCCAAGTTTGGCACCTTGGGTCGGATTGTACACGGCTCAATACTCCTCCACCTACGCCATCGCCTGGCGAAAGAGGCACCACGTCGGCCAATGGTCGACTCCATCCAGTATAGCCGGTCGTCCTTGTGTAAAATCCCGAGCTCGATTTCCATCTTTCAAAACCAGCCCAGCGTGCCACTTGCGTCAACGTGCTGCTCTTTTTCCAGCCATGGGCTGGATTGAATAGTCATCAGTCCCTCATTGGACATCACTGCCGGCCACTGGACGTGAATAGTCATCAGTCTAGCACACCATGAACCCGAGGTTTGGGCCCCCGGGTCGTTCGCTATACCCACGGCCCGAGTGTACCACAAGCTTTCCCCCCCTGGCAGGATCTTGCAATAATGAAAAGAAATTCGCCGCCCAAACAGGGTGTACATACATGCTTCTTGTGACACATCACGACCTGATACAGTATGGTAGCCATGGCGAGGATGCCGCATTATCCTCAATGGAGTGTGACCCTAGTCTTGCTCGTTCCCAGTTCTATGGATATGGGTAAGCATACAGCGATGTGAGCCATGGGTTTAATGGTAGCGGATCTATATACCATCATCTCCCAAGGAAAAGATCGTCGGTCAGTGTCAAGCTCAAACAGCGTGGACTCTGTTTCTGGTCTTTTGAATCCTAGTCAACCATCCTTTGTGAAAGAGACACTCGAACCTGTACTTTATCCACCAATCTTCGAGCATATACCTCGTGATCATCAACACGAGGCTCTCAACACATCGCGCTGCCATCGGCAATCAGAAAACTAGTCACTTCTGGGCAGCAAACGATCTACATTTTTCCTGCAGACTGCTAATACCAGTAAACTCGGGAACAAATGCAACATACAGCTGCATCATCAGTCTAGACGAAGACATCTTTTTTGTCTACAAAGCGCTGCAAGATACTTGCCCACCTGTATATTCTATTCTTGCATTCATTTAGCAAGTATCCGAGAACATAATCGAGCAACAAGAGTACATACTATAGCACACGTAAGTCATACCATCAATTCTAAAAGCTAACGAAATGTCGCCCGCACAAAATGAGGGCGAACTTGATGCTCGTCCCACTGCTTCATTGAGCTTGGACGAGCTCGAGTCATACAACACATGCATATTTCCTACTCTTTCCAATGCTAGGGCCTCGGGAGACAATGACTTGTCATCTTTCGACACGGTCGTAGCCTGCATGGGGGAAGTTTTGGAATTCTGCAACACCCACGATATATCCGTCACCAGTCTTCTCCAGGCAGTCTGGTCCATTGTGTTGGGAGGATACACAGGATCATCTGGGATAACCTTTGTCATCCATGATGCCGAGCAAGGCCACTCCGTCTTACTATTTGGAGTGCAATTGGACTGGGCAAATTCTCTGCAAGATACTGTCCAACATGTCCACCAGTCGGAAAAGTCTGTCGTGCCACTTGACACAGAGCAACGACAGCGCCTCCTCCAGCCTGGACCTGTCCATATAACCAACACTGAGCTCCGATTTAATCTGAGCGGGAGCCATATTCCGGATAATGATGCCAAAATGGTTGAAGCTACCCTGGTAAGCCAACTGGACCTGGTTTCTGATATCCTCGGGCCTGACGCTGACTACTGTGCAAGGCTGATGTAACACTCGGCTTCTCAGAAGACAACAGGAATCTCATCCTGAACCTGAGATATCGCTCTTCAATACTCAACGATGAACGCTCACTCGTTGTGGCTGAGACTTTCAAGTCTACTCTCGATGCCATTCGCAGCAGGGGGCATTTACGCTTGGATCAGCATGACTTCCTTGGTCAAAATGACAAGGAAAGAATTCGTGATTGGAATGGAACTCTTGAGGAGTCGAGAAAGACCTCTACGCTTCATGCACCATTTGAGTGCATGGCAGTTGAGAAACCTCACAATGCCGCCATTGATTCTTGGGACGGGCGGTTGACATACGCCGAGCTCGACCACTTAGCTACTCGACTCTCACAAGGACTACGGCAACTGGGAATTGGCCCGGAGTCAATGGTTGCACACTGTTTCCCAAAGTCCCTGTGGGCAATCGTTTCCATAGTGGCCACCCTCAAGGCAGGTGGTGCTTGTGTTGCACTAAGTCCCGAGCACCCACGCGACCGTATCCAAGCCATCCTGTCAGACACAAATGCTCGACACATCCTAGTCTCAGCTGAAACAAAAGCTCAACTAGAAGGACTTGGAGCTGAACTCATCGTTGTGGATGAGGTATCAATCAAGTCAATCCAAGACACCGGAGCTGTTGATTTGGAATCTCAAGTAGCTGGTCCTCACAACGCAGCCTACGCAATCTTCACATCGGGAAGTACAGGCGCACCCAAGGGAATTGTCGTCGGCCATGACGCTGTATATTCATCAATAATGCATGCTGCACGACTTTTCGACATGGGTCCCAACTCGAGGATGCTGCAGTTTGCATCATATACCTTCGATATCCATCTCTTTGACATCTTTGCCACGCTCGGCTGTGGTGGATGTATTTGTATACCCTCAGATCATGAAAGGTCCAATGATTTGGCTGGATTCATTAGACGATATGAAGTCAATGCGCTCGACCTCACACCCACTGTCGCATCGCTTCTAGACCCAAAGCAAGTGCCCTCGGTGACGCGATTAATGGTGGGAGGAGAGGCTCTCACGCAGGGTCTGATCGACGCATGGACTGCAACACCTGGTTTGCGACTCTTCAACGCCTATGGTCCATCTGAAACCTCTCCATTAATGACTTGGACTGAAGTCATCCCTGGAAAGGCCTCGCCGAGCACCATCGGTCGTGCCTTGGGTGGGGATCGACTGTGGGTAGCGGACCCCACGAACCCTGCACGTCTTATGCCCTTGGGGTGCGTTGGAGAGCTTTTGATTGAGGGCCCTACTCTTTCCAGGGGCTACTTGAACTTGCCAGCAAAGACTGCCGAGTCTTTCATTGACGGTCTCAAATGGCCTGAAGATGGCCAAGAGAAAGTATTACCTACACCAGGGCAAGTATACAGGACTGGTGACTTGGTGAAGTACAATGAGGATGGAAGTCTAGACTATGTTGGGCGGAAGGATACGCAAGTCAAAGTCAATGGCCAGCGTGTGGAGTTGGGCGAGATCGAACACCATCTCAACAGCACTCAACCTCGACTAGCAGAGTGTGTGGTCGTCTATGCTTCATCTGGTCCATGCAAGGGGAAGCTTGTTGTCCTCGTTGCGCCCTCAGATGGCAGTTCGCGCATGACACAATCATCGCAGATGTCACTTGTTGACGAGTCGCAGCGCACTTCTGCAAGGAACCTGGTTCAGGACCTCAAGAAGGAAATTTCCTCCAAACTTCCAACCTACATGATCCCACGCCTCTGGGCCGTGGTGGATTCCATTCCACTGACAGCGTCGGGAAAGACCTATAGGTCGGTTATCTCGCGCTGGATCAACGACCTAGATTCGGCAACCTTTAGCAGCATCACCGGCATGAGCTATGCTGGTGATGCAATTGCGGCCGCAGAGAGTGAGGAAGAAAGGCAAATTCAACATATTTGGTCCCAAGTACTCGGGGTCACTGTTGGCCAAATTGGAACAAATCAGTCCTTCCTAAGTTTGGGTGGTGACTCAGTTGCTGCGATCAAGGCTGTGGCAGTCGCTGGCCGAAGCCAAGTACCTCTGTTTGTCAGAGATTTGATGGCTGGCAAGACAATCCGAGAGCTTGCCACGAAGAGAGGAGCGACTCAAAAGACTGTCACTCCAGCAGCAGAGGAGCTTATTCCGGTATTCTCTTCAGAACTCGGAAAGAAGCTCGAAGAGGCGCACCGGATACAATTGGCACAGATTTCTGCCCACTCTGACGATGCCGCGATTCATATCGAGGATGTATATCCATGCTCGCCCGCACAGCAGGGTATTCTCATCTCTCAAGTCAAAGTTCCAGGGACTTACACCATTCAGTACTTGTCATCTGTCAGTATTGATGGAGGTCTTTCTGCTGTAAACATTGACAGGATACAAAGTGCATGGCAGGCCGTGGTTGACCGACATTCTGCTCTGCGGTCAATTTTTGTGGAAGGAAACACTGCGGAGAGACCCATAGAGCAGCTTGTCCTTCAGAACGTCAAAGCCACGTTCACTCACCGACATCTCACCACTCACCATGAGGTTGATCAATTACTCCGTCTTGCTGGATCTGAGACGCCGACATCTGGATTTGGTCGCTTGCCACACGCAATGACCCTATTCACCGACGCTTCTGGAGCATGCTACCTACGGCTAGAAATTAGCCACGCCATTACTGATGGCGGCTCAATCACCCTGATGATGCGTGACTTGGCTCTCGCTTACGAATCAAAGCTATCAACTGCGCCGGGACCTCGCTACCGAGACTTCCTCAACACCATATTCGGCCGAGACTTGACACCAAGCTTGAGCTACTGGAAGGAATACCTTCGGGATATTGAGTCTTGCCAGTTCCCAAGTCTACTCGATGGGCAACCGACGCCTCAGAGGCGCCTATGCGCAGTTGACACAGACCTTTCTTCTCTCAATGGCGCATTGTCAACCTATTGCAGACAGAATGAGGTGACCCTCTTCCATATTTTCCAAGCTGCGTGGGCATTGGTCCTACGCTCTTACTTGAACAAGGATGACGTCTGCTTCGGCTACATTACTTCAGGTCGGGATGCTCCAGTTGATTCCATACAATCTGCCATTGGCGCATTCATGAGCACACTGGCCTGTCGTGTCAACTTTGAGGAGACAAAGACCCTCTCCTCCGTCTTGAACAGTATACGCAAACACAACAACGCCAGCTTGGATCACCAGCACCTCTCGCTTGCTGACATGAAACGCCCTCTGAACCTCCCAGGGGACTCGTTCTTCAATACAGTCATCGGTTTTCAAACGGTTCTAGCAAAAGAAGACGAAGAAGGGAGTGTCGAAATCAATGAGGTTGCTGTTCATGATCCTACTGAGGTATGTTCCGTCTCTCCAAGAAAAGAAGTTCTTACTTGCTAACAAGTCTGCAGTACGACATTGCTGTCATTGTGGACACAGCCGGTAATATCCCAGCTGCAAAATTGGAGTATTGGAGCGACATCCTTTCGCCAAGTCAGGCAAAGCACCTGTCTGAAGCTTTAGTGCACAGCATCTCCACCGTCATTTCACAATCCAATGACCCGATTGAGGCCCTCAATTTGGTCCCATCTTCTCAGCTTGCTACGATGAAGAAATGGAGTGACGAAGCTACCGAACCGGCAAAAGAATTTATCGAGAACAAATCATGCCTGCACGCCATCTTTCAACAACAAGTCCAATCGCACCCCGACAAGATAGCCATTGTAGCCCACGATGGTGAACTAAGCTACGGTGAGCTGGACGACATCACCACGCGGCTGGCACACCACCTTATCTCATCCGGTGTCAAGCCCGAAAGTCTTGTCCCATACTGCTTCTCGAAGTCTATCTGGGCAGCCGTGTCTGTGTTTTCGATTCTGAAAGCAGGAGGTGCCGGTGTGCCACTCGATCCAACCCACCCGAAAGCTCGCCTGGATACTATACTTGACGACACCAGCGCTTCAATCATTTTGACTTCACCAACGCATAGCAAATTGTTCACCCACAGAGACGCGACTTTGGTCACGTTGGACGACGAGTTCATCGGAGCTTTGCCGGCGGGTGATGTTGCCGCTTGCAGTAAAGTCCAACCGCATCATCCAGCCTTTGTCATTTTTACGTCTGGCAGCACCGGAACACCCAAGGGGGTGGTTTTGGAGCACCATTCCATGGCTACAAACTGCCAGGCATATGGAAAGGCCTTGCAAATGGATGCCAATTCTCGAGTGTTGCAGTTCGCTACGTACACGTTCGATGCCAGTATCTTCGACATGTGCGCAGCCCTGCTCCTTGGGGGTTGCGTATGCATTCCATCCGAACACGACAGAATGAATGACCTGGCTGGTTTTATTGAACGCAATCGCTGTAACTGGATCTTGGCTACCTCCACGGTTATGGGCATGATGACGCCGGAGCAGGTTCCGAGTCTGAAAAATCTTATTCTTGGAGGTGAGGCACTGTCGCGCCAAGTCCTAGATACATGGGCTCCGTTCACGAATGTATTCAATGCGTATGGTCCTGCAGAGGCTGCCATCATGTCTGCTTGCTCGAGAAAAATGGACGCCAACTCTCAGGCTTCATGCATTGGAAACGGTGCCACAGGCGCTGTTTGGCTTACCAATCCTACAAATCATGATCAGCTTGTTCCGATCGGCAGTATTGGAGAGATCACAGTTCAGGGTCCAGGAGTTTCGCGAGGATATCTCAACTCGCCAGTCAAGACATCTGAGGCATTCTTCGACTCTCCAAGATGGCTGACCGGGTCGAATGCGACATATACGCGAGTATATCGGACAGGTGATCTTGGTCGCTTCAACTCCGATGGAACTATTGAATGTCTCGGACGCAAAGACAACCAGGTCAAGCTCAGAGGTCAACGTTTGGAGCTTGGGGAAATTGAGTACCATATTTCCCGCCACGATCAAATTAGGCAAGGCATAGTCCTCAAGGGTTCTCGTGGGCCATGCAAAGAACGTCTTGTTGGTTTGATCTCTCTCCATTCAGGCCCCGCCAGTGGAAATGAAACGATAGACCTGATTCCACAAGACATGAAACTCAGAGCTATTCGAATCATTGCCGAGCTCCGTCAGACCTTGAGCGCAGGATTACCTACATACATGACACCAACTGTATGGGTAGTGCTCAAGGGACTGCCAATGACCACCTCGGGTAAGGTCTATGTCAAGGTACTTCAGCAATGGGTCAATGAAATGAGTCAAGAGACCTTTGTCGAGGTGTCGCAGTTTTCCTTGTCGCCCGAGGATGCCAATGAGTCTCGTGGTCATGCCGAGAAACAGATGTCTGAAGTCGAGCAACAGCTTCAGAAGATTTGGTCGAAAGTGTTAAACCTGCCTTTGCAAAATATCAAGAGGTCGAGCACCTTCCTGGGCTTGGGTGGTGATTCCGTCACGGCAATGCGCGTCATGTCACTGTGCAGAAGCGAAAAGCTCGTCGTGACAGTGCAGGATGTGCTGCAAAATCAATCGCTCGCTAGTCTGGCTCGGTGTGTCAAGTCCACAAACTTGGTTGGCGAGAAAGAGCAGATGAATGAAATCTACGACAGACCAGTCCCGGTCACCTCAATCCAAAGTTTCTTCTTCCGAACCCTACCAGAAGCTCCAAGCCACTATAATCAGAGTTTCATGTTGCAGTTGAAGCACTCTATCACCGAAGAAAGACTCCATGTCGCGCTCGACTCAATTGTGGAGAGGTATCCCCTTCTTCGGGCTCGTTTTCAAAAGTCTGACGAGAGTGGGCTTTGGACACAAACAATAGGGCAGTGTGAGAAGGAAAAGATATCCGAGACCTACCACTTTCAGCATGCGCAAGTCGAAGGACAAGAAACCATCGCAGGGATTGCAAATGTCGCTCAAACTCAATTGGACCTGACTCAAGGACTGGTCTTTTCGGCGACGCTCTTCTCTCAACCTGGCAGCCAGTTCTTATACCTCGTTGCTCATCATCTTGTGATTGATCTGGTGTCGTGGCGGATCATTTTACAGGATCTTGAGGAGCTCTTGTTCTCATCTACACCAAGCATAGACGTTGGTTTGCCCTATCTCCAGGTCGCTACAATCCGCCAGCAGCAACTCGATTCTCGCGCATATCCCAAGACCGAAGATGTGAAGAGTCATGCAGACTTGAGCTACTGGCGTCTGCCAAGTGCTGAGAACACGCAATCCAACACCCGCCATGTCACCTTCACGTTGGATGAGAACGCTTCGGCAAACATTCTTGGTTCCTGCAACACTATGCTTCGAACTGAGCCAACCGATCTATTCCTGGCGGCTATCGTCAACTCGTTCACGGCTGTCTTTGATGATCGGAAAGCTCCTGCGATCTTTGTTGAAGGTCACGGTAGAGATCACGATCTAATCAAACAGCTTGACGTGTCAGGCACAGTTGGGTGGTTTACCACTATTTCTCCCTTCCTCCTTGATATCCCAGCAAAGGGTTCATCAGATCTTGTTCAGACTTTGCGAGCCACAAGGGACACGCTGCGTCGAGACCGGACTTCTGGCCAATACTTTTTGGATCAGTTAATGCTAGCCAGATGTGATAATGATCTGACTTTGGAAATCATGTTCAACTACGAAGGCCACTATCAGCAGCTTGAGAATGAGCAAGGCTTGTTCCGCATGCTGCCAATTCCAGCTCCGGATTTTGGCGACACGATCAGAAGATCATCACTCTTCGATATTGCTGTCATTGTGAAGAACGGCAAACTTGAGTTTGACTTTCTCTTCAATTCAAGGTCGGCTCACCAAGATCGTATCGACGCCTGGATCCTCCGTACAGAACAGACCCTCCAGAAGATGGCAGACGAACTCCCACACATGTCGAGATATTATGGTCTGACCGATTTCCCACTCCTGCCCCTCGACTATAAGAGTCTCAACAACTTTGTTGGAGATCTAGAAATGATTGCATCTTCCCTTTGCCCACCACACCAGCCCGTTGTGATCCAGGAAGCTTACCCTTGCACCGGAACTCAGGAGGGCCTCCTACTTGCGCAGGGCAAGGACGCAAGCAATTATGCTGTGCACGAAATCGCAGAGGTCATCCCTTGCACAAACGACCCGATTGATGCACATAAGCTTCGCAGCGCCTGGGCTCAAGTTGTCGAACGCCACCCCATCTTGAGAACAATATTTGTGGATCACCCCACCAACACTGGTTATCATTGCCAGGTTGTACTCGAGCATGTCGTACCTGGAATTGATTTGCTGGCATCGCAATCGGTCGAAATGGCCTTGGAGGCCTGGCAGATGACCTCAACCAGCAACTATACCATGGTGAAGCCGCCTCACCATATGAGCATCTGCAACATTGCCGACGGACGTGTTCTCTTCAAGTTCGAGTTCAGTCACAGTATACTTGATGCTTCATCTGTCCAGATACTCCTCAAGGACTTCGCCTTGGCATATGCAGGCCAACTAGACAGCGAGGTGACCATACCTCGTTTCAGCAAAGTGATGGAACACGTCTGTCGACGCGACGAGTCTGCGGATCTGAAGTTCTGGGCGTCTCAGCTCGCTGGGGCAGAGTCGTGCTGCCTACCTGATCTATCAGGTGCTCCAGAGAACAACCGCGTCCAAATGCAACGCCTAGATCTGAACATCTCAGCCGATGATCTCCAATCATTTTGCAAGATGCACCATGTCACGCCGTTCGCCATTTTGCAAGCTGCATGGGCCACAGTCTTGAAATCTTACACATTTATGGATCAAGTCTCCTTCGGATACCTCGCCTCTGGCAGAGATGTTCCTATCGATGGCATTGAGAGCATAGCTGGAGCACTGGTCAACATGCTCGTTTCGCACGCCAAATTCTCACCGGATGTGACGGCCTTGGAGGTCGTAGCATCCATACAAAAAGGGCTTACCGATAGTCTGGCACATCAGTACTGTCCATTGGGCGAGATTCAGCATGCACTTGAGCTTGGTGGACAGCCACTCTTCAATACAGTCATCGACTTTCAACGGCCTGGTGAGAGCGACGACTCATCAGCTGCATTCTCAGTCCAGAACCTCGCCTTCCATGACCCTACGGAATTCAGCTTGACAGTCCACTTTGAACTCACAAAGGACACTTTATCCGGATACGTGGCTCACTGGAGCTCTACTGTGGCTCCCGAGTACGCACTACACATTGGGGAAGCATTGACATTGGCTTTACAGAGTATCCTCAGCAACCCTCAACAAAAGATCAGCGATATTGATCTTGTTGGTCAATTCACTCTAGGAAGATTCATCGAAATCAACACGCCGGCACCAATTGCCAGGGAGGAGTGTCTACATGAGATCTTCCGTCAACATGCTCAAGCGACACCATTGTCTCCTGCAGTGTTTTCGACACAAATGTGTCTGACATTCGCAGAGCTGGATCGCCTCTCGAATCGCTTGGGCAACTACCTCGCAGACATGGGTGTGGGCCCAGAAGTCAAGGTCCCCATGTGTTTCGAGAAATCTGCTTGGGCGATAGTATCAATGTTTGCAGTCTGGAAGGCGGGAGGCTGCATCGTCGCTATTGACCCGACACACCCAGAGTCTCGTATTCGCGGCATCCTCGAAGATATATCAGCTACTCTGATCCTTATGTCATCTCAGACCTTGGAAAAATGCCGTGAAAGCCTTGGTGACGAGGTTCGACCGATCATTGTAGACATAGACAGTCTCGACTCAATGCCCGACGAACAGGCAAGGACCACGAATGTGAAACCTCACAATGCTGCATACATCAACTTTACGTCTGGAACTACGGGCAAGCCCAAGGGCGTCGTCATTGAGCATCAAGCAATAGTCAGCAACGTTGAGCCTTTGGCAAAGACTTCTGACATCACCCCTGCAACCCGTGCCTTGCAGTTCTCCTCCTACGCTTGGGACGCATTCTACTGCGAAACTATCATGCCGCTACTATCAGGTGGATGTACTTGTGTTGCCAATGACGATGAGCGTTCTCACGACATTGCGGAGTTCATGAGACGCTCAGGCTGTAACTGGTCTTTGTTCACTCCTTCCTTTGCAAGACTTCTGACGCCCTCCGATGTTCCAAACTTGAAGACTCTGCTCCTTGGTGGTGAAGCCATGTCGGCGGATGACAAGGTCACATGGACCAAATCTGTTACACTCAAGAATGCATACGGGCCCTGCGAGGCTTCAATCGTCGCTCTCATGCACCCAGACATTGCTTCTGCAAGCAGTGAACATAACCTGAGCCAGCGTCTTGGGCAAACAATCTGGGTGGCTGATCCCAAGAATCCCAACCGACTCGCACCGCTGGGGGCTCCTGGAGAGTTGGTCCTGGGTGGGCCTCCCGTCGGCAGAGGCTACATCAATGAGCCAGTCAAGACAGCTGAAGCATTCATTACAAGCCCTACATGGTACACTGTGAATCCTCAGCTTGAAGCCATGGGTTTCACTGAGAAGTTCTATCGCACGGGTGATCTTGTGCGACTAAACATTGACGGCACGATTGGTTTCATTGGCCGAAAGGACGAGGACCAAGTCAAGCTTCGTGGACAACGTATGGAACTCGGAGAAGTCGAGCAATGCATCATGACCAATATGCCATCGGCAAAGCAGGTCGCCGCTGCAGTCATTTCCCGTTCTGGGCAAGCCGAGCACAAGCAACTGATTGCATTTGTTACCTTCTCTGGCAGTCACGATGCCTCTGGGCAATTGTCAAGCAAGCCTCAAGCATTGAAAGTGTCGGATGAGTTGTTTAAGGAGTTGAAGACCCTCGCAAGCACCATGGCCAAATTGCTTCCTTCATTCATGATCCCCTCAATGTTTGTGCCAGTTACACGCATTCCGCTCGGGTCTACCACCAAGATTGACCGCAAGGCACTCGCTGAGATTGCCTGTCAAATCCCGTTTGCCGATGTTGCTCGCTACTCGCTCACAGCTTTGGCAGAAGTCCGCCAGCCTAGCACACCACTTGAGACTGCACTGCACGGGCTGTACTCGGACATTTTGGGGATCCCCACTGCATCTCTTTCTGTCACGGACGGATTCTTCCAGCGTGGAGGCGACTCAATCAAGGCCATCAAACTTGTGTCTGCAGCTCGCCAAGCCAACTTGACCTTTACCGTGGTAGACATCTTCAACAACCCTTCTGTTTCGGAATTGGCTGGTGTGGCCAGATTTATTGATGCAAATGCAACTAGTGGTTCTATCAAAGATGATGCCGAGATTTTGGCGGCTGAGAAGACCAAGGCCGAGATTACCAAGCTTGCGACCGAGGAGTACAAGATGAAATCGAAACAGATACAGGATGTATATCCTTGTACTGAGCTCCAAGATACCATGTTGGCAATTTCTTCGGACAACCCGGGCTCCTACACGATGCAGCTCGTGACTGCCATCTCAGAAGATGCTGATCTCGAGGGATATCTTGATGCTTGGAAGGCTGTTCGTCGGAACAACGACATCCTTCGAACACGTATCGTCAATGCCCGTGATCACCGCTACCAAGTCGTCTACAATGACCGAATGGCCATCAAGAATGCAGACTCACTCCAAGAGTACCTGAAAGACGACAGGAAGAAGCTCATGGGATACGGAGATGCCCTTGCGCGTTTTGCATTGATCACAGAGGAGGATGATCAACAATACTTTGTCTGCACATTGCATCATGCTATTTATGACGGCTGGTCAATGTCCTTGATCATGGACCAGATCTCACAAGCTTGCCAATGGAAGCCTCTCTCCAAGCCTCCGCCATTCGCAGATTATGTTCGGTACATTCAGAGTCAAGACCGCAACGCGGCCGAGGCCTTCTGGTTGTTCGAGCTTTCTGGTGCTTCAACCTGTGATTTCCCACGACTGCCAAGCTCCTCATACCAGTCATCAGCCACTCAGACTACAGAGCGAATCATGTCTCTTGACCAGCAGACGAGCACCGGGCCCATTGCAGCAGTCGCGAAAACAGCATGGGCTCTTCTACTCGGACTATACTCTGGATCAGACGACGTTGTCTTTGCGACTACCAATGCAGGTAGAAGTTTGCCCCTGGATGACATCGCTGATATGGTTGGCCCCACTATCACAACCGTCCCAGTACGCGTACGTCTGGATCGCACGCGCAAAGTTTGCGATCTCGTTGGTGATGTCCATGAACGAGCGCTTTCTGCTATGCCATATGAGTACCTCGGCTTGCAGAATATTAGACACGTTAGTAGCGATTGCGAGGCTGCATGCGACTTGCGAAGCTTGTTCGTTGTCCAGCCCGGCGATCTAGATAACGTTGGCTTTACTGGAGTTCCCGGCGTCTCCATTGTCCCTACAGAGGCATCAGGCTTTTTCACACAGCCTCTCGTCGTCGAATGCTACCTCGGACAGACGAAGCTCAAACTTTCCGCCAGTTTCGATGAGAATGTTCTTCGCACCCAGGAGGTTGACAGAATGCTTGCACAGCTGGAGCATCTGATACAAGAACTCAATTCTCGTGGCAACGAAGCTTTGCATGAAATCAATCTACTGTCCAACGATGACAAGCGCGACATCTCTGAGTGGAACGCAGACATGCCTGCCAAGCTCAATGAGCGTGTCCAAGATGTCATTGCGGTTCGAGCCAAGGAGTTCGCATCCTCCATCGCAGTATCCTCCTGGGATGGGCAAATGACCTATGCAGAACTGGATGCTTATTCGTCTCGTCTTGCATCATACCTCTGTGAAGAGATGCACGTTACCCCTGGCGACTTGGTTCCGCTGTCATTTGAGAAGTCCACATGGGCCATCGTCGCCATGCTTGCAATCATCAAGGCTGGCGGTGCCTTTGTATTCCTTGATATCAAGATGCCATTCATGCGACAACAATTCATCATCAATGCCTCGAAGTCAAACTTCATCCTGAGCTCCGTCAAGAACAATTATATGTGGAGCAACAGTCAGTGGCATGTAATTGAGGTCAGCAAGGCTGCTCTTGAAAGCTTGCCCGAGTCCCCAATGCCCGCAGTCAACAACCAGCCAGACAGTCTTCTGTATGCCATCTATACTTCTGGTAGTACTGGTGTACCCAAGGGTTGTTTGATCGAGCATTCAGCCTTCCTGAGCAGTACCGCAAGCTACACAAAGAACTTGCTCCTGGATCCCAGCAGTCGCGTACTTCAATTCTCCTCCTTTGCATTCGATGTGAGTATCATGGAGAGTCTCGGTGTCCTTACTGTTGGTGGCTGTGTATGCATCGCGAGCGAAGAGGCGTTTGAATCGGGCATTGCAACCATGATTCAAGAAACTCAATCAAATTGGGCATCTTTGACGCCTTCTGTTGCCAGATTGATGGACCCATCGGGTGTACCCAGTCTCAAGACACTCGCCCTCGTTGGTGAGCCACTGAGCTCCGAGGACCTGAAAACCTGGGCCGGAAGCCTCCGACTTCAGAACGGTTATGGTCCTACCGAGTGCTCAATCCTGTGTGTCATCAATCCAGATTTGAGGGCAGAGACAGATGCCGGAAACACCGGATATGGAAGTGGTGGTTTGACATGGGTCGTTGATCCCAATGATCCCAACATTCTCATGCCAGTCGGCTGCCCGGGTGAACTGTTGATGGAGGGACCAATTCTAGCCCGTGGGTATCTCAACCAGCCCGAGACTACCGCTTCAGTGTTTGTGGAGGGCTTGAAATGGTCTCCCAAGGGTCGTTTCTATAAGACTGGCGACTTGGTTCGATACAACTCTGACGGTTCGATCCACTGTCTGGGCCGCAAAGACAACCAGGTCAAGGTCCGCGGCCAGAGACTGGAGCCTGGAGAGATTGAGGAGAAGATTGATGGTTTGAGCTTTGTCAACAATTCTTGCGTTGTTCTAACCAAGACTGGTCCATATGCGAACAAGCTCGCTGGCGTGGTAGTGCTGCAGGAGTTTGCCGTCGCCTCCGCTCCCCCACTTCAACTCATTGACCGACACCAAAAACAGAGCGCTGCCGCCAGGGTGGCCGAGATGCGAGATGCGCTTTCAGAGGTTCTGCCTGTTTATATGGTCCCCGAGGTCTGGATCATGGTGACAGCCACTCCACTATCCATCTCAGGCAAGACGGATCGTAAATCCATTCGCCAGTGGGTCGAGAAAATCAATGGCGACTTGCAGCAAGAGATTGACAGCCTGATTGCTCCCAATACCAAAGAATCACCCCAGACTGATGAAGAGAAGAAGCTCCATACTATCATTTGCGATGTGCTCAACATTGCGCCAAGTGACGCAGGAGTCAATCAGTCTTTCATGAGTCTGGGTGGTGACTCCATCAGCGCCATGCGCCTTGTTGCCAAGTGCCGAGCTGCTGGTTTCACAATCAACCTCAAAAAGATCCTGAGCCGGGCAAGTATATCACAATTGGCTGGACTTACAAGCAAATCAGCAAAGCAAGCACCCGCCCGCCAAGTTGCAGTCTCGGATCAAGAGAAGCCATTTGCTTTGACACCTATTCAGCAGTACTATGTCGACACTCAAACGCAGCTCTCAGGAGAACACACTGGTATGGAGTTTACTGGTCAATACAGATTCCATCAAAGCTTTTTGCTGCGTCTAGCACGCTACATCGACCAAGAGGCGGTCACCGCGGCCGTGCGACAACTCACACAACGTCATCCCATGTTGAGGGCTGCTTTCTCCAAGAACTCTCAAGAAACATGGGAACAACACGTCCTCGGTGATGTCACAGCGCTCGATGTTATCCGTATAGATGATGCCAACACCACTGAGCAAGCAATATCGGCCATCAACCTTGCCAACAATCTCAACACTAAGAACGGGCCGGTATTCAGAGCAGTCTTTTTCCCAAACAAGATTGATGGCGGTGACCAGATGCTTTTCATGACTGCTCACCACTTGGTCATTGATCTTGTTTCATGGCGCATCATTCTAGATGAGTTGGAGCAGATCCTTACCGGTACTCAGCTTCCACCACCATCTGGTATCAGCTTCCATGCTTGGGCTTCTCTTCAAGCTTCATACGCCGAGTCCAATTTGACCCCATCCAAGGCACTTCCCACAGAACTTGCCGCCAACAACTCAGCCTATTGGGGCATTACCAACCCGAGCAACAACACTTATGGCATGACTATCACCCGATCGCTTTCGCTCAGCAAGATTCTCACTTCGGCGCTTACGGGTGAGTGCCATGATGTACTGCGAACCGATGTGGTCGATGTTCTATTAGCGTCACTCGCCCATGCATTCAGTGCTGTCTTCCCTGATCGTGCAGTGCCAACCGTCTTTGTTGAAGGTCACGGTCGCGAGCCTTGGGATGAGAGTATTGACATTGGCTCCACAGTGGGCTGGTTCACCGCTGTCAGTCCAGTTTCTGTGTCTGTCACCGCTGAACAGGAACTTTTGAATGTTTTGCGCCAGACAAAGGACGTTCGACGGTTGATCCCCAGCAATGGATGGGCTTACTTTGCATCAAGGTATCTCAACCCTGAGGGCCGCAAGGCATTCCATGATGACTCAATAGCCGAGATATTGTTCAACTTTGCTGGTCAGTTCCAACAATTTGAGAATTCAGATGGTCTTTTCAAGGACTCTGAACTTGAGCTTGTCGGTGAGGCATCTGAAGTTGGCCCAGACACCACTCGTCTTGCCTTGATAGAAGTGTCTTCTGTCATCAAGAACGGTGAGCTGCAGATGTCCTTCATTTTGAACAAGCACATGCAGCACATTGACCGCTTGCAAAAATGGATTGACGCAATCCCGGATACTCTGCAGTCGATGCTTGAGATGCTCAACGACAACAAAGCAACAGAAATACCGACCCTGAGCGACTTTCCACTGCTGCGCACTACTCACGACAACTTGGATGCCCTTCTTCAGGACGCCTGCGCAAAGGTTGGAACTGAAGACTGGACAGAAGTTGAAGACATATTCCCATGTACACCAATGCAGACAGCCATGCTTCTCAGCAGTTCCATGGACCCCGAACACTACCGTACCTGTGCAATTTTCCAGGTGGGTGGCCCGTCGCAAATCACAGCTGAGCATCTGCAGAGTGCATGGCTGGGGGTGGTAAAGCATCACCCATCGCTCCGCACTATTTTCGTGGCTGCACAGTCGCAAGATGCTGCCTTTGACCAGATCGTCTTTAGAAATCTTGCCCCTCAGGTCCATATCATCAGAAGCTCCGACTCAGAGGCGCTGGACCATCTCAAGGCGCAAGCACCAGCCAACTGGTCAGATGCATCTCCGCATACCCTTACCATCTGTGAGACCACCAGCGGTATACTTTGCAGATTGGAAATCAGCCACGCGCTTATGGATGGTGCATCCATGGATCTATTGTTCAGCGATCTGGTATCGGCCATCGATGGCAGACTTTCTGGAGAGCCAAGCCCAGGTTACAGCAACTATGTGAATTATCTTCAAGAGCGGAGCACCAACGATGCTCTGGCCTACTGGATGCGATACCTCGGTGGCGCAGACCCATGCAAAGTGCCTGCTATCAAATCGATCGACGACGATACAGATGTCGCCGAATCCTCTGTAACAATTCCTGTGTCTGATGAACTAGGCCAACGTCTCACTTCCTTCTCAACGAAGCACGAGGTCACCGCAGCATCTGTCATCCAAGCTGCATGGGCCATGGTCCTGCGCTGTTACACTCAATCTACCGACATTTCCTTTGGATATGCCGTCGCAGGTAGAGATATACCAGTTGATGGCATTGACAGAATTGTGGGTCCTTTCATCAATGTCTTGCCGTGCAGACTCGACATGAGCAGCGACTCTCTAAGCACGCTGGACCTGGCATCTCGCGTGCAGCAAGACTTTTTCGACAGTTCGAGCTTCCAACACACTTCATTAGCTGAGATACAGCACGAGCTCAAATTCGGCAATCGTGCTCTATTTGATACTGTTGTTTCGATTCAACGTTACGACAATTCCTCAATGAACTCGTCTTCCGGTATTCACATGGATCTCTTGGATAGCCATGATCCAAATGAGGTAAGTCATGAGCAAGGTAGATGCAAATTGAAAGTCACTAATCATGCAGCAGTTCTCTGTCACATTGAACGCAGCATACTCCCCAGGAAGGCTAGGCCTCGTGCTCCGACACTCACCGCGGAACGGAGTCACTACCGCTCGCGCAGAAAGTATTGCACATACTTATGCACAGGCGCTTTCAGCTATTCTAGAAAGTCCAGAACAAACGGTGCATGATGTAGACCTCTTCAGCTCTCATGACCGGAACATTGTGGATCAGTGGAACAAGCACAGTCCTGCACTCATTCACGAGCGCGTACATGAGACTATCCAGGCTCGCGCAACAGCTAGTCCTGAGTCACCCGCCGTGGACGCCTGGGACGGGCAGCTTTCGTATGCCCAGCTTGACAAGTACGCCACCCGCCTTGCTCATGAGCTCGTTCGGCAAGGCGCTGGCCCTGAGGTAAAGGTACCATTCTGCCTTTCAAAGTCTGCCTGGTCAATCGTATCCATTCTGGCGATCATGAAGTCTGGAGCTGCATTCCTCCCGTTGAACAGAAATGACCCCGAGGAGCGTATTCGTTCGCTCATCGAAGACGCGGGAGCGTCATTCGTGCTGGCATCTTCTGATCAAGCCGACAAACTTCAAGCACTTGTCAACACTGTAATTGTCATTTCCAAGGCCTCGGTTCAGGAACTACCTGCTATCGACGAGCCCGTGGCACTTGGTAGCAACACAGACGCAGCTTATGTGCTCTTCACCTCGGGCAGTACAGGTAAACCCAAAGGCGTTGTCATTGAGCACCGCAACCTCTCAAGCAATATTGCCGAGCATGCACCCGGACTTGGCTTTAACTCGCAATCGCGCGTCCTTCAATTCGCATCCCATACTTTTGATGCCTCCATCACCGAGATTCTCGGCACTCTGTGGAGCGGTGGTTGCGTATGCGTTCCATCGGAAGAAGACAGGACAACTGATGTTGAGAGCGCTATGAGACGTATGAGCGTGACGTTTGCCATGCTCACGCCATCTGTGGTGCAACTCCTATCGCCCGATAACCTTCCTTGTCTTCAAACACTTGCTCTCGTAGGAGAAGCAGTGCCAAAGAGTCTCATCAACAAGTGGACAGAGAAACTCACATTGCTGGTCGGATATGGCCCTACAGAGACAGCCGTCTTTGCTTCCATCGGTCACTTGACCCCCCGGGAGGACAGTGGGTTCATTGGAACAGCGGCCGGTGCAGTGACTTGGATTGTCAACCCAGATAATCACAACTTGCTGACACCGATCGGTTCTGTGGGAGAGTTGGTCCTCAGTGGTCCTACTCTGGCCCGCGAATATCTGAACAACCCAGCCAAGACAGCCGAGGTGTTTGTGCCAACTCCTCGCTGGGCTTCCGCTCAGTCCATTCACAGAGTCTACAAGACGGGCGATCTCGTCTACTACCGCGACGATGGTGGTATCATGTACATCGGACGCAAGGATAGCCAAGTCAAGATACACGGACAGCGTGTTGAGCTTGGCGAGATTGAACAGCAGGTCCTCGCTTGCCTGCCCGCACAATCAGAGGCTGTTGTGGGCGTGCTTCGCGGAAATGAAGCGCTATCCAAACTTCGATTAGTTGCCTTTGTTCGCATCCCTGGCTTTGACCAGGTGTCCACCGTCGCTGCCTCCATCGTCCCAATGTCCTCGGAGTTGAGTGCTACGCTGGCAAAGCTTCAAACAGAACTGTCAACCAGGATCTCTGCTTATATGGTTCCATCTCTTTATGTGCCGCTGGCTGTTTTGCCCAAGTCAGCTGCAGGCAAGGCCGACAGAAATGCCATGTTGAAGATCGCACAAGGCCTGACTCTGGACCAGTTAGATGCGTATTCCTTGAAGAATGCAGCCAAGCGCCCTGTGACAACCGCCATGGAGCAAATTATCCAGTGTGTCTGGGCTTCGGTCCTTGCTGTCTCGAGCGACTCCATAGGTGCAGATGATCACTTTTTCAGGCTTGGAGGTGACTCGCTCTCTGCGATGAAGATTGCGTCACAGTTGCGATCACAAAATGTCACTGTCTCTGTTCCTGACATTTTCAAACACCCCCAGCTTTCAGAGTTGGCGGAACTGATCGATACCAATGGTGAGGCCATCGGTGCTTCACAAATAACAGATCTTGCAGCATTTGCACTTCTTGGAGACAAGGATGCAGTGGTTGCCAGGGCCCGTGTATTGGCAGAGGACCAAGCATTGCCCGTAGAGGACGCATACCCAGCCACGCCGCTGCAGCAAGCTCTGTTTGCCCTCACACAAAACGATCCAAAGGCATACATCAACCGAATGGTATTCAAGATCCCTCAGTCTCTTGATCTTGTCACTTTCAAGTCAGCTTGGGGCTCAGTCTACAATGACAATCCGATCCTGCGTACTGCTATCATCAACACAGAAACCGATGGAACGTGTCAAGTAGTATTCGGTACGGACATCAATTGGCGAGAGGCTAGCGGATCTCTCGAGCAATACCTGAAGACTGATTCCGACGCTGCTATCCGCGAGGGTAGCCTTCTCACCCGTTATGGTCTCGCGATTGACGGATCAAACCGCTACTTCGTCTGGACTGCTCATCATGCTGTCTACGATGGCTGGTCTACAGACCTCATCTTCGACATGGTCCACCGGGCATACCAGGGCAAGACGTCCGAGCCGCTTGCACCATACACAAGATTCATCCAGTATCTGGGCAACCTTGACACGACCCAAGCAGATCAGTACTGGCAGGGCCAGCTTGCAACTTATTCTGGGGAAGCTTTCCCATCGACTCCTGCGACACACAAGGTCATCAGCGACGGGACAATTGAGCAAGTCCTTCAGCTTCCCTCAAAGGATCGAAAATCGGAAATCACTACAGCTTCCTTGCTTCGTGCAGCTTGGGCTTTGGTGGTTTCAAAGCAGACTTCCAGCAACGATGTTGTTTTCGGCATGACCCAGAGTGGACGCAATGCACCTGTGGTTGGCATCGAAAAGATCCAGGGCCCAACTATTGCGACAGTCCCAGTGCGCGTACAGCTTGACAGCTCCAAGTCCACCGCTCAGTACTTGCAAGACATCCACCTTCAAGCTGCCGAGATGATTCCGCACGAGCAAACAGGTCTCCACAATATCAAGTCTCTCGGTGTGGGCGCCAAGTCTGCTTGTGACTTCCGCAACTTGTTGGTCATCCAGTCTCATCGTCATCTAGAAGGCGATGACCCCAGTTGGATCACGCCGATGGAGAGCGACCTGAGTGGCTTCGATACCATGCCGATCACGGTCGAATGCTCCATCGAGAGTGCAAGCAAAATTGAGTTGGCCGCACACTTTGACTCTCGCTTGCTCTCCAACCTTCAGGTGCAGCGGATCTTGAGCCAGTTTAGTCATGTTATACGTCAATTGTCTGAAGCAAATGCCGAACACAGAATCTCGGATTTGGACTTCTTCACCCCAGAGGATCAAGAGCTTGTCGAAAAGTGGAATGGTTCACTGCCTCTCACATATAGAGACTGTCTGCAAGACCGTTTTGAAAAGTTTGCGCTGGAAACTCCAGAGAAAGAGGCGATCTGTTCTTGGGATGGATCGTTCACATATCGCGAGCTTGACATCCTCGCGACTCGTCTGGCACAAATGTTGGTAGCATCTGGTGTCAAGGCTGGGGAGTATGTTCCATTCTGTTTTGAAAAGTCGGCTTGGGCGGTTGTGTCCATGCTTGCCACTCTCAAAGCTGGAGCCGCCTTCGTGCCTCTGGATCCTGGACATCCGATGAGTCGCCTGAATGACATTATCTCGCAAACGGCAGCCAAAGTGATGTTGGCTTCTTCGACTGCTCCCTCACTTGACATTCAGAAAACAATCACCGTGTCATCTGATGCCATCACATCATTTAGTTCTGACACGAGCTACTCGCTGCCATCAAAGGACCCATCCTCCATTGCCTACATTATCTTCACTTCTGGCAGCACTGGCCGTCCCAAGGGTGTCATGTTATCGCACCAAGCCATTTGCTCAAGTGCCCCAATGTTGGATCTCCCCAACATCGGTTTGCATCAAAACTCAAGAGTTTACCAATTCCCTTCATATGTCTTTGATGCAGCAGTGTTCAACATTTTTGGCTCATTGTCAGCCGGGGCTACCTTGTGTATACCCTCCGACACTGACAGACTTGGCGTCAACTTGGCCAAGTCCATGCGCGATATGCAGGTTACATGGTCTGCCATGACCGCTGGTGTTATCCGCCTCTTCCAGCCAGAAGATGTCCCAACCCTCAAGACCATGAAGCTCGGTGGTGATGCTGTCTACCAAGAAGATGTCGACCGTTGGGCATCCAAGGTCGACATGATTCAGGGTTACGGACCGGCAGAAGCAAGCGTTTTCGTGACGTGGAACCGCATGAGCTCCAACGATGCTCCGAACAACGTTGGACCCGCAGCAAGGGCACGTCTTTGGATTGTCGACCCAGAGAACCACGATCAACTCACGCCCGTCGGTCTTGTTGGCGAGATGCTAATCGAGGGTCCCGGTCTTGCATCCGGCTATCTCAACGATGAGATCAAGACAGCTAGCGCATTCATTACTGACCCCGCTTGGTGCCGAGGACAGCAGCGTCGATTCTACAAAACAGGCGACCTTGTTCGCTATACTGACGATGGCTCGTTCCTGTTCGTGGGACGAAAAGATGGTCAAGTCAAGCTCAATGGTCAAAGAGTCGAGCTTGCGGAGATCGAGAATCACATCTTCTCTTCATTGCCGTCATGTCAGCTGGCAGTTGTCTTGCCCAAGTCTGGACCCTTGAAGAATTCACTGACTGCCATCATTTCAGATGCAAGCAATGGATCATCATCCAATGATCTCGCCTTTGTGAGCGAGGGAACCTTCAAGGACGCTTTGGTTGCCAAGGTCACAGAGGTTGCGGACGCTTTGCCAGAGCGCATGCCAAGATACATGGTGCCTCGCACTTGGCTGGCTGTTAGAAAACTTCCTTTCAACTCTTCTGGAAAGATTGACAAGAAAAAGATGCAACAGTGGCTTGAAGCCTTGGAGGATGATCAAGTCCTTGCTCAAAAGCTTCAAGCTAAGCACGAATCAACAGACATCATCGCAACCAACGAAATGGAGTCCATTCTGCAACAAGCTTTGAGTCGGGTTCTCAACCTATCACCTGACAGTATCGCATTCAATCGCTCATTCATGGCATTGGGTGGCGACTCCATCACGGCCATGCAGCTTGCATCTCGTCTTCAAGCATCCAATGTCGTTTTGAGCACCCGCCATCTCCTGGAGAGCAAGACTATCAAGGACGCTGCCGCTCTAGCACGATTCAAGGCTGAGCGTCTCGAGATTGCCGAAGAGGCTATGGATGTGCCTTTCGAGCTGTCTCCAATTCAGAAGATGTTCATTGATCTGATTCGCCCCTCATCAGATACCTCACGGCGCTTCAACCAGAGTTTCCTTTTGCAGATCACTCGTGCAGTCCGTCCAGAGAAGCTGACTGCCGCTATTGAGTTCCTTGTCGCGCGGCACTCTATGCTTAGAGCACGATACCAACAAGATGCCAACGGATCCTGGACTCAACGTGTCCTGCCTCGAACTGGAGGATCTTATTGCTTGACGATACATCCGACCATTGACATTGAACAGGTCATGGAACAAAGCCAAGCTCGCCTGGATATTGTCAAGGGCCCTGTCTTTGTAGCTGATCTGCTCACACAGCCGGATGGGTCTCAGATCCTCTTCATGGCTGCTCATCACATGGCTGTCGATCTTGTGTCATGGCGCATCATTCTCAACGAACTCGAGGATCATCTTGCGAATACAGGAAATGTGACCCTTCCTCGTCCACTGCCTTTCCAGACCTGGCTATCTCTACAGCGTGAACAGGCTCAGACGATTCAGCCAGATTCAGCACTTCCATTTGATCTTCCGATCCAAGATGCCAGCTACTGGAATGTTGAGAGCAACACAAACGCATTCGCCAACATTGACGAGCATGAGTTCACAATTGATGCTCAGTCGACCACTCATCTTCTGAATGATTGCAGCTCAGCTCTTGGCACTGACACTCTAGACGTTTTGATGGGTGCTTTGATCCATTCTTTCTCCCAAACATTCCACGATCGCCCACTTCCGAGCATCTTCACTGAAGGTCATGGTCGCGAATCTTGGGATGATTCAATTGACGTATCTTCCACAGTCGGATGGTTTACAACAATGTCTCCTGTTCATGTAGTTGCAGACCCCGGTGACGATATTGTTCGCTTCGTCCGCAAGGTCAAGGATCGCCGACGACAAATTCCCATGAACGGTTGGAAATATTTTACTAGCCGCTTCCTTAATGCCGAGGGCCAGCAGCGTTTCGCACAGAATGGCCCTGTCGAGGTTATTCTCAACTTTGCTGGACAGTACCAGCAACTCGAACGCCAAGATGCACTCTTCCAGCTCATGCCCCGTGACGGACTTGGCACCGAGACCTGCGATGTGAGTCCAGAAATGGTACGGACATCGGTGATTGAGATTTCGGCTGGAATCAGCGATGGCTCCCTGAAGGTTACATTCATGTGGCCTAAATCCCTGGAGAGACATGAGCAAGTCAAGCAATGGTCCAGCAACACTCAGGCTTCAATCACGTCGGCAATTGCAAGCCTCAGAGGACTGACAAAGCAAGTCACGCCCAGTGATTTCCCGCTCTTGAGCCTCACCGACGAGGAGTTTGACAGCCTTGTTCATGAATCTCTGCCTAAACAGAAAATTATCGACCTCGATGACGTGGAGGACATGTATCCTGCTACAGCCCTCCAAGAAGCTCTGATGATGTCGAGAAGCATTGACTCTGGTCTATATGCTGTTCGCGTGATCTACAAGCTTTCCGAGGCAAACGGCCAACCCATTGATATTGATCGTTTCCAAGCAGCATGGTCTGCCGTGATTGATCGACACCAAACGCTCCGTACTGTGTTTGTTGATACCGTTTCTGAGAAGAGCGCCCTCACTCAAGTCGTTCTCAAGCATCTTCCAGCAAACACCATTCGAATCGTAAGCGACACCGATGCAGAGGCAATCAAGACCCTTGAGCGCCCCAATGCAATGACTCCAGGCGTTGCCTTGGCTATCGCCAGCCCATGCCAGCTCACCATCTGCCACGTCGCATCGACTGGTAATACTTACTGCAAGATTGATGTCAATCATGCAGTAACAGATGGTGGCTCAAGCGGCATTCTTCTTCGAGACCTTGGTTTGGCATACGACAATCTCCTTTCGCCTGGCCGTGGTCCACTATTCGGCGACTTTGTGTCTTACCTTCTAAAGGGCGACAGAAATGCCAGTCTCAAGTACTGGGGCAACTATCTGCGTGGTCTGGAGCCGTGCATGATCAACAATGGATTTACGACAAATGAGAAAAAGGTTCTCCGCGATCTCGAATTTGAGATTCCGAACGCAGCAGGACTCCGCACTTTCTCGGCTGCCAACTCGGTCACTCTCGCCAACCTTTTCCAAGCTGCTTGGGCCATGGTGCTCCGAAATTTTGCAAACACCGATCAAGTATGCTTTGGCTACCTGAATGCTGGTCGTGATGCCCCTGTTGAGGGCATTCGAGAGGCAATCGGTCTCTTTATCAACATGCTCGTGAGCCGTGTTGACTTTACAGATGCCCTCGATGCCAAAGGCCTCTTGCAAACCGTGCAGAGCGACTACATCAATGCACTGGATAACCAGAACTGTTCTCTTGCTGATATGCAGAAGCTAGCTGGAAATTCCCTGTTCAACACAATCATGTCCTACCAAACAGTATCAGAGTCCACGGACGATGGCACTGGAACTCTCAAGTTTGAACAGGTCACCGCTCACGACCCTACCGAGTATGCCTTGAGTGTCAGTGTTGCGGTAGCCAAGAGCTCCGTCTTTGTGACCGTCAGCTACTACACGGATTCTATCTCAGACTTCCAGGCTACCAGCGTTGCTACGAGCTTCGAGAAAGCAATCCTTGGTCTTGTTGCGGCTGCACCTGATACACCAGCCCAACACATTTCAACGTTCGGTGACCAGGCCATTGACAAGGTCAAGCAGTGGAATGGCAGTTACCCCAAGATTTTGGAGCGATGTGTTCACCACTTGATACAAGATATGGTTGACCAGAACCCCACGGCCATGGCTGTCTGCTCTACCGAAGTCAGCTGGACCTACAGCGAACTGAATGAACTGGCTAATCGGCTGGCACATCGCCTCGCTATTCTCGGCATCCGTCCTGGTACCAAGGTACCATACTGCTACGATGCTTCGCCTTGGACCATTGTTGTCATGCTCGCGATTCTCAAATCGGGAGGTGCATGTGTGGCCCTCGATCCAAAGCATCCCACGGATCGACTGCACGGAATACTAGAGGATACGGATGCGGACATTGTCATTTCTGCCCCCCAACATGCTTCGAAATTCTTGCCTGTAGCCGCAGTGATGGCGCTCGGCCCAGATGAGATCAAGCGACTAAATGTAACCCTCCGACAAAGAACTACACCACTTCCAGAGACACGACCTACCGATCTTGCCTTTGTCAACTTCACGTCTGGTAGTACCGGTAAGCCCAAGGGCATACTACTCCAACATCAGGCCATCGCCACGAGTGGATCATACTATGGTGCCGCCATGGGCTATGGGCCCGGATCCCGTGTCTTGCAATTCTCTTCCTACACATTTGATGTCAGTCTAAGTGACATTTTCTTCTCACTCATGCGCGGAGGTGCCGTTTGTGTGCCTACCGAATACGAGAAGCTCAACGACCTCCCCGGTTTCATCAATCGCCTTGGCGCCAATGTCGCCGATTTGACACCTTCTGTACTTGAAGCAATGCTGCGACCCGAGGCCGTCCCATGCCTCAAAACCATTTGCCTTGGTGGCGAGGCTGTCAAGCAGGAGAATCTTTCCGTGTGGGCAGACAAGGTCGCGCTACACAATTATTATGGGCCTTCCGAAGCCTCGGTCGCCTGCGTTGGCCGATCCAACTTGTCTTTCACCGACCAAGCTGCCAACATTGGTGTTGGCTGCGGCGCTCGCACCTGGGTCGTGGAAGCTGACAACTCAGACAAGCTGGCGCCCCTTGGAACTGTGGGTGAGCTTCTGCTAGAAGGTCCTCTCTTGGCAATGGGCTACCTCAAACTCCCCGACAAAACCACCGAGGCTTTCCTGAGCGGCGTCACCTGGCCTGGATTTACAGAACCAAAGCGTCTGTACAAGACTGGTGATCTTGTTCGATACACTCAAGATGGAAGCTTGGAATACCTTGGTCGAAAGGATAATCAGGTCAAGATCCGCGGCCAGAGAGTCGAAATTGGTGAGATTGAGCACCATGCCATTCTCAACTCGCCACCAAACTACAACCAGGTTGCAGTCGAAGCTGTCACTGTCCCAGGCCGTGTCGGAATGGTCTTGGTTGCTTTCATCGCTGTCGGTTCTCAGATCGGCGCTTGCACCGAGGCCGCGCTCCCTATCAAGATTCTCACTACCTTCCGCAATTTGCAAGCTTCCTTGACAACATCTCTTCCCAGCTACATGGTGCCATCCCTGTACATCCCACTTCGCGAGCTTCCACTCAGCACCGCTGGCAAGCGTGACCGCAAGGCTCTACGCCAGATACCCATCGGCCTCTCTGATACTCAATTGCGGACATTCTCTCTCACCGATGACTCAATTACCAAGAGGGAGCCTTCGACGGCTACAGAACAGCGCCTGCGATCCGTCTGGGCCAAGGTACTTCGGGTCCAAGAAACAGACATTGGCGTTGACGAAAGTTTCTTCCGCTTGGGTGGTGATTCGATCGCAGCCATGCGACTCGCAGCCGCAGCTACCAAGAGCGGTGTTCAAATTTCCGTCCTGGATATCTTGACTCACAAGACAATTTCCAAGATTGCGGCCCTTGCAGATGGTCAGGTCGACGAGGCATACGCAACGCAGAGCCTAACAAGCTCGTCTGGTGGTGGAAGTGAGTCGCATGACAAGTTCTCCACTCACGGAGGCACTCCAACTCGTCTTGACATTGACCCTACTGAGGTCGAGATTGTCTATCCCATCACGGCAGCTCAAAAGGAGCTTATTCAAGCTTCGAAGAAAAGCCCTTCATCTGGTTACTACCACATTTCGCAAGTCCTTGAAGTCTTGTCTCGGAACGGCAATGAAAAGGTTGACGCTCAGCGCTTCCATAGCGCCTGGCAACAGGTCGTGGACCGACACCCCATCCTCAGAACTGTATTCGACGATACTTTGGGACAGATTGTTCTCAAGACATACAAGGCCGAAGTCACCTATATGAATCTAGAACATGCAGAGGACTTGGACAAGCAGAGTTTCACATTGGCTCTCGACAAGACCACTCCCCTACACCGTGTCACGCTGGCCAAGACTCCAACCGGACAGTTGTTCTGCCGTCTCGACCTTCACCACTCCATTACTGATGGATACTCTCTAATGACCATGTTTGAGGAACTTGCCAGCGCTTACCAAGGCGCACTACCACTTGGTAAAGGACCATCAATGCGCGACTATATCTCTCAAGTCGATGGTCTCGATCGAAACGCTGCCCTTTCTTACTGGAAGAGTATCATCCACGGACTAACCCAGATCCACCAATTCCCGCGCAAACAGAATCTCCTGGGCAACACGGCTCATACTAATCTTCGTGAGCTTCACACGCAGGTGCAGAACATTGCATTGCCTAATTTCTGCTTGGTCAATGACTGCACCATGCCTTCCCTCATATACGCGGCATGGGGGCTCGTTCTTTCTTCACTATGTGGCAATCAGCAACAAGATGTTGTCTTTGCCTACCTGACGAGCGCGAGAACTATTATTCCATCCGAGGCGCTGGGCTTCCTCGTCAACACGGTTCTACATCGCATCCCTGCAGATGGAGGATTGCCTCTCTCGGCTCTTCTCCAGCAATCACATGAGTCAGTCTTGAGCGCGCTACCATATTCCTACATAACCCCATCAGAACTGGGTGTTCAAGTCAGCTCGCTTGTCAATGTGCGCAAGTTTGACGACGAAGCTCTGGCTGCTCTCGACGCGAACGAGGAGGCCAGTTTGGCAACGAATGGTATCACATTCAAAGCAGCACCATCACCAGATCCCATGGCTGTAAGTAACTATAACTATACCCGAGGTGTTTTGTTTTGTGAGACATGTACTGACTTTTCTACTTGCAGTATGATGTCGTGGTTGCAGTGTCTGAGCTCGGCAACGGGACTCTAGACCTGACCCTTTCGTACTGGGATTCAGTGGTGGCTGAGGCTGATGCCCAGCAGGCTCTAGATTGTCTGAAGAATGTTCTTGGTTCCATGGGTCATGATAACAATGTGACTTGTGGAGATTTCATCAAGACGTTGGGTTAGAATATTGGGGTTTCACTTGTTTCCTTTGTTTGATCTTTCTATGGGCGGGTCACCAGGAGTTTAGGGTTCAAAGTTGGTTTTGGTGTTCTGGCGCCTCGGTTTCGGGTTACAAGGATTCAGGGCAAGTTTTTCGGTCTATATTTTTGGTTACCTCTGAGTCGTCTTTTCCATCTTTCAATTCTTATTTCATATGTTACTAGGAATAATTGAAATGCACAATAAAATCAAAAGTGCTACCAAACAGCTGTTCATTCGTTCGGGTGATAGATTAGTCCCAGTCTCCGATATAGCTGATGGAATCGACAATGTGAATATCTCGTCCGCTATAAAAGTTGGTACGTAGTAGGTAAGCTGCCACGCGCCACGGTAAGAGCTAGCAAAAGAGCTCAACGAGACGCTATTCGTTGGCTCAGGCGCCCACTTATAGCGAGAGTCGGGCGAGTTCCGCTGACATCATACGGGGAAAGGTATTGTAATAGTGTGCATGCCACTCGCTATGGCGCATGGAGATTAGAAGAGCCGAGCACCTGCGCGAGTCTGGGCTGGCTTCCAAAAAAGTTACCCCGCTACTCCGCAAATCGGCGGCTGGATGGTCAAGGCCCAAAATTTCATGTGGACATCGGACTCCGTGCTGATGGAGGAGGAATGGGACCCTTGGATGATTCCGACTGACTAGTGGTAGTTGTGTGTGACTCTTCTTTTGCCTGAATAAAGTCAATTGAGAGCTATTCTGGTCATTATCATCATATTCACTTCATTTGGTTGTCTTGAGTCTTGGTTTTCAAACATCAACTATTCCAATTGTCACCTCAAAGCGACCGACTAACCCGGCATCTCCATCACCGACTACCATGGCGCCTTTCCCTCCCCCGCCAGTCAACACCATTGACTGGTCCAACGTCGGCTTCCGCGTTCGCGAAGGTAAGCAATCGACCTCGTCATGACTGGATATATCCTCGGACTATACTCCTGGCAGCCTACTGACTCTTTGTCCGCGCTCTCCAGTCAATGGACACGTCGAGTGCCACTACTCGGTCAAGACGGGCAAGTGGACTGCTCCCCAGTTCGTCACGGACCCCTTCATCCGCATCCATGGCATGGCACCTGCCCTGAACTACGGCCAGCAGGCCTACGAGGGTCTCAAGGCTTTCCGCACCCCCTCGGGCGACATTCAGATCTTCCGCCCCGACCGCAACGCAGTCCGCCTGCAGCACTCGGCCTCCTTCATCAGCTGCCCGCCCGTGCCGACTGACCTGTTCCTCGACGCCGTCAAGGCCGCCGTCGCTCTCAATGCCGAGTACGTGCCTCCCCACGAGACGGGCGCCGCCATGTACATCCGCCCCCAGATCTACGGCTCCAGCGCCCAGCTCGGCCTGAGCCCGCCCGAGGAGTACATGTTCTGCGTCTACGTCCTGCCCACTGGTGTCTACCACGGCACCCACCCCGTCGACGGCCTGATCCTCGACGAGTTTGACCGCGCCGCCCCGAACGGCACCGGTAGCGCCAAGGTTGGAGGCAACTACGCCCCCGTGCTGCGGTGGAGCGACCGCGCCAGGACCGAGGGCTACGGCATCACCCTTCACCTCGACAGCGCCACCCACTCCGAGGTCGACGAGTTCAGCACGAGCGGTTTCATTGGTGCCCTGACCGACGGCGAGAATGTGACTCTTGTTGTACCCGACACCAAGAACGCCATCCAGAGTGTAACTTCGGAAAGCATTACTTCTATCGGCGAGAGCTTTGGCTGGAAAGTCGAGCGCAGACCCGTAAGTGAATCAAAATCCTGCTTGTGTGCGGCGGCTCGGTAAAAAGTAGAACATGTCAAAACTGACCAGGGCACAAGATCAAATACACGGAGCTCCCTCAATTCTCTGAGGTCATGGCTGCAGGAACCGCCGCGGCGCTGGTTCCCATTCGGTCGATCTCGCGGCGCTTTGACCCCGCAGCACCGGATTCCATCAGCTCGGCCGTCAAGCAGCACCCTCGCTTATCGACGGAAGGCAAAGTGGAAAAGGTTGCCTACATCCCAGCCAGCCAGGAGGACGCCGGCCCCATTTGCGTCAAGCTGCTTACTCAGCTCAAGGGCATCCAGCTTGGCAAGGTCAAGGACGAGTTCAACTGGTGTGCGGCTGTGAGCGAGGCCGACACGCAAAAGGCCACCGGCGTCCCCAAGGTTACGAATGGCAACGGCCACACCATTGATCAGATGGATTAGGCCAATCCCATGCCCCGTTGAAGCAGCGTCAGTTCCGCATGAGTTCTGGATTACCCAATTTCATGACCGAATCTCCAAGTACGAAGGATAAAAAAGTATTTTGGAGAAGAAAAAAGCAAGAGAGACGGCCTCAGAGGTCCGGCGATTAAAATTACTACCCTAGAATACTTTAGAACGATTCTTTAGCTCACGTCATTAGAATACATTCCTCTTCACAATGCGCTGTTGGCTCTTTTCGCTCCCGGATAAGTAGCAAGTATCGATGCTATAATGTCTTGTCCATTGTTTGACAGATCTGCATAAACGGGACATGACAGGTCGAGCAATGGTGTAGCCAGTGCATCGGTCAAGATCCCAGCAGGCACCGAAAGAGCCTCGTATAATGTGCTGAGGCTATTTGGCCCAAATGTCTTTGCAATCTCTAGGGAAAAGCAAATCAAGTTATTGCCCTCGAGCAAGGTGGCCGAATTCAGCAAGCCACCGGTAATGTTGGAAAGGTCCAGCCCGGTAAAGGTATTGACCTGGCCTGTATTTCCGCCAATGTCCAGCAGAAATGGATGTTTCTTTGACCATTTCAACAAGTCGAGGTTGAGATCCACCAAACCCCAAGGAACAGGACGTCGATACCAATCATCTGGCATTCTCTCGTGACCTCTGTGGTACACCATTCCAGACTCGCCAGTCTCATTGTCAACGACAGCAAAGAAGGACTTGAACATGGCCTTGGCTATTCAATCATTAGTGAAAGCTTTCCTTATCGTGGACATGATAACGGAGCTTGAACTTACTAATGACACCGTCCAGACTGCCCTCGGAGTAATTACTCATTGTCCGCGACGTCAGCGCGTACCCACCCGTCCGGGGCAAATATCCAGTCAATGGGCCGTACCAAAAGTACGGATTGGTAGCAACCCCTTCCTGCCACCGGGCCGCCGAGATGTCACCCACGTCGTCAAACGTGAGCGGCGAGTCGACGCCATTTGCGCCCCATAGATACACCTCGAGAAACTTGGTCATGTTCATGTCCCACGCGTTGCCCGTCACGTACAGGTCGTCGCGCGTCAGCGACCCGTCCGTCTCGATGAAATTGTGGCTGCCGTCGAGGCCGCGGGGCTCGCCTAGTAGCAGTACGCCGTCGACGAGGTTGGTGACGCGCGGGTCGACGCCGCCAATGGAGAATTGGGGATCAAGTGAGGCCGGGTTGCCCGTGAAGACGAGTGCGAGCGTGATGAGGACGACGGCGAGGTCAATGTTCATGTTGTAAACTGGGTTTTCCAGGCCGGGTTTGATCAGCTCATTGATTTGCAAAATAGCTCCAGCAGGAAAAAGATCCGGAGCCCGAGGATTCTGGTATTCTTACCCTCGTGTACCGCGATGAGCAGCTCCGTAAACGTCGTGATGCCGGTATGCGCAATGTAGCCGTGGTTCGCCAGCGCATTGAGACCCGGACACGGCCCGCGCTGATCACCGGCGTCAAAGTCGGGCGCGGCAAAGGCGTGTTTGCCCCCGACATTAACGGGCTGGGTCACGTCGCGCTGGACGAGGGTGCCGTTGATGGCTCGCTCGTGGATGCGCGCAATGGTCTCGCGCAGGCCGAGAAGCGCGCCATCGTTTCTGGATGTATGGCTTGCGATGTGACTGAGTGACGGAAAGCAGAAACTTGAAGGGATCGACAGGATCGCCAGAACTGAACAATACGTAGGAAATCGCATTGTTGTGAGGTCTCGTCATAAGTCGCAAAGTAGGAGTTGAGCAGCGACTAGTGAAGAATACAGACAGCACTGAATACATCTTGACGAAGAAATCATTCACGAGTCGACCGTCGTGACTAATACACGGAATGCGACTGTACTCGTCTGTGTCCCCCTTGGACAGCACGGAAAACGGCTGGCCCTTGCAGCCGGGACTCTACATGTAGATGTATAATGATGACTGAACGAAAGGGGAGACTTTTCTGAAGATCATGATGCATCTTGAATATTGCATCTTTGCATGAGCGTGCAGATGACAGGGGTTTGTATGCAGTGCGGCCGTTGCGTCCGGATTTGTTCAACTGTGCCGCGCAGAAGCAGTCATGTTTCATTTCTATCTCCAGGGCTTTTGAGGTACGAATGCAAGTGATGCTTGTTTTAATGATGGCAAAAAGAGGTGAGATCTCCGGAAGACACTATTAGTAAGACATGAGTATATATTAGGTCTACACCTATCATAACTGTGACGCATCAACCATGACATTGTGCCAGACGCTATTTATACTGCAAAACTCTTCTGGCCGGCATTTCTTTTTCAGACCAGGGCAGAATCTCAAAGAGACACTTTTCAGAGACAGCCTACATAAATGTTGAATGTAGCGCAGGATTACTTGAATAGTATCTTGCTCAGTACGTCGACGCCTCGCGGATCAGCCAATTGTGGGAAATTTCAAATCTCGAGTTCAAAAGCTTGAATGAAGAGACGCCTTCCTTTCCAGACCGGCAACAACACACTGCTGATGATGGGCAGAGAGTAGGATATATGCTGTCGTGTAAACGTATGTGACCAGTGAGACCTCACGCCGAGCAGCGTATTCAGTCAATTGAAACGGTCAATGGAACACGAGATGTGATCCACATATCAATATTTTAAATGGATTAAATATTGTGTTTTCATTCATGGCAATGCGATGCCAATGAGCAGCTTGCGCAAAAATATGTACAAATCGCAATGCAACACAATAAGGTTCTATGAGAACCGAAAAAAGGATGAATATATTTATTGATATGTCGCAGCACCGTTCAATATCATGACAAAGCTCCAATTAGTGCAGATACTCCATGCATCTAGTCCGCTAGCATGTCATGTATAACCTAAATGCGAGGGAAGATCAGGTTTCCGAGTACCTTGCAGGCTCGTCGTAGTTGAGAGAGCCTGGGCCAGAGTCTTTGTAGGTAGTTGTCCCCATGAAATCCTAGATCGTCAAGAATACTTTTTCCTTCTTACTGCGAAGCTCAGAATTCCAAGACCGTTTCCTCCAAAGACACGCATCCATATTTGTGATGAACATGTCAAAGCAAGAACCCATAGCGTCCACAAAGCAAAAGTCGCCCAACATCACCCTATAACGCGATATCATGGCTGTCACGCAAGTCATCATTGGCTTCTCCCAGCATATCCTTTCGATTATTTTCATAGTCGCAGACATCATCGCCACCGCATGCGCGTTTGTCGAAACACTTCTACCTTGGGCCTTTGATCTCCCCAGCACAACCACCTTTCGCGCATTCACTGATCTCTCCGCGATAACGGTTGCCCCGGACTTTGCTCCGGATTTTGCCGACACCATCCCCGAATATGCGCAGTATGCTCGAGTGTCGGCTTTGGTCTGGCTGTTGAGTGCACCGTGCTTGGCCATCGTGGAAGCAAGGTTGGACTTCTTCAGGTCACCCGTTGGGACGCTGCTTCATCCTTGGACCAAGAAGAGCAGGCGTGTGGCTTGTGTCATCATGGCCGTGCGGATATGGCTGCTCCTGGCCACATATAATGCCATCGTGTCGCAATTTTTTCAAACTGGAGACCTCCTTCGCTTTGCGGTCACAGTGCCTTTCTGCGTCATGTCGCTATGATGATAAATGGGGAAATTCGGCATGGCGAGGGACATTTCCTTGGACAGGGTTATTTCTTGATTTCAGCACGGGGCTGGGAAAGGCCGAACAGCTTTGCGGGGTGGATTATTGGCAACTACTGTGTACTGATGAGCCTCGAGTATTCATGCATTATTACATTACTCTGAAATGAAAGTCGTTTCGTGTTGGAATAGGAAGGGCACATGTACGTGACAAATGTGATTTCGTTCGAATTATTCGATACGTAGGCCCCATGCCCAGCCAGTTTACTTCTTGGGTGATTTCAAGCCAGCCTTTAACTCCAAAGCTTACGTTGAAATGTATGCTGTAGTCGAGAACCAATCGTTATGTAGAAGAAACGTTTATTCATCAAGTTGACAGAATCGGTGTTAAATACCCATAGAAAAAGGAACTGGGCATTTGGAGTACGTGTGTGTTTTTCTCGGTAGCTGAAGTGGGTAAGTACCAAAAGATTCTCCCGTCAAGTTCCCGAACGAATTTTCTTTCCGACTTTGCCTTCTGAGGCATGGTATTTCATTGGAGAAGATGATCTAGAGCCGTCTGTCCTTTGCTACGTTCCTGCAAGGGGTAATGAGACCGATTTTGTCGATGCGGTTGACGAGATCGTCGCTGCAGCTAGGGTGAACGAAAATTGGCTTAGCCAACTAGCAAAAATGGTTTTGATCTGAACGGAAAGGTAAAAATAGTTATCGGGAGAGGTTAAATACTTTGGCCATTGGCTATTGTGTCTGCGCTATTCAAGTTTGGTCTATAACCGGGCTCGCGGGCCATACAGTCTGATACATAAGCGTGTGACGGGGAAATCGGTTTCGAGATCCAGAGTAACTTCTCACCCTCTCACCCTTCTCCAGCGAATCACATCCGAGTGTACAACAGGTTTTGCTCCTTGCCATGTTCTGCCTTTGATTAAATGTGCCAAGACACGATGGCCGAGTCTAACACCCTACGTACATGCGATGCAGACCCCTATATGCAAGGCAGCCCTATGCTATGTCGAAAATTTGCCGGTCCACTCATCACAGTGTTTCATGGACAGGGAAGGGGTTGAGATTTTTTTTTTTTCCCCATGGACATGTTCTCGCCTCTTGTTCCCCGAATATCGGGCACCAAGTTGGTGGAGAGGGCAATGGCCACAGTCTCATTACGGGTAGAACATGCGAATTCCTTGGCTCTATTGTTATTAACAACATCTCATGAATCTACTAACGCAAACGTAATGCTGTGAGAACGATAGCAGGAAAATAAACACTTGGTGGTGCATGTCTGATGTGTTTCTGCGCAATCATAGGCTTTCCTTCTAATTTACTTACTTGGCTTGTGTTAGATACAGCCAAACCAGACATGTCGCCTTGCATTCATGTCCGGATATAGCGACTCCAAGACACAAGCCCTAGGCCCTATGTGTGTATTTTTTCTCATACATGCTTTTTTTTTTTTTTTTTTCCCCCGGGGAACAACTTTGTGGGTTGATAACCTCTAGTATCATGTCGGTCAATCTCTGTCACATAAAATCTGCAATTCAAGAAGTGCTTACTAATATTTTGAGTAATAAGAATACCATTCCTAGTACAACTGTACGAGGTGAATTTTGTCACATTCATAATATACGAGCGAGAAAAAGGAAAAATTTACAACCGGAGATTGTGGTCAGCAGGGCACCGATGGACGCTATACTATGTCGGATTTTGCGGAGCTTACTGGCCAATCTGCGTAGTGCTATACTAGAATGTGAAGAGTAAAGTTGGGGATAAACAAACTAGGGGTCTGAATTGTGATACGCTGGACGAGTGGGTACGGGGATTCTCCCTTCTCGAGTATAGAATTCTGGGCGCCCCATGGACAAACAAAAACAAGCGCGGAATTCCAGACGGTCCCTGCGTTGCGAAGAGTCCAGGATCAATCTCTTGAGCGAATAAATCTGTGCATTTGCCGCAGTACAAACCTTGAAATCTGGAGCCTCGGAGCTTGCCGTACTCACGCTACTACTATTACCTACCTACCCGTTCACTCAATGTGGGATGGGGGGGACACTGCTGCTGCGGGATTTCCAAAAAGGAGCGGGAAAGTCAAGTGAGGAGAGAGGAGGCCTCCCTCCAGAAAGCCACTCGTCAACAACTAGTAGCTACATTAGGTAGTCCTCGGCTGCCCTAGCTCACGGTCAATTGCTGTCATGCAGCATGAGATATGGGTGTCTGCAGAGAGCGCGCGGGGTGATAAAACAAATAACAAAATCAATGATGAAGGAGGACACCCTTTTGAAAATGGAGTGTTTCTTTTGATTCTAATTTCCTTCATTCATTGGGGAAAACTCTCAGTACGTAAGAGCCTGAGGAGAAACGTTGCTCACCAACACTTGACCTGATCTGGGGGGTGGGTGCGGCCTTGAGATTTGGATTCCAGACTAGAAAGAGATGTGTTAAGTCCGAGCATCCGGCTACGCGCTGTCTGATTGGCTCAGAGCGGCAGCTCCGGTCATATTCATTCACATTCGGTGGAGCGCCCATTTGGCTTGTATCAAGCTTTTCCAAGCTGCGTAATCCGATTTCCCCTACGACTCGACATGCCGGAACAAGGATATGTCAGGCATCACTAGCAAATGTCGAAAAGAGTCCACAGCTCTAGCTTCGGATGAGCTTAATCGACCTCTGTCACACCGCTGAAAGTTCTCGAGTGACGTTCATGGAACTGGCCCTCCTCGTCAGCATCACTTGTCGGCACGAGCAACCCAGAAGCATCCGACGCTCCAGACTTCAGCGTCGTTGTAACACTGCAAAGTGAGACGGATAATTCAGCTTGAATGTGATTCAACAATGAGGATGGGAGGGGAAACAATCCAAGGCAATAATAAGCGATAAAGGCACATTCAAGATGCATATCTCGACTTATTGCGAATCTGCCTCCTATGAGGAGTAGAACCCCTGATCATCTTGCCCGATCGGGTCTTTCCCGACCAATAAGCAGTCCACGTTTTCGTCTCTGAGGTCGACAAGTGGGTAACAAAGCTACAGAGCACAATGTACGTACCTCTTTCGAGCTGGTGGAAACTTGAATCGGGTCGCTACGTTGAAAGGTATGCGGGGGTCGACATGCCGCTGGAGCCTGTATGGAACATGGCTTGAACTTTGCTCCCAGACCAAGGCCAGACCTCTTTCAGTCTCTGGCGCAGGAGCACAGTTGCACCTCGTTCTGTGGATCGCGGTTCGGGGTATCTTGTCCAGTGGTTTGCCATAGATATCATGTTCGCAAAATACATTATCATAAGGCTCTGACACATGCATTGAGCATGGGTGCGGCTCTGGTCTCCGAAGCCGTTGGATCGATGGGCAGGCAAATTTCCCTGCTCTTCGGGTCTGCCGCCACGGCGGGTGGCCCATGGTTTTCCATGTTGTATTAAGGGCACCCTGCGCGTCCTCACATGATTTTCCCTCGTGCTCTTCCTGCTCCTGTCTACTCGAGATTGCTCTTACGTACATCTGGCCGCTGTCGTTGGTCGACCAAGGTAAAATTACGTTGCTCCAATTGTTGCATTTCCGTGTCTCCTTGCGAAAAAGGGAAAAAGGGCAGCAGTAATGGTCACACAACCAACGACGATCCGCATCGCCGATGATGCCAACGAGCCCGTCAAGCCCGACCTCTCTGCACGGGCCGGTGGCATCTACGATGTCCGCGCTCTGTCTCGGGTCGGCACCTCTGCCAGCCGCCGCAGCTCCTCCCGCCACTCCCAGAACAGGCGGCCCGAACAGGACGGCGATGTAGAAGATGGCGATTGGCGCCCCGAGGATGGCGGTCGCAAGAAGCAAATCTTCAAGGGAACGACGTTGCTTTGGTAAGCTAATTCACACGCCTCGATACATGAAAAGCGCTCTTCTGAGGATCAGTCTACTAATACTCATCTTTTTAGGCTGGCCTACCAATCTACTGGTGTAATCTACGGTGATATTGGAACGAGGTATGTCTACATATTCCATGGTGTTGATGCTGATCACTTGTGACTAACACAATCTTTTTCAAGTCCCCTTTACGTATACTCGTCCACGTTCACCTCGGTCCCAAATTACAATGACGTCCTCCAAGTTCTGTCCCTCATTATCTGGTCGCTCACAATCATGGTCACACTGAAATATGTGGTGATTGTTCTTCATGCCGACAATGATGGTGAGGGAGGAACATTCAGTTGTTACTCGCTACTTACCAGATATGTAAGTGATACGATCTTTTGAACTGGGAATACTTCGTCTTCAGCTGCTAAACGGTATTTCTCAGGCCAACATCACACAACGCGACCCGCGTGAAGCTCTCTTGGTAAAGATGGAACGTATCAAAACCCAGGACCTGCACGATTCGAGCAAGAAAATTCGGTCCGGCATGGAAAAGAGCCCGTTCATTCGCGGCCTGCTAAAGTTCATTGGAGTGCTGGCTGTATCCATGGTCATGGCTGATGGAGTTCTTACTCCTGCCCAGTCTGTCCTCGGCGCGGTCCAGGGTCTCAATGTCGTCAGTCCCGATATCTCGACTTCGACTGTTGTTGGCACCACTTGCGGAATTCTGGTGGTTTTGTTTGCCATTCAACCGTTTGGAACCGCCAAACTTGCCAACTTCTTCGCACCCATTGTCATTTTGTGGCTGGGCTTCAACGCCGGTTTTGGTATCTACAACCTCATCAAGTTCGACCATTCCGTTCTCAAGGCCTTTTCGCCATATTTCGCAATCGAGTTCTTCCGCGAGAAGAAGACTGAGGGCTGGAGAATGCTTGGAGGTGTTCTGCTTGCCTTTACGGGTGTCGAGGCCCTCTTTGCAGATCTGGGAGCATTCTCACTCCGTGCTATTCAGCTTAGCTGGCTGTGCTATTGTTATCCGTGTCTGCTCCTGGCCTACATTGGTCAAGCCGCCTACATCAGTGTGCACCCAGAGGCCTACTCCAACCCGTTCTATAACGCGGTGCCCCCAGGAATGCTCTACCCTAGCTTGGTTCTGGCAGTGCTTGCTGCAATTGTGGCATCGCAGGCCATCATTACCGCAACTTTCCAAGTAAGATTACACGTTCTTTTCAATCCATTATTCCCTTGCTAACAAAATTACAGCTCACCAGCCAGATCATGAAGCTATCCTACTGTCCTCAAGTCAAGGTTGTCCACACATCCAAAAAGTTCCACGGCCAGCTCTACGTACCTTTCCTCAACTGGATCCTCATGGCCTTGACTATCCTTGTCACTGGAGTGTACAACAATACCACAAGTCTAGGTAATGCTTACGGGTATGATTCTTCACTGTTCATCCCATCTATGACTTTTCAACTTACAATTCTTTAGTGTCTGTGTCATGTTCGTCACCTTTTTCGACACATGCATGGTGACTTTGGTTGCCCTGATTGTCTGGAAATGGCCAGCCTGGGTCGTCTTCCTCCCGTGGCTCTTCTTTGCCACCTTTGACGGCCTCTACATCTCCTCGTCGCTAGTCAAGGTGCCCGACGGCGCTTGGTTGACCCTGACCATATCTGGAGTCCTCGCCTGTCTGTTCCTGCTCTGGCGTTTCGGCAAGGAGAGCCAATGGCGTGCAGAGGCCGAGGACAGATTCAAGCCTTCGACCTTGATCACCAAGGATACTGATGGTGGCCTTTCATTGTCTGACCGCTGGGGCGGCGGCTCTCTCAGCAGGATCAAGGGCTTGGGTATTTATTTTGACAAGACTGGAGTCCTGACGCCCACGGTCTTTACACAGTTTGTGTCAAAGTTTGGCGCCATCCCCGAGACCATGGTATTCTTCCACCTGCACCCCGTCGAGGCGCCGACCGTGCCAGATGCCGAGCGGTACTCGGTCTCGCGGCTGGGTGCCATTCCCGGATGTTACAGACTTGTCATTAGCCATGGATACATGGACGAAGTCATTTCACCAGATCTCGCACTACTAGTGTACGAGCAGGTCCGAAAGTTCATCGTCCGCCAAGCCTGCTCCGAGGCTCTGCCCGACGAGACGGAAGCGCCCGAGGAGTCGGTCGCCACGTCGACGAGCTACGACCAGGGCGTCGCCGAAGGTATTAGAACGACAACGGCAGCCTCGTCTTCGGGAGGAGACGAGGATGAAAAGGGCAAGGTCCGCGAGCCAGCCGAGCTTACCAACGAAAAGGTCAAGGAAGAGGTGGCGCATCTCGACCGTGCCTTTGCCAACAAGGTCATGTACGTGATTGGCAAGGAGCAAATGCGCATCAAGACATCGACGCGTCTCTTCCGCCGGGTGCTACTGGCAACATTCCTGTGGATCCGCGAGAACACACGCGCAAAAATTGCGAATCTGAGACTCTCCATGGACAGAGTCGTCGAAGTTGGATTCGTCAAGGAAATCTAAGTTTTTTGTCTTTTTTCTCTTTTTTTCTAATCCTGTTGCAGTTGATGACATGAGCGCCCGGAGTTTGGTCACAAAGTATTAAAGATACCATCTACAAATATCATGACAAACAATATAGAGAAAATATATTGAATCTTTCCAAACATATTGTTAAACGGGACAATGGCAAGCCGAAGCTTGGATATCTGTGAGCGGCTCGTAGAGGCATTTGCCAAGAGCCTTGTTTCGGCTGTAGAGACACAGCAAATTAGACTTTTGTGTAAGGGACCAACACCGTAGAGATGCATATCTTAAATGGCAAAGCGTCAATGCCATCCCTTTCTTCAATTTCGCTACTCCAAATTTTAATCTAGCCCTGCTCATGCAAACATTCATAGTGTTTCTCAATGAAACAAGAATTCTACATTGAAATAGGGTACAATCCAGGGAGAGCTCTTCGGATTACTTCCCTGGTGCGCGACGGGCCGAGCAGCATCAATTCAACGACATTCCTGAAATAGGGGACATAGCGTAATCTGAGTCATAGCTAGCCATCATAGCATTCCTGTAGTTGTAAGGTAACGAGATGGGCATTCCTTGGTCGAATCGTCTGTTTCAAAATAGCCTCCCTTCCTCGAGGCTTGGTATTTGTACAAAATCATTCTCGTAGGCACTTGTTTGCTGCCCAACTCCATGTTCTTCTAAACGGTGTGGCTTTCTAGAGCGTTGAGCTCAACAGTCAAAATGGATTACCAAATCACCGCACGATTACGGATGGCTATACGCTTGTTTGCCATCGCAGTATTTGTTGGCCTCGTCCAAGGACAAGGCTTCTATCTCGAACCTTTTACATGCACAAGTGCTCAGAATTGGGTCGATCTCGGTTGTTACGATGCGACAGGCACCCAACCTTTCACCTTTGCGGTGCAAAATGGGTACAAGAGTGAGGATCCTTCGCGAGCCTATGCCAACTACAACATTGGCGGAAACAATATCAACAGTACCGTAACTCCCAATTTCTGTACCCAGGCCTGCCGCGCCCATGGCTTCCGCTACGCCTCTCTCTACGACCGTCAATGTCGCTGTGGAACCGCCCTCGGCACAAGTTTCTTCGGCAAAAGGTCTTCAGATCAGACTTGCTACTCCCAGACTCTGTCCACGGACGCAACCCCCTGCAGTGGTGACAGGTCGGAGAACTGTGGTCAAGTTTCTGGAAATACCAAGGCTAGAATCTTTGTCGACCCTTCGTTTGAGGCAGAACAGAACCCAGCATCCATAGATACTGCCGGCCTGGCCTCGTCTTATGGATATCTGGGTTGCTTCAACAAACCCAACTTGCCGTCTGATGACCCAAACAGGGATACGCTCCAGGCAAGCCCTCAGGCCTGTTTCGAAAATTGTGCCAGATATGGATTTCCATTGACATATGGTAAGCATTATAGCAAGAAGGCAAAGTACTTGTCAATCAAGCCTCTTCTTTGCCAAGACTTGTAAAGCGTCGTGGAAATAGAGCTGACCGACTCGACAGTGAGTTGCCAAAAACACATGTTTCGTAACGATTAATAGCCGATTCTAAGACTCTTCTACGCCTCAGATGTATTACAACGGAAAGTGAGTTCTCTTTACCGATCAGATTGACATGGTTGACTAAAAAAAGGATTACAGCAACCAGGTGAAATGCGAGTGCGGTACTGACTTTGGAGTGTCAGCGCGATCGTATGATGACAGCGTGAATACCCAGAATAACAAGAAGTGCGATTTGTCCTGCTCAGCCAGCGGCACACAGTGAGTAATGACACCTGCATATGACAAGAGAGTACAAATGCTGAATCAGCTTCAAGTGGTTGCGATCCGACAACTCAGAGGTGCTGCGGAGATGCTAACTTCCAGATTTATCCGGTATACGCCAATCCAAGGCTCATGGGTTGTCATATCCCTCGAATTCCCGGTTACTACCAGATAGAGGCCAATGGAGGACCCGCAACACCTATCCAAAACTCATACTCCTGTATCGCCACACCATACAGTTTGTCCTCGCGGCGGTCCTCTTCAGTGGCCTATGCCAGCACCGTTGGAACCGTTACGCGCTCCGCCAGCTTTGTCGGGACGGCCACGGCAACGCGGGGCGCGTCAACTCTGAGTTATGTCCAGTACGGTTGCTACGATGGCGCCGTGAGTTCAGCACTGTCCTACAATGGTGCAGTGGCCACGGTTGAGGCATCCGTCACGAACGTCGACGTGGACAAGTGTGTGCAATACTGCGCCAGTCAAAGCAAGGACTGGGCCGCCGTTGGTGGTTCCCGGTCCAGCACTAGATGTGTCTGCGGAAGCACCTTCGGAACCGGCTCGGGACCAATTGCCATGGACTATTGCAATGAGCCGTGCCAGAATCCCGCCGTTGCACAAAATTGTGGTGACGCCAACAGATTCATGGCCTACGCCGTTGCCGCATCTGCGACTGGAGGTCAATGGTATCAGGCTTGGTCGTCGTCAATCACCACCCGCCTTGTACGTATTACCAGATCCTTTCAGGGCCAGACTTGTAGTCTTTAGCCTTTTGACCGACATTGCTGACTGACATGATTGCATAGTATGGCTGTACTGGAAGTGAGTTATAGTAGCCGTCTGTTGGGTTTTCCGCAACCAGTGACACTTGTTTCAGAGAGCCTTCTACTGACTGGTTGAGCAGCTACACCTTCTCTGTCGGGAGGGCCAACGTCGACATCAAGTTCATCGGCGTCATCCAGTGCCGCTAGTTCCACTACTACTACGAGTACTTCTTCAAGTGTCTCTTCAAGTGTCTCTTCGACTGCCTCTTCAAGTGCCTCTTCGACTGCCTCTTCGACTGCCTCTTCGACTGCCTCTTCAAGTGCCTCTTCGACTGCCTCTTCAAGTGCCTCTTCGACTGCCTCTTCGACTGCCTCTTCGACTGTCTCATCCTCGGTCGCGTCCTCGACAGCCTCAGCTTCCTCATCGGCGCCTTCGTCGGCATCTTCAACAGCTTCCTCGTCTGCTTCCTCATCGGCTTCTTCCTCAGCTTCCTCATCGGCCTCATCATCGGCCTCCTCGTCGGCGTCTTCATCGGCTTCTTCCTCAGCTTCTTCCTCGGCTTCTTCCTCGGCTTCTTCCTCGGCTTCTTCCTCAGCCTCCTCTTCGGCTTCTTCCTCAGCTTCCGCGTCAGCTTCCGCGTCAGGTTCCTCATCAGCGTCTTCATCGGCGTCTTCATCAGCTTCCTCAACTGCTTCCTCACCTGCTTCCTCGTCGGCTTCCTCGTCGGCTTCCTCGTCGGCTTCCTCTTCCTCTCCCTCTCCCTCTCCTTCCTCTTCTCCCTCATCCTCTCCCACGTCTGCTTCAATCACGTCCTCCCCTACCTCTCCTTCCTCATTCACATCCACGGCCACATCGATTTCTTCGAGCTTCACAAGCACATCACCAAGTTCATCAGTCGCGCCAACAAGTACACCAACTAGTTCACCGACCAGCAGTAGTCCCTCGTCAACGAAACCCTCGACCACCAGCAGTCCTTCGTCATCAACATCTTCAACCACGGCGTCTAGCCCGAGTAGCACGCCATCTAGTGCTGCAACCACATCTTCAAGTGCCTCATCCACCTCAGGTGCTTCATCTACCTCAAGTGCTTCATCCACTTCAACTGGCCCATCCAGTGGGTCGAGCGCGACAAGCGGCAGTAGTACGCCGACTCTGTCAAGCACAGCCTCAACTTCTTCAAGTGCAGTGAGCTCCGGAGCATCTACGATCAGCTCGCCAAGCACGTCTGCCACAACTTCCTCGTCCAGCAGTTTGTCATCTGGCAGCTCCTCACCCACAACACCCAGTTCAACGCCTAGTACAACACCCACATTTTCAAGTCCAACATCAAGCCCGTCATCAAGCAGCGTATCAAGTAGCAACGCTTCTTCTTCTTCGGGTGCTACAAGCTCCGCAGCGTCTACTGCTAGTTCAGCAAGCACAGCTACGACAAGCTCATCCAACAGCTCGCCATCCAGCAGTTCGCCATCCAGCATACCGTCCAGCAGTTCGTCCAACGGTTCGTCCAGCAGTTCGTCTACCGGTTCGCCTGTTGTTTCTCCAACTTTGCAGTCAACCACTACGACCACTTCCAATTCGCCCAGTTCGTCCGGTTCGTCCGGTTCTGTATCAACAACAACAACACCGTCAACAGTACCTACATCTTCTGTCTCGACCATCTCATCATCCTCACCATCCTCGACTACTCCTTCCACTGGATCGTCGACAGGACTGTCAGCATCGGGGTCTTCTAGCTCGACCACGACCAACTCTCCTACCTCGGCTGTCTCCCCAACAACCTCTCCCTTGGCTCAGAGTTCAACCTCGACCGGCTCTTCCGTCTCAACCGGCATTGCATCTTCTAGCGCCGCATCTAGCGTTGTAGGCACTTCTTTTGCGACGCCCAGTCCTTTGACGTCTTCGACTGCTATTTCTCAAGCTAGTGGGTCAACGATCCAGACTGATGCTACGTCGCCTGGTTCATCGGCTTCAAGCACGGGCGGAAATCCAGATGGATCGCCAACATCCTCGCTTACAGTCACCGGGCCGACCGCAGGAACCTCGACGAGCTCAGGCGTGGTGATTGTCACTGTGACTCCTGGTACAACACCCACCTCTATCGTCACTGGGTCAGTTGCTGGAACGTCGACAGTGCCGGCAAGCGGCTCGAACCCGGGCCAAGTGATCGTAACGATTGTCCCCTCGACGACCACTGGCTCCGTTGCAGGAACCTCGACAATTCCTCCAAGCAATGGAGATTCTGGTGGTGTGATTGTTACAGTTGTTCCAGGGGCTACTTCCATAGTCACTGGTCCAGCTTCAGGGACATCTACGGGGCCGAATGGCGAGGTAATCCAGACTGTGGTGCCCACGACCGTAACTGGCTCGACTCCAGGGACAACTACGATAGCGGCGAGCGGATCCAATCCTCCTGCCGTTATTGTGACTGTCGCCCCTGGTGCGGCTAGCACAGAAACTGGCGTGGCTTCATCATCTTCCGACAACTTCTCAGCCAGTTCTGTGGGTCAAGGCACAAGTGATTCAGCTTCCTCAAGTTCTTCCATTGGTTCAAGTGCGCCAACCAGTTCTTCAGGCTCGAATCCCAGTACTTCCGGTTCTGGTGCCAGTCCATCAGTCAACCGCTCAAATACGCCCGGGGACACTTCGTCACCAGGGTCTGGACCCTCTTCAACAGCTGCCCAAGGCTCAACGGGCTCAGCAGGCTCGCCACAAAGTCAAGTAACCACCAGTGGTACTGTCTCTGGTGTCCCAGCTTCCAGCATCAGTACCACTTCGGCCACGTCTTCAGACTTGACTTCAGACACAACTTCCTCCACCCGTCCTACAGTGACTATGGAATCTCAAGAAGTCAAATCCTTCAATGCAATTTTCGACGAGGACAACGTCGAACCCGGGACGGCCGAGTTCGCTTCCCTTGCGGTGTTCGATCCAAACACTGGCGCAGTTATCGGCAGCGAAACATTTGTTATTCAATATGTCGGCTGCTACGGACTGCCAGCAGGCTTAAGTCCCTTTGTGGGAGACAACGCCACGGACAAATATAGAAATGATACGACGGCTGGTGACACTGCATCCAACTGTGCCAGTTATTGTGCCAGCAGTGGCGAGTCGCTCTCCTCGAACAATCAAGGTGTATGTTTCTGCGGAGAAACCGTGGCACCAGGATACCCTGGCGATGACCGGACGAATTGTCAAGAGGAATGCCCCGGTGATAAGAGCCAACGATGTGGTGGTGGACAAACATCCAAACGAGACGGCTTCAGTTATTTCAATGTCATTCTCGCACTGCGGCAGAGCGAAGTGGAAGTTGTGGAAGTCGGTCAGAACAGCTCAACCTCGATTGCCTCGCCGACCGGCACCGAGAGCGTGACCAATACAGCTGCATCCTCCGGCATCAATACTGGTACTGGCTCTGAGAGCTCAAGTAACACGGCTGCGGCCTCCGGTACCAATACTGGTTCTGGAAGCTTGAGCAACACAGCTACCTCTGGTGCTAATCCCAGTACAGTCACTGGGAGCTTCAGCAACACGACTGCTTCCTCTGGTTCCAGTACTGGCACTGGCTCTGAGAGCTCCAGCAATACAGCCATTTCCTCTGGTATCAATACTGGAACTATAACCGGATCAGACACTGGGCCTGGGGCATCAACGGCATCAACAGCTTCAGGGGAACAAAGTCCAGGTGCATCTGCATCAGGCTCGTCTTTCGAATCAATGGAGAGCCTGTCTGCCTCTGGCTCTACTGGAGCTTCAGATTCGAATGCCTCTTCAACAGGCTCTGGAGTATCCGGTAGCGGTGTGACCAACACGGGGCCAACCTCTGGCAGTTTGACCACAGGAAGCTCCGGACCAACATCAAGTAACGATTTCAACACCGGTACTAGTCCTGGCGGCTCTATCCCTGAGACCACGTCACCAACAAACAATCAGAGCGTCACACCTGGAGCTACCATATCAAGCTCGTCCTCTGCACCAACCGTCACGGACAGATCGGACCCTGTCATTCTGGCAGTCATGCCTACTTCAGAATCCGATGGCATGAGCGGCAATGCCCTTCAAGCAAGAGGGTTTAGACGCCAAGCAGGAACAACAGCAGGATTCGTCGGTGGTGCTGGCCCTGTCAACCCGCTCTCATGTACCGACGCCACACCATTCGTTCTCAGGAATGGCGAGTTCTTTTCAGGAAGCCAACGCATTTCGACGAATCCCAATGCTGCATACGCGCCTTTCAAGGTCGAGCAGCAAGGCTCCATTTCTCTTCTCTTCTCCATTGTGGCAGATACTTATCTCACCTGGACCAATGATGCGTTCTCTGGCGGCAGCGCAACCTTCTGCCAGGACCAATACGGCCAAGTATACGCATTGTTCGTCAGCCAGTCTGCGATTCCCTTCCAGTGCACCCCCGTGGTGCTCTTGGTATACTCTGGTATGTTTCTTATTGCAGATTAATACTTGCAAATGACTAACGAGTACTATAGCATTGCAATGTCGGGACGGCACCTTGATCACCCAGGCCCCAGCGATTAGCACACCTCCCGTGACAATTGATACCACCGGCACCGGGGGCAATATCCAAACAACTGCCGTGCCTAGTCTGCCCGATGATTTTTATCCTCAAGGAACCATTCCAAGCGATGGGTCTTGCACCATGACCAACATGACTTGGGTTCTCGGCGCACCTACATTCATGGGCCTTGCTTGAACCCACAGCGACACGAAGCAATGAATGGATTTTTTTTTTGCCGCGAAGGAACATCAGCACGCTTAAAATGAAAGGTGTCTGCATTGCCAGACCTGATATTGGTAAATGTGATCGACTTCACATTCAGAAGGATGGTGTCAATGATTTTATTTTACTTCGAGCAGCGGTGGTTTTGGTGTCAGTATCTTTCTGTAGGATTGCATAGTTGTGCTTTCTCAAATTTCAAATTTGTATGAACAGCCTCGCAGGCCATGTGGAGGTTGCAGGAAGCCGTTGATTTCTTTCCCTCTTCTTTTTTCTTACTCCTCTCCATGAGACTATGAAATATTTTCAAACGTCGTTACTAGGCATGGTAATCATTCAGAGCGATATGGGGAGGAAAAAGCATAAACAAAAACAAAGCAAGTGGGCTTCATGAATGTAATTTACTATAGGGATGCAATAATTTTCTGTCAGAGGCCGCCAATTTAAATTTTACAATTTATAGTCTCGACTACCAAGAGTGCAAGACATGCATGAACCTAAACTCAAATACATTGTTCATGCCGGTGTAAGACAATAGTCAGCAGAGATCATTTTGCACGTGGCCCAAGTTGAGCGAGCCACTATGTACATCCTTTGACGGCGGGCCCAGATCGGCGCACAGCACTGAAGGCTTAGAGGTTGCCAATCTTTCTTGGCTCATGTGCTTCGCGTGCTTAGCCACATTCCTACCGACTCGGCGGCATTGCTTACCCGTCGACGACACAATTGTTGCGTTTAGAAATTCATATATATCTCATGTACTTGTCTCACAAGCAATCACACAGCTTTAGACTTATCCTTTTGAATTAATTTTTAATGAAATTTATAGAAACATGACTTCTCAGCAAGACAAATCAAATCCAGTTGCGTCAGAAGTGGCTCGCGAGGCAGCACCAGTGCAGCCAGGGGACTTACCACCAAGCTACGAGGATACGGTTGGGGATACGGCTGGTCCATCAATCACACCCAACACGCTGATGCTATCTGGACACCACGTCGTGCCTGTTTCTGCCGCAAACTACAACCCGCAGCCACTATACGAGCTGAACCGCGGCGTGGCCGTGTGCACCAACGCGACGCGGAGCATCACCTTTTCGAGGTTAGACCACGAGGTGCGCCACAAGTCTGACGGGCAGCCAGTGGTCAAGGAGCGAAAGCGTCACCTGTACGACCTCGAGCGCCCGCACTCTTTGCCCTTGGTCGGCAAATACAGCGAGTCGTGGCCCAGCAGGAGCAGCGGCCAGCACGAGGTTTCCTACTGGTGCCGGAGCCGGTCGCGGCAGACATTCGGCGACGTGGGCCTGCGGCTCAAGTCGAGCTTCCTGTCCTCCCGGTCCAGCGCCCAGGTGGTTCGGGTCAAGCCCGAGGGCGGCGAGAGCGAAGGGCGTGCGGTGGTCAGGGAGACAAAGGAGGACGAGGCGCAAAGCATATTTACGGTCGAGTGGAAGAAGAAGGAAGAGTTTCATACCTGGAAGGATGAAAATGGGAATCAGGTCGCCTTGGAGATTGCTTCGGACACCGAGCACAAGTTGGAAGTGACGAGCATATTGAAGCAAGAAATGCTTGATGTGCTTGTAGCCGCTTGGTGTTTGAGAATATGGCTTGACTCTGTGCTCAAACATGAGAGGGACAAAGACATGCTCACAAAACTTGGCGAGCGTCCAATTGCAATGCGATACTCTAAAGTATTTAATTGACTTGTTTCCGCCCATGCGAATCTTTATCGACACGCGGCCAGATGGATTGCTGAATCAAAGTATCTCGCAAGTATTAACTAGCCAGCAATTGTTTATACCACTTCCATCTCACCTCTACTGTGCCAGAAATTGCTATAATAGATGGGGACAGAGTTGAGACCCGTCCATGTTCCGATACGTACACTACAGTGGTTGATGTCAAGCTAATTCAGGTGGGCCGCGTCATGCGTCGAAAGCAACCAACATAAACCCCCCGGTGGTGCACTCAGGAAAGCAATTGGTTCGAGAGACCGTTGGATGCAGGTTACCATGTTGTCGGGACTGTACGGGATTGGTAGATTTCCCCTCATTCTAATGCAGTCCCGTCTCGCTCGTTCGAGTTTTACGATTGGTGTTGGGGTGGGCGGTTGGGGGGAAACCGGGCTACTAAATAACAAGATCAGCATCTTCCCCAGACGCACCACTCATGCGAAAGCCACGATGCGGCGGGCCGGCCGTTTCTCGGTTGCGCTTATGCCTGGGCGATGATCAGTGGCCCTCATTGATCTGGATAGTTTGACTTTGGTTGGGCGAGCTTGATCTGAGTAGCTTTTCCCGGTCTTGCGTTCCGCAGGATTCTAGCTCATGGAGGGCCACGGAGCGCCATGGAGGGGGGGGGGGGGGGGGGGGCGGTCTTACTCTGGTCAATCTCGATGAGGGATGGTTCGACGAGAAGGAACACGGACGGGAGGGTATGCTATGTGTGTATAGAGCCTGCCGCCAAGAACGTCCATCGAGGGATTTTTGGGTTTGGAGTTTGGAGGGGGCTTGATCGCTCCATTGGAGGAGAGTTTGTCAGAAGTGTAGCAACCTGTGAGGATTGCTGGTCATAATGGCCAGGAATCGAATCCTCTTGATGTGGTATCAAACTGCAGAGCGTAGCGACATGCAATAAAATTGTCTCGCCTGCAGCTGGAGCTTGTTGGATCTTCGGTTGCTGCTAATAGTGCTGAACAGTGCCCTTGCCTGGTCATCATCGTTTGGATGATTACCCCACAAACTCCAGGGGCCTCAGCGCCTTTTTTATCTCACTTGCTTCGGCCAATGGCCCGTTTTCTGTTCCACTTGCCACGTTGTAATGACGACAGACCTCGTTCAGTGTCACATCTGTATCACAATCAAGGGACAAGAATCTTGCCTGCTTCCGGGGTGGTCATGGTGATGGACATGCAGTCGAAGGGAAAGGGTTCGTGCTTTAAGATGGACGTGCTTATTAGAAGTCCAAGAACATGATCACCAGGTACTGCCAACCAACCATGCCTGGTTTAGTTACAGTAATGTTGAAGTACGGTCTGGGCAGGCAATTTTATCTACTACTTCTGGAGGTCACTGTACAGAGAGTATTTGGGCCTGTAGTGTACCACCCCTCTTAGTGTACTATGTCCTGCATTGAGCGCATCCGTGGCGCTGGATCTCGTGCACCTGTGACCCCACCAATTCCCTCTGTAACCTAGTACAATCGAGGAACTGGTGGTTCCTCGCGAGCAAATATTACGCACAGGGAGCAAATCACAGATCAGGTGTCGATTATATATTGGATATACAGTCCTAGCTCATTAGTAATGAGCATCTAGTAGTCCGTCCATGTTTCGTTCTTCATCAGGCGGCTACGGTAGGTAATTTGCCAATCAATTTGGCGGCCATCCTTGGTCTATCCACCAAATAATATGGAGTGCATTTGTCGCTCGCGGGGTATCAAGGCCAAAAGGGCCATGCGTATCCTGGGGTTAGAATCATGATACGTAATGAGAGAGCTTCCACTCGCCTACGAGAGAGTCTTCCTGACTCTGCCGGTAAACAAGCACTTGGCGTTCAAACTGCCGAAATCGTTCGGTGTCCTTGCAATGCTATATGTTGTTTTCTAGTTTTATTTTGCAGGATTGATTCTCCTTGTATCTTCAGCGGGCGTTGTCCATTACCATGGAAATCATGAGCTGCGGGATCGAGCCCGTCAAGGATACCAGAATGGGCTTGTCACTGTCACCACATCCAGACATGCGTCCGGCTAAGCGAGCTGTCAGCTCAAGATTGAACACAGTCCTTTCATCAAGGGTCCAATTGATACTTCCTGTCAAAGGACGTACATTGGAACCTACAAACATTGATAGGAATTGTCAGTGAACCTAGTTACTGCACCTGCCCGTTCGTTGCATGCTGTTGGCACCCAACTAAGTGCGATGATGTATCAGATGAGACGTGCGCAAGCCGTTCCGATGGGCCGACCTATCAATGCCATCATCCGAGATCATAACTCAATTTTCGTGTAGCCTTTACAGTAATGGAATGGAAAATCTTTCGTAGATGCAATGGTACCTAGAATTTACAGGGCATCCAATAGGACAGGCAACCTGAGTGAGTTGATGGTTGTTGCATAGCTTGTACGCTACACTGGCCGGACACGTACAAACAGAGGCTGGCTGAATCTGGGTAGCACATCCCACTCCATCTCTTCACCTTGGTGCACCCTGATCCACATTCACCTGTATAGCCTTTATCTACCTACCTGGTTACATTCGTGTCAACCGAAATCCCGTGGGTGGGATGATACAGCCAAGTACAATTCTAGGTCGCAGGTAACGTGAAGAAGACGGTAGGCTGGCTATCACAATTCAAGGTGTCCAGACAAGCGGGCCGCTCGCTTTGCTCTCGATAAGCGCCTTGTCTCTTCAATCAGGCTTGTTGTTCCGAAGGCTTCTCGGACGAATTCATGATACTGGCCGGTTGAGCCTCCTCGACCCTCAATGTTAGCTTGATGGTTTCTATTACAAACCATAGGCCGAGTCATTTCTCAGCAAGTTCTAGCTCGTAAACTCCTCGTGCCTCGCGACTCTTCTCCGTCCGGCCTTAGCAAACTGGAGGGAATCTTTAGTCCGTTTCTCATAGCGTCACTGCGACCTGCCTGCCATTAATGACCTGTACGGGTTTGTGTAATTTCTTAACCACCAGGGTTTAGTACATATTTCGACCATTCCGCTGGGTACCCCCCCCCCCCCTAGATAGCTAGCGCAGGCGAGGCCTATGTACCTAGCGACAAGCTGGCCCCAAGTTTTACCCCCCAAACTGTACCTAGCTACTAGGTACTAGTTCCTTTCTCCACACAATCCCCCATTCCATCTCAGCTTGTCTTTGTCGTCGCCGCCGCCGCGGCTTTGGACCAATTGCCCGAGTCCCGGAACATCCACGAGGGACTTAGAAGCTACCTAGAACGAAACCTGCGCCGCAGGATTACTTGACTTTCATCCCGCAACTGCAAAGATTCCTACGTCCTTGTATTCCCTCTGAGGAGCCCCAGGGTCGCTAATTGATCTGATCATACCCTTCTGCCATTCACTTCAATCTCCATGCTTCACTCACTTCGACACCATCGACGGTCGCATGCCAAGCAATCTTCCTCCTTCCCTTGCTCATTGCAGCGTCTGGTCGGCTGCAGGCGTCTTCTGACTGCTCCGTTCTAACTCCTCTATCTCCGCCACCGTGAACGACGACCACTGCAACAACTTCAGTCGCAACGATGAGTTTCTTGAACAAGTGGAAGCCAGGAGCCGGTGTAAGTACTTTGTCCTTGTGATTGTCGTCGCAGACCTTGCGCAACTCTTCAACGACGCGGGCCCAACAGAAAGCAATTCCTTTCCAAGCGTATTCGGCTAACCGCGAGACAGGGCGGCTCGGCCAACGGCAGCAAAGATGTTCAGAAGAAGAAAGAGGAGCCACCTCCAGAGTTGACTCCCTTGGAAAAGATGCTTCAGAACGCCGGCCCTGTACGTGGTGACGGAAGCGACAAGTACTTCGGTCTAGAGAATGTGAGTTGTCTACGCAATCCGTTGCGCCACGACTGGTGGTTCGTTTCTGTCGCTAACATGCGCATTGTAGTTCGGTAACACATGGTATGCGCCCCGCAAGTCTGGCGCACAATGGAATATTAACATCGGCAATACAGTTATTGCAACTCAATCGTCCAAGCCCTTTACTACACAGTGCCATTCCGAGAACATGTTCTCCAGTATCCGCCATTGTCGCCGGCCGACACACCCTCCGAAAACTACAAACCGAAAGTCAATGTCGTTGTTCGAACACTTGCAGAAAATGGCGATGCGGCGGCATCTAATGGCAATGCCAAACCCGTCACAACAGCCGAAGCACTGGCGAGGAGGAAAGCCATCAACTCGGGACAAGTCCCCCCATCTCAGGGAGTTCGGCCAGAAGACAAGCCAGATACGCCAGAATACAAGAAGAAGCAGGCAATGCTCAAAGGGCCGATACTAGAACTTGCGCAAGAAAACCCAGGAGCTTATGGCATGGATGAATGCTCCTTCACGGGCTTGCGCGACATATTCATGGCTCTTGTCGAGACTAACAGCAGGACAGGCGTCCTCAGTCCCCAGCGATTTCTCGACATCTTCAAACGTGACAACGAAATGTTCCGCAATTCCATGCACCAGGATGCTCACGAATTTTACGGGCTGATCCTGAACGATGTCATTGCTAATGTCGAGGCAAACGCGCGGAGAATGCTAGAACGCGAGGCTAGTCGATCAGAAGACGGCCTCGTCAAATCGGTCGAGTCTGCTTTGGGGGCTGCGGTTACACATACGTCGAACGGAATCAACTCGCCAGGCACCGGCTGGGTCCACGACATATTCGAAGGTGTACTGACATCAGAGACCAAGTGTTTGACATGTGAAACTACCTCACAACGAGACGAGACTTTTCTGGATTTGTCGATTGATCTCGAAGAACACTCTTCTGTAACGTCTTGTTTGCAAAAGTTCTCGGCCGAAGAAATGCTTTGCGAGAGGAACAAGTTCCATTGCGACCATTGCGGTGGGTTACAAGAGGCCGAAAAACGCATGAAGATCAAGCAGCTGCCCAAGGTTCTGGCACTACACCTGAAGCGCTTCAAGTACACCGAAGACTATAGTCGCCTGCAGAAGTTGTTCCACCGTATAGTATACCCCTACCATCTTCGCATGTTCAATACAACAGACGACGCAGAAGATCCCGACAGAATTTACGAACTGTATGCCGTCATTATTCACATTGGTGGCAATGCGTATCATGGCCACTATGTATCAGTCATCAAGACCGAGGACCGGGGTTGGTTGCTATTTGACGACGAGATGGTCGAGCCAGTGGACAAGCACTATGTGCGCAATTTCTTTGGCGACAAACCTGGCATGGCATGCGCCTATGTCTTATTCTACCGCGAGACTACTTTTGAGAAGGTTCGCGCAGAGCAAGAAGCAGAAGGCTTGGAGGAAGTTCGAATAGCGAGTGAAAAGGCCGACATTGCTTCAGATGAGGCGGGTAAAATCAATACCAATGGAGGTTTGGAACTTACCAGACAAACAACTCAACCAACGTCGCCCATAGAGGAACATGCTCTAGCTAACCTGGACCATGCTTTGACGGCGCCCGAAGCGCCCTCCAGTCCCCAACAGGAGGTTCCGATTACTCACTTTGACACAACCATTCCACGATCTGATACCAAGTCCAAAGATGAAAAGAAGGCCGAAAAGAAGGAAGCCAAGGCAGCCGAGAAGGCGCGGAAGGTAGCAGAGAAAGAGGAGATCAAGGCTAAAGAGAAACAGCGGAAAGAGCGAGAATCACAACTTCGGGAAGCTCGTAAGAATGAGGCAGATGAATTACGGAAAGCTCTCGATGAGAGCAAGAAGATGGCTACCGAGGCAGATTCGAAGAACAGAGACCGAGCTGCATCTGTCACTACCCACGATAGCCCCGGCCTGAGCCGCCACCACAGGGGCAGCAAGTCAATGTCGAGGAGAAGTTTTGCCTTCCTAGGCAAAGACAAAGCACGACGGGACAGCAGTGTGGATATCCCACCAGTACCTGAGACTCCCACCACTGAAGTGCATAATGCAGAGCATGGCAAGGGGGTAAACGGTATCCCTACTACTCCTTCCACTCCGCAGAAGACCAAAGAGCGATTCAGCTTCAGCCTCGGACGGAAGAAGAGTACAATCTTGTCTTGAGAATCTGGTTCGACATTGGAGGGCTGTACGATATTGTGCATGTTAGCATAATCTCGTTCCCGAGGGACTTCCCTCTTGGTACTATATATTAGAGCTAACTCGGTTTGAGCCGAAAGGATAAGGGAGCGAAGCTGATTGCAGGTTGGATATTGCCGAGGACGAAGTAGGCACAACCACATAGGGATCAGCGATCCGGCTTGGCTATGCTGTGACAGCCCTTGTATGTATTATAATTCTCTGGCGTCACATCGCACGCCCTGTCCAACATATGTGGACTCACAAAAAAGTGAAATGGGAAGGATTTGGCTGTATAAGTGTGGCATTGTATTTTGCGAACGTGATTTGAACTTCAAGCTGCCTGTCATTCGAGGCGTTGCAGGTCCCTATAACCTGAGAATGGCGGCGCATCATGTTCCAGTCCTCCCATTTTCAACCATGGGCCTGAACGATATTGCAGTCCAACCTTGAACGTTCCAACACTCCTTCCGCTCACCAACTTTTGGTGTTTGTGGTGTCTATTAACAATCATGTTTTTAATGAGTCTTTCCACGAGGGCAACCTTGCTTCCCCTTTTTGTGATCAAGTCGCGCCTTGCCTTTCCGGAACGCCCAGCTGGTAATGTAAATGCAAATATCTTGCCGTGTCGCGACCACTATCGAACTGCCAGTTTCCGAACTGTGGCACCTGGATGTGTAGAATATCGGCTATGCGAATCGCTTCAGCCAAGCGCAATCTCGTAGAGTATTATCAAGGTATTGACTAAGATAAGTGGCCCTGCGCAAGATGGAATGTTAGTCAGGAACTGAGATATGTGCCTCTTGACGCAATTTCCATGAATACCCTATCCTGCGTTGTCCTGCTTCGCATCTCATATCCCACAGAAATGACGCTGAGGAACCGAACAAGATCATCCACGGGAATACAGAAGGGGGGGGATGAGAAGCAGACTGCCAGCAGTAAGGCGGAAGGCGAAGGCTACGTACCTCTCGTGAGCATGCGCACGCTGGCAATCATGTTCATGAGCTTAAACTTGAAGCTCTGGTCCCCACCGGGTCCGGCACCAAAGGCTGGGTCGTGCGATGAGGCTGACAGACCAACGCGCGCGAGGAAGCGGTCTTCAGAAAGGATGGCGACGGCGTTGAGGAGGAGCACGGCGATCTGGAAGAAGGAGCCCAGACCGAACGAAGGGATAAGCGCCATGTTTGTAAAGAGGGTTTACTCGGCTTGGGTCGCTGTACTGGAGGGTTGTTGTAGGGCTCTGCACCTGGAGAGTATCGATGTGCGCCGTGTCTAGTTGTGTCAAGAGGTCGTGGTTGTCGTCTTGTTCAGGAATCGGAAGGGGTGATTTGGTCAATCGTGATTCGTGAATAGCTGTTCGTTGCGCATTCATACGTACTAGGCTGTACAGGTGCTAGGTATTCGAGATAGCCAAGGCGCAAGAGGTGGGCAGCTCCAGCTCCAGCCTCCAGCTCCGTGGATCGAAATGTTGCCAGCTGTCCGGCGGCGGATTTACATTGGACCAGGCCGTTCCTGTCTCACACCCGACTGGGCATGCTGAAACGGCCACCATTCACTGGACTTTAGGGGGGACCTTCAGAAGCTCCAAGCTTCAGAGCTCCCCGTCCCTATTGGGTTATGTGCCTGAACGTCATCCTACATCTTTTGTTCCATCTTGTTGTGGGAATTAAGAGGTCCGCTTCGGAGTGGCATTAGTGGATTGGACTGACCAGCAATTCATATTTCGATTTGCCAATTCAATGTTCTTCCCATAAACATTCAACAAACACTCCCCAGTGCTCCAGCTCGCACAATGGGCGCCATAGGTGAGCCGTCGACAATTGTAATCCGGTGTAAAATGAGATTAAACTGACACAGTCAACTAGACACACTATTGTCATTGGCCATCCCGGCTTTGGTCATTGTCCATCTCATTGTCGCTCCCTACACCAAGGTAGAAGAGTCGTTCAACTTGCAAGCAACACACGATATCCTCGTGTACGGCACCCCAACCAGCGATGTTTATGCAAAGCTGTCGGCAAGGTATGACCATTTCGATTTCCCGGGCGCCGTCCCGCGGACATTTATGGGCCCGGTCCTGCTTGCCGGCATCACTCAACCGATCATCGGAGTGGTCGGCTTCGAGTATGCGCAATTCATCGTGAGAGCTCTCCTGGGTCTTTTCAACGCCTGGGCCATGGTGATCCTAAAGTCCAGCGTGGAGAGCGAGTTTGGGAGGCCAGCTGCAAGGTGGTATGCAGTCTTGCAAGCCACCCAGTTCCACGTTCTCTTCTACGCCTCACGAACACTGCCCAACATGTTCGCTTTTGGCATCACGACACTTGCATTCTCTCAGCTGGTCGGCAACCCCAAGACGCTGCGTCTTGGACGATGCAAGCTGGCCATTGGCCTCTTGACTTTCGCGACTGCCGTTTTCCGGTCTGAGCTGGCCATATTGCTTTGCACCACGACTGCTTACCTCTTCTTGATGCGCCGCATGGGTGTGGAGAGCATCCTCGAGGCATTCCTGATCTCCTTCGTCTTCTCTCTGATTACCTCCATCCCGATTGATTCCTACTTTTGGCAAAAGCCTCTCTGGCCGGAACTCTCGGCATTCGTCTTCAACGTGCTGCAAGGCTCATCATCCGAATGGGGCGTGTCGCCGTGGCACTACTACTTTACCAATGCCTTGCCAAAGGTGTTTACGAATCCGCTCGTCCTAAGCCTTGGTATTCCGATGTCTCTGTATGCTCCAGCAACTAGAGCACAAGCCCAGACATTCATTCTGCCAACACTACTCTTCGTGGCCATCTATTCAGTACAACCACACAAGGAGGCACGGTTCATCTTCTATGTAGTTCCCCCAATGACTGCCGCGGCGGCCCTTGGTGCAAACTACATCTTTACTCGTCGAGGGAAATCAGTTCTCTACTCTCTTGGCTCCATTGCCCTGGTCGCATCGGTCCTGGCTTCGTTTGTGATAAGCACGGGAATGCTGGGCCTCTCCTCTCTCAACTACCCAGGTGGCGAGGCCCTTGCGGAGCTGCGATCGCTCGTGCAACCAGGCTCGTCATCTGCGGACGTACAAGCCGTCACGGTGCACACCGATGTGCTCTCTTGCATGACAGGTGTCACGCTCTTTGGCCAGCACCCTTACCCTCCAGTGGACCCCAAGCCGACCACAGATGCCATCTCGTTCGTCTTTGACAAGACTGAAGAGCCTTCTACCCTTCGTAGTCTTGACTTTTGGAGCAAGTTTGACTATCTCTTACTAGAAGACCCTGCCAAAGCCATCGGATCTTGGGAAAGCGTTGGTCTTATCCAAGGATTCGGCGGAGTAGAGATTTTGAAGCCCGGTATGGACGCAGATGGTGCGCTAGAGACTGGTGAAGGTCAAATTCTGGGAAGAGGCGCCACAGTGAAGAAGATTCGCGGCATGATTCGGCCATTGACTGGGGGATGGTGGATTGGCCCGAAAATGGAGCCCCGGATACGAATATTAAAACGTGTACGGGGACTGCCAAGAAAAGAGGTCAAAGAGTAATAAATACCCATGATACTTTCCGTAAATGATGTACTAGTTGTGGCTTTTCAACCCTATCCTATAGAATTGGTCTATGTTATCGTAAAACATGTCTGCACATGTCAGATTTACAAGTCTGGCTTGACCATCTGACATGTAATACTCAGAAGTAGGTTCAACTTGAGATCATCGCCATCTGGGAATCGACATGTCTTTCCATTGGGTATCGTCACTGGCCAGGCTTTCTATCGGTTTTGAGCCGTTCGAATATACGAGAAAACATACGAGATTACCCATCTCCAACATTCGTGTTTGATTTACAAGGGCACGTCATTGCGCTTATTTATTTTAGGCGATCAAACGAAACAAGAGCTTTTATATGAGCTTTCGAGTCGCTTGCTCTCGGCCGCTAGACAATTAGCGTGTGGACATCGGGGACCGGCGCCAATTCAGCCAAAGGGTCGCTAGCAGCGCCTGTCACAATTAGACGGCGGACGGTCTGTTGTCGCATCATTGGGGGATCATTGAGGTGTGGGAAAACTGCCGAGGCGGCGGCCAGAGAAGTCTGTTTAGATCGGCTATTCTCTTTACACAGCCTCACATGTGCGCATCTTCATGTTGAATATGCATCACAGATACTTTGTCCTCGGTACTCTCCTGTGGCAGACACGACTAGTCTTCAGCTCTCATTTTGTTCATTGTTTATAGCTTCATTTTTATTTTTATTTTCTTCATGTCTGGCGTGCGCCCGGCCGCGTACACAGAGTACGTACGTCCATGTCTCATCCCGCTAACGACCATTGGGCCGGACAGTTCAGCCGTCAACAAGCCGGGTCGGATATGATCGAAGAGTCGGCCTCAAGGCTACGGACATTAAAGCGGGAGGCAGTGCCTACATAGTGCTTTCTGCTTTGTTATTGGGAATTGAGCGTGGCTGATTGCTGCCCCTCCTGTATTTGGGCATTGACTGACGGTGAGATGGAGATGTGGAAAGCTTTGATCTGATGACTCTCTTGGGCACCGGTATGGTAAAGTGACTGGATGAATGGGAGAATATGGAATTGTAAAACAGACGGTGACGTCCAACACAAGATTTTTGACTTGGATATAGAGTTGTCTGCGTTAGTGTCTGTCTCCAGTAAATATGGGGGTTCGTCCGTTGATCTGTCGCCCGGACGATGTGCAAATCAGGGCATCTTGTTGATCTTTATATCGTACTTTGTTATCTAGCAGCCTGACTTGGACTCTCACCCTACTACCTGCATGGGAATGCCCAAAAGGTTTTCTTTTCACTCACTGCGTATCGGTGTTTCGCCTTGTTCAACCCCCAAATCAATAATTTTATCAGTACCCTGTCATACCTGTCCCTCCCTCTACCTACCTTGTACACGGCTACTTTCTAGTGCTCACTTTTGCTTGTGTGGAGAAAAGTGTCAAAGTGGTTGGTTCGGAGTTGAAGCTAGATGGGCTAAAATGGCTGTCGGGGGTCCCACTAGTCCCCTGAAATCGCTGCGGCCCAAAATACCTACGGGCCGGGCGACCCTGAAACTCGACTGCGTGGATTTGCTGGAAATAGCGCCCAAGGTGATTGAATGCAGAGTCAGTGAGTGTCCATACACATATATCGTACGTATACTAGGTGATATACACAACTCACTAACATTATCAGCTTTATCGCATGGACGTGTTTATGGCAAAAACTATGAATGAAAGACATGCAGTATGCCCAGGCAAGTACATCAGAGGCACTTCATACGTGATGGCCATCAGAACTGAATGCTTGAAAACGCCAAGAAATCGTATCTTGCCCATGTGTCGCGTGAGGCAGGATGAGCGCACTCTCCCAAACGGGGGAGGGGGGACACTTATCAATGCAAATGATTGATGGCTTGTGTGAGGTTAGGTAATATGTACGGTTCCTGGTCCCAGGCTTGTTCGTGCGTACCATGAAGCTGATGGGCGCACATTGCGATAGGTAGATACCACAGGTACCCTGTCCAGCCCATCTAATAATGTATGAGGCACGGAGTAATGTGGTTAGCACACATGCATGCATGGTCCAAGATGCAGGACCCGCGCCCCTCTCTCCAGTCTGTCCCTCACTTTCTCTCACCCCCCATTCAGACACGCTCCAAGTGAACCCCCCCTCGTAGGGCATCTTTCGATATACCAATGCTATGGCCTTTTTGTTGCTTTAAGCTGCACGTCCACCTGCCTCGTTACCATTTGTCTCGTTCTTCTTCTTTTTGTTGTTGTTGTATTATTGTTGGTGGTGCACCGCTAGTTGCATTCCACAATTCACAACGCCAGCGGCGCTTGCTCCTGCAAATCAGACCGCTTGGATGGAGCGAGACCTACTGGACCGACCAGTACGTACCTAAACGTTTACGATCCTAAACTCCAGTCCCGTCAGTCCCTCCAGTCCCCAGGGGAAGTTGGAACATATCTGCCCAAAGACCAACCCCCAGCACCGGATCCCTCCTTGCTGCAGGTTTCAAGGACCTGGGTGTGCCACAACGCCTCAAGTTGAACCTCGCCGTCCTCGATCTCTGGAGACATTTGCTTTCCTGCCTTCACAATTGCAATTGTTCCTACCAGAGAGCACCAACGCCGGGCCAACTTGCTCGACCTGCCTCTGGTTGTTTGTGTTGCTGCCCGCCTTACTCGATAATTCTGTGATTCATTCCATTGGCGCAGCAACCCGTGGTCAGGTTACCATTTCGATTTTCTTGATTTCACTACTTTCTCTTTTTTTGCTTCTGTCGATCGAGCCACCGCCGCCAGAAGCAAACCCCGCGTTAATAAAGCGCATTTGAACAAAGACCCCCCGAGCAACACGTCAACCAGCTACAGCTTTGCCTGCCGCCACCGACAACGACATCTGATGCACGACCCCGCTGAAGGAATTGGTATACGTCTTTAGCGAGATCCAGGGACAGCAACAAGAAGCTCACCATTTTCCACCGGCGGCCCGCAATTTCTCAACATGGAGGCAGAGACGCCCAACGAGGGCGGTCGGCGCCGTGACCGACTGATGGGCAAGATGTTTGGCAAACAGAGAACCGCAGAGAAAGAGCGCGAGCGCCAGTACAAGACGGAACAGAGCGCCAACGACCTCTCTGCCTTTCTGGGCAATTCCGACCGGCTGCAGGTTACTCACCCGCCCCCTCCTCCGCCCGTTCATGGCCACCGTGATTTCGAGGCAAGACAGCCCCAACTGGCCCTGGACACCAGCCGGGCCATGCGCTACCCTGGTGCTCTGGACGTTGGTAACGACGGACAGCAGCTGGCTTATCGTTCTAGATCCCACAGTCCGCCCAGAAACCGAAAGAACAAAGGTCTGGTGGTACGCTTTGCCGACAGCTACCCCGAGGTCATAGGTGAAGGCGGTGACGAGTGTGAGACCATTGTGGCAGAAATCGGAAGGAGAAAGAGGTCCAAGTCTGCTCCGCTCACAGCACCATCGCAATCTTCCTTGAAGAGCTATGAGCATTCCCGGCAAGGAAGCGACACGCGAGCCGTCTCGCCCAGGAAGGAGCCCAATGACTTTGTGCCTGGCCCCATGAAGCGGACACAGACCGGATTCTCTACGATTGGCGATGAGCCCAAGCAGGATTCTTTGGCGCCGAATCTCCAGGCCTCTCCCCAGCCGAGGACTTTGCCTGCCGGAGAGGTCACCAGATCTCGGTTCTTGGAGACGTCTGACCGCAAAGATGAAGCTAGGAGGTCATTCATTGAGATACACCAATATGAGCAGAGACAAGCCGAAGGTATGGCCTTTGCCCAGGCAAGATCTGCCAGCACGGATTCTCATCAGGGATGGGACGAGGGCGAGTCATCTCCCGAACCGGTTCGTACAACACAACCAAGGCCTCCCAGGGACCTGCCTACTATTCCAATAATGCCTGAAGCCCCCCAACTTCCTCCTGCCTTTACTGGATCCTCCGAGCGCGAGTCTTCACCATCACCCTTCCGAGCGCAGTCTACAAGAAAGCCGCAATATCAGCCAATGCGCCACGAAGATCGCCCGCCCATGCGAGCTCTATCCACAAGAACACATATTCCACCACTAATGGAAGATCACACACAGCCTCAGCAACCACCAATGGCGCCGCCGCCGCGAAATCCTACCCGGAGGTCTCCTTTGCCACCTGTCTCGCCGTCCAAGAATCCCAGTCCTTCTTCTCTTGAATATCCGCGCAAATCCCCTTTGCCACCAATTTCCACAGATGTAGAGACGCCACCAGCCTTTGCAAACGAAGTACCATCTGCACGGGCGTCGGAGATTGACGAGTTGCGCCTGGGCTCAAAAATTGATTCTGACAGCCCTTCGTCGACCTATTCAGGATCAATCTATTCTACTTCGGACATGTCACATAAAGCCACACCTATCACGCAGAATCCACGTGACAGAGGTTGGAGTGCATCCGCAGATAAGGCCCCGAGAAAGCTTTCGTCACAGCCTCCAGAGAATGAGGGAGCGTATGATGAGTTTATTGCACGAACGAAACACCTCTATGAGCTCTTCCGACTCCATGCCGAGCAATTCAAATCACTGGGTAGTTCCAAACCCGACGACATGTGCCGCGCAGCACTTTGGTGGTTTCTCAAAGGCCGCATAGCACTAGAGACAGCCATGAGAAGTAGAGGCCAAGAAGCGGATGAGACTAAAAGTCTCATGAACAGATATCAGGCATACACTGATTTGACAAAGAGCTACTGGCTTACAGAAGTGGCGCTTCCAGAAATCGCCGACGGCAAGTTCAGTACGACCGAGGGCGAAATTGCTGAAGTCAGGCAAGTCCTCGCGACAAACCTCAAGAAGCTAGCAGGATCGATGAAGAGAAATGCTTTACTGCCACCTGAGGAGCCGTTCATGCCACAAATGATGGATAAATCAATCTGGATTGAGTACCCAGTCTTGAGCCAGGATATCATTTCCCTTTTGAACGGCAATTGGGGCTCACTGCTAGTGGCATCGCAACAATCGGCCAAGCAAGTTCCTTTGGTCGAGACACTCCCGCTGGGGGATTCGCCTACGCTCTTCAATTACGGACGGGTGAAGGCCGATGTCTACCTCATGGAACAGGGCTTGGAATCGATGCACACACATTTCTCCTGCATGCTCTCCATCAACCGGCAGCAGAAGGACTCGACACTCATGTTTACCGTGGCCAGCCAAAACGGCACTGTTACTCTGTGTATACAAGCAGACAAGAATGCCGGTCCTAGTTGGGACAATGTGAAATGGCGCACTGACAAGTGCTCGCTGGAGCTCAAGATGCCGCGTGGCTTCATGGTAGCTATTCAGTGTTCTCAAACAGATTTCCGCATGCTCTGGAACATATTCGATTTCAACGCCAAGGTACAAAGTTATTTGTATCCACGAAAGGAGGAAGTTGTCGCTTTCCAATCCAAGCTGAGGGGTTTCCACTATTTCGATTCCGACCCTCAAGGACGCACCTTTCCCAAAGAGCCCGTAGGCCAGTGTGAAATTGGCCTGTATGAGAAGCTTCTCAAGGAAGGAAGCCCTACAGGCCCGAGAACTTTCCACAGAGGTTTCCGTCTTGCCATAGTGACCGGACCAAGAACAAGAACTCTGAGCGGTGTCACGCATCTCTATCCACCCTCCATGCCTATTCAGTATGCCTATCTTCGAGGCGAACAACGCGAGCCAATGATACAATTGTCTTACAACGATGGCAAGGCCAAAGCTCGGATGGTGCTCATTTTCAATGATGATAAGGAGAGGGAGAAGTTCATATCGCTCCTCAAGGGCAGCTATGTTCACAGCGACGAGGAAGTAGTCACCGAAGTTCCAATCCAGGGGTTCAGCATGACAGAAGGACTCCAAGACACCAAAGCTAGTTTCCCGGCTCTGCAAAGGCTGCCCTGGCAACATGCCCGGATCATCAATGATCGATATGCTGGTGATGTACCGCCTGTGGTACTAGCCGAAAAGCTGCGTCTTGAACTCAACTCGATTGACGCAAAGGGAGCATCAGTAGGTACAATTGTTGACAGAGTAAACATGGCGCCGGGAGAGTTCAAAATCAGGCTTGGCACCAAGGACATCCTCACGCTTCACGTTATACGGAACCCGCAGGTTGATTTGACCACATCCGTTTTGGACCGTCCAGGACTGACGGATGCCCCACGCGAGTTTGCTACCCTGCAGAGTACCGTGGCTCGATCTCCGACTGTCAGAACTTATAGATTCAACTCGTTCAAGGATCTGCACGCCTTCCAGAATGGTATGACTGGCTACACTGTGGTCTTTGATGGTGTGGCTTCATCGCTGAATATTACCCGTCGGCGCATGGTTGTGCCTGTGCACAAAAAGTGGGAATCGGGCACGGCACGAATTCAGGTAGCCCACCACGCACTAGACGGAACGGTTCAACTCCTGGCATTTTTCGAGGACTGGATCCATGGCCATTGTATGGGATTTGTGCTCAAGGGCACTGATGTGTACGAGGCGTCGGGTAAGATGGGTAAGGCAGCTATCAAGTTTGTGGAAGCCAAGTTCCCGCTACCAAAGGGCGGGGATGGAGGTGAGAAGCGAGACGAAGACCGTTTCCTTTGCCTCGACATGCCAGACTATGCGGGCGAGCACGACGATATCAGCATCGTGTTCGAGGACGAAGGCGGTAAGTTGCGATAAATATTCCGGCACAGTAATGAAACAAGGCACTAATAGTCGAACAGAGAGAGACAAGCTCTGCGCCGTCCTACCCGCACCGGTCAAGGGAGCAAGACTCAGCAAACTAGGCCGATGAGTAGCTGTGGCTAAAAGCCAGGCTCACCTCCAAAACATGATTGACGAGAAAACAAACCCCCCCGCCACGAGTTCACCACTATGAAAAGTTGTTGCTAGTAGCAGATACCACAGTCGTCCTATCAGCCATTAAATCATAATGGTCAAAGAATGATTCAAAATAAGAGGGGCAGAATTCCCAATAGTACTAAACCATGTCGATAGAGAATGGTGCAAATAAGCGTGGGAAACTCCCCCAACAGTTAATGCAAGATCATGTGGAGCAGTAGAGGGGATCATAGAAAGGACTCTTTTACATGCATCATGAGAGATACCCCTTGTGGTTTGTAGGAGAAGAGAAAATAATGCCCCTGACAAGGCAGGCACATATGTAACTAGGTACTTGGCAGTAGACCAACAGAAAAAAATTAAAGACTTGTTGTCTAGTCAATATGGTTCCAATTAGAAATTGGTTTCGGGAAAATAAGAAACTGTGACGGGTAGGTGGCTACAATGTCATGAAACTTACGGATCCGACCGACGGACCGCCGCCGCCGCCGCCACCATCGTGCAACGGTGAAAGGAACGAGGACCATTCGGACTGAAAGAGACAGGCCATCTAGATACATAGCTAATAAATGTACATGGTAGTAGGTTGCTTGGGCAGCACCATCATCCACTTACTACATAGTGCACGTACCTACATTAGGTAGGTTATGGACTCAAGGCAGTTGTTTGATAGGCTGGGTGTCGATGGCCCCACCACCATAGTGAACCGGGATTCCCTACGAAGTTGGGTGTATGTATACGCTTCACTTTTTGGGCGCGGATTGGCAGATGGCAGTTTATGCGAGCGGTCAAGTTTTTTTTGTCAAAACAAACACGGACACGGGGTCGTCCATTTAAGAGTAAAGAGCCGCAATCCTCTAAATCTGCACTGCCATGCTTCCCCAGATCCATCATCTATCTACTCGCGGAGAATACTTGTACAAGCATCGAGTACCTAGGTTACCTGCGTGGACATTACCTTGAAGGTCACTCTCCCAAAACTCTAACTCGGTCAGGGACCACTATCCGATGAACAAGCTTTTATACCTCTCTGGCACCGCTACAAGAATCAACACCTAATATGACACATTCCCTTCTCCGACGACGCCAGCAGCCCAGAGAATCAGGTATAAGAAACTCCCCGGATTCCCGTCTGCTCGAGACTGGCCCAACTTTTGACTCTTCTTCCTCCACTTCACTTTCCAACCAAAGCAAAGCGCACAGAATTAGTTTCGTGGCATATCGCGCCCATAATATTCTTCGCTTCTCATCTTCACTATCTTCAAAGCAGTGGCTATTCAAGCACGAGTCTTCTCTCATATCGTTTCGAGTCAGATCCTCCTGCCCGCCTCCCGCAAGACTGTACAACCCTTCGTCACAGCAGGGCCACAACCGTCTCAAAAGATTAAGGATAAACAACAGACGCAGCGACTTGAAAATTCCCGTGAGTAACTACTGATGCATTTCTTCTCAACCCCACTCTGTGCTTGTTAGATCCAAGATTTTAACAAGTCAAAGACCGATTTCCACAATGCCTACTTTCGTGACATTTTTCGTGGACGGGAAGGTCGTCGGCAGCGAGTCATCGCCAACTCGCAGCGACACCAGCTCTCCCAGAAACTTACAAACGAGCTCCGAGATGCAACGAAAGGAGAAGGCTTCAGACCGTAAAGTGGTCCAAAAGTGGCAACGCCAGCAACAAAAGGCAAGTCTCCGCCAGATGCCACTGGACATGAGGGATGCAAATCCATTTTGCGGAGGCCCAAAGATGGATGATCTCGTCAAGAAGATCACCAAGTCCTTGGAGAAGCATCAGTACAAAATGGAGCAGGAGATTGACAACATTGTGGACACTCCTTATCACAATCAGCAAACTCGACTGATGAGCCTCGTCGAGCCTCCCCAAAACTGCTGCCCCCACTCCTTCAATGGTTGGAACTGCCGCTTCCACCCCCGCGCGCCTCCCGCCGAATACTGGAGTTGGAAGCTTGCTCGCACTCGGGAGGCTCTTGGGCGCGCTTACTTTGTGGATTTGTTTGTACACTGGAAGCGCTACCAGCAAGCCACTCGCACCCTCCACAAGCAGCGCCGCGAGGAACTCGGACTCACTGACTTGGCCCCCAACCTTGATTTCCCCCATTGCCCCATCACCACCCGCAACGAGAAGAAGCAGCTCCTCGGCAAGCTCTGCTTGTCCCACAAGCTGCACTTCAACGGCCGACGCAGCGGCGGTCTCGGCACAAGCGTCGACACCTGCTACCTCTGCCGGTACGACGCCGTGGACGCCGTATACACCACGGCCTGCCGCCTCGCCTACGCAAAGTACTGCGAGGCCCTGGCCACGGCCACGGACAGGATCCACCGGGCCATGGGCCGGGTATGGTTCGCCTACGCCATGCCGGACCCCAACCCCACCGTCCGCGAGGACACCAGCGGCCGCCGCGTCCTCCACGTTACGCACTGGTCAGAGTACCAGGCGGGACAGTTTGAGGGTGGCAGTGTTCCCTTTTCGTGGGAGGCGCGCGCGGCTTCCAAAAGGAAGTGCGAGGTCTGGCGCCGCATGAGCGGCAAGAAAGGGGACGGGGATGGGTACGTGGCCGTCAAGCCCGGCCAAAACGAGTCCATAGAGACATGGCTCGACAACATCATGGAGGAGTAGAAGTTTGGGTTTCGGTTTCGGGAGGAATTTTTGCCAGGTTTTCTTTCTCTTTTTTGGTTTTTTGTTTTCCTTCCTATTTACGGGACACGACCTCGACGATTGAGAGATTACGATTCATGTTATGGGCAACGATTATGATCATGGCGGCAACAGCAATGTTTTGATTGGGAGTCGGATGGAAGTTCATGTTCGCGTTGACGAGGAAATGCATGGGAAGAAATGGTCATGTTTTTACGATGAGAAAAAGAGAATCTTGCATCTGATGGGAGTTTGATACCCGCATAAAGGAGCATACTTGGTTTGGGCATAGGAATGCATGGAGCATTAGATGGATACCCGATATCGACAAAAAAGCACGAGATGGACTGGTTCAAGTCCTATTGTTTTACGAGTTTTATTGCATGGAGTTCAATTGAAGCACGAATAATATATATATCATCATTACGAGTATTACTTTTGATCATGTGATACAACACCAGATTTTCGGTTATATCAATCAATGCCTGCTTCGAAACAAGATAGCAGTGGTGACATGGACACTCTGCCTAGATATATTCTCTTAGATCATGCCAAAACTGATCCTGGGTCTTCAAGCAGGTATTTCTATTCATTTATATATCGACAGAGGGAGCCAGTGGATTTCTCATGAAATACATTGTAGTTCTCGATCCCGGCCCCAAAGCTCATCCCAACGCAGTCTTAAGATCAACTGGATACCACGGTTTACCTTTCCCTTTCTCCTTCAACTTCCGATTTCAGATAACGGGCGGTGAACTTGGCTCTCAGCATGTAACGTTCGCCGTCCGGATTATCTACCAGCTGAACATTAATCAGTCTGAGATTCCAGATCTGATTGTGAATCTGGGGTTCATTGGCCACCTACCTATCAAGAAATTCTATCATGTCCTTTCCAAGACGAACAAGGAGTACAGGCTGTTCGTGGATTACGATAGACCATGGATAGCCGTTTTATATACATGCCGCCCAAGAGAACGGCACCATCTACTATAGGCACAAGCGTACCATGCAGGACAGATCAGCGGCAAGGAGGAAAATAAAGACCGTATAACGTATAAAATATACCATGAGCACGAGAATTATGGTATGGAGAGGCTGAGCAGCCGACAACATCTTTAGCCTTCTGCTAGCACACATATGACTATTACATGGAGGTACCTCTCAAAGTAGGAAACTGCTCAGTTGATTGAAGCCACCGAGTGGCTGAAACTTGACCAACCCACGCCACGGGTCAAAATGCATATGATACTCCCAAAACATCTCGCGGGCATTTCCTCCAATTGTTCTGGTATTGAACCACGAGCCGTGGCCACTGTGTGCCATGGATATTTTCCAGATCCTACCGGCTGCTAATAACAGATCAATCGCATAACTGCACTCGGAAAACAAATACTCGGCCATCGTGGTTCAGGTGAAAGTCCTGCGGCCAGCCGCTGCCGTGTAGTCTCCCGTTGCCGGCAGACAGACAGCGCTTTTGACGACAATGTAGTCGCCGAACCGGTGAGCCGTTGTGCGAATTCAGCCTGAACGTTTTCGCTTCTCGCCGGGAGAGATTTTTCTGTGCCTTGCGCGGTCCCATTGTACGTGTATTCTCTCTGAGAAGTCATTGAGTTTTTTTTTTNTTTTTTTTTTTTTTGGAATTGTCGCCATTTCTCCTTCTTCCCTGTCTTTATTATAGCCCTTGTATGCTTTCAAACTGCTAACAACCCGCAGTGAAGTCCTCCCTTCTTATGGTACATCTATACCTCTCTATTTTCGTTTCTCCCTCTACTTTGGCTCAATTAAAACAATCAACAAATTCTCTATTGCAGAATCTCCGCCGCATAGTCACATCCAATATTCATGCTCACACCACATGTGCGGATTCATGTTCGGACCACCATATTTGTACTATGTGAGTGCTTGGGATGGGTGGCGCGTCAAACATATCCAATTGCCCATCACCTTTGGGCAGCAGGCTAATGTAGAAGAAGGGGGGAGGACGGCGTGTAGGCTCTAGAAAATGAGATCGCTAATGAAAATAGATAATCCTCGACATTTTTAGAGTTCGATTGATTTCCCCCCAAGGCCCCGGTCCACTAATATATAAAATTGTGCCGAGTAGATCAAGCTTCAGGATCCGGCGTATATACACGGTCAAGGTCCCTCCATTAGGGATGCGGAATTTGCGGAATTTCTTCTCTTTCCCCGCCACTGCTCTAAGTGGGTTGGGCGAATAAACTTAATAGTCTGACGCCTTAAAATTCTGTGTTTGGCGAGACTGTTACTACTGGGCAAAGGCGCATCATCGATTTATCAAGCCCTTCCTTCTTGGGCCGAATTTTCAGCATTTATAGGTAGTAAAGACTCCAGCAGATGGGTCGGCATAAATGATCAGTGACTATCCTTATTCCTGACGCGATCTTGAAACTGAGTATGTTTCAGCCTTCTATTCAGTCCGTCTTTTTATACTAGCACCGGTTAAGTAATGCCTGATGGATATCTTCAAAGATGGGCTTGAGATTGTTTGAATGCGTACCGCGCTTGACGGTGGGTCTAGATATTGTTCATCTAGTGGAGCCATCTACAATCTTTTGATGTAGTTGTAATTAAACCGCTCAATATTCATCCAATCAGCAATCGGTTATTCGATCGCATCATCCGATATGGTGTAGTGGCTAACATATGACGCTCTCATCTTGATCCGTCATGCCCGGGGTTCGATTCCCCGTGTCGGAGAATACATATGGACTCATTTTTTTGGCCTCGTCTCCAACTTGTCTTAGTTCGCTGACATTATCTGCACACTCGTGGGGTTTGCTACTGAAAATTTGGAAGTCTTTCAGATAGATGCCGGTTCTCGGAACAAAGTCGCTCGCTGTAGGAAAAGACGCATAATGAGGTTATTTTTTTTTTGTAATTCAAAATGCTCAATACGGTTGATATCATGTTACTCTTTGTCCAGTGAAGACAGGAAAAAATAAAGACATGCATGAAAAGCTGACGACGCCCGCCGTACTCCTTGCGTCCGTGAATCATGACTTATGCTCCAGATTGATCCGACCCGTCACAATAATTCGTCTCCGACATCATCTATTGTTTCTCATCATTGCCTCGACATCAACGTCGACCCATCTCATCTCTCTCGTGGCGGGTTGAGCCATGGCTTGTGGCGGCGACGCCCTCTGTCGCATCTGCTGCCTTACCCGAAGTCGAGGAGTTAGATCACTTGTGATCATGTCGAGTGCTTGTTGCAGCGATGATGAATCCTGCCATCGCTGACCCCAGCGCAGTAGGATCTGATTTGCTCGGTCCAGAGAGTCGAGACTTCGTTGCAGATTATCAAGCCCATAGCCCCCCGGCCGACTTGGAAGTGGTGGCGGTAAGGGCTTGCCAGGCTGTGAAGCCGGAGGTGAGACTGTCACGCCAGCTGCAATAAGGTCCTCGGCCTCGTTGAGCACGGCGACCAGTTTGGTAGCCATGAAGAAGACTCGCAATGCATCGTGACTAGTGTAGAATGCATTCTTGGAGCCATTCTGTACAATCTCATGTAAGCGGTCCAGATAGGCAATTGTGTGTTCGAACACGAGCGAGCGGCGGTAATCCGACATGTTGGGTGCTCGTGATGATTCCATCAGGCAGTACACGTAGCTGTATCGCAATTCCAGGTCAAACATCTCTCTCATGGCTACTGGGAGGCTCATGGGCAAAGCATCCGCCCATTCCCTCATGTCTTGGCACATTTGCCAAATGAAAGAAGTAGAATCCGATATAGGTACAGTATCGGACTGAAACAAGACCTGGTACCAGTGAGACTGCGCCCATCGTAGTTGAAATAGTAGGAATGCCGGCTCCGTGCCCGCCAACATTTGCCCAGTGATGGATGCACGTCGGCTGAATGATTTAGCCCTGGGCCAAGCAACGTTGGTCGAGGCATCTGTGAAGGAGAATGCGCGTGCCTGCACCATACTGATTGACCTATAATGATGTGAGCACAGGAATTGGTTGAACATAGATTGGCATAAGTCTTTACCTGTCAAGGGAGTAGACACAGTAAAAGAGCTTTCGTCGAAAGTCCAGTTGGGCCTTGTCGGGCATTTGCTCGGGTGGTGGGTCTTGATGGAAGCCAAGGTCAACCACAGCTCGAGCTGTGAAGCCGACCAGGTGCCAACTATCAAAGTGCGTGGGATCTAGCATGGAGTATTGAGTGAGTAGTATCAGCGATTGAATCTGTGTAACATAGCCTGGAACCAGGGCCTTGTCGGCATGTTTCATGGCCCTCGACACGAAGTACATGCCATTTCTATAGTGGGCATCATTGCTCGACTGGCTCTGGGCGACGGATCCGATTGCCAGTACCATGAAAACGAGCCAGTAATCGGTATCTTTGATCGACCGATCAGGTTGATTGTATACTTGTTCCAGCGTCGTGTAGAAGGTGGTTTCCGAGAAGGCCGGGTATAGCGAAAAGACATTGTTCATATAGTACTGAACGATGCCGAGACCCTCCTCTCTGGAGGGCGCTGCCCAGCCCTGCGTGTCTGGTAGCGGATCATTTGATGAAGATGCCAGAACGAGCCGGGCAAAGTTCATGTTTGTCATGGAAGGCTCAAAATCTCTTGTTGTGGCATTGATAGATCTTGGAACGGGTTAGCCAATATTTTCACTGGACAATACAGATGCACGCACAAGAAACCAAAGTCGGACATTAAGGAGTTGACGTCCGTGTTTTCCCTTGTCCTTTCAGCTTTCCGGTGAATCGCAGCCCTGATGGTGGCTAGCGAGTCTTTCCGATCTGGCTGCTGAGTAGGAGGTGGTTCTGATTCGTATTGAGCCACTGAAGCTTTCCTAGACCTAGCATATTCGAGCCTTCTCTCGAGCTTCTCGATGCGCAGCTCCAAAGCAGCCACGTAGCTGGCAAGTATATCAGTGAGGGGACATACAAGTCATCGGGGTTTCGATGTCTCATACCTGCGCTCTTTACCACGAGCGAACTGATCATTGGCGCTTGAGCATTCATTCTCGCGGCCTGCCTTCTCACAAGCTGTGCAGGCGGGCAATTTGCCGTCACACTTGCAATCTCAGTCAGCGCATTCTCCAGCAACAAGTGTGGACACGAACTCAGGTACCTTGACCTTGGCCGATCGACCTGTTGAGTGTCAGTATATGCAGGAAGAGCCAAGGACGAGAGAAACCCACATCGCGAACAGGCAGATACAGGCCGAGAAACCCGCAACAAAGGATTATCAGAGAAACTGGAGCGCGGCATCACGGTGGTGGGGGTTGTGGCAGCTGGTGATTTCTTCTCCTCGAGTGGCCGGAACAAGCTCCGGTTCAGTGTGAGCTGTCCCTGTCATGCAACTCAGAAGGCGCGCAAACCTTGGCCGCTCAACTGGAGGCAGAAGTCACCGATGAGGATTGAATCTGTGGCGCGAAAATGCTGGTGAGATGTACAAAGCCAGGCTGTAGGTTTTGCTCTGACGGTGCAACCTGACAGGGCAGGATGACCAAGGTGGACAGCGATTGAAAGAGGGCCAAGTTGCGGTATAGCCGCCGCTTGCTTCACTGGCTGGGCTGCCTTGGGGTAGTCCAGTGACGACAAGATGTCTCCAGCGTATACCGAAGTCACCAGGAATCTACGCAAGTTACACAGAGGGCGTTCCACGGGATGATCTCGCACTCAAAGGTCAGATGGACAGATAACGCAGAAATTTCTGGCAGGTTGAACAGAGCCTCATCAATTGTTCGCAACGTTTGACCGCACCACAGGTAGCAACTCGAAGCAGTTAGGGTAGAGAGGTACGTAATAAAGGCTACAGACCCTGCGGTAAGTAGCACCAGCCTTTAAGGCGCCCGCTCGCTCTTTTTGTGGTGGGTGGGCGGGTCGCGGCTATGATCAGCGACAGGAATTCCGTGGTGGGATTACAGGGGATTTTGGGGGGCCCTGGGCAGCTCCGCCGTATGTGCAGAATGGCAAAAGTCACGAAGAAAAAGGTGGGGTAGAAAGTTATTTGGAACATCAGAGGTGCGCTTAGGGAAACCACCGTCATGTGAGTTTAGATGCGCGATACATACAGTCAGTCAGTGCTGACTATTTACCTACTTAATCAAAGTAGATCCATAACTAGGCAAGGTGAAGTGATCATTTGTTATTAATCTGGACCATTTCACGTTAATCGTGTGCGGAAAAACGTTGCCGCATTAGTTCCAGCGCGATCAAATGGGTACGGTATCTTGGTAATAACAAGTGCGCCTCCATCATGAAATGTAGTGTAGTAGGTACTTCTGGCAGCCTCCTTTACTTCCCACACTAGAGAGAAATGGCTTGCATGTGTAATGCCAGCAATATAGTAGCTGCCTGTCTGCCTTGTTGTCAATAGCCGCGTCCCATCAATCATGCTAGTATACATGATGCTGCTGGTTCTATAGCCGCAGAAGCAGTCCAAGTGTATAAGCCGGGCATCTTTCTGGCAGATAACAAAAGCCTGTTTCTTTTCTCTGTCTCGCACAAAGCCCAATGTGCTTAGGCGATTGATTACACATGCTGACAGCTGCAACAAACACAAGCGACATGCAGCTCGAAGTACCAACCACATTCGTCTACCTATATACTATAACGCACGCTCAATTCACATGTGCCGCTTTGGCGAGGAGGCGATATAATGAAACAGAGCCTTATCTTACTCCATATACTACCTCACGGGCCTCGACTGCCCATTGATACCATCAAGTTCCACCCCCTGTTGTCAGCACTGTTGTGGACTTGATGGCAGGTTTTTAGGTTCCCGCGAACAACTGCCGTACAGTACCTGCCTGGCTTGTCTGATTGTCGGCCAGTTTGATGAGAAGCGCACTACAGAGTACACCCGCTATCATTGGGTCAATCCCAATTGATCTTACTAACGAAACATTGGATTGACCATGTCTACTCTGTACCTACTCTCCACTGATTTTCATATACGCGATGGCGAATCTTGTGAAACGATGAAAATAGATCTATTTCTTCTATAAGAGCCGCCTATTAGATCTCTTTCAGGGCTCGGTACGGACAGGGGTTCTGGACCTCACTTTCACCAAAATGAATAGGGAAATGCCCGCCTAAGCAAAAGCCCCTGCATCTGATCTGTTTCCGGAGATCCTCTTTGGCGCTAGGTCTAAACATAGCGCAGTCACACCGTTTCCGAATTCCCACAGGAGCACAGATGACGCAGGAACAGGATAAGGATATCATGTCCCTGAAGATCTAGATTCTGACAAACGATGAGCCCTTGCCACTACATCTGCCTTTCAGGAACACCACCACCACCACCATCTGGCATCGCTGTCAAGGACGGAGAAACTGAAGAGATAGAGGTTACGGTTGGGGCGACGTGACCGAGTAATCAGAGTCGTTGTTGGCGCAGCTTTGACTTTGATTGGGGGCAAAGACAAGACACGCACCCAGCCTCGACAATGTATCTATCCACTGCAGAGGTGGTATCAGCCACGTGCACGCAGACTGAGCAAGTCAATGCTGGTGGCCAACTAATAATGCAGCTGAGTACAAGAAGTGTGCTGTTCTAGTAAGACGAGACTCTAGGCTCGCAAGCAATTCTCTATTATGGTCGATCTGTGACGTCGAGGACTCTATTCCAGTAAACCAATTCTCTTACACGCCAGAGTCGAACCTCCTGCCTCTTCTCATCCTAGCTGGTTCGTGTTCGAATTATAACGATGTCTTGCCCCCCGGGACTGGGCACGTGCTCGAGATCCAGGTGATTCAACCTAGCACATCAAAGATCTTCTTCCCGCTACGTAACATTCCCTCTCGCCAAGAAGCCAACAATAGTGACAGCTTCACGGAGATTGCATTTAGGAAACAAGCATTCAAGACGGGGTGACGAGTCTCCCGAAGTGGTAATATCGCGGGAGCGGGTACTGTCATTCTAGACCATTTGGAGTCTTCTAGAAGACAGGCCCCTGCTGGTCGGGCTAGCTACCGTCATGGAACTTCTAGAGATGAGGCTATTCGGGAGGGACAATGTCATAACACCAACGCCACCGGTGGTTTGGGCGCCTAAGCACTTAGTCGCCATCGCAATCTTGCTGGTCAGGCCTAGAGAGAGACACTTGAGGAGGCGATCCCGACAGGAAGCGCGTCATATTTGACACATGACAAGATGAAGAACAGCGGACGTCGAATTGGATCCTGACTCGTTGAAGCCCGTGTCCTTGTAACCCGGTAGTAGTGTAGAATGAGGACAGGCACGAACTCCTTTTAGAACCAGGCTAGCGACGGTCCAAGGCCCAGAAAAGGTCGTCGGCAAATTGCCCTTTCCGGCGTGGGAAGAAAAAAAAAATTCCTAGGTTAGATTGAAACCTGAAACGAAACAGCGCCGAGCAGGACGAAGAACAAATGGAGATGACGGGGTCGTGTTTCGACAGCACGGATGCAGAATTGTACGGCAAAAAGAGACTACAATTATACCGTGCGTGTTAAATGAACTTGTCGTGTATCTGTATAGTTGTAATAGTAGTTAATTAGACGTAGGTAAGTGATGTAGTGCACACAAATCAGCGGCTGAATCCTGAAACCCTGTTTGACAGTTCTTGGGCTGCGGGGGGCTGAATACTGATGAACAGAGCCAATCGGTTCTCCACACACCCCAAGGATTTTGTCCCACTCGGTTCCATCATCCCACGCGGCTACCTCAACCCTGATACTTGGTACCATGCCCAGGAAGGTAGGTAGGTACCTAGGTAGGCAGATGTTAGGTATGAACTTCATATGGCTGCTACTACTGTAAGCCAGAGCTTACACACCCTACCTAGATTGTTTGCCTTTGTACTACCTACCACCAACAGTCAACCGGTAGCTGTTAGCAGCACCGTAGTAATGTAGGTAAGGTAAGTTGAAAAAGTAGTGCGAGGGAAGAGTGCCCAAGTAATAGGTCGATGGTAAGGTAGATGAACTCGGGCAGATTTAGCTCTGAGAGTCGCCTGTGCCTTGGCATTCTACCTGTAATAGGAATCTCCCAGTCTCATCTATCGCCCTGCGAGCTAGGTGGTAGTAGTATCCATCGTCGTCCCCTCAGTAAAGGAGACGGGTGAAAGCAGAGAGGGTCCAGCAGAGCAGAGCCTCAGTACAATCACCAAGTACCTTTCGAATCCCGGCAGCCTTCTGTCAATCCAATCCTCGTCACTCAAAAATTTGTTCCATCACTCCTTCCATACGACCTTCGATTTCGCCGTGGGATCCATTTCGTAGAATAGATTGTGGGCCGGGCCACTCACTGATCGACGCTGTCTCCGGCTGGTTAAAATCACCAAAGAGAGAGAGAGAGAGAGAGCGAGAGACTTGAGGTGCGTGCAGTGCAGTGTGTCGAGCGGTCATACAGTAGGCACAGTACCTTAGTGTAGTAGCTCACTGCTTCTGCTCCCCGCGCGCACCCCCCCAAGAACAAACCTCCGCATCCCAACCCGGCACAGCAGCAAAAAACCAATTGCATAGACAACAAACTTCAACACTTCACACGACACAAGAGGCACCAGGAGACACAAACTTCCTTTCCCACAGCCGTCTCGCGCCGATGGACGCCCCAGATGTCTTTCGGCATGTTGAAGGCTTCGGGCTCTATCAACGACCGCGGCCGCCCCATGCTCAGCACCACCACCCGAAACCCGTTCCCCAGCTGCCGAGGGAGCCTTCCAGCGGCGATGGTGAAGGCGAGGCATCGCATCGCATTGCGCATACACTAACGGCTTGTTGCCGTTGTCGCCAGGTAAGCGACCAGCTCTCAAACACTCCACTCCTCCTCGAGGCTACCTGCGTCTCTGTTGTCGAGAAGCTGCCTACCCGCAAGACCGTTGAAGCGTCTGGCTGAGACTCTCCCGCTTATAGAGGAAAACCCGCTGCGACCCTACCCTTCCCCGCTGTCTGCCGTGCGAACGGTCGGGCTCCGTATGCGAGTACTTCGACACCACCAAGGGCAAGAAGATCAGCCGTTACTATGTCGTCAAGCTCCAAGAAAAGGTGCGTGCTCTCGAGGCAGAGCTTGGCCTCTACACCGATGAGGAGGAATTTCCCAAGAACAACGAAGACCTCCTAAGACCCGGTGGTCTCGTGCGCCTCAACGAGTCGGACGAAACTCCTCGGTACTTGGGCCCTTCAAGCGGTATTGCCATGACGCGCATGGTCATGGAAGAGGCCAAACGATATACAGATTCGAACCGCATCTCAGAGCTGGTACCGTCAGTCCGTAACAGAAGACCGATCGCGCCGGAAACCCTCAACACTCTGGCCACAAGGTCCATGTCTTTTAGCATACCGCAGTCCGCCGCGGCAAGAAAGAAGAGTTTCCCAATGATTAGTGGTGTTCCTGCAGCAACATTACCTAGTCGGGTGATTGTTGATCGTTTACTGGAGGTCTACCAACAACGAGGTGAGTAGATTGCGCAGTGTGTCTCATGCTCATTTATCTCATATTTTACAGCTCAAGTTCTTACCCCTGTGCTTCACGAAAGCAAATTGGAGGCCGCAATCCGCGACGTATATAATGGAAGCCAAGATGCCTACCAACAGTTTGTTGTCCGAATGGTCATGGCCATCAGCATGCAAAAGCTCGACACAACCTATGCTGGACTTGCCGATAGTTATTATTTGTCTGCTATGCAGTACTTTGAGCGCGTTGTCCGGCCCAAGGACCTGAAAACACTCCAATGCCTTATCCTTTTGGGCCAGTATTCTCTTCTTACGCCAACGCGTACTGCCGTCTTTTACATTGTTGGTCTTGCCACTAGGATATGCCAACAAATGGGTCTGGCCGACGAGAAAACCATCAGCCTCGGTATCGAAGATCCCTTGACCCTGGATTTGCGACGACGTCTCAGTTGGATTGTCATGACAAATGAGTTCGGATTATCATACAGCATGGGCCGACCAAGCGGGTTTGCCAAAACGGATGACTTTGCCGACGTGGCCTTCTTCTCTACTGTTGATGACAGCCATATTACGGAGAACGGGATCACTCCTGGTCCAGTAGACGACCGTAAGCTGGTCGCCATTCATTTCTGCAAGATGCGATTGCTGCAAAATGAGATTCGAAGAGTGCTGTACGAGAAGAAGCAAGCGACACCGCGAGACGACCGCGACCCGTGGTTCGCTTCGATGGAGAGCAGAATGCAGCAGTGGATCAACTCGACACCCGAGACCCCGGCTTGGTGCAAACCATGGTAGGTCAACCACACACCCAACATGTTGACATATTACTAATAATGTCCAGGTTTACCGGCAGGTACCACACAATGGTGGTTGGGCTACACAGACCATCTCCGCAGGTGCCCAAGCCATCTGCAACTTCAGCTCTTAAGTGTTTTGACTCTGTTGCATTTGTGATCAATATCTCAAGTAAACAAGTCATGGCGTCTGCAATCGACGTTACTTGGGTCTTCTTGCTCACTCTCTACATGTCTGTTAACACCATACTGTGGACGGTGGCAAGTTACCCAGAAGTTCGAGCGGCTCACTCGCGCGACGAAGTCCAGGAGCTTATAAATGTCTGTCTCGACATCATTGATTCGTGCGCGGAACGGTGGCCAGGGACGTCAGCAGCTTCGAAACTGTACGGAAAATTCGCAGAAGCATGTCTTCGAAGTTACGACGCTCGAGGAACGCCAATCATGTCGTCTTCAAGCGTGTTTGGCACTCCCTCGTCGCAGCCTGATACCAATTCCCCGTCATCGGAGGTGACGAATGCGACAACAATTTCCAAGAACAGCGGCCCACCCCCAATGTTCAATCCCCCGCAGTTTGGTTATGTTTTCAACCAGCAACCTGAGCAAGTCCATTTCGACAGCTCCTTTCCGTCGCAACCTGCATTCCGTTCCAACTCCATATTCTTGAACCCTGCTTCCACGGAGCCATCGACGGGCAGACGTTTCAGTTATTTCCCGCCCGACTTCACTCAGTCAACGGAGAACCTCATAATGGAAGAAACGACTCCTCCTGGCACGGAGGCGACTGCTTCGCCGCCAATACTCTCACCGCCAGACCATCTCCCGACACCACCAGACTCAGTGGGCAATGGCTCCTCTGCTACGCCACTGTTTAATACGCCACATATTCCTCCAGTAGCCATGTCAACTCCTGTGATGAAAGCTGCACCACCAGTCGCCATGCCTAATCACCTCATGCAGCAGGCGCCGCCGCCACCGCAACACACCCCACAGGTTGCATTCGCACTTCCAACACTATCATCGCACCAAACCCCAATGGTCCAGCAACGTCCCCTACCGCCAGTGACGTCTGGAACCGATTGGTTCAATCCGCCTCCTCCATTCATCTCACCGTATGCCTTTGGTAATACCAATGGCAACATGTGGAATGGAGCTGGAAACAATGGTTTCAACATGATGGGAATGAACGACAACTCATGGGCAGGATTGCCTCCGGAGAGACAAGGCAGCCTCAACCAGTCTCAGCAGACCGAGCTCATGGACGTACTGGAAAACGAAGGTATGACGGACATTGACACATATCTGAATGGTTTCAACTATGGCGCAAATGATTTATTGAATGGAATCGGCATGAATTGGAATGGGACGTCTTGAATTACTAGCATTTGTCGGCGGCGACTTTGGGAAAACGGCGCAACGGATCATGGGACAATGGCTTGAGTATATCAGCCACACGTTATGGGACCTTCTTTTGGGATATCATTGAATTAGATACCACCTCGAACTTATCCAGCTTGGCGCTGATGTGCGTTTTATCCTTTTGAATTGGGCAGATGTACCCTGAAACATTGTCATTGGCTCTCGGAAACAATTGCAAATCACTGATCGGACTGCTTTTGCAACTGACTGCAGCAGTATTTTATCTCTTTTTTCTTACGAGATCAAGACGTATGCTTGAAATCGTAATAGTCTCTTCCCGCTCCAGGCCAGTTCCGACACAATCTGCCAGTATCTTGATACCGATGAAGATCAGCCGCGGAGCCTCCGAATCTCTATCGGACCCATCTGGACAAGCGGAGATTTTCGTCAATGCCTCCCGATCCCTGGTTTATTCATCGGCACCACAGGGAATGCAGACCGAGAAACTTACTTACCAATCTGAAAGTAATATCATGGGCGCCGTGCGAGTCAAATATAAACCTCCTACCATATACCGCGCTGTCGAAACGGCCATGATGTCAACCCAAACGCCACACTCTTGATTTGGTGATCTGTCGATGCAGTTCTCGGCAACAATGATTGGGCGTGTCCTTGCTGTTCTGCCTTTGGCTTTGCTTTTGCCTGGTGGCCACGCCATATGTCTACCATCCTCGTCCACCTGTGCCTCCTTCTTGGGACATACATTCTCCAACGGCACTGCAGTAGTTCATACTGCCGAGACTATAATAAATGGCAGCACATTCACAGGCACTTCTGCCAACGCCGACTACAATGACCCTCAGCTGCTGGTGCCTCAAGCTTGTCGTCTTGGACTCACCATTCGGACGACCACCAATTCGTCGGTTGAGGCGGAGATCTGGTTACCACCCACAGCAGAATGGAACCAAAGACTTTTGACTGTGGGCAATGGTGGATTTGCTGGTGCGATAAACTACCCAGACGTGGTCTGGGGACTGCGCAAAGGATTTGCTTCAGTGTCTACCAATACTGGACATGCATCAAACAGCAGTGATGGCAGTTTTCTTTCCTTTCCAGAGCAAAGCATCAACTGGGGCCACCGCGCTCTCCACGTCTCTGTCATGGCCGCCAAGGAGGTCGTCTCCAGCTATTATGGGAACAGTACCGGAGGAAAGCTATATTCGTATTATGCTGGGTGTTCGACTGGAGGTCGGCAGGGGCTCAACGCAGCAGAACGTTACCCAGAGGACTTTGACGGCGTCCTGGCCGGTGCTGTTCCCTGGCAAACGCATGTTGCGGGCTGGCAGACGTACGTGGCACTTTTGCAGTTTCCAAACACGAGAGCGAGCTATATCCCAGCCACCAAGTGGCCCTTTGTTGCCGCTGCCGTCCTAGAGCAGTGCGATCTCCTCGACGGCGTCGCCGACGACATCATCATGGACCCGTCCAAGTGCACCATTGACTTTGCTGCATTGACGTGCGGCACGGGCACGCTCAACTCGACTGCATGCCTCAGCGACGAGCAGGCGGCTAACTTGGAGAGAATGTACACCCCCTGGCTCGCCAATGGAACCACGGGCGAGTTGGTCCACCTGGGCATCTCCCCCAGCGGCGAGGCGAGCTTCTCGTACCTCATGAACGGCGACGAGCCGCAGTTTGGCCCCACGTGGTTCCGGCACGCCATCTACAACGACTCGGCCTGGGACTGGAGCACGCTGACGGCCGCCGACATTTTCTTCTCCGACACCATAAACCCGGGCGGCGCCAACGCCTACGACCCGGACCTGCGCGCCTTCGGGGACCGCGGCGCCAAGATTCTGCACTACCACGGCTACGCGGACCCGTTGATCCCGACTCTGAGCGCCGCGGCTTGGTATGCTACGGTCCAGGACTTTTACGGCGCCCACGGTCGGGCCGGGGAGGTGGAGGATTTCTACCGCTTATTCATGGTACCCGGAATGGGTCATTGCTCCAGTGGCGCGGGTGCTTGGGTCCTGGATGCCGCCTCGCAGAGCGGTGCGGTGCCGCCAGTCGAGGATGCTAGTCATTCAATGTTATACTCCTTGGTGAACTGGGTCGAGGGGGGTAGTACGGCAGCTCCCGAATCGATCATCGGCACCAAGTATGTGGAAGATGTCGCGCCCTCGGTGCAGTTTCAACGACCAATCTGCAGGTGGCCGGCTGTGGCAGAGTATGATGGAGTTGGAGACGCGGATGATTCTGAGAGTTGGTCTTGTCCTGTTGTTTGAACTTGATGAGAGTTGGATAATCTCTTTTCAGATATTCTACTGATTAATCTTACAAACTGTATCCGTATTGGGCATTTGGCTTCAGGCTGGCAGCGACTCAAACCATGTCTAACACCTCAAGACATGATCTTTTCGTTTCAGGGAAGTAATGACCTAAGCTAATCCCTCTGTTTCTTCGCGAGATTATCGTTGCCATTATCACATTATAGTATATATCTTATTCGCTGGGGTAATCGTTTGCGCACTGGAGGCGTGATTGGTATGCTGCCCGCATCTTTCACGCTGATAGTATACTGTGTATTCAACTTGAATATTTTCCAGATTTTTAATACAGTATTCATAGCTGTACTAAACTGAGAAACCGAGGCGACAACCGGTAAGAGTGTGCTGACTTCTAGTCAGTCAATATTACAATCACAATGGTGTCCGTGTCTGATTATTCAGCCACTAAAGACGTCTTTTTCCTTTGTATTCATGTCATCCCGGATGATAGAGACCATATAGTCCCAAATGCTCAGAACTAGCTACAACAATGGACAAACATGATGATAGTCCATTTAATACCCTTCTTGCACAGGCCAGTGATACACCCACCTGAATAGTCCCCTGTCAAGCAGCCAGCTTGGAGTAGTAGCGCCCGACAAAGCCGAGGCGGGCAGCTAATAGCCCGCCCAGGCCCCCGGAATAGCGCCACGCAAAAGCCTTTGATTCGACAAGACAAGATGCTAGGAGTAAAGAGGATCCGAGTCATACGTACATCGACGGCCATCACTCGCACTCGCATCGGTAACACAAACCAAGGTTGTGGGGGTGAGACACGGATGCAATCGTATAGTATGTATACGGTTCTTACGGCTTATGCATGCTTGCTTAGGTTCCGCTGGGCTTAGCCAACTCAATACCTACAGATTCATGTGGGTGGGTGGGTATGATGTTAGCTCCGCCTTTGTGGGAATTTGGAGATGAACGATATAAACTGTTATAAGTCTAGGATTATTCCTGGTCTACTCTTCTCGTCTTTCACCTATGGACAAAACTCTTCCGTCTACTACTAACACCGAAAATACAACCAAACAATTGTCATCATGGCAGAAGTACCAGTCGTCCAGATCCTGCAAAAGGATAACTATGCCAACCAGCACATCGTCTCATTGCCGGATGAAGTGCCTTACCCGCCGCTCACCAACCCATCCTCATTACGGATCCGCACCAAGGTCTTGAGTCTGACTGTCAACAACCTCACTTACGCCAAGCTTGGCTTTCTGCTCAAATGGTGGGACTTTCACCCATTGCCGCCCAGCACGCCCTCGGCACTTAGTGACCCGGCCAAGTACGGTCGAACCAACTGCTGGGGTTATGCAGAGGTGCTGGAATCCACGGTCACCAGCGTGTCCAAGGGCTCTTATTTGTTCGGATACCTACCGCTCGGAAACCTGGCCCAGGACGTGACCGTCAAGGAGGGCGAGGTGTCAGGTCAGGTCTTGATCACCAACGACTACCGCCAAGGGATCATGCCCATCTACAACCGTTACCTTGTTTTCCCGGCGAGCCTCAGGGAGCAGATTGATGCCAAGGCCGACACCGTGGCCATGGACGCCGCGGTTCGGATTATGTATGAGACCTCGTATCTACTTAACCACTTTGCTTTCGCCGAGAAGTCCGACGACATCCTGCACCCGGCATCAGACACCAGCCGGCCGTGGGGTACGGGCGAGGCGGACCTGGCTGGAGCCACCGTCATCCTGTTTGCGCCCGGATCCAAGGTGGCGGCAGCATTTGCATTTGAGCTCCGGCACGCGCGGAAGCAGGCCAAGGCCAAACGGATTATTGGCGCCGCCAGCGAGTATTCCAAGAGCTTTGTCGAGGGCACGGGTCTCTACGATGAAGTCGTCAGCACGAGTTCCTCGCCCACGGAGCTGCTGGCGAAATGGCAAGTGGGTCCAGAGGATCGGGTGGTGATTGTCGACTTTGGCGGCCGCGCGGGCGTGGCGCCGAAATGGGCCGCCGAGATTCAAAAGACCAACAGCCGCTTCACCATTCTCAGCGTCGGCCCGTCCATAAGCGCCAGTTCGCCTCAGGATGTCCTTCAGTCAATGGGATCGGCGACGGGCGGCGCCATCATCTCGTCGGCCAATGACATGCGGTCGCGGGCCATAGAAAAGCTCGGTGAGCAGGAATACTGGAAGGGCCTGAACTCTGCCTGGGAGGGTTTTCGGAACCAAGGCATCAAGGGCTTAAAGTTCAAATGGGGCCACGGCATGGATGATGTCAAGAAGGGATGGGATGCCCTTTGCACCGGAAGCGTTGTACCAGAGGAAGGCTTGGTATTTCTACTATAGGCTTGCATCCCAGCCCTCGTCTTTGAAGGTGATACCATGAATGATGAAATAGCCGTTTTCTGGAGTTCACTACTATCGGACTCGAATTCGTTGCATAATTTCTCTCGGGAAAGAACTACAGGGAGACCTAGGAGTCCTCCAATGTAACTTCCGGTATAGTAGGGGACCATTTCTTCGTTGCCGAAATTGGATTGGTACTTTTGTCAAGAAACGACCATCAAAGTCACAGAACTCGTAGATATTCGAGTCTATCTTGAGGAAGAATGATTGCCCCGCGGCTCTCTGTGATTAAGAATCTGCGGTCTAACCCATATCTTTTGGGAATCGATCTTGCAGTATACTTTAAACAGCATATCGAACTGGGATATCAAGTAGCGACCGCACACATCAATTATCTTGGAAACAGTGGGCTGTGGCTTCAAATTTTGTCGTGCTGTGGACTCGGGTCCAAGCAAGCCATGGCAACTGCCACCAACACGACTGAAAATGGACACAAAATCGTGACACCTGACAGCGTGTTTAAAACACAAACTCCAACATCCCCCCGACTTTGCTCTAGCACCCCAGAAATACACGAACCATCTCTATTGTGTTTGGAGGCCGTGATAACTACCCCCTCGCTATTGCTTGCAACGCATGATCAACATTTCCAAATTTACCGATATTGACAGCTGGTACACAAGCCTCCTACTATATCTTAAATTGCTACATCTAATGCCATCCTAGGAACGAACGGCCAGCCCAATGGAATCCCGAGAATTGACGGCGTCGTACCTCCTAGAAAAGTCGGCAAGAGAGTATGGACGTTGGTCCTCATTATTACCATGGAATCGCCTATGCGAGAGATACCCATACATCAGATATCCGCCATGTCCACCGCAGGATGAGAAGTGCACATGCGCTGAGAGCAACAATGGACCAGAACTACCTTTGTTGACCGAGGAATACATGTTGGACGAGGACACGGAGGTCAAGGACCCGCCTGAGCCAGAGCATGAATCTCCCGTGGTCACCTACTTCAAGCGATACAAGGATCGAGCCAAGATAGCCTTTGCGTCCACCAAAGACCTCTACAACCCCGGACTTCCGGCCCAAGGCGTGTTTTACACAATCCCAGAGATTCTCGAGCTCTTTACCGACCGCCGGATGCAACGACATGGAATCATAATGGAGGGGCTACCAACCCAATTTCCCCTATCAGAGCAAGCTGATAAGTTTTATCGTCGGTGTAAACACTACCATCCCTACTATTGTCTGATGCCTAGTGTGATGCACTATATTCAAAATGATATCATTGGCAAGTCAGGCTATTGTCATTTCATCAATACGAAAGGGAAGCGATGGTGGCTGCAGGTTCTAGAGGGGAGTATCCGGATTGCCTGGCTTGGATCCACTACAAGTGATGAGCCTATTCTATTGGGAAACGTGAACACAGCAATGATGCCAGTGAAGCCTGGATACGATGAAGTGACGTTTTTCAAGGGCTCTGTCGGGCATTTCCAGAGTATCAGTTATCTGAAAATCACTTTTCTAGAGGATGCTGTACTCCATCGCGGTTGGTTACTGGAGCCGGATCTAGCAGGAGAGTCCGATTTTCTCATACGAGTAGGGCTGGACGGGATGCCTGAACATTCTGGCCGGGAGTATGAAGAGTTTCTTGCGGCTGAAAAAGCCAAAGCGGCACAAGATCCTCCACGGGACTAGAAAAGAGTTCAACAATACTCAGCATCGTCATGACTAGGTTTGGCACAAAAGCTCAGCGATAGATACAAAATGCAATACAAAATATTTTTCAGCGACGTAGAGCCGTTGTATCAGTTGTTTTTGCTTCATATGGGATAGTATCGTTTCCGGCGTTCCAAAGATGCAATTGCTTACGGTCTTGGTGGAGTAAGACACCATTCAGATATTATAAGAGCATACCAAAGTCAATCGTTTCCTCAAGCTACATCCGCCATTTTTACTTGATAGCAATCCTCGTAGTCTTCCATTCGAGGGGCCGAGATTTTCCCATTATTGCTCAATTGTCGTTCACCAGGAATTGTTGCGTCTTTCATCATTTCTTGAGTCCACTGCTGATCAGGCCCTGAACTTCCTTTAGCACTGCCTGATGCACCTCGCCGCTTCTTGCGACGACAAACCCCCAATTTCCGTCGGCAAAACTCCTTTGGCCTTTGGAAAAGTCAAATTTCTTTCCAGCGCTGTCAGTGACGGTCCCTCCCGCTTCTTCCAAAATAAGCTGGCCGCCGGCGTGATCCCAGACGGAGGCGTAAAACTTTGGATCACCGGGGATGCGAAACGTGGCGTCGGCGGCATTGAGGGCAATGGCAATGTACTTCATCTGCATGGCCCAGACGTCCTCGGGCCACAAGCTGTCGCTGAGCGTGGCGGAGCGGTGGGAGGCGTGGGGAAACGCCGTCCGGTAGAGGTACTCGTGATGCCGCTTGGACACGTGCGATGACTCTTCCGAGTCAATAAAGCGCAGCGAGCCGGGATACGGCGGCAAGGTGTCCAGCTTGGCGGTCCGGCGGGCGGCGTGGTCTGCAAAGTTGTCTAGCGGCACGAAGAAGGTGCCTTGGCCGGCTACTGCCCCAACAATGATGCCGTTGCCTTCCGTGTCGACAATATCCTCCGTGACTAGGGGTGTATCGGGGTCGTACAGGAGATTGGGGCAGCCGAGCGCGGCGACTTTCTGGACGCCGTTTTCCAACAAGCAGAGACACACGGCGTACTGCTGGCCCTTCATAAAGGTCTTGGTGCCATCGACCGGATCCAGAATCCATGTCCGGCTTTCAACGATTTCCTTGGACGTCTTGCTGCCGAGGTCAATCAGGTCCAGCATCTCCTCCTTGGTGCTCGGCACGGGCAGGCCGTCGAGAGGGCCGACGGAGAGGACGAGATCCCAGACCCGCTGTAGCAGGTCGGCATTGCCCTTGAGAATGTCCGAGGACTCCTCGGCGATAAAGACGTCCTCTGGGAATGCGTCGTGTACGGCGCCGATTAGGAGCGCCTGGGCGGCAAAGTCGGCAATGGTGACGGGCGTGGCATCGCTCTTGTCCGACACGCCTTTATCTTGTCCTTGACGTTGGACCTTCTTGGTTGCCAGACTAGCGCGGTGAACTGCTCGGAGAGCCACATCCAGTTCCCTTTCGTATGCCATTGTCAAGTCCACTCCTTACTTTCCACGAACTCAACAATATGGTAGCTCAATCAGAGCCGGTATTTGAACGAAACAAATGTATCGAGGTTGATAGAATGACCGACCAAAGTCAATGTTTGTCTTTTTTTATTCCTGATGACACCCCAACAAAAAAGGGCGATCGAACGTGGTATGACGTCCCGAGAGTGCACATCACAGAAGCGACGACCCCCAGTTGCGGTGCGGCGTCATACAGCTGCCCCTAGCCACATTTGAGTCTTTTTTTTGAGAGGTCAATATAAATTTTGCACAATTTTACTTTCTGCGATTTGTTCGGTGCATACAACATGGTCAATTAATGAAAACACGGCACATAATGTCAGCAATTATAATTATGACAACTTATCAGCAATGACGATGATCCTAAGCTCGTCGCTAAAAACTTCTGTGTAAAGTAGCGGGGCTATCTTGGTTCCCCCATAATAAAAATAGCGGGGTAATAAATCGTCTAACTTAGGTGACCTGCTACCTTAGTCAATACATTAAATATACCTCGAAGCCCCTAGGTTAGGTTAGACCCTTCTGAGCTTCACCCCAAAACATCATACGCCAGATTGGAGATCTTCTCATACATGTTAGCTAGATCTAGGTAAGGAAGTGTATTCTACACCGTGCTCGCTCAACAAGAGAGAAAACACACGAGCCTCGAATTTGCCCGACGTTGGCTCACCATCAAGCGCCGCGTTTCCTTCTAAGCCCTCTCAAGATCACCACAAATGGCCCTTGTCCAACGCGGGATATTCTGGCAGCTGCCACTTTCCCTGTTCGCCTTCCAGGTCAAGCATTTGGTGCAACCCGAAATATGATATTACTTGGCCAATGAAAAACATAATGGAGATCATGAAACGTGACTTTGGCATGAGGAAATTCTCCGGCCATTGGCTCTTGTTGTGCCCTGCCGTCGACACGGGGCGAAACAGCTTTTCGTAATTCTTGGCCCCTTGTACCACGGCGGCTGTCGGAGGCGAGCTGCTGTTTGTCGCCAGCAGCGATGCAATCTCGCCGGCGAGCACATAGGCCGCGACTATACCCCACGTCGTACCGAAGCCATTGGCAGTCTGGCTGTGTGCAGCATCTCCCAGTAGGACGACTCTTCCCTTGGACCACGACCCCTCGGGAAGCCTGATTTCCTCTTGCGGCGTCGAGTAGAGGTCGTCTGCCTCGGGTGCGTTCCGCAGGGCATTGGTGAATCGGGCGCACTGCCATCCACCGTCTTCATATAAATCAGCCCAGGCTTTCTTGAGCGCCGCCAGGTCCCCGGACTTGTGGGCCTCGTCGAGCTCCTTGACATTGCCGCGCGAGATCATGTATACACGAGTCAGTTCTGGACAATCCTTTCTCGTTCCAATGGCCCGGGTAGTTGAGCCTGGCAAAAAGGTGCCCGTAAACCAGTCCGAGTCACTGGGGTCTGATGGGATGCTAAAGAAGGCAATGTTGCCTCCCAGGCGATGGCGAGGGTCTGGTGCATCGGGTCCCAGCATAATCTTGCGTGTCCTAGAACCAGTCCCATCGGCAGCGACCACCAGGTCAAAATCCTCCTTGCGCCCATCGCCAAAAGTGACGTGCACTTTGCCATTGGGATCAGATTCGTCGTCTTGTGTAAAATCTGTCACGGTCGTGTTGTAGAGATGCTGTACGTTTGGCTGGTTCTCGGTCAGCCCGTAGAGGATCTGAACGAAGTCGCGACGCATTATTTCAAACTCGGAGGTAAAGAACTGTTTCCCGGAGCCGGGCTTGCCGACTGGAAACTGGAATTTAACCCGGCCTTCATTGTCGACAACTTGCATGCCTTTTTCAGGGACAGAGGCTGCGCGTATAGCCGCTTCTATACCCATCTTTTTCATTACTGGAATACCTTGGGCACGTACTACCAGAGACAGGTTATTAGTAACTCTGAGAGTAGATCGGATGTGGACGTAGAAATGTAATAGGTATCACGTACAATCCAACTGTTGTCCAGACGCTCGTTTCTCTGGTGAGCGCTCAATAAGGGTAATATTGGCTCCAATGCGTGACAGCCAGTGGGCAAGCGCTGGGCCAGCGATGCCACCACCCACTATGAGAACTTTCATCGGCGCCATTTGAAACTTCAGCTAGTCAAAGTAATCGCTTATAGGATTCTAAGTTTTGAGAAATATATAATTAGCAAACTGGTCAATGTAATGCAGCACGAAACAAGGGGAGTATTGATGCCAAAAATGAATGCCTTAAGTAGTCGCCAAGCGCCAACACGGATTATACAATTACACGGCGGCTTTTAAGATGGCTCGGACACGGTGCGGACATAATAGTCGTTCGGGGGCTATCTGACTAGGAGAAATTCGGGGTGGGTCGGCCCCGAAGACCATCCGTCTGACACAAGAATGGCGGCACAGTAGAAACAAGACAGGGAATCATAGGGCCAAAATCTACGACTCAATGACTTGAAAAGGTAAGAATCATGATTTTGATCCCATCATAATTACGCTTCGTCACCAGGCTGCCAGGTGAGTCACTGTATCTTTGGCACATTTGACGAAAATAAGACTGATTTTCCAAATGTTCAAGTCTGATTGTCCGAAAATTCCGCGGAATTCATGGTATACCATTCAGACAGTAGAGCTGAGCAAGTTTTGCTATAGCCAACTGTCTGAACGAAAAACCACTAACTTATTACAGACAAGTACAACCAGGTGGCATGACGGTTACGGCACGGTCCCAGTTATGAGATTGTGTCACTGCTGTGGCTGCTCTTGAATCAGATCATCTTGACCCCTGTATTACGAACGTGTCTTTTTTTTTTTGCTTTGTACGCATAGAAGAACCATACGCACGTCGCAGGGCATCAGCCATGTGTCTGATTCCAGTTGTAGGTCGGTTTGGCTAGACCATTGTAGCCACGGCGCTGGTGAAAAAAGATTTATGAAGACTTTCTCAATCATTGTGCCGTCTGACCAATTAATAAGAATCAACGTTTTGCTCAAAGAGGGATTCTTGATTCTGGAGTGTTACCAGAGCTAAGAGCACCTCCTCTCGCCTGCAAGAAGTCTCTTACAATTTTGTGACCTGTATCAAATTTACATAATATTATACTTCAATGATGGCATTAGAACAGATGGCGAATCCATTCGAGGCATGTACTTCAAGGACAGTAACAACGAGAAGAAAAGGATGACTGGCAAATCAGTTATTAAATCCGGCACGAGGTCACAGAAAAAGACACAGAGAAAAGCATCACCAATTTACGCGAGCCTTCAAGTTTAAACAATTATGCTACTCTAACTTACACGACATAAGAACAAGCGAAGCTAACTCCTCCTGTGTTTGTCCCCTACAGTATTGTGGGGATTTGGAGATCTATTCCAACTAAAGATCAACATCCCGTCTGCAATCCAACGTGAAAGACTTGCTGAGAAACCCTTACGCGCCCAGCCAAGACAATCTGGGGAAACCTGCCTGGGGCCCACAGCGTCAGGTACGGCCCGAAAAGTTCCAGGAACATTGGACGAAAAGAGACATCGTCCGTTAGAGTTGGAGTAGCTCATTTGTTGGAGATCACGTTCCAAGATACCGACAGTAGGGCATAGTCGGCAATCGTTAATTACTCCAGGTTCCCCCGCATCGGGCGTCCCTATTGATGAGGGAAGCGGGGAAGAACCCGGACAATAGCATCTCTTGATAAGTAGAATAGCCAACTTGAAACCCAGCAAAGCTCTAGGCAAATACGACGTCAGACGGACTGCAACTATTCGTTTGAAAGCCACCAATATACGTTGGCCGAGCAGTCCAATAGACGCCGTATAGAACGAGGCGAATAACACATGCTTGCCGAAAAGGGTCTCTTCAGTGGAGGAATCGTTCCAGCATTTACATAACTAATACTACCCTGCCAACCTTCGTAGCCTGACCGGGCATGTAGAGCTTCAGCGATAGTCTTGGAACCCTCATAAAGTTTAAAGAGTTTGTTTGAGGAGCCGAGTCGGACAGGGTCTATAGTGTTCCTTTTGGGGGCCTGCCGGAATGCCTTGCTGACCTTTCGCTTATACCGCCGCGTACCTCTGAGGCGAAGAATGATCACGATATGCCGTGACTGATGACGGAATGCCGGCTTGGGCAACATGTGAAGCTTGCTGAGCCGCGAGCTCAGTGCAATTTCCGAAATATTCACAAGCCAAAATGAGCAAGTCAGCCGAGGATGGAAGCGGCAGGTATGCTGGCAATAGTATAGATGTAGTGGAGAATTGGGCATATATAGAGGATGAAAGCTCGGAGCAAGAGATGGAATTTGAATAGAACGCAGTACCAGCCTCAATCAAGCACTTCATCGTATCAAACAATCTCAATCTCGCAAATCAACTTGACAACCGCCAACATGGTCAACGTCGCTACTCTCGCTCTCTACGCCACAGCTGTGCTGGGCGCTGCCATCCGCCGTGATGTCGCCGAGACCCTTGCCGATCTTCAAGCCATTGATGCCTCGACGAACTCGCTGACCAGCACCATCAACTCCTGGGACGGCTCCGTCGTCGGCGCCCTTACCATTTCCTCTGCAGCCACCGCCGTGGGCGACCAGATCGACGCCGCCAACGACGACGCCTCCGATGAGAGCGTCGCCTCGAGCGAGGACTCGGCGACCATCATTGCGTACATCACCGAGACTGGCGAGCCCGACATCAAGGCCTCTCTCGACGCCCTGGTCGCGCGCGAGGCCGACTTTGAGTCTGTCGGCGTCGCTGCCGTTGTGCTGAGCCAACTCCAGACCCTCAAGAGCAAGACCGATGCCTACGGTGCCACTCTCCTCTCCATCACCTCTACCGACCAGCAGGATGCTGCCAGTGCTGCTCTGGCCCTGCTTGATTCCGACTTTGACACTGCCATTACCGCCTTCTCTTAGATGGCTCGACAATCATGTGGAGGACTGAGTAAAGCAATAAAAGCTGCTCGGGAAAAAGAAAAAGAAAAAAGGGAAAAACAATGATTGCGCTTGCTTGATGAAAATTGTCCATGTACATAACTGCACAGCAATAAGCACGTTTCTTTGAATTGACTTATGTTCTCCTGGTCGAGACCAATTCAGGTCCCAATAGTGTTATGAATGCTTTTATGAATGCTATCCATTGTATGTTTGTTATTTAGTGAGACATGATGTGATATAGCTTGGCGCAATGCCAAGTCTCAGACTGCGATCTGGAGTATACTGTGAATAATCTCTTGTTCAGGCATCAAGTGCAGGCCAGATTCAGTGTTGTGGGTTGACGACGACAGCAGGCATGAAAGAAGCAAAAAGCTGGGCGTTGACTTGAAGTCCTGCAAATCATGAGAATGCTGACGTATCAAGTGTTCGTCATTGTTACACGACATCGAGGCTCGAGAAGCAGCTTCCACACACGGCATTGAGACCCTGTGTTGGTTGGGAGGGTCGCTTGCGGAGAATCACCGGTGCGCGTAGGCAGTCAGTACTCAATAAAGGTATCCACCGTCCTTTGCTAGCTGCGCCACAACTTAGCTAAGCAATGTGCACCGCCTCAAACTCCATTCCTCCGCTACAGCGCGTTGGTTGTGGCGTCCATCCAAACCGCGAAGTGAATTATTGGATTGCTGGTCTGTCGCTTGCTACACCTCAAATTCATTTGATCGCGATTACCTAGCCTACGCCCTGCTTAACGCGACACCAACAGCTGTCTTGTCCACAGCTTTTAAGCTTACCGGACTCGACGATTTGACCACACCCAACGCCATCAATTCATTGCGAGGTAGTGGCAATTTCTTCTTTCTCGTATCCAGCTGCGATTGGCCTCTTCCAGTGCAAAATATCCGGCAGCGCACGAGCGCCAGCCCCCCAGTCTACCATTCCCAAGTTGCGAAACCAGAATGCGCTGATCGTCCCCGGACGTAAACAACACGATGGAAGGTCAAAATCCTCCCCAGGCTTTCCTCTCGAGCTATGCGCCACGTCTGCGCGTATACAACAACTCTCTCCTCAACCCGGTCCTTGCTGCAGCGCCTGGCCCTCAGTCGCGAACCACAAAGCGAGGCACCACCCTCATCAACTACGCCGAGGACGGCTATGATTACGAAGATGATGATGACGATGATAGACGCCGCCCGACCGGACTACGAAGTCTGCGTCGCGAGGACAGCACTTCCGCCCTCACCGCAGCCGCCAAAGTAGGCAAGGAGGCCAGAGCACCAGTTGGCGTGCAAGGAATCTGGAGAGAATGGATGCTCAAGGACAAGAAGCGCTCCGACCTTGGCAACCAGGCGCAAGCTCAGCTTCCAGTTACGCTGATTCCTATTCGTATCGATGTCGACATACCGGCATTTATGCCTGCGCCGGCCTACCCTCTGCCCCGAGGCGTGCAGCAGATCACTCCCCAGATGGATGCATCACTCTATAGAAATGGCGAATTGACGGTGGCATACAAATTGAGAGACTTTTTCCTATGGAATCTCCACGAAACCATTATCACAACCGATCAATTTGCGACAAACCTAGTCCAAGATCTCGATCTCCCGAATCAGGTAGCCATTGCCAACGAAATAAGCAAGCAAATACGAACACAGCTGGAAGAATATGCTGGTGTCGCTCTACATCCACTATTCCACTCAGAAGAGACCAAGACTGCACCAGCATCAAACGTTGCAGCAGCAGCATCAACAGCACTCCAGGCCGTCGCACGCGACAGTCCAATTGCACCACCAACGCCACTTCCAGCCTCGGTATCCAACCTTGGAGGTTCCAGCACACCTCTTGCTAACGGGGCAGAGACTCCTAGCAAGGCATCTGCTTCGCAAGCTCCCGAAGTAACTGCTGTGGCAACACCTGTTCCTGCTGATGATGGCGACGAATTTAGTCCTGATGACACATACCGCTGCCTCGTCACTCTCAACATGAACCTTGGATCCAATCTATACACTGACAAATTCGAATGGTCGCTTTTGCACTCTCCCGGCACAGCCGAGGCATTTGCCAAGGTCACATGTACCGATCTTGGCCTCGCCGGCGAATGGGTACCGGCATTAACGCACGCGATCTATGAAGCTGTCTTGCGTTTGAAGAAGGAGGCCTGTGAGGCTGGTGGTCTGGTCACTGGCTGGGGCGCGACAGGCACCGAGTTCCCCAATGATGCAGCCCACGGGGCTGAAGCCGGTTGGCGTTATGATCCGGAGCATCTCGCAGATGACTGGGAGCCCAAGATTGAGATCCTCTCCAAGGACGACATGGAAAAGCGTGAGGGCGACCGTGAACGACAAATCCGCCGCCTCCGCCGCGAGACGGCACGTTTCAGCAGCGTCGCTGGAATGATTGGTGGCACGCCAGTTGGCAGCAGCTTTGGCGTGCAGGAAGAAGAAGAGCGCATGGGACGTGGTGAGCGATCCAAGAAGAAGCGCAGATTCAGAAGTCTGAGTCCTCTCAATCGATCAGGAACTCCTGGCGGTTGGGGAACTCCTGATGTCGGCTACGGTGGCGGCGGTGCCGGTTCCTTGACAGACCAGGAGAGGTACAATTGGCGCTGCACACATTGTCGCATATGGGGAACAAGCGTCTGGGCAGTCCGCGATGGCCCATATGGACCAAGAGTAAGTCATTGAAATTGGAAACCCCCGGAGCAAATCATACTAACCAAGAAACAGTCCCTTTGTGCCAATTGTGGGCTACTTTACGAGAAGAACAAGAGACTTCCTAGGTGGACTCAAAATCTTCACTACATGGATCATCGGCCATTTTAGCAAGATGTAGAGCCCGAGAATTCTAGTAGATCGAAGAAGTCGGCCACAAGCTTGAACGAGTCGAATAAGCGGCGAGATGTATGAATATGGCGTTTGGGTAGCGTGGAAACGGAAGGAAGAGTGAAAGTCTTTCCTCCCGCATGTTTTACTGGCGGTTCGTGCTCGGTGTCTCTTGTATAGTATAAGAGACTAGGCGTTGCACTGGCAAATGACAGTGCGATACTAATACAGTATTCATATTGGAATGATGGGCCGAGAAAAGAATCCAAGAAATTATTATTTCTAGCTCACGAGGTTGTCACAGACATTTTGCCCAGGTGCGCCATCTATGGTAGAGTTGGCTTGTGAAAGTAAGCAGGAAACACTATAGAGATTGTGAATGTTCCGTAGCATATTGGACATGGCTTTGGTGAGCAACCAAACCGCTCATGCCCGGCGGTTATACATGACTCAAGTTCGCGCGGGCCTATTATAACACAAACATACTCCACAATGACTTACACTAGACGCTCTGGTAGATTCATCATAGAAACCGTACAAAAGTATCATTGAAAACAGGTACATCGTTTTTTATCATACAAAAGTGCACGTTGTGCTCACTGCTCTGCCGCCGCCTACTGTCATTCAATCATTCATTCCAGGACATTGCTCGCCGCTCTACTTCTTCTGCTCAGGCGGGGGCGCACCACCAGTGGTTGGGAAGCCCATGAAGACCTTGAAGTAATCGTAGATCATCCACTGGAGACCAGTCAGGGTACCGACCATGACGATACGCACGGGCAAACCATTCCAGAGACCAGCAAAGCCAATATCACGGTAGTTGCGGGCAACGGCGGCACCGAATGCCTCGCCGGCGCCGCGGTTGGCGTTGAGCTTGGAGACGAGCACGTCGGCCGGGTGCGAGACCACGGCGCAGAGGATACCGGCCAGGTAGCCACCCACAAACGAGACGCCCGTCTGTGCCGCCTTGGAGTAGTCGCTCTTTTCGCCGGGCAGCTTGTGATAAATGGCCTCGACAATGTTTTCAAAGGAAGCAAACTTCATCATGGTGTAAGGGATCTGTCGGCCCCAGAGCGGGTACAGGCCCTTGAAGAGCCCGCCCGTGCCCTCGGCAGCCGTGATCTTGGAGAAACCGTCAAAGGTGCCCTTGTACGCGGCCGGGATCGTGGTCTGCATGCGGACCTTGACGGCCTCAAAGGGACACAAGGCAATATCGGCAAGGAACTCGGCCGAGGCCGAGGCGGCGAGGTAGAGTCCCGTCTTGTACTTGTAGGCGGCCTCGGGGCCGGCCATGTCGGCGTACGTCTTCTTGAAGTATTCATACCAGCCGTACTTGAAGGATCCCTGGGCCGAGTAACCCAGCAGCGTCGGGCCCCAGCCAGTGAAGATACCGCGCAGGCCCTCGGCGCGGTAGATGAGGCCCCAGGCCTGGAAGTTGCCCTTGTACAGCTTGGCGTCGACCTGGCGACGACATTTGACGAGATCCAAAGGGGTGACGGCGGCGTGGGTGAAGCCCTGTTTTGGGGGAAGAACGAATGAGCGTCAGTCAAAGGAAGACTAAAAACTAGTTGACACCCAGCTTTCACATGCTAAACGGAGAGAGACAGATGATCTCAACTTACACAGGCCATCAAGCCACCGACGACGCAGGCGGCATAGTATTGTCGCGAGTACAGCTCAATCGTGCCCGACTTTGCCTTGGCCTGAGCCTTGGAGCTGGCCTTGTCAAACTCGGCCTGCGCCTCTTTGCTGAGCTTCTGAGCTTTGTTCTTGGCGTCCTCGACGACGGACCAAGCTCCGTAGAGCTCCGGGCGGGCGGCATACGGGGTGGGTCCAGTCTTGTTGGACTGGGGCAGCGGAGAGCCGAAGCTCTTGCGGACAGAGTCCTGGCTGGGGAACAAGGAGAGCGTCATTGCGAAAGAAAAGCGTGACGAACAAGAAAGATTTATTGAGTGTGTTTTGTCGTGGGAGAGGAAACAAAAGGTAAAGAGAGGGGTTAAAAATCGTTAAGGTTTCTTGTCGTGTTGGAGTATCCGGTCTTTCGGTCTTTCGCTTTGTGACTTGTGACTTCCCCCTACCTACCTACATAGACTTCCCATTCCCAGGGAGATAGCGGCAATAAGCCGCCTGACCGTCCGTCGAGACGTGCTGGAATTCTGCTGCCTCAGCGTATGACGATAGTGGGGCACCTGCTATTTCACAGTTCACAGTGCTGTATCTTTGCACCAAATCTTTTCAGGCTGCGCTATATCCCCCATCTTTTCTCATCTATCTGCAATCTCTTGAATTGTTTGTTTCCTGAAGCCAGATGCTTCTATCATCATTCTCAAAGGTACTATCTTTGTGCTCTTTTTCTTAATCCTTATTACATTTCATTAAACACTAAACGTCTTTGACTTTCTCCATTAATGATACTGAACCTGTAGAGATGTCAAGAACTTAGGGACATCATCATAAGCTAGGTTAGGTACTTAGTGTTTAATGATAGACGGGTCCGGGATAGTTACCATAGATCTGCTCTCGTCTACCTGTTTTCGACCCCACTGTGCTCGCCCTATAGGGCTCCCATTTTCATCATTCTAGGGGTCGCTTAGCGATGTCTTTTACCTTGAAGAACCCAGACAATTCTGACCACTCAGCGTACGCCAATTCCAAGCTCACCAATTCCCATGCTTCTGTTGAGAACCCAGCTGCGAAACATTTCAAAAGTGACGCTTCGGGTTCTTACCTGCCAGGTGAGATCGTTTAAAGGCATTTTAATAATAATAACCGAAGATTTTTCAAAACAATATATATATATATAAGTTATTGTCAAAATCCTTTCGAGAATAATTCTAAATAAATTTTGCCATACATGAGACTGAGGACTGTCACATGTGACGAGATACTAGTAAAAAGGAAAAACCAGCCCCGAGGTTGAAATTGCGCAAGATCGTGGTTTCATCGGCTGCTACGCACTGCATAATATTTAGAAAGACCATAATAGGGGTACGAAAGAGCAGTATAAGAGTCCCTGACTCATCATCCGGGATATTCTAGTTGATATCTTTCGAGGCATTTTGGGTAGTCCCTCTGTCAAGGTCCAAGTCCATGCTCCGCGTCCAGTCAGTCTTGGGGAGATATGACTTATTTGAGATGGGCATCCCTCAACTTCCCCACTTGCCGGCTTGACATTCTTCATAGGTCAGTCATACCATTTTCAAGGGCAGTTGTCCATGAGATTTCACATTGCTGGGACGTTTACAGAAGGACCAATGAAGACTTGAGAATAGTAAAAACAACACAATTCTTATCCATTGAAGAGTCACTCGATTCTTTGGAGTTTCATGCACTATGGAATACGGAGGGCTACAACTAGACAAGCGACAAGGGACAAGCTGTGTGTGGAGAATGGGAATAGTGGATTTAAGAAAATGCAGATGGTATTACTATAATCCGCACCGCTATGCTATACCATAACGCATACCCGGCAGTGCATACTTGCATGCTTACTAACAAGCTATAATCAATTGATTTAGAACCAGTAGCACGGCTGTATATTACATTGGATTTCCGAATTTCTCGGCCCCGACTTTCAATTTTCATTGATCATCTTCGTGACTGCCCACTGACACTAACTAAAAGTGGTCAAAATGCCCGGGATCTCTGCCCAGCTTTCGGCCCCCACAGCTTAAATGACTGACGAAAGGTGAGAATGGGGCCGTTAACGCCCCGTTGACGAGGGCCGTTTGGACAGTCTCTCCCCTTTCATGAGCCTAGTCAAACAACAATGTGTGCGAGGCGGTCGCCGCGGTGCCGGTCGTTCTACCAAAGACACACCCGGGCATGAGCCTCAAACCGAAAGGCTGGCGATCCTATATCCCCGCTCGCCTGGCATGTCGGAGGAAGCGGCCGAGCGCGATCACGGGAGCCCAGAACCACTGGCCCCTCGCTGCGGCCCGGACCGTGATGAATGGGAAGCCCACAAGGACCGTATCGAACTACTTTATTGCGAGCGCCAGCTACCTCTCAAAGATGTCATACGAATAATGCAAAAGGAGCATGGATTCCACGGCACGTACGTATTCAACTGCACGGGTCTCTCAGCTCGTGGGTGTTGCTGACCAAGTTCACACATGTTAGCGCTCGAATGTACAAGGTGCGATTCAAGCAATGGGGGTTTCGCAAAAACTTGAAGAAGTCAGAGACGTTGGACGTGTGGAGTCAAGCTCATGCAGGGACTGCTCATCTCCCCATGATCCGAGGTCGACATCTTGGCCCTAAGCGTCTCAAAGAGCAAGTAGACAGATTCAACCAGCGGAAGACCATGAATACCTGCGATGGAGTGTCGCCAGTATATATTAAGTCTCCAGATGCTCTGCACCATCTGGACAGTGCGCTTCACCAGATCTGGAGATATACAGAAGGCCATTTGTCTAGTAAACACTGGGATCTTACGACGATATTCTCATGGAACGATGAGTCACTCAACTGGGGAGTGGTGCTAAGGGAAGCGGCTTTCCAGCTGAGTGCAGATGGTGATGCGCCAAAGGGCTTTGAGCTGCTCGATGATGCTTGCGACAAGTTTCGGGACGTGGCGAGAAAACAACAACCGCTGCTACTCTGGAATCTGATTGTGAGCATCACGGAGATTTCCAGTGCCGCCGATCGCCGAGTGATTGCCAGCTTTACCAATTACCTGGTGGCCATGTGCACCATCGAGCTCGGCCCCAGCCATCCGCTGACCATGTTGTGCGCCAACCTCAGATCAATGGACCGCCTCTCCATGAGATCATATGTTGCGTCCTTTCTGGGCGCACAGCTGGACTTGCTGAGTAAACAAGCCCAACGTGGCGACGTACTGGCCGTCTTCATGAGGATGATCACCTCACAATGGCTCAACGACATGGGGTTGATCCTCGACTTCTCCTTTGCAAGAATGATAAGCGACGTCTCGACCGAGTTGAAGGCCAGCGAAATGGTCAAGGCTTCAAATTTTGGCCTGGGTGTCGCTTGGGGAGCATTACTGTTGACACAACGACTGATCGCCGCGGGACGACTCGTTGATGCTAATGCGCTCCTCGCGTGTGTCAAGCGATGTGCGGAAGATCTAGGTGGAGATCCCGCCCTCATGTCGGAATATACAAAACTGAAAGCCACGTTTCAAGAGGACTCGATCAAGCTGGAATATGATGATGCGCACTTTCAAGGTGACGCTGGAGAGACGGGTATACCGGGCCGGTATTTACCTCCCGGCTCTTCTCGACCCCATGATCTGGATAGCAACGCCGAGCTTCGACATGTACTCAATGGTCTGGAGGCACTGAAGATATACAGAGGGGCATGGCCTGTGAGGTGATTCCAACAGGATATTTTTATGCCAATGAGACTATTTGGTTGAACATTAATGATACAGCTACTAGGTACTTATAATAACTGGAGTGCTAGTGAAAGGGACTTAACGCCAGCTGGAAGGGAAAAGGAAAAGAAACCGGAATCTTCCCATTCACTGGCTGCGGGTAGAATAACATGAAGTCTCGAGTCATGAATTGGGCGAGATCTTCATAGATCTACTCACTATGGCGTCCAGTATAAAGATCCATCAGGAGGACCAGTATTATCGCACAAAGAAATAAAAACACAATTGTACATCGCACTTGTACGTGCTTTTCCATGCAAGAGATATATCAAAGAAACAAAATGAAATGAATACCAAAATTAAATAAGAGCAATGGGGAGGTTAGTTAACAAAGTTGTCTGCCTATAGAGTTATGAGAGTTTATTTTCTTGATTGTGATGAAAAGCGACATGTTTTTGTACTATCATTGACGGAATACCTTGTACCTTGTTGTCTGCAGCTCCACAAGGATGGTTACACTGAAGACGGCCCCACAATTTGTCCCGCCTAGAAGCGGAATTGAGAATGAATCTTTACTGTGCCTGACATCAAGAACGGCCCACGCCAAATGTGTACCGCGGGGTTCTCGTTGAACTGCTTGCTGCATGTGAGAAGCACTCACCACCTACCTTCTCTGTACATATTGAATCCACCCCGCCAACAGAACTGCTCAATTCACTACTACTGTTACCTGGCAGTTCTTCTCACGAACGACAAACCCTTTCCACGCCATCTATTGGATCGACTCTCTACAAACAAGAGAGGTAGTCTGCGAAACAAGACTTGGCCCTTCTACCAGCACCTTGCGTCACCGCATCGGCAACGATAAAAAAACAAAAAACGAAAAACCCTCCACAATGGCGCAAACAGCAGCCATGAGCTCAAGTCAGCCCTTTGTCTCCAAGTGGTCGGATCGATACCGTGGTGTAAGTTGGCCGGAATGAATGTTTTATCCTCAGCATCTCCTTTTCCCCGTCAAAAGGAATCCTGCTGACACCCGGGGGGGATCCAATAGGCCATCGTCCAAGACCTCGAGCCGCCAGCCGCGCTCTCTATCAACCCGTCGGACCCAGTCTCGCTGGCGCTCATCAGCGCCTTTGAGCGCGAGTACACGCACCTGACGATAATCGACTCGTCGTCCAAGGCGCTGCTGGGCTACGTCTCGATCCCGCACCTGCAGGCGCAGCTCGACTCGGGGGCGGTCAAGCCCGACGACCCCGTCTCGGCCGCCATGACGCGCTTCCAGCGCCGCGGGCGCAAGTACACCGTCATCACCATGGCCACGCCGCTCGAGGAGCTCGAGGCCTTTTTCGATGCCGGCCCCCAGAAGCAGGACTTTGCCGTTGTCACGGACGAGGAGAGAAGGTTTGTGCTCGGTGTCGCTACGAGGGAGGACCTGGAGGAGTTTGTCCGACGGAGACCGGCTTAAATAGAGGGCAAGAAAGGGGGAAAAGGGTGATGACTATGGGGGGTCATTATAGTTTGATTATTTGGCCTCCCCCATCAAGCAAGCACATGCTGTCTGCGAGCATTTGGTGGCGTACAGGAGTTTTTGGCAGTAATGGTACTATGAAAAAAAGAAATTTCAACATTTGGGATGGTTCGCATCAAAGACCAAAGGATAGCCAGGCATGGCTGGGTACAAATCCTCTGGCAACTCAACGATTCAGGGGCGGCTGGGATTTGTGGAAAGTGGCAGGCATGTCATGACTGTTAAATTATTGCTCATCAGAAAACCAGTATCTCATGATTGTGGAACTGATTTTCTTTCTGCCCATCAGAATGACTTGATCGCTATCTGAGCCGGTAAATATACACGGTTCATATCTCAGTCCGGTCCTCCTCTCTCATATGGTGTCGTACATGTAAATCGTCTTGTCTCACACAACACTCTATGCTGACACAAAGTCGTACACCAATCTCAACTCAACCTTCTTGTCCCCCTTCTTGATGACAATGTTTCGCGCATATCTCCGCTCGCCGCCAATGAGTTGGAATCCCCAGACCTGGGCAGCTGTCCAACCAGCCTCGGCCTCGACCCAGTTGACCAGGTGCAGGGCGCCGTCGGGGCCCGTCTTTTCCTCGTCGGCAACGATCCAGTCGCCGGCCAGGAACTCGTCGCCGCCGAGCTCGGCCTGGATGCGGCCGGGGAGGTCCTCGTGCTTGATGAAAAAGGACCGGGCCTTGACCTTGCCAAACAGCCAGTCGGCGTGCTCGCGGGGCGTGTTGTCGACGGTGCGCTTCTCCGACGTGCCCTTGAGCCCGCCCGTGGCCGTCTGCTCAATGTCCACGTGCGGGACCCCTTCCTCCGTGTACTGCTTGACCTCGAGCGTCACGGTCGCAAAGCCAATGGCCTTGCGCGTCAGGTATCCGATCCCTTGCAGCGCCAGGCCGGGTTCGGGACTATCGGATAGCGTCTTGTTCTATTTCTCGACGCGCCACAAGGAAAGAAGGCGAATTGTTATTATTGTAACATTTCCAACAAGGGGAAAGGGGAACAGCGTTGAAGGGTTTTCTTTTTCTTTTTCTTTTCTTTTTGGTGTAGACTACATGTGCATGTAGCGCGATTTACAGCTTGGTACTCACCATGACCCATTTGCCATTGAGATCGCCAATTGTCTTGCTCGCGGGTGCCGCCATCTTCTGTGCAGGTATATTGTACTCGAAAGAGAGAAAGGAGAAGAAGCGTAGAAGAGGATATCTAAAACAGCTCTATACGCGTATAAACAGAAAAAGTCTTGAAGTTGCTTCTTGCACAAAGCACGTGTAAATTATTTACAAAGGCTGGGTTCTCTTTATAGTCTTCAAGGGAAAGACAAATGCGAAAGCCTAATGGAGAGCAGTGCCCAGATATAAGGTGGCGGGCGGCGCAAGGAATCGCCAGGGCTTTTCGGCTTGCCGTTCCCCGCGCGACCTGGGTGAGTGTGTAAGTGTGTGAGAGAGAGAGAGCGAGAGGAAGAGGACGAGGATCTAAACGAGGAGTAGAGCAGAGCAGATCGTCTGACTTGGGAATGCCAAAATGTCCTCCCAAGGACTCTAGAGGAGGTAGTGAGCTATCAGATGTCGTTGAGAAAGGTGCGAAACCGAGGCATCACGTCAGATGTTGACCTTTGGGGATAGCTCCCCCCCTGCTCGGCTCGCCGTGCCTATTTTACCTTGCCTGATTCAAGAAAGAGGGGTCCTGGTTTTGGTCTGGTTCAGGCCCCAGGTCGATAAAACGCCCCAGCACTCGGAAGGCATGTGGATTTTGGCGACAAGAATGCCCAGTCCAGTCCGGTGCGGGGTGCTTCTGTCTAATCTATGTACGTACTCTGTACAGTAGCTCGTGGGTAGTTACCTGAGATAGCTTGCAGCTTGGCCGTGCTGGTAGGTAATACATGTATGTAGCAAGTCTGCCGCGGTCATATGAATATATTGATATAGTCCAAGTAGGTACTTATATAATATTGAATTGTTTACGATTGAACTAGGTGCCGTATTGCAAGTTTTATTTGTACACGGGCATAATGATGCGATACCGAGAAGCCCCAAGACGGCTCTGCGTAGTCGTATTTCATGGTATCGCTTAATTTTGGAGAATTGCCAATCTTTACTTTTACCTACTAGGTACGTAGGCACACTGAAATCATCGTACCTAGGCACAATAATCTATAGACATATGAACACCTGTCGAATTGTGCTTTCGAAAAATTTGGACAAGTTGTTGAGCTTGAGACTTCCATATTCCAGACCTGGGTATCTGGCTGGAGAATCAATGTCGTTTCACCCCACTGGATTCATGGCTCAGTAGATGAATATCCATGATTTGAAATGGTCCAGGTATACTTTGTCAAAAATTACTACATAGTCGTCACACCCCCATTCGCAACAGCTCCCGTGTGGCAGACGGATAGTAGCATCAGGAAACTCCTCAAGTGCTTGAATTGCGAAACGACTTCCCGAGGTTGAGTAACATTGTTGATAGCACACTCTTACGTCGCATGGTTGACCCCATTGTTAAGAAAGTACAGCCCCCCTCCCCCATATTCAGTTTCCCAGACTTGATGGCCAATCATTCAATTGAGAAAGAGTACACCCATTGGACGGCAGGCCAATGATTGGATGATGATAGATTCATGCAGTCCAATAGGACGCAGCCACATTCAATATGGGATGTCGCACTCTAGGCATTATACAGTACCGCCCTATTTCATGATTATCTACCACACCCAAAACAAAATACTGGCCTTGTTAGGCGCCGATGCAAGTGATGGACTCAGTGATTGATCAAGCAACCCGGTGTTCTAGCAAATACCATGACACATGCCACGCGTTCGGGCCTGGGCCAAAAAGTGCTTTCTCTTCAGGTGTTATTGAATCGGCACACAAGTAGAAACTACCACTGTCATATAGGTAGACTAAATAAGGGAACGAAAATGGATATCCTAGTCGTACAGATGCCGTATCCATGCACCATCACAACTGTCGTTGCTTTCATAAATGCAATGATGCCAATAGAGCATGACTCCCCTCTTGCTTCATTTGCTTGGGCCCCGGATGTGATTCGTCAAGATATCTCTTTGGACTCTCATAAGACGTTCCCGGGGCCTCGAGCAGGCTTTTCAAACACAACCTTTCACAAGGCAATCCAACCTTATCATCATGGCCACGACTTCATCTTCCTGTAACTTTCGATCACGTCCTCCAAGAGCTCTTTGGTCATCCGGGGCTTCTCATATTGGAAGCCCACCACCTTCTTCAGCCGCTCGCCGTCCATGCTGAGGTCTGTGTCCTTGAGAAGCTCCTTCTCCATAAATGGCGTGAGGGGGCTGGTCCGGGTAATACCGGCGTCGGCCTGGAGATCTGCCCAGGGACCCAGCACCTGGTCGTTGACGTCGTCAACAACACTGTCTAGGTTGAGCCTCGCGAACGAGCTGATAAGCGTTCCTTGGAAACCGGTCTGGATGTTGAAGATCTGGCCGATAAGTTCGGCCATGGTGCCTTGCGTCGTTGAGCCGTCGTCCACTACGTTGAAAGTTGGAGTCGTGCCCATCTCCTTGGTATCCCAGTTCGCCTTACCAGCGTCGTACCACCTGGCGACGTCCCACAGAGCCCGCGTAACGTCGTCGATATGCGCCGTGTTCGTGCGCAAGTCCTTTGTCCACAACCACTTCATCTCGTCCTCCAGGTGCTGGTATACACGTGCCATGCAAAGAGCTGTGGCTACCCATTGGGAAGCATAAGGCCCGTAGACATGTGCGAGACGCACGATTACAAGATTGAGTCTGCATTTAGCAATCATGTCAGCAGAGAACAGGAAGAGAGAAGGAAGGGGAAATGCAACAAAAGAAGAGACAAGGGGAAAGAAAAAAAAAAACAAGAGCACCACCAATCCGACCCTACGTACCCTTCGATCTTGGCCAATTCCTGCTCAGCTTCCAGCTTGTAGACAGCGATTCTACTCCACGGCTTAAGCTTATCGCTTTCCTTGCTGGGAGACGAGTCCGACTTGTACACCATTCCCGTACTCAACTCGATAAAGCATTTCACCTTGCGCTTGGCCGATTCTCTGCCCAGCGCCAGTGATAGGTTGAGAGATCTCAACTTGTACACCTCGTCCTCCTGGGAGTATCTGGTCTCTCCACCGCAGTTGAAGACATAATCCCATTGCTTGCCATCTGCTCGGTCGAATACCTTCGCTAGTGCTTCTGTAATAAGAGGATATATCGTCAGCAGACTCGATCAGGCTATATATTTTCCAGGCCACTGCAAAAAGCACAAGTGCAAATACAGACTACAAAAAGAAGAACGAGAGGTAGAGAATGGGGGCGGTTGAGACATACGTTCTCTCGTCGCATCAGCCTGCATGAATTTGTCTCCAGAACATGCTTCTTCGAACTCTGGCGCTAGCCATGCGAGCTGCGGCAGCACCTTGTCCACCACCCTGACGTCCGATGCAAGATTGTTCTTCTGGATATGCAGAGCGAGGAACCGACCGATATAGCCCAGGCCGCCGATGATCAGCACCGACGGTTTCTCGGTCGCCATGATTTTTTGTTCCGCGGGCGAGGAGAAAGGTTTCGAGAGCAACAGTGGTGGCAGCAGGCAGACAATGGGGAATAATGGAATTGGCGGTTGTCTGACAGATTGGCCAGAGGGGCGGGTTTGGGCTACTGCGCGGGGTTTGGCAAGACTTTGGAATTTGGGAGGAAGCCCAAAGTTCAGAGTCCGTCGAAAGGCCCCGGGTCCACTTGAAGCTAGGTCGGATTCAGGGGAGACGGCCGAAACGGAAGAGGGACGTCTTGGGTGGGATCTTCTGGTCTGCGTCGGCGTCCCGGGCGGAGGAGGCAATGGGAGGGAAGAATGACAAGACGTGCCTTGTCTATTTGGGGAGGATACGGTGGAGGGACAAAGTGTCGGCAAGCAACAGAGCCAGAGCAAGCACTACTCAAAAACAAGTTGTGTCTCGAAAGTCCAAGGGAAAGAGAAGAGATGCGAGAGTGGTGTATTGTGTCAAGTGTATGAGTTGTACAAAGAGACTGGAAATAATGTTTGGCTAGTTAGGTAGGTTAGGTAGAATGGGCCCGCGGATCCCAGGCACTAATATTTGCTCATTTCACTTTTGTACGTGCTACTGTGAAGGTAGAAGAGGATGTCCATGCGAAGCGGCAAGCCCCAGCCCTTATGACAGACTGGAGCTAAGAAACGGACCCTGGAACTTGAGGACTGGACCTGACCTACGAAATACTATTGAGTACAGATAATCTAGACAGTCCAAGGTCTGCGCCGCTGCGGCGGTAGATTACACGTACAGTATGTACACGGGAAACGGGGGGGTGGTGTATGGTGTCTGCCAGGAACGGACATTTAAGGTGTGTGTGAGTGGGAGTGTCTGTCCGTCTGTGTGTGTGCTGCTTTCATGTAATAAAAAAAAAAAAAAAAAAGTTGTATGTAGGATGATGTGGTTGTGAGTCGTGACGCAGCAAAATGGACGAACCATAAGCAGACCGTCAAAACCGTCTGCTGGGTTCAGCGGCCGGCCGAGGGGACGAGACCACGAACGAATTGCCCTTGTACGATGACCAAAGAGGAAAATAGAGGGAAGGATTGGGAACAAAGCAGCCGACGGACGAAGTCAATTGCACGCCGGACGCGGGTAGGGAGGCCTTCGCCAAAGGGAACTAGCGAAGGGCCGCCACGATCCAAGGCCGGCAACCATCCCATTCTACCATTGATGAGAATTGGCTTGTTTTACGGATCGATGCCATTCTTGGTTGGCGGGTTGGACCTGTCTCTCTCTTTCTCTGTCCATCTGTCTGTCTCTTGCCCAGGTGTCTACCCAGACGAAACAGAACGTACTTCGCAGTCTTTTTTTTTCTTCTTGCCAATCAAGCTCTTCTCGATGCCATGTATCTAGTCCCAGATTGGTCTAACGTTCACCCTACCTTGATGTATCAATTCTCGTAGGAGCCGTGCCGCACACAGCTGCTGTTTGTTACAACGCCGGGAGACCCCTACTATCCTTACATTCCAAGGGTTTCAATTTCTTTGTCCAAACCACCATACCCTTCCCGAATCGGCAGTACTTGTTTTTTCCTCCCCTTGGACTAAATCCCTACCTGTTGTACTGTACCTAGATATCGATTTGCAAAGAATTGTTCCTCCCAATGATGCATGCATGGCATAATTTATAGGAATTCCTTTTTTTTCCCTCTTGGTTTTGGAAATGAACACCCAAGGACACCCCGACTTGAAGGATTTCGTCTACAAGTACATTACATACACACCTTACCAACCAATGTACCACCTGCCTTGTACGCACAAACTCGCGTTATATGTACCTGACTGGGCAGATTGAAGTGAATGCATGGCACATTACCGACATATAAGCCTCTGCGTCAAGGGCAGATTGAAAGATGGAACAAACACGCATCATGACAGTTTGTCGTGAGCCATTCTTTGATACCTGATTTGATACAATGTAGTAGTCTAATTTCCTTCTGAAAAATATTGAATGTTACAGGGCACCAACATCTATCAGCTGCCCTAGAGGAACAATATCTGCCTTTGCCTAGACAAGAGCGCGTACCTGCTTCTATGTTTCTGCAACCTTCAATTCTTCCCACCTGGCCTGGTACCTGCCCATACACACAACAAGGTACATACTCACAACAACAGGTCATAGATCATCAATCCTGGCAAAGAAAACACCAACAAGTCAGAGAAAAAATATTTATCTGTGAAAATTTTAGACGGAATACTACCTACAATCAAAGTACACCTCCCCCCAAATCCAGCTTGGAGATCGCCACTGGTCTCGTCCAGCTCCCAGCCAAGTACATACACTAAAGTAAAGCGGACAAGCATCTCATATGCAAGCAGCACGGCGTACGATTCAGTCAGGCGGCCGAAACGCACCCGCATCAGAGTGACTTATTAATAGCCGCAAGAGGTCGGACGGTCCAGAGGACAGGTGGGCGATCGCAGAAGAGAGAAAAGATCAATAGCTGACCGCCATTTATACCCTCCACAATATCAGTGTTTTACCTACTTCTAGTACCTGAAAACCCATTTGCTCGCGTCCGACCAACAAGTCCACGTTGCCGTCCTGACACATGGAGAGGGAGAGAGGGGGGGAGGGGCTCTCACCACCAAACATTTGCATGGAATTTGCAGCCTGTCAACAGTCATCAGTCGGTTAATCGGTCGCTTTGTCAGTCGGTCGGTCGGTCGGTCGGCCAGATTATTACGGTATCTGCCTGACCACCTCACATATCCTAAGAACAAATATCCATCACAAACGACTGGGACACATCCAACGCCACGGTTTGCATCATGCATACAGGGTATTATTGCCCGTAAGACATTCCGCAGCGAGACCGGACTCTGTGCAATGTCGCAGTGTCGCAAACGCCGTCTTTTCGTAATTTCTAAAGACGCAACCTGTGATGCACCAGATCGCCAGCAAACCCCGGGTCCCCCCCCCCCCCCCCCCCCCCCAGTCCAATACCTGTGCTGTCTTCCACCGGAAGAAGCAGACGCTCTTCGCCTGCATGTTATCGGCAGCATTCCCTACTTAGACGCATGCATGCTCTACGTACAGTTCAGTATAGCCTATCTGCAACCCCGGGGGAGACTACCTGATAATTAAAGGGGCGTGCTTGTGGTGAAGCATCTACCGACAATTTCAATTTACATACCAATCGACACTCTTGCATGAGAAGCGCATGTATGCAAGACGGCAGGATGTATGGTTGGATAGACGGACGGACACGTCGGTAAGGAGTTTTTGTTTCGTTGGTGACCGCCACGAACAAAATTGCTACTGCTGCTGCTGCTGCTGCTGCTGCTACTCCGATTCCCGTACCGTTTGTTCCTAGAACCCAGCAAAACCCCATCGTTCGTGAGCCTCTTCAAGTGAGCGCTGGCCAGTCAAGAAGCTCGATTGCGCTGGCTGGGCTCCAGAAAGGGGACGCGCCAATGCAAAGCCAGGGATCCTCCAATTCCAGTCCAGCTTCTTCACTGCGGCCCGCCTGGCAAACTGGGTCAAGGGGGCATGATTGTTTCTAGAAAGATTCTCGCGCAGGCCCCATCCCCTTTTCGTTACATGACGAACCCTGTCCCGAGAGGCCTTTGTCGATCAACCTTGGAATTCCCCAAGCGAACCAAGCATACGAAAGCAAATCTTTGTCTTCGCGAACACTTCTTTTCGAATCCGACCCTGTTGGCTGTGTGTACGCTACTACACATCAGTGGATACGCATATATACCAATCAGTATATCAGCCCACCAGCCGGCCGAAGATGCCCTGCTACTCAGTGCGCAGTGCTCTTTGTTCAACAAAGCCTTACCGGCTCCCCATGTGAGAAAATCCGGCTCCTCAATCATCTTGATCGGATCATGGAAGAAGGCACACAAGGAGTTGCATGCTATAACAATCAAGTTACATATGGCGTGTCTCATCAGCTGACACCTACCCAGGAGCTCGGTACTGCGGGTGGTGGTATTAGGGATCTTCGCAGTTCGTCAGTGTCAGATTCACATTGATTGTGTGCGAAAACAAAGAGGGAAGCGGATTGACGGACCAGGGTGTTCGCTGCATGCAATGCAGTACAGTACATACAAAGTACAGCATGCGCCGGAGATAAACCCCGTCGCCAGGCTGGGCTCTGCATCGTTCTTCCATTGTTCGACCGCCACTCCTACTTCGGGGTCTTTTATTGCCATGCAACTCAGTATGCCAGGGGTGCCGTCAGCCGCATTGCTCTCTCTGGCTACGGCAGGTCGCAGGAAAACTACGAACACACAACCCTGACAAGTTGCCTGGCACAACTAGGTGTTGACCTCAAACTTGGCATTGTCGCTTTCAACAGCCAATAACTATTGTTTCGGAAGGAAAGTAAATCATCATCTGCTTTACCCACCAGGCACTAATTTTGGACGCCTCCGGTGGTTCGTCTCCGTCCATTCAAGCAGCTATCAAAAGAAAGGTATGGAGTAGTAGACATACGGCCCACTTTCGCGCTCTGAAGTATATTCTCCAAAGTAAGAGGTCGACATTATAAGATCTGCATCAAGGGACGACTACGCCAACTCCGTACCCAGAATAGGCAGTTGTGCCTGGCAAAGGCCTCCCTGGCAACCTGGCATCGACGCGTCTCAGTTGTTCACGAAGAATAAGTAACGATCGACAGGCACTGCGCTTGCACGATGATTAAGACCTAACGTAAGCAGTATGCCTTGGCTTGACTACACTATATGAGGTTTCAGTAAAGTTCCCTGACCAGGGTCTCTATCGTTCGGCAACAGGCAATATAAAACCCTGCTTGGCATGCACGTCACTTACAAAAAAACACATGTACGACCAGGAGAGTATGTAATGCAGCTCCTGAAACAATTTCTTCGTGTTTTAGTTTGCCTATTTTCACTACTAGGATCGCTGTCGCTCCCATGTAGCGTTCAGAGCACGACCGGCAAGGCAGCCGGCGACTCCGATGCTGTACATAGTACAGCGCCCGGAGTGACGTTTTGGACTACACGCATTGAACAGCACGTTTGGTGTACAATATACTTTTGATTATGCTCGAATCTATTCACCCAATGATCGCTTTTGTTGGGTCTGCAACAGAGCACGGCGAGAGATTATGAGTAGTCACATGTTCTTAAATTTCTCTCTTTTTTTTTCTTTTTGCTTTCTAGGTCGCGCCGTATACTCGGGATTCTGACGGGGCACTATCAGGCCAGAATACATTGTTTTCAAAGACATACAGCTGCCATTTCAGCCCTTGTTTGATGTTTCAGTAGGAATTCACAATTTCGATCATCACCCTGCCATACCTTTTATTGATTCATCCAACTTTTTTTTTTTATTCAACCTAGAAAACATCCACGTCTTCCACGTACTCCACCAATGTCATGCTGCTTTGGCGTGTTCAAGAAACGCCGAAAACATGCGGCCGACAATCGGGAAATGGATTGCTTTATACCGCGCACTTTGGGGGGATACTAGGTTAGCAGTAATCTACATGGAAAGGGGGGCAACCTTGCATCGATCACGTGGTAAACTTGTGTTTATTCCGCTGCTTTCCTGTTGGGTGAACCGTTCAAGTTGAATGTTATCCAAACTCAATCCAAGTAATGCTCTCTCGATAGTTTGCATCCAATGAGCTTGATGATGACGTCCGGAAACCTCTCCCCCCAATGATCTTCTTGGCTAAGACATCCGAGCCTTTGACTATTAATAATGGATGAAGAAAAATAAGGAACTAATTGATTTTTGATATTGATTGGCGAGTGCTCATCAGAGATTATTACAAAATCCCATATCCCAACAGAAATGGGGTGAGTACAACATCATAGGTTGCCTTTCAACCAGGTCAGAGTCTCCTCATAGATGTTTAGTCCAAGCACCATTTCTAGTAGATGCCTCGCTTGACATATTCTTCTTCATCTTCTGCCACAAGTCCGTGTTTAATAAAGGAATTACACCTTAGTCAAGATCTACTCAATTGTGTTGACTTTGAGTTCAAGCTCTTTCCGATACCAATACCCAACCCAAACCTATAAAGACTCTCGCCATTTTCCTCACATGGCATCAATTTAGTGCTATATTACGCCATGGCATGACCATCTTCTGAGAAATGAGAACCCCCATGGACAGCTCGAATCTATTCAACAATGGCTCACTGTAGTACAGTAAAATATACTCGTCAAACAAAGGCACCCGCGCCGCCTCACTTGAAAAGGCCAGTTATGAAGACTAATTTTTCGAGGAGAGAATCAAGCCTTGTAGAACCATGGAGGTTACCGGAGCAGATTTGGTAGCCGTATCAGACCTGATCCGAGACAACTAAGAGTATCATGAGAAATTGTGAGTATTTCATGATGATACCAGATGTTGGGTCAACCATAAGCCAGTAGTGCCGGCGTCGTTATGTACTCATCATTGAGACAGTCTATCGTAGTTTGTCCCATTATGATAATGTTATGGGTATGAGTGAAGAACTAGAAGAGAACCAGCGCTATTAACAACCCCCTACCCGATCTATATTCCAGATATTTTGATCACTAATCGCGAGAAAATTTGTTCATGCTGCCGATAATTTCCCTCTGGGCTTGCCGGTCCCTGCCGGCCTCGCTCAGCGTGCCAATGCTTCGCAAATCACCGACGACATCCTTGGCCTTGCCAAAGTAGACCTCCTGCAACAAATTCCGCATCTTGAGCTCCATATCCTCGACGAGCTTGCCAATGTTGGCAATCTGCTGCTCGTCGTTCTCGGCGGGCAGTTCCGTCTCGACCTGGCGGGTCATGTTGCCGCTAAGGTCCATGTCGCCCAGTCCGGATCCGCTGTTGGCCAGCGATAGGATGACGGTCGACGTCAGGTTGTATTGTGTAACGCGGGCGCGGTCGATGGCCTCGAAAACGTGAATAGAGTCCCATGATCCTTCGCTTGTGCTGCCAGGCTTGGCTTCTGTAAGATGGCGGTCAGCTCAGGCTCAATGTTTCGGGAAAGGTTGGGGCGCTGGACAGCGGTCGTTTGTACAGATACCCTTTCCAAAAGGGACAATGGATCAAGCGCTCATATATCCGGGTCATCAATCAGGCTGACAATATGGCCATTTCGTGAGAGCAATCCCCTGGCCGCGAAAGTTGGGGATGTAGGGAAAGACAACCAGTAGTGGTTGTCTCTGCCCATAGGGCAACTGACCCATATTGCATTCCCTGACATTGACCATGGGCAGAGTATAGGGGTGAGTGATATTCACTTACCCTTCTTCAGCAGTACTACGCCAGCAAAGCCGTCATCCAAGTTCCAAAAGTATACGCTGCTCACACCACCTTCATAGTACAGCTCGCGGTAGACATCAAACGCCTCGTTGGCCTTGACCTCCATCCTCCGGACCTTGTCGCTGGGCACGCCAGCGGCGCCCGCGCCGTCGCCCGCACCGCCATCGCCGACTCCGCCGTCGAGGGGCGGGTCGAACTCGTTGGACCAGGGCGACCGGTAGCTGTCGCCGTCGCGGTTGTAGTCGCACAGGAGGTAGTCGCGGCCCGTCTGCTTGCACCGGCGAATGGTCAGGGGCTGGTCGACCGACGAGAGCAGGTCCTCGGTCAGGTCCGGTGCGAGGCTGATGAGCGACTGCAGGTGCTGCGTCGTGTGCTTGGGGTTCAGGCGGCGGAGCAGGTCCCTAGAGAGATGAGGGGGGATCAAATCAGCGGGTGTTTGTATACATGTGATGGTAGTTTTTGCGGCTCGCACTTACAATGCCGAGTCAAACGGGTCGGCAGCCATGATGTGGAATATGAAAAGAAAGAACAGTCAAGAGGGTATCAAGCGGATCCGTGTCTGGGAAATGGGAATGCCGAATTGACTTGAAGCTTGTCCTGGAGGTTGAAGGGGACGGTTGGCGATGGTGGGGTTCTGATCTGGGGTGTTGCCAGTGTAGTAGTGGGGCCTTGGGTGGTCTCAAGATAGCTCCTGGCCTACTGAAACCTGGATCCCTTGGAAGCTTATGGCCAAAGATTCAGGGGCGATCTTCTATTAGTAGAGGATCACGCTTGTGTGAGTTCTTTCAAAATGACTCTTCGTTACCTGCAGCTGTGAACGTCAAAATAGTCCTTGTATTCTATGCCGATTTAATATCTGCCAGATTCCGAATTCTAGCTGACCAAGCTTGCTATAGACTGTCTAACCGATACATCTCGGATGTTTATAATGTAACCAAAATCAGTCTCCTGAATGCGCCAAATCCAACCCATAAGTCTAACAAGTGAAGCCCAAATTCTATAGCAGTGCAACGCCCGACTCCCCTCTTGAACTCGTGTTTCGCACTGTTGCGAATGAAATATACCAGGCTGTATATGAGTTTCTTGGCCTATCAAATTGCACGGCCATCTTTTGTTGGATGAAGTGAGCTGTGGTCTCATGAAGCATTCCAAATGCTACAACATGCCGAATCCGAATGACGTTTGTGCAGCGATGAGGTCCAAGACAACATTACCAACCAAACTTTTCAACGCTCAATCGGACATTGTATCCTCGTCGAACAGCAGTTGCGCATGCATTTCTGGCTGTTCTATTCATGGCGTCGGGGCCTGACACAACCAGACCCATTCCAGCACCTGATTGCGAGTAGCGTTCAGCCAGGTCAGCAATGTAGCTGTCGACATCGGGTCGTCCCACTTCAGCCGTGGGTGGTGGTATCGTGATATGCACACCCGCACGTTTCAGATCCTCGATTCGGTTCTGGGATAACCAGCTACGGTGAGAACTCGAGTGAATCACCCATAGTAGATGGATCTGCCGCTGTGGGAAAATATGGTCCTGTTTGTGGACAAGCTCCCAGACCAGAGGAAACACAACGGCAATGCCAGAGCCTCCAGCTACCAAGACCGAGATCTCGCTCGTGAGAAGCATTTCCAATGCATCAGTTGATCCATACGGACCGTCCACACGGAGCTTGATAGTGGGGTTGGACTGTGCATAATGCAAGAGATCGCGGGTGAATCCGTCATGGGCTCGGACAAGCAGAGCTAGCCATGCATGGAAAGGGTTCCCGTCGCCTTTACTCGGGACTCCTGGTGCAGCTGAAGCTATTGTGAACGGATGTGCTTGCAGTCGATGGGTGCGGCCGAGACTCGGGGCCGTGATGAAAACATGATCCATTGGTCTCCAGCCCTGGATGATGCTTGGACCGAATACTCTACAGAAAAGGGTCCGTTTGGTCTGGAATATATCCCAATTGGCCGACAGCATGAGTGTATTGCCGTCTTCCAGGACGCGAATATCGGCCTGCAACGACGTGGACTTGAGTCCTAGCCGCCAAATCAGACGATCGGCGAGGAATATGATCAGGCAGGCAAGCACGTACGGCCTCGCCGTCCAGAAATGCAAGTAGAGAAACACCAGCGCCACGACTTGGAGAACCACGTGCAGCGCCAGAAATGTCTCGTACCATCTTTGGCGAAAACTGCCAAGTGAGGTGAAGAAGAGCAGCTCGTAAGAGACGAAGGCGCCAATGCCGAGCAGTACAAGAGGATGGCGGAGGAAAAACCATATATCACCCTCCTTGAGCCAATCAACCGTGAAGAATAGATGATCTAGCAGCATTCCGAGGGAGTGGACAAAGGCCTCGAAGCACATCCATTCACCGACTCGACGGTGAAATATGTTTAGAGCCTCGTAGGAATAGCCCGTGAGGAACTTGATCGGCTGGTTCTTGGCGGCCAGAAGGTATAGCAAGGGCATATTGACAATAAACATGAAGCCAGCACGGTCGGCAAATACGAATTCCATCTCGGGCCTAAAGGAGCCTCCATACAGGTGATGGAAGATGTTGGCGCCGATATAGCCGAGGACGAACAAGGTGGTTCCGTTCGAAGGCAGGCTGCGATTGATAAAGGGTATTGGCCGTGGTTGATACATTAACCAGGACCGGACCGTACATCTAATTGTCCTCCATACGCCTAGAGGTACCCGAGCCGGCAGCTGATGGCCCAGCAGCGGCTGCCGTTCGATATCGTGGTTCTCTGGCTTGACTACCTGGCGGGGCGATCGTGACCCAGTGCGTAGGCTACTCGAGGACGAGGAAGGTAACTCATCTCTCGAGCCCTCAATAGACAAATGCCGATTATGATTGTTGGGTTTGTCTGGTGTCTGTGGACTTGCTTTTGATGCATCAGCAGTCTCCTTGACGAGACGCTTTATTTGCCTTCTACTTCTGAATTTTAGTTGCCAGTGAATGGCGGTGAGTATTGCCAGAGTGGCCAGCACAGTCAAGTTGAAGCTTGCACAAATCCTGCGCCCGTTGAGAAGGAGAGCAATGATTTCTCGGAGAAACTTGAGCTTGTCCGGATCAGTAATGGGTCGTCTCTCTGCTGTATTTATCGAATCACCACTACTCGGCAGGATGTCGCCCCAACTTCCGCTAGGGGACTGAAGTATGGCATTGAGCAGCTCGTTCGCCGTATGGGCGACGGAGTTGTTCATGGTCCCACGATTATACCAGCGAAAGCGACGGGTACGGGAAGCAAAAGTAAGGTTGCACGAAACTTTAACCGCTGGACTGGGACTGGCCCCGATGCTGCTTATCAGATCGAGAATCTCAGGCACCGAGGTCGCAGGGGTGGAGGCGTCAGATGATTATCAATCTTATCTCTCGGATCTTTCCGTCGCCCTGCCGGGTTTACCGCGATGTGATGTATGGATTTCCCCAGACGGTCGAAAGGCTGAAGTTGCATCAGAGGAGGCCAAACGAGGGTTGGATATTAAAGCATTCAAGGCCTCCATTGATGTGTTCCTGCGTTTGCGAAAAATGACCTTTGTCATGCGAACGTTGGCAAGCAGCCACTGTTACTAAATTTTCCTTGGCTGACTTGTCCACTGTGGCCACGAGGTTTTCGAGTTCCACTTTCTTTGGGCACATGCTAATCTGTACGTATTCACGACTCCGCTAGTCATCCGTCTGGACAATTCCTGACACACTGTCGGCTTTCATGGGCAATTTGATGCTGTAAAACAGGCAAGTTGGCAGGAAGTGTTAAACATTGATCATTACTTTTAATCAAAAATATGTATGCTATGCTGTCGCTTTCAAATGACTGTAAATCCCCTTTTCGATTTTCCATCACAACCCCTTTACCTTGGCTCGCCTCTTTTTGTGCTGAGCCACTGTGCATAAATGAACAGCCCACCCTAGGCCACTGTGTTCCATAAATGCGAAAGACTCTAAGACAGAGCCTGGGGAGTGTAGCTCTGGTCGGGGGTAACGACGGTAGCGTTGGCGAGTTGGACATCCGTGTAGGCAGGGAAAGCAATGAGCCTGTTGACATTGTCGACGACGGCCAAGGTGGTGAAGCCGGGGCCGAACTGGTTGCTCCAGCCGGCGGTCCACTGGAAGTTGCCGCACTTGATGGCAGTGGTAATGTCGGTCTGAGTGGCCGGGCTGCCGGTGACGCTGCCCGAGCAGGCCTGGGGAGTGCCCGAGTGAGTGTTGATGGTAAAGTCCCAAGTGCAGGACTTGAGGTCGCTGGTGCAGGTGCGCTTCATGCCCTCAATGGTCCAAGAGGCATCGGCCATCATGGACTTGGTCTCGGCCGGGGCGGGAGCCGGGGCGGCAAGAGCCATGGTGGCGAAAAGAGTGCTGATGGCTGCGGTGAAGTACATTTTGACTATGTTTTTTTGGTATATAAATAATTATATGATTATTATATTGGGATGCTGAGTGTCTTGAGGTGTCTGGTTTGTGATGAGACTGAATGCTTGATGTTATGATGATCCCAACCAAGAATGGACGGGCATCATGTTCCCTTTATATACATATTTGCTATTGTTTGTCAGAGAAATAAACAAGTCAGCCAGTGTATGGCATTACGAGCTCATGGCATGATGGCGTTGCAACGCAATGGCAGTGAGGCTCGCGAAATCTGACTATAGTGGTCCGTTTAGCGGTTGACCGATACTACGGCACAGGCGGGGAAAGCTACACGAAATGATCGACAGAGCTCGTATTCCCCAGTGCTGACCATGTCACGATCCGTTATAAGCGAGCAATATGACCGGATTGAGCCGCGCCGGCCTTGCCGACTGCCAAATATGTTAAATTATAAGCTTAGTCTATTATTATTCCTGCCAAGACACTTCGTATTCTTTTCAACGTCGCATGCGGAGCGGACCAATTACACTTAACAATTATAGCCAGTTTCACAATGACAACATCAATATTCCGTACAGAGACTCAACTAGGTACTACGTTGCATGGCTGGACCTGGAATAAGTGTTGTCAAAAGTGACAGTGACCTTCGACCGTGCGGCAATAGCTTAAATTAATAGGGGCACAGCTACAACAACGGCGCAGTGCAGACTTGTATGTTTGGGCTGCACCATCAAGAGCCAATCACTTATTTCACAATTAATTGTACTGGGAACAGCTGATTCGTCTTTGACATTCTTGTACGCCAATGTCCCTTCCCAGGAATGGTATGAACCATGATCAAGCTCCTCAAGTGGCCTTTCGTAAACTCGTTCCTAAGATGCATAATTCAAGTGAACAATAAAAGACCAATTTCTGCAACAGGCAATTCCGCAAGAGCATGAAGCTCAATTAGTAAGGACGGACCATGTCTAGATAAGGGACTGGGTTCGGTGGCATTAAAACGCATCGACGCTATCCCCGTAATATCTTCTCCAAGCCTCTTTGACGCTATGGTAAAACCCGAGTCTCCACTATGCATTGCTGGCACTGATTCTAGACTTATTGAATTGCCAAAAGTCGAGTCTTGTAGTATTTATGAAAGATTAATACTTGAAAGTTGTGCTTCATTCTTGAGATTATCCTCATGGCAACCAAGAACAGTATAAAGAGCAACTACAGCACACACTCCAGTCTCCGCAATAAACATCTCAATGCCATCCCTCGGTACGCTAAGACCCAAACAGACTGACTTTGCGGTAATGGCACCGACTTAACTTTGCGCGTAACGTCATTATGCTCGAGGTTAGATGTTGAGGAGATCAATTGTATTTCTCATCAAGTCCAGTATTGAGATAACTCCAACAAAGCATAAGTGTGCATAAGATGGCCAAGGACGTCTCAATGTGGAATGTACAGGAATTATCCCAATAGCTGAATAATCAAGTCAAGATTTGAAAACCGCATGCCAACAATGTCGGCTTCGAATATTACTGTGTATTTTCTCGGTGCCTCAAGAGCCATTCGGGCAACTTGGTTGCTTGAGGAGCTTGGTCTTCCTTACAACCTAGTGTCCGAGGATCGTGCAGCAAATAGGCTCGCATCGCCCGAGGTTCAAGCAAAGATCCCGGCTCCTTTGAAGAAGTCACCAACCATCAAAGACGGCGATACAGTTGTACAGGAAAGCGGAGCAATCATGGAGTACGGCAGACTCTTTTTTCTTCTTCCCCCTGTATTTGCAGCACCTAAGCTGATTTCGATTGTATTAGCTACATACTAGACAAGTATGACACCAAGAGCCAGCTGCAGTCGAGATCCTGATGTGCGGGCCAAGACTCGTGAATGGGTCCACGCGGCCGAGGGCGTCTTCATGCTGCACGGTCTCGCGGTGCTATACGCACGCTGGACCATCCCCGAGAATGCAAAGTCGGCGGCTCTGCCCGAGATGGAGAAAAAACTCGCCGTCAATGTCCACAAGGATCTGGACTGGGTCGAAGAGCATGTCAGGAAGCAGGGCACAAAGTTCCTCATGGGGGATGCCGTGTCTGTGGCAGACATTATGATGCAATTTAGTATTGAACTAATCTATGTCAGCAAATTGGGAGTCAGTGCCGAGGAGGTCGGCGAGACGGGTGGTGATGGACGCTGGCCTCTGACCAAGCAGTGGCTGGGTCGTTGCATGAGTACGCCTTCTTTCACGAAAGCCGTGAAAAAGTCGGGCTATAGTTTGGAATCGTTTAGAAATTAGAGAGATAAACGAGTTTGTTAATGGAAACGATTGCTTGTCAGAGAGCGCTCCAATAGACGCCCTCACCAAAATCGATATCGCAATTCTCCATCTTGACACCTAGTTGCCATCTTCCTAGATTAGGCCAAAAGTTCTCATTCTGCCCATTAAGTGCTCCTTGCTCATCCCTCTGACTCAGATCGATCCATGCCAGACTTGTATTGTTCGAAGCTTGACCTGGGAGTATCTTACACCCTGTGTTATTTGGAATTAGCACGATGCTTTTAGAGAAACCCCTAGTAAAAAAATATCCTTACACTTGTCAGTTCCCGGCAATTCACCCTGGCTACCATTGCCCTCGGGCAAGGGGGGTTGCACCAAGGAAATATCAAGACCTGCATATCCAAGCCAACTCGCCGAAAACGGGAATGGTGGAGCCCAGCGGAGTGGCTGCACAATGGCCTGGAAGAAGGGAACATTGCTCGCTTGTACTTCTGACGCGCCGTCGCATGTGTCGTGGGGATACACCCGTATCTTGGTAGAGCCGTCTGGCAAGTCTTGAAAGTCGAAACGTGCCAAGTGCTTCGGTATGTTCCAATCTGAATTACTATTTAGCTAGAGTCACTCGCATCGGAGGTTGAGAGGCAGTGTCTACTTTTACGCCCATTCCAGCACGTTTTATTTTGCGACACGTAAATTCTCGTGACTCTGGCATTCTTCTTTGTCTTTACTTTTCCATTTTCCTCGACACGGTAGTCAAAGAAGCCTGGGATAATAATCATTTCATCGTATGGCCCAACAGGGCTTTCTGTGTAGCGAATCACTTGGAGCTGGCTGGTTCCGCCATGGTGCTGGCCACTGATCTTGGGATCAGCGTAGGCGGAGGCGGCTTCCAGAGGTGAATAGGCAAAATCTGGTAGCTGTCCAGCTTTACACCAAAAAGTCACCGTGTAAACTGTCCCCTTTAGTTTCCATGGTGCCGGGACGGGTACGATTGGCGCGCCCGACATAATTTGGAAGTAGCCCAAGTCGAATTAAACAGTCCCAGTTGGCGTCAACGGCAATATATGCTGGTCATATATCGGATTGTGGAATCTAACGATTAGTTAGAGGCTGTTGAGATTGATTCGAGCGATGATTGGTCTCAAGACATGCAGCTCATGAAGCATCTGGATCGTCTAAAGAGAGAGAGCGACAATCTATGCGGGTCATCTCCTGCCCGTCTTATGGAAAGTATTATTCGTCTGGAGCGGGGAACCCGGCCTCGGTTCGGCAAGCAACAACCGTATATCACAAGCGTCGGTACCGAGTAAAACCTCGCTGAAATTGTTGTCTCCGAGTATCAATTGGGCGCTCGACGAATGAGGATAATGTGAGCCGTATTTCAACTTGGTAATTCTCATGATTGAAATTCGTGAGGGTCTTTCTTGACCCTTTCTGGTCTGGCGCAAATGGCTGAATGTGAAACTGGCTTCTGAAGCAACCATGACGCCTCTTTGATTGATCCTCAATTGACATGCATCCATTTTGAGGACTTGAATGTAAGCCACGATAAATCCCATTCGACATGGAATGACGTGTCCCCCAAATCGAGGATGGTGAAGATACGAATCGAGAACCGCTACACCAATTAAATAGCAGGATCGGCACCAGGCAGAAATAATGAATCAATACTCCGGCAGGCAATGTTTCGCAAGTGTTGCCGATGAATGCATTTTCATAATAGCATATTTACATTGCCCTTTGATTTTGAAATAGAAGAGCCAATCAGCTCTAATGATTGTGAATCTTCAGGAAAATGGGATGGATGCACTGCAAAGGCAGGGGAACTATTGAATCCTTCGCAGTCCATACTGCCCATTATCAGTCAACTGCTGCTGCCCCCACTTTCACAGGTAAGTTGCGACGACTCAACAACTCTGATTGTTACTAGTAGAGAAGAAATTCTTGGGTCAAGAGAAGGACGACGAGAGATGTTTGATGCCGGGGAATTTATTTCATGCGCCACGCATCCTTCGTATATTTCCCGTACATCTCACTGACCTGCATAGTCCATGTAAATGGCATTTGACCATGTGCCAAGTCATGACCACGGGCTGCATGTCAGCGACGTCTTGTTGGAAGGCGGCCAATTGCGGCCGTAGAACTGCTCACGGCCCAATATCCTTACGTATCCTTTAGCGCCAAGACCAAGGCTGCGCCTCTAAAGTCCCTAAATTACTAGGGTCAATTCGTTAGCAGCGATTACCCAAAAGCCCCCATGGGTCTTTCTGCTGCCTGCATCATTTTGAGGCAATCGTGCTTCAACTTCACGAAAAATCTCCAACCCGTTGCGCCAAATGTCGTCTGCAGAACCCGCGCAGGAGCGGAAGGGCCCCGTGAAACCTCAGCGGGTCCTCGCCTGCGTCCTGTGCCAGCAGAGAAAAGTGAAATGCGATCGAAGATTCCCCTGTGCCAATTGCAACAAGGCCGGCGCCCAATGTGTGCCTGCGGTCGCTGTCGGCCCGCGCCGCCGCCGAAGGTTTCCTGAGCGAGAACTGCTGAGTCGCCTTCGGCACTATGAAGACCTGCTGAGCAAGAACCGCATCAAGTTCGACCCAATGCATCCAGATGAGGCAGATCATGCATCGGTTGATGCCGATGACAAGAACTCTGACCACCGGGATGACTCAAAATCAGAATCGGAGCCGACTTCTTCTATTGCGGAGCCCTCCCCCGGAGAGAGAACTCCGACCAAATCTAGACAGTTGTAGGTAGACCATCACATGATGCCCCTCCCATTTTCTTGGAAACAAAATGGCTTATTGTCAATAGCAATATATGGCGTGCTCTAAGTAAAAAGGTATGTTTGCCTTGTACATGATCTACCTTGTTCAATAACTGATAACAATCCTTCCAACTAAAGACATTGGACCCAGAGAAGGGTTCCATCTATGACGACGATGATGATGAAGATGGCGACTCATCCGACGACGCTCGTGATGTCCATGCTGAAGTGATAGCCAAGGCTTGGGATCGCACCTTTGAAGGTCGGGGCAATGACCACCTGCTTTTTGGCTCGCCCGAGTCAAACGTGGATCTCTCGACGCTGCATCCTCAACAGGCTCAGATCTTTAGGCTCTGGCAAGTATATCTTGAGAACGTCGACCCGCTTCTCAAGGTCACCCATGCGCCGACCCTCCAAGCGCGCCTCATTGATGCTGCGTGCGACACACCAAACATAAGTCCTCCTTTAGAGGCACTCATTTTCAGCATCTATGCTCTCTCCGTCATGAGTCTTGATGACGAGAAATGTCTCGAGCTATTTGGTCTTGCCAAGACGGATCTTCTGAGCACATACAGATTTGGATGCCGACAGGCATTGCAAAACTGCAATGTTTTACGATCCAGCGATCGTGATGCCTTGACAGCCTTGTTGCTTTACCTAGTAAGAAGATGCCTCAACTCGACAGAACGTAACTGTTCCACTGACCCGACTGTAGCTTGCTGTGCGGTCCGAGACGGATCCTCGGTCACTTTCATCCATGCTCGGTATGGCTGTCCGGGTTGCCAAACGGATTGGCATTCACAACAAAACGACATATGAGCGCTCAGACCCCCTCGAAGCCGAGATCTCCCGGAGACTCTGGTGGTCACTAGTTATGTTCGACAACCGCATCTGTGAGATGTTCGACTATCAGAACTCGTCCTTGGTCCCTACGTGGGATTGTGAACTGCCCCTGAATGTCAATGACACCGACATTTGGTTGGAAATGAACAACCCTCCAGCGGCACATCAGCGACCAACAGAAGCGCTCTTTGCTGTCGTTCGCAGCGATCTGGGCGACCTGATCCGACACAGCTCTTTCCACATCGACTATATCAATCCTCGACTGAAGGCTCTGGCCAATTACGGCAGGTTTGGCTCCATTCCCGACGCGGATAAGCTCGCAGCCCTGGAGAAGATCATTGAGGACAAGTACCTCGCATTCTGCAACCAAGAAAATCCTATTCAATTCTTGACCTTGTGGTTCACGAGAGGCTCATTTTCAAAGTCACATCTGCTGGAGTACTACTCTAGAAATACAAAAACGGAAGGGCAGCAGGCCGAATCGCGGCGCAATACCATGATTTTCCACGCCATACGGATGCTCGAGTGTGATACCAAACTCATCAATTCGCCACTAACCAGAAAGTATTGGTGGTTTGTCGAGTTCAATTTTCCATTCCCGGCTTACATGCACCTCCTTCAAGAGTTGAAACAACATCCTACGGCAGAGCATGTTATGCGATGTTGGGATGTGATGAGCAAGAATTACGAACCTCGTTCTGCTAATTTCAGAAATGGCAAGAGTCCTAGTAAGTAGAGCCCGATAACCCGTGTCTGCATTTTTGCTAACGCCAGAGGCTCTCAGTGAAAGTCATCTTCTCCCGAATGATTCTTCAAGCCTGGAGAGCTCGCGAGATGGCTATTGGGTCGGGGGCCGACCTGGGGCCTGTCCCCGGAATGGTGGCAGAGGTGAAGCGGGTAATGGACACAGAACTAATATTCCCACAACAGCAAAAGTCGGAAATCGTCAAAGCGACCATGGATCTCAACCTCAGTGGGCTTGAAATGCCACTGTCTGACCCTCTAGGCCTGGAGCCATTGCAGGGACCAGTGATCCCCAATTTTGGGACCAACTTGCCATGGAGCTACGACGGCATCTCGCGACAAGGCGTTGTAGACGTAGGCATGGACCAACTGGATTGGACTACCATGGACTGGAATTCCATGTATCCAGGTCATGGCATTTAATCAATAACCATACGGGGTCTCGTGGTAGATGGAGGCCGTCAATCTCTACTCTGAACACTTGATAGATTAGTCTCCACACATACATAATTTAGATATTAATTCATCATGTATTAAACCTAGTATCACTGTGATTATCGTTTGAGCAGAGAACAGTCCACAAGCGTCCCAATCTCTGACATGCCACCCAGAAGACAAAGAAGCTACCCCAGTACATATTCTCCGAGACCAGTGTAAAAGTCTCACGGCTCACAAGAAAACGGCCTGCAATACTGTGTTAGCAATTTTCTTTTCAATTACCAGATCTTGATACATGGCGTATTGTAAGCATTCGGCTGAAGACTCTTTCGACTGGTACCATGTAGAGCATTATATACTCGTGATGAAGCTAAAAACAAGGTAAAGAGTGACATGAAATCGCTTACCACGCCCATGACGCCCGCGATGGCAGCGGCACCAATGACAAAGGCTGGGTCCTTTGACGCAGCATTGCCGCCAGAAGTTCCCGTGACACCAGCTGGGGTCCCGGTCTGGGTACCAGCACCGGCGGTTGTTCCAGAGGTGCCCGTTCCGCTAGACTGGCTTCCGCCTCCTCCTACTCCTCCTACACCTCCTCCTCCGCCGGAGGTGGTGGTCGTGGCATTGCTGCTGCCGCTGCCGGCGCTGCTGCTGCTACTACTATTACTAGCATTGCAGCCGCTGGCATAGGCACTAAGCTCCGAAGTGACCGAGGCCAGACTCGAAACGGCCGTATCGTTTGGACACGACGAGACGAGCGAGTCGATGCGCGAGCCCTCGGCGCTGAGCCACGAGGTCACGGAGCTCTCGTAGTCGGAGATCTCCGACTGCTGCGACGACGGCAGCGCGTTGATGGCCTCGCAGAGCTGCGTCGGGTTGACGCCGCCGCTGCCGCCGTTGGTGCCCGTGGCCAGCGCCGACTCGACGTAGCTGATGGCGTCGCCGGTGCCCCGGGGAAACGCGCTGAGCACAGAGGATATGCCCGCCGTGCAGTCTGCCGATTGTTGGCGGGCGGCTAGGACGCGTCCTGGCTGTGCGTCTGCCGCGTTATTGGATCCCATGACGTGGGTAGTGTAGAGCAGGCCCGTGAGGACGGCTGATACGGTCTGGTGATACATGCTGATTGCTAAGAGTCTGGTTTGACTGAATACGTGATACTTGATTGTATATAGTAGGTGACTTTACGATGAGCAATAGGCGTCCGAAGCAGCCATGAAAATGAGAGCTGTCGAAAGAACGGGACACCACGGAAATCATATTTATACCTAGTCAACACGATGACAATATAACGATGTCATAGTTGTGAAAATCACGATTTTACTGTCGCTAGCAATTTAGATGAAGCTTATGTTGAACAAGCCTGGCTATTCTATGGCAATGTGCCAATAACTCTAAGTAGTATGCATATAGCACGAGCTTAAAACCCAGTAAACCATGAGACTCGTCTGGCATAATTTAATTCAAGATTTCTCCCCCATTGACTTCAAGTCCGTCCATGTGTTGAAGTATGTGGCGCCCTCGACACATTAGGAGCCAAGAGAATTTATCGGCAATTTTTAGTGAGATGAGGGGGAAAGAACGTTTCTTTAATCGACGGACCCTCTAGGACCTGTGTTTTTGACATGTGTAATTGTTTGCGGGGGAATCAATGCCACGTGCTCAATGCTGTCACGTTCTTCAATCTCTTGGGCAGGACATGGTTCAGCACGTAGAGAAAGAAAGTCATACCCGGCGAGGGGTAATCTCATAGATCTTGTATCTAAATCTGTATATTCCACGGCCAATGAAACTAACCATGTCTATGCGTCGTCAAATCTTATGCGAGTGCTCAGACTGTCGAGAGTAACACAATGATCCAAAATCCCCATTACGTATCTCCTTCACCATGACAACAGAAGTAGAATATACCAATCAGGGTTGAAACACAAATCTCTCTCGCAGAGTCTTACCATATCTATAGAAAAGCCATGGTATAGGCACAAACAGCAGACCCAAGAAGCCGAGGAGACTATTTCCCCAGCCAAGTCCTAGGGAAGAGTACAGCGGCGGGCCGGCCAGCGTCAGAAACGCCCCCGACAGCGTGCGGACGACGAGGTTGGCCGCCAGCGCCGAGGCCGCAGCTTGCGGGCCAAATGCATCGACGAGGTAGAGCTGCGACGGCATGATGACGAACAGGGCACCAATGGCGATGAGCGACGTGCCAATGATGGGGGCGATCCAGTGGACGTGGTAATACGCGGTCCAGCCGTACCAGAAGAAGCCGGCCGAGACAATGGGCGATACCCACATCATGGTCGGAAGACGCATCTCGGGTGTGCCCTCGCCCTCGCCTTTGAGCTTGTTGTATATCCTGTCATTAGTGGCGCCAAAACCAATGATGCCAATACAGAACCCTTGAAAAAGAGGATTAGCCAGCTAGTATGGGCGAAGAAATGAACCAGATTGCGACTCTTACCTATGCCAAGACCAAGGTATGCCAATCCAGAGAGCTCTACACTAAAGCCATATTGGGTCTCAAATACCGAAGGAAACGTCGTAAACAAGAGGTAGATGAGACTAAAGACAAACGCGGAAAAGAGTGAAAGTAGAGTGACAATGGGGGAGAAAAGAAGCAGACGGGTAGGTCGGAGGATGGCTCGTATGATAATTTGACGAGCTGCTTGTTGAGTGTCGCCCTCTACAACCAGGTACTTTTCTCCCTTTTCGCGATTGATCTTGGCCGCTTTGCGTTGAAGAAGAATCGCAGCATTGGTTTCGCGCATGACTATAAACGATAAAACAAAGACAACCCCTGCCTGGGAATATTGTCAGTGAGAGCTCCATGATGGATGCTAGGATATAATACCAGGATGGCAATGATCCAAAATGACCAGCGCCATGAAAGGCGTTGTGCGACAAAGCCACCTATGATGGGACCAACGACCTGAATTCCCTGGTCAGTACTTTGATCTTCAGCCGAACCTCACACTGCAACATACCGGACCTAGCAGCGGGCCCATGGCCCAAACGGACATTGCCTTTCCTCTCTTCTCTGGCGTGGTAACATCTGCAATGACGGCACCGCCAATAGTCATTGGCGCTGAGCAGGCAGATCCGGCAATGAAGCGAAAGACGAAGAACATTGCCGTGTTGGTGCTAGCAGCGCAGCCGATCGTAAAGGCAATGAAAACAACATTGCAAATGTGGACTATGGGCAGCCGTCCCTAGGTGAGGAATCAGTCGCTAGCTTTGTAAAAGCTTTCCAAAATACACCCTAAAGAGCACTCACATATACTTCCGAGAGCGGACTGATCACGAGCGGTCCTATTCCGTAGCCAACCAAGTAAATGCTGACAGTGAATGCTGCTAGAACCGAACTCGTAATGCCAAAATCTTGCACAAGTTCTCCAGCACCGGGCGCAAACATGGTAGAGGCAAGATTTCTGCAAAGGGGGGTTTGACATCAGCTTGCATCCCATCTCTGTCCGTCCCGGCCCAATTCCTTCCGAGACAAGAGGAAATGGAAACCTTGAGCTTACCCGTACAAAGTAAACAAACTGATGAAAACAACATGCGAATTCCGTTTCAGAGATGGCCAGTTTCGAGGATTTTGAGGATCGTCTGGCCCATCCCAGTCGACTATATTGCTGCCCTGAGTTTTCTCTGCCATCTTGACGCCCATCTCTGGACCAGACTCGGCATCATCCGGGAGACCCATGTTGCAGAATATCGAGCTTGGCGGGGTGCTGACAGGCGGGAAAAGTTCCAGATATTCTGAAAAACAGGGGTTTGTCCTGTTGTTTTCACAACAAGATTCAGTAGAAATATAACATAGACGAGAAGTACGACGAGTTTGCTCGAGAGGAAAAAAGATTCAAAAAGTACGGAAAACGTGCAGCTTAAAAGCACTTACAAGTTTTTGAGACATTGGACATTCATTATGCATCCATTGTTTGGTAAGGTGCAAGACGCTCACTATGGTATTGTCATTGAAATGAGCCCCGGAGGAACAGCTACAAATCATATCACTAGCGATTGGCAAGTCAACCATGGCTCTTGTGTTGTGCAGCCTAATTGTTACTTTTACGAGGCACATGATGGCAACCTGCAGACATGGGGGTGGTTAGATTTCAAGGTCATAGTAGGCGAACAATCTGTTAGGAGTAGCTCTGGTAAGATCGGACACCATGATTGAGATCACCAAGCTGTCCTTTGTGTCGCGCGACGGAAGATGACTGTCCGAAACCGGATGGTCGGACGGTCGGATATAATCCGCGACATCTAGTGCTGACGTGCCTACAGGGAGGTGTCTTTCATTTATATGGAAGAATCGCCGGATGGTCGATGTACCACCTGGACGGTAAAACTCTACAATCTTCGTTTGTGAGTAGTACTCGAGTAAACGAGGTCAATACTTTGAACGTTGGTCCCTCTTCACCCCAATGTCCGATGATAATAGTGGCCGTACCCGCCCTCGACCACCCCCAAATCGGCGGCGAGACAAGCCTCAGCTAAGTTGTAATTTTTGTCGTCGTGGAAAGTACGATAGCCAAAACAAACATCGAACCATACAGAATATAGTACTGACAATGTTAGACTGAAATGTGATCGTGTCCAGCCTTGCAAGAATTGTTCGCGACGGGGATTGGAAGCACAATGTGTCTTTGCGACCGCTTCCCCAACAACCGCCGGGGTCCAGAAGCGCCGGAGCGCTGGGCTCGGTTCCAGCGATGTCCAACAAAGGCTTCGCCACCTAGAAGAGCAGGTCGGCTCGATAGTGAGTGATCGCACATTGTCATCGTCCTCGCAAAGAGAGACGCCCGACATGTCCGCTCTCCCGACGCCCGTAGACTCTGGAGCGAGCAACGGTGCAGTTAGCCCATCAACAGCGTCTGCTGCCGAGCCACAGTACCCCGACTGTTCAAATTGGTCATCCATCCTCCGTGATCTGCGCAAAGTCAACGCGCCTCTGGATTGTGCCCACAAGGCCGGAATTCCTGTACCGGGCGAAAACAAGGCTGGACCCCGGCTCCTGTACGGCTGCAGACCTGCGGCGTCCATGGATGAGCTGCTTCACGCACTCCCGCCGCGGCATCTGACCAATCGGATGGTGTCATATTACTTTAATGGACTGGACCTGTCCTCAGGTACGTGGACCACACATCTACACATTATGCTTGCTGACTAAATGTATGATTAGCCATCATCCATGGACCGGAATTTTTGAAAGAGGTATATTGCCGCCTGTGGATATAGAATTGATCTTTTTTGACTGATGAATGTTCCTAGTATGATAATTTTTGGAAGTCGCCAGAGAATATTGCACCGCTATGGCTGGCATTATTATGTAAGTTCTGACCAGGTATTCTGCCGAAATTTCTTGATTCTTGCCCTCATTCTTGCTCAAGTATTATATATCCAACTTCAATCACGAATTGCTGACTTGATGTCAAGACGGGATGCTTTGTACAGCAATTCAGTTTCAAAAAGCCAACCCAGAAAGTTCAGTGCTTCCCGGCGAAGATCTGGACATGTCACTCAACATTTACCGAGATAAGCTCTGTCAGTGCCTCATGTTTGGCAAATACACCCAGGGCGGACCATATGCCATTCCAGCGCTCATCCATTACATCGTGATTGAACTTTTCGACAAGAAAGACGCCGATGACGGCACGTGGCTAGTAATGGGCCTGGTTGTCAACATTGCGCGCCGAATGAGATATCACCGAGACCCAGACCTGATCGGAAATCTCTCTCCGTACGAGTCGGAAATGCGGCGTCGTTTGTGGCGGTCCCTACTCGTCATTGACAGCGCACTGTCGGAATCCGTCGGCGCAGAACGACTTATCCGAGAGTTTGACGCTGTGCGCGAGCCCCGGAATCTGCTCGACACCGACTTTGATGCCAGCACGACGGTGCTGCCGCCTCCGCGACCTGACACGGAACCTACACCGATGCTCTATTGTGTGGCCAAGGGCAAGTCCCTCACGGTCTTTGGCATGGTGACGGATCTAGTGAGCAAGCAACCATGTGACTATGCCAATGTCTTGAAATACGACTCGATGATCAGCGAATCACTGGCGAAAATGCCAAGCTGCTACAAGTGGCGGCCCTTGGAGCAGTCCATTACAGACTCACCCCAGGTCATTTGCCGGAGAATGTACCTCGAGATTGTCTATCTCAAGGCTCGTATCGTATTGCACCTAAAGTTTACCATGCCTCAAAAGGATCAAGATCGATACGCCTTCTCGCGCAAGACATTGTTTGAATCTGTCTGTAAACTTCTCGAGTTTCATCACATCTGCGACGAGGAAACGCAACCGTCTGGGCAGCTCTACGCTGCGAGGTGGAGATACTTGACCGCGGTTCATCAGAATTTCCTGCTTGCGAGCATTGCCGCCTGTTTCTATCTCGAACACAACAAGGCGACCATGGATAAGGACGACTTGGAACTGTTCAAGAGACTTTGTCGAAGGTCACAGGGAATCGTAAGCATCTGAAAGCGACGCGCAAATAGAGAGCCTGACTGACATCTCTTGTTATAGTGGATTCGTACGAGTAGATCCTCGACGGAAGCGGCCAAAGCTTCCGAGGCTTTGAGAGTCTCTCTAGATGAGACGGACGAGACAAACACGAACCTTGAGAGCTCGACGCAGCCGGAGCTCCCCATGCCACTGGATACACCAACCGATATTTGGGACTATCAATGCCTACCCAGTAAGTCGTCTCTTGATCTTCTTCACCGAATCTTCCGCGCAATACTTAATCTACTAACACTGGCAACAGGCTACTTTGGATCATTCGACCTGCCATTTTCTTATTCCAACCTGTTTGACGGCCTTGCCGTGCCCCCAGTAGGACCCGAGCCCGCAGACAACCTACTCGTGATGCCATTGGCTGGACAAGCGGAGATATTCACAGCGCCAACGAATTGGAGTTCAGTAGACCATCGATGTGCCCAATGACAATTAGATATGTGGTCATGAGACAGTTTCTTATATTGAAAGGAAGATTTTAATTTGTCAGTCAGTGACTGATGACAGTTCTACAAAGAGGGTATCAATGGAATCAACTCCGCTATCTCGTTCCCGAACCGACTCCCAATATTTCGTGCCTGTTTATATCCTACAATGGTCTTCCATAAAGACCAGCATTGGGTATCATTCAATAAAACAACATTTTATGCCGTGACTTCCTTGTAACTTGGTGGTGCATCATCACCACGAATTGTACGTTCAAAAATCCCTTTCCTGGCTTGTTGCAGGTCTGCTCGCGCCGTCTTGAGAGCCTCGTTCTTAGCATCCTGGTCCCGACTCAGCTCCTGGTGCTTTGATGTGGCGCCCTGCAGCTGTACGCGCAGCACCTCGATGCACCGCTGCAGCTCCGCGCGGGAGTCCTTGATCTTGTCGTGGAACGCCATGTCGGTGAAAATGTTGTCAAAGAAGACGTCGCTCATCAGGTTTCCCTGCGCAATCTTGAGGGGCGGCAGGTCCTGGATCAGCGGGTCCGACCGCTGGGCGTTGCGGAAATGCCAAAAGGCGTCTTGGACCTGCATCTCGGCCTGGGACAGGGCGTTGCGCTCCATCATGTCGGTAAAGGTGCCGCCGCCAAACATGTCCATGCGGGAGTGGTCGAGGGCCTCCTCGACGCTGCCGACGGCGCCGTCCAGGCGCCGCGCCGCCTCGCGCAGGCCGTCGACGGCCTGGCCCTGCGTCCGGGCCCGGTTCCGCGCCTCCTCGTAGGCCTGCCAGGCCGTGGTGCACTTGTGCTCCTTTTGGTCCTCGTCGGGGAACTCTGGCGTCGGCCCGTTGAAGATGGACTCGTACATGCCGTCGAGATCCCGCTGGGCCTGCTCGCGGCGCTCGACCTCGGCGGCGAGGCCGTCCCGGACCCGCAGCGCGTCGTCGCGCAGGGCCTCCACGGCCTTGAGCTGCTCCTTGGCCTTGTGCTCCTCCTGCAGGGCGTCAAAGTAGTCGCGCTCCTCCTTGGCGGCGCGGGCGGCAAACTTTTCCTTTTTGCCGCCCACCTTGTAGGCGAAGCGGCGCATGACCGAGTCGCGGTAGTTGGCATGCTCGGACAGCTCCTTCTGGCGCTTGTGCTCGAGATTCCGGATACTGTTGCCTTGATTGATGAGCTGCTGGTTCAGGTCTGCGAGGTACGTCCTCTGCTGATGCAGGTCAGGAGGTGCATGGTCTGTCTCTGAGAGAATGGCGAGAAGCTCATGATTGCGCGGAGCTGCTGCTTTGATCTGGTCAATGACTGATGTCATGGTGTTACGAGCAAACTGGGTTGTAACTTGGCTCGCAAATTGCTATGTTGCGATGGACACTGTTGTATCAAATGTATACTTTCAAAGATGAGAAAGATTGTGAAATCCCAATCGCGGGCTGGTGCGACGGGGTCTCTTTGTCTTAAATACAAGCAACAACATCATTGCGTGAGACGATGATCGTTTTTACATCTTGGCAAACGTCTACGGCCTCCCAAAAACAGGCGCTACATTTTGCGCTGCGCCGCGCCGTCGCTGTTTTGCCGCTGGAAGGATTCACTGGTGGTTAGTCCAACATGCCCAAAATGACTGTGATTTTATGAACATCGTTGATGCTGCGCCTCGCTTCAGTGGTCTCCAGGGTCTCCCAGTGGTCCTTGGGGGGCTTGGCAAGCGCCAATGACGTTTTTAGTTGCTCGCCCCGAGATCCCTTTATCCCCGAATGTCCGGGTGTGTCCCCACATTGGTAAACTATCACTGGAATCAACCAGAGACTGGACGACTATACGATGCACTGCCCGACCAACATTTTTTTCCATTGTGCGAGGATTGTCCACAAGGATCTCTTGGCCATGATAAGCTTGATAAGAGGAGGCCCAAATGCATGGAACTGTGGGAGGCCTTAGGCGCAAGGCGTAGCGTTGATTGTCATTGTACTTGCTTCCTGTGAGCTTTTGCAATCAAATAGATGGAACAGGATACTAGAGGTCCTTCTTTCAATTATTTCAACAAGTGTCGAGGATCTAGTCTCACGCACGGTTTGCACGCAATGTAATGGCTGAAGATGATGTGTTGGAGACCGTCGCAGCACATGCCTTTTCATGTCGCCGAATCCCAATATTATGTGCCAATTAAGTTTTGCAATTGCACCAAAGATCTTGGAATCAGGGAATAGTAGTGTACTGTAGTTCCATTTATTCGCTTGCTTTTGAATACGTTGTCTCTGTCTGCGTTTGCCGACATAATAGCTTGTTCATATGTCCACTCATCATACTGTATCTCATACCCTATAGTACACTGTGAGGCGGCGCGCTTTGGCTTGTAGGCTTTTGCTTATGCGCCACTTAACATGTCAACGATTGCAACAAATGAAATTGGCGCAGCAAGGCTCTTCTATAACAGTCTTTTTACTTTCTTTTCGCCTTGTTATACGTTGAAACATGATAAAAGAAGGGTAATAAAGACCGGGCAACGGATTTCTCGGGTCCCGAAGGCCGGATTTGGTAACGCTCCAGAATCATAATCCGAATGCTTCATTGCTCGCCATTTCACACTTGTCCGATTACCGAAGTCTGGCGATCATGGTTGAACGTTATGCTCAAATATCTCGAGAAGTTTAATGTTTATAAGTTTGAAGCAGTGCGCGATCTTGTAAGGCCGTTTTGATTTTGTCAGAAAGTGTATCAAATCTTTAAAGTTATCATTTCTATAGGAAAAGCACATTATCTGTAGTCGAGACGCATTCAGAGCCATCTGCAACACTTGAAATCTTCCCTACTCTCATTTATACTATACGACTTCATACTCAATATGCCCGGAGGTGATGGCACGCCATTGCACATGGCCAAATTTATCTTGGCCCAACTGTTCACCAATGCCCCCAAACCTACCACAAGTTTCGCCGGACAAACCATCATAATTACTGGGTCAAACACGGGACTAGGATATGAAGGCGCAAAACATGTTCTCACATTGGGATGCGCCAAGCTCATTATAGCCGTGCGCTCGGTGGAAAAGGGCGAAACCGCCAAGCGCTCTCTTGTGCAAGCCACCCATGTCGACCCCAGCATCATCGAGGTATGGCCAATGGACCTGGCCAGCTACGAAAGCGTCCAAGCCTTTGCAGAGCGAGCGGATCGTGAACTCGAGCGGCTCGACGTGCTCTTGGAAAATGCGGGCGTCGCCTCGGTCGAGTGGAACACGGTCCGAGACAATGAGCGCATGGTGACGGTCAATGTCGTCTCGACCTTTTTGCTCGCCTTTCTCCTGCTGCCCAAGCTCCGGGCCACCGCGGCACGATACAATGTCAAGACCCATCTGACTATTGTCACCAGCGACACGCACTTTTTGATTGATTTCAAAGAGGCGGAAGCGTCCGAGGGCATCTTCAACCGCCTGAACAACAAGGAAAAGTCTGCTGGGGAAGTTGCGGATCGCTACCCGACTACGAAGCTCATGCAGGTCTTTCTCGTCCGCGAGCTGGCCGCTCGGCTGCCGCTGGACTCGAACTCGGTCATCATCAACTGTACCAATCCCGGAATGTGCCACAGCGAGCTGTCACGAGAGATCGACTCGTTGCAAGTCCGCGTCCTCAAGTTCATCCTTGCCAGGACGTCGGAACAAGGCTCGCGAAATCTAGTTGCTGGAGCCTGCGGCGGAGCGGGAACGCATGGCCAATACTTGGATGTGGGCAAGGTGAGGACGCCTGCGACTGTTGTAGTTGGTCCGGGTGGTGAAGAGAGACAGAAGCGTTTGTACGATGAACTCGTCAAGAAGCTGGAAAAGATTGTACCTGGAGTAACCACCAAGTTGTGAATAGCATGGAGCTTGCTACTTTGATTCACCACTTTCGCGTGTGGTTCTGTGTTACTACTGCAGGCCGAGTTCATGAAGGAAATCAAATACCGCAGTTCCAAAGGAAGTTGCTAGATTTTGATGAAACGAGTGACTCCCCTCTTAAAAAGATTTTTAATTCCTGATACCGGTTCTCATCGGCTGCTTGCTGTCTTCTGTGTTGGAACTCGAAAGTTGGCACTGCCCTTGTTCGAACTTTGATTGTTCGGCAGCTTTTACCATTATCAAACGCAGGTCTTCTTGGTGTTCGCTTCGTATGACTATATAACTAGGGCGCTTAATGTAGATCCACACAATGATAAATCTCCCCGACTGTGATATTCCTAAAGCACAGCATGCTGATGAACGCAGAGTATTGGCTATATTAAACTTACAAATCATTGACAAGTATGGTCGCTAAAAAATAAAACGTCTGTACTCGTACAGAACTTGTGCTGGCGGACAAGAACCCGAGAATCAGTATTCCGAGCTATCACGTTTTTCGAGTCGTTTATATGTTTGTTGTCCAGTGCGCTAGCGGACTATTTCTCTCGTCATGATCGTAAAGAGAGGCACTTTTTGAACCTGAAGATAGAAAACTGGCGCTCGAAGGGCGGGGTGATCGTCGTTGCACTTAGGTAATAAATGTACCTATAGGCTCCAGTTATTGAAGCTTCGGACTAGTTTTTCATCGTGTCAAACGTATATGAGACCTGACGAAAGAGCAGAGAAGAAAATGTGATATGAAAAATTGGATGGAATTGGGGCCTCTGGTCATAATGATAGCCCATCTCGGAACAGGTTTGATGAATTAGACGCCAGTGCTAGACTGATGAATGCTTTCCAATTTGTACAAGGAAACGAATGCTTCGGTATCGGAGCACGCCATCAGCCCCCGGTACCCTGTAGCGTCGCGTATCTCCACTAAAATCCATGGTCCCCAGGTGGGTGGGAATTGGAGAGAGGTATTTCCAGCATGTCAGCGACATATGAATGTGAACAGTCGTCTCTGGCTTCAGAACATCATTGAACTTGATTTATCAAGATCAAATCATGTTGTTCACAAGCGCCCTGATTTTGGCTCTTGCAGCGTGCAGAGCCCACGCCAATGGCCAGGCGCCAGTACATGGCACCGAGGACAGCCATATCCCACCACCATTCCCAGACAATGGCCAACAGCAGCCGCTTGTCGGCAGTGATAGCAGTCGTGGCCGTCCAAACATTGTCTTCATCTTGACCGACGACCAGGACCTGCACATGCAGTCACTCGAATATATGCCATTGGTCAAGAAGCATCTCACTGACCAGGGAACCTTTTTCAAGCGACACTTTTGCACAATTGCAATCTGCTGTCCCTCGCGCGTGTCCCTCTGGACCGGTCGAGCTGCACATAATACAAATGTCACTGATGTTAATCCACCTTATGGTAGGATGGCCCTGGATTTCTATTAAACTCAGACAAGGTGCTCATACATAATACAGGCGGGTATCCAAAGTTTTTGAGCCAGGGCTTCAATGAAGCGTACCTACCTATCTGGCTACAAGAAGAGGGCTATAGTACATATTATACTGGCAAGCTGTTTAATGCCCATACCATCTGGAATTACAACTCGCCTCATGTCGCAGGTTGGAATGGCTCTGTGAGTTTCCACTCGAGCATATCATTGCTACACCCAACTGATCAATACCCAAGGACTTTCTCCTTGACCCGTTTACCTATTCTTATTTACGGAGCGTCTACCAGCGGAACAAGGAGGAACCGGTCAGCTATGAGGGTCAACACTCTGTGGATGTGCTGACGGAAAAGGCACTGGGGCTCCTCGACGAAGGTGCATCGTCTGGGCAACCCTTCTTTCTGGGCCTCGCACCCGTTGCTCCCCACAGCAATGTTGATGCATCAGTTCTGGGCACCGGATACGACGTCCGGCCAGATATGGTTGCGCCAAAGTTCACGGCACCTATACCGGCGGACCGCCACAAGCATCTCTTTGAAGACGTCAAAGTCCCCAGGACCGAGAATTTCAACCCAGACGAGCCTTCGGGAGCAAACTGGATGCTCCACCTTCCAAAGCGTAGCCGAGAGGTGGTAGACTATGACGACCACTTTTACCGATCCCGCCTTCGAGCGCTCCAGGGCGTCGACGAGCTCGTGGACCGCGTCGTTGCCAGACTGGAAGAGCTCGGAATATTGGAAAATACTTACATCATCTACACAAGCGACAATGGCTTTCACATTGGCCAACATCGCCTTTCGCCGGGCAAGGAGTGCGGCTTTGAGGAGGACATTAACGTGCCGCTCATTGTGAGGGGTCCCAAGGTTCCCAAGGGCCGCGTGGCGGATATTGTCACTACCCATACCGATCTGGCGCCTACAATCATCGACCTCATTGGCGGCAAGATACCTGAAGCAGCGCACTTTGACGGTGACGCCATTCCCTTGACCGGCAACGGCATTGATGAGGCGGCAAAGTCTCGCCACGAGCATGTCAATGTCGAGTTTTGGGGTCTCGCGCTCGGAGAGGGCAAGACATTCCCGGGCTATGAGTCTCGGTGGGGCAACAATACGTACAAAGCCCTGCGCGTTGTCAGCGACAACTGGAATCTTTACTATTCCGTCTGGTGCACCAACGAGCACGAGCTGTATGACCTCAAGGTATGGTTGAACATGAAACGTTTTTGCTCTGTTGGAAATAGTATGAGGACAAACCCACTAACTCTAGGCCTCTGAAAACTAGACCGATCCTGGCCAGCTGAACAACCTACTAGCTCCCAGGGCCAAGAGTCCAGGCGCGCCGAGGTCGCTCAACGGCTACCCGTTGGACAAGGTGGCAGCGCGACTTGATTCTCTCTTATTCGTGTTAAAGTCGTGCAAGGAGCAGACCTGCATTCGCCCGTGGCACTCGTTACACCCTGCCGGCAATGTGAATAGCCTAGACGATGCGCTCTCGCCCCGGTTTGACGACTTTTATGTTGAGAAACAAGTCAAGATTGAATTCAACCGCTGCGAGTTTGGATATATCCTGGATGCCGAGGGACCGCAGTTTGACACGGACGGACTGGTTTATCGTCATGGTCTTCCGTGGTCGGAGTGGACTTGAGAGTCGTCTGGTATGATATAATCGGGAGTCTGACGAGATTGGGCTATTGTATCAATGTCATGCATGTTTTCTTGCTGACAACTGACGAAAGAGCTGCGGGACCATTTTCAGTGGTTGCCGTTCAATCATACAACATTGATTCATGGTATCCATCCAACCTACAATAGCAATAGTAGCATATATATCGTACCTTGTATCATAAACTTTTGCCCCCCGGTGAGGATGACCCAAGAGACAAAAGTCAAGGCGGAATTAATCAGCCAGATGGCATTCAATAATGAGTCGGCCCTTGAAAAACATTGTGCCTGGCAGCCGGGTTACCGAGAAGTTGGTTAGATAGCGCGATGTCGTGATTCGGGGATTCCATTGCGATTGTTATTACCAGCAATGCCACTGGCCGCAAGCGCCCTGATGATGCCCCACTACACTGCATACCAGCTATCAGCTTGCTCATAATGCAGGCACCTGAAGGCAGGAGCTATTGATTAGACCCCCCTCGTTAACAGCCGGGAAATAATGAGTGCATATTCACGTTGGGATTTTTTTTTTTTTTTTGAATGGTATTCTTCACCTTGTCCTGACTCGTTGGGGTATTCGTTGTTGTTTTTTTACAGCCCGTGTCGATCGCCCTGTTTAATTGATTGATTGGCTGTTTCACACCTTTATACTCATACTGCACCTAAAGATCGACGCAGCGCTAGAGACTATACAAACCCAGATTCCTCCGGGCTGGACGGTGGAAAGGTGAAAGGAACATGACATACCAAGATGACGCCACTGCGGCGTCGTCCGAGAGTAACACGATAACTCCCAGCGAAACCTCCAGTCTGCTAGGAGGCAAGTCACTCGATGGCGAAGGAGACAATCACAAGTACGGCAGCGTAGAAGAACCGCGAGACCCAGAGAGCGGTGTGGTGACGACCCCGCGGATAGCAGCAGCTGCTGGCCAAGAAGGAGAAGGCAGGCGGTACAGCAACGCTTTCATCGCGAGAACGGTTGTTGCACTTTTGATCGGTAAGACTGCCAATGCATATGATCAACCTGGTTTTTTGAGTCTAGCTCATATTTACTCATTACCTTGTTTCCCCCAGGCACGTTCACGACCAATGCCGATGGATCTCTCGTATTGGCAACACATCCGGTGATTGGCTCCGAGTTCAATGATCTTGAAAATTCGAGTTGGCTTTTCATCGGCTTCATGCTTGCTGGATTAGCTACCCAGTCATTGGTAATTCTCTTGACAATTCGAATCAAAATCAACAAATTTTGCTAATGTTGTAAAGTACGGTAAACTAAGCGATATATTTGGTCGTAAACCGTTGCTTCTCCTATGTTATGGATTGTTCGCGATTGGTTGGTTAGTACATCTCAACGCTAGAGTTATCCAGTACGGTTACTAATTCCAGTATTTAGTGCTTTGGTGTAAGTTGTGTAGGCAACCAAATCAAAGGTCCTCTTGAGCTGATAAAAGTGCAATCTCAAGCGGTGTTGGGCAAAGTCTTTGGCAAGTCATCATTGGCCGTGTGGTTTCGGGGTCTGGCTCAGCTGGCATGACGGTCCTCGTTGCTCTCATTATCACAGGTTAGTATTAGATGCTACACTCACAAGGATAAGTAACTAACCAACGATTTTCTCAGATCTTGCACCTTTGAGAGAAGTTGCTGCTTGGCAGAGTTACCTCAATATAGTATCAACCACTGGCCGGAGTATCGGTGGTCCTCTAGGTGGTTGGCTTACCGACACGATCGGATGGCGATGGTAAGGAGACCATAACTTCCATGTTTAGAAACTTTCGAGTAACCTCCAAGACAGGTCATTCCTCGGCCAAGCCCCCATCTTTGCCGCCGCAACCCTGATATGCTGGTTCGTCTTGCCGCCGCTCAAGCCCGAGTCGAACACCACGAGCGACGGCAGACTGAGCAAGAAGCTCGGCCGCATCGACTTTACTGGCGCCGCACTCCTGGGCCTGGGAATCTTTGCACTGATGCTGCCCGCCGAGATTGGAGGATCTCGACTGCCCTGGAGCCATCCCTTGATCTTGGGACTTTTTGTCACTGGAGCGCTTCTCCTCGGGTTGTTTTTTCTCGTGGAGAAGAACTGGGCCAGGGAACCAATATTCCCCGTGCGGCTTCTGCACAATAAGAATGCCGTCCTGTGCTTCATCATCAATGGGTGTCAGATGAGCGCACAATTGTCTGTAAGTGTTTTGCGCCTGATTCGCACCTCCCTGGACCTCATACTTTGGACGCTTTGTGCTCAATGCCCCCTCTGCAGATGATGTATAGCGTGCCCCTGTATTTTCAGGTCACGCAACGAACCTCGAGTACTATTGCTGGTGCACACTTGTTCCCAGCGGTCGTTGGAAACACCATCGGAGCACTAGCTGTGGGACATGTAATCAAAAAGTGAGTCTCCACGATGTAGATTTCTTTGACTGTCACACTTTTGATGCTGACATACGGACCAAGGACCGGTCGATACAAGGCTCTCATAATATTCGCAACAGCTGCCGGCATGTTATGCTACTCACTGCTCATCCTGAGATGGCAAGGCAACACCAACTGGGCCGAGTCCATGTACATTATTCCCGGGTAAGTAATTGTCAATCTGGTATCGTCCAGTGTCTCCAGACATCTGACCCTCTTTTCCCCCGCAACAGCGGACTAGGCACGGGCATGGCTCAAACCGCCGTCTTTATTGCGCTCCAGGCGTCTATTGAACCGAAGGACCGAAGCAGCGCCACGTCGGCACTTTTCCTGATTGGCCCCATGGCGACGACAATCATCATGGCCATTGGCAGCGCCCTCATTGTTGCGGGACTGCGCGACGGACTTTTTGTCCGGCTCACTGCGCTCGGTCTCGGGGCTGATGCTATACAAGAGGTCAGTCGTGTACCACCTTGCTTACAAAAGCGCACGATGAATATTCCTTCAGAGTTGACTAATATTTTTCTGTGTCTCGTTACTTAGGCAATCGCTAGTGCTGCTGCCGATGTTGCGTATCTGGATCGCGCCCCTCCTCTCATTGCCAAAGCCGCCGTGGAGTCGTATGTCGAGGGTATTGAATATAGTCATTGTGAGTGCCATGATATTCATTGGATCTCCAACCGAATGCAATACTTGGAGCTGACCCTTTATCATCAGACGTGTCTCTCGCATGCTCAACACTTGGATTGGTTGCGGCGCTATTCTTGAAAGAGAAAGCGCTCCGGAGGTAGAGTTGGTTTGTGGCGGTAGTCATTTAGAGCATCGAATGGCCAGTGCTATAGAATTAGTCATGATTGCATATAGAATAAAATTGAATACATCCGTCTACCGACGACCCTATAGACCAACCATATAAGTCTATTGTATGTAATTCTACACCCTGAAGCTGAGAGTATACAAATGCTTATTGTTCGTGCCGGTTCAACTTCTAACATGGCGCACGGGGAGCAAAAAAATCGAGCCTGTATCTGCTCGTGACCTAATTTGCCTTGAACGCAATTGGAGCTTTAGCTGCCGCAGCGCCTCCGGTCATGAGGCTCAACTTTAACATTAGCCCAAGGGAATATCAATGAGATTACTAAAGGCTAAATTCAAGCAACTCATTCCTTTTATAGGCCATTCATCAACACCGTTGAAAGACCTTGACCAGAAAAGATCTTTCTTTCAAAAGGCTCTACTCGGCTGCAGGCCAGAAGAACCATGTCACAGCGACAGCCAACTTGAACGCTGCCGCAATCCACAGGATGCCAGCAGCTCCCAGATCAGTACGCACGATGAGGCCACCGACAAAGGCACCCAGCAAAAGCAACACGGGTGCCCCGACCCTGCGGTTGCGTTCAGTATTATTTACTGCAAACAGCTCGGCGTCGGAGAACAGGTCGCAGTAAATGCTAGTCAAGACGACACTGGTCAAGGCATTGTACTTGAGCGCCCTGCTGACAACGGCTTGTCCGCAGCTTTGGAAGGCGACGAGACCAATGGGTACCAAGACGTTCCAGCTGAGCTCATTGTCCGAGCTGGGTCCCCACGTCAGGATGCCGGCGGCAGCAATGATGAGGGCCATTTGCAGGACAAACGAGGCACAGAGCACCCAGCGGCGACTGGGCATAAAGTACCGGTGGAATCGGCTGAAGACGAAAGACCCCACGCAAAACGAGATTAGCGAAGTGCCCGACTTGATCCATCTCGTCGACTCAGTAGGCGCAGCTAGACCGAGGCCAATGTAGACCGTGTTGCCTGCGAGTGTCTATTTAGCTTGACACACAACATTGAAGCATTGATCACAAGTGCATAATGCGGCTCACCTGTCTGCATGGAGACGAAAGACCCCCATGTCTGTATCGACGCGCTGTCGAGGAGACCAGTGACGAAATAGCACAAGAGGAGAACCAAGTCGGCCCAGTCTCGGTGGACGTTGACAGTGAGATGGGAGCGCCAATTAGACTTGGCCGGCGGCTGTCCTAATAGCGCCTGCTCCTCGTCGACGACACCGCGCGTTCCGGATCCTCGGCCGGCATTGGCATTGCCGACCGTGCCGTATCCGTTCTCCGTGGCCATGTCTGACTTATTGACGTGTTGAGCGGTGGGGTTGGGGTCTGCTTGTGAGGTGCTTTGATGAACCACAGGAAATGCGACTCGACTTATAGAAGATGGTGAGAAGTCCACAGAAAGCAATGTGCTAGCAAAAAGCTTGGGCGAATAAAAACTTGCTCAATGCTAGCCTCGAGGGTCAGGACTTGGAAGCCTTTCCGAGGTTCCGAAGCGAGGTATATCTTGTCCCAGTAATTATTGTCAATTCTGAAGCAAACTTGTCACTAGACTTGCCGAACAGAGGCTGTGCAATTGACTTTGTTATGGGTTGGCGGCGGAAAGAGTGCCGCCAGCCGCTCTTTGTTTGATGTTCCTGGGCTTCCTCTTCCCTAGTCCAGGCCCCGCCATGACGCTGATGTCTGTATTGGCGGAGCCCCGTTCCCCGTTGCAGTGCACTAAGCAACGCTAGCAGCGGGTCCCACTCAGTGGTAGTCAGTAATGTGTAGGGCCAGGCGTCTGGTTGCTGTGGGTAGGTGTAACCCTTGTCAGAACCCAGACTCCGCTTGTGTGGATGTAGCAGCTCTCAAATGTACCCCATCCCACTATCAAGGTCCTATGGAATTGTCAGTAATGCCAACAGAAGATGCATGTGAGCCCACTTGGTTAAACAACAGATTCTGGATCATCTATTTCCTCGTGTCAATAGAAGTTAAGCCTGGTCGCCTATCAAGGCGTAGTTTCAGCAGTGCCTCATTTCTTGTTGGATTGACCGAGATGAGTTATGGGCAACCCCAAGAAACCAAGAAACGACCAAAGGTGACCTGCCACGAGCTTCCCTCAACCAGTCTCCCTCTCCGAACAGCGGGCGAGACTCGGCTTTCTCGGTGATGCTTTGTCGGTCTTGTCTCGGCAGTTGAAGGTGATTCGGGGTTGTCAGACAATTTGTTTGGGCAAAAGCAGGGAAGCGATTGGTGTGTATACCACGGAGCTGGGTGTAGGTTGATGACAGGCCCTCGAAATGTTGTGAGCGGCAACCCTTGTCATTCCAAGATGCTAATGTAGCTCAGACGGCCGCTTTGGGGTAAGGTCAACAGAGATTAGGTATTTGTCCAATCCCCACAGAGGTGTAGCAGAGCTCCAGGTATGTATGTAGGGTAGGTAGACGAATGTACATCGGTGGAAGCTGACTGTAGGTACACAGCTTTAAGCTTGTGTTTGGGGACTGTCGACGAGGTGCCTCGGGTCTAAATCTTGATGCGGTCACCAAATGGTTCGATGCTGGACGACCAGGGCGATATATAAAAGCCCGCAACCTTTGCTGTCTTTGCCCTCTGTTACTCTTTTTCCCTGAATTGTTTGCTCTTCTTTTCTTTTTTTTGGTTCCCTAGTCCAATCAATGCTATACTCATCATAGGGCTGAATTGACTACCGACTCCACCGTCGCACCAACTCCTCCATCATGCAGATGCGAAGCTCTCTTGTCCTACTTGGCGCAGTTCTTGGTGAGCTTGGCCTCGCCGTTCCCGTCGAGGACAGCCCCCGCCAGCGGCTCTTGGACGGCAAACCGCTGCCCTCCAAGTACACAAATGCCAAGAATCCCTACAAGCCGGGTTTCAAAGACCCTCTGGACAAGGCCGTCGACACCATTGGTGACGAATTGGACCCATTGCCCTATCGCAATGGATTGGGCTCTTCGGTATTAGGCCCATGGAATTGGGAGCGTTCGCGACAGAATCCAGATCTCGTCCGACCGCCAAGTACCGATCATGGCAACATGGCCAACATGCGCTGGAGCTTTGCTGATTCGCACGTGAGAATTGAGGTGAGAAGGTTTATTTCTTTGCGCTGTCTCACATCGGGGCTTCACTACATTCGACTTTAGGTGTTTGTACGGCAGCTAACATGCTATACACTAAACTAGGAGGGCGGCTGGACCCGACAGACGACAGTCCGAGAGCTCGGTACCAGCGTCGAATTGGCTGCTGTCAATATGCGCCTTGATGAAGGCGTCATTCGAGAATTGCACTGGCACAAGGAGGCCGAGTGGGCTTATGTCTTGGACGGCGAGGTCCGCATCACTGCTATTGATTATGAGGGCGGCAGCTTCTTTGATGATCTAAAGAAGGGCGACCTTTGGTATTTCCCCAGTGGTGTGCCACACTCTCTCCAAGGCCTTAGCCCCAATGGAACCGAGTTTCTGCTGGTCTTTGACGATGGAGGTTTTTCTGAGGAGTCTACATTTATTCTTACGGACTGGCTAGGTAAGAACTGCTCTATAACTCTTCCGATTGAGGTCGAAACTAATCGTTGAAAAAGCCCATACCCCCAAGTCGGTCATTTCAAAGAACTTCAACTTGGCACCCGAGATCTTTGCGCACATCCCCGACGGTGAAAAGTATATCTTCCAGGGCGCCCTTCCCGGCTCGATTAGCGACGAGAAGCCGACCGGCAAGAATGTCAAGAAATCCAAGTACAACTTTGCGCATCGCATGCTGGAGCAGGAGCCCAAACAGACTACGGGGGGCGAGGTCCGCATTACCGACTCCAAGAACTTCCCCATTTCAAAGACCGTGGCCGCCGCCCACGTTACGATTCAACCCGGAGCTATCCGCGAGATGCACTGGCACCCAAATGCCGATGAGTGGTCCTTCTTCATCAAGGGGCGCGCGCGCATCACCATCTTTGGCTCCGAGGGCACCGCCCGCACATTCGATTACGTGCCCGGCGATGTTGGCATCGTGCCCCGCAACATGGGACATTTCGTCGAGAACATTGGCGACGAGCCCATTGAGATGCTCGAGGTCTTCAAGGCTGATGAGTTCCGAGACTTTTCACTGTTCCAGTGGATGGGCGAGACACCCAAGAAGATGGTTATCGACCACTTGTTTGCTGATGACCCCAAGAACGGTGAGATCTTCTGGGACAAGGTCAAGAGCGCAGCCAAGGACGAGGTTACGCAGCCCGACGCAGATCTCTTCTCTCATCAAAGAGTTTCTTCAAGCGAGCTCAAATAACTTGCGGACGATTCCATTTTCTCATATATACATTGGGTTTGTTTACGGTATTGAGCACGAGTCGAACGCGAGGATCGTTCGTTATCGAAGACACATCGATAGTTTGTCTAGGACGCAATTTTGGTACAAAGTTATCGCATCATGAAATTGGGAAATCTGGAAATGTATAATTATCGAAACTGGAATAAAAGCGCATCCAAGAAGCCTACTTGTGTTTTCGACCTTTCGTATGACTTTCGTATTCATACATGTCTCTGTCACAATGCGGTCTGAAGATGGGAGGAAGTTTCTTGGCATTTCCTCGAGACAACGGGAGCATTTCGTCCGGTCGCATATCGATCGCTAGAGGAAAAACCGCAAGCTTGTGCTGAACTCAGGCTCGTCTCCGTCGAGGGGGAGGGGGAGGGGTTCGCGGTGCCCTCTGGTTTGGTTTGGGTGCGTCGCGTGTGGCGCCCCTACCGACAGCCAAGTGATCGATCATGAAGAGGGATAACGCGGCCGTGGACCACTTTTTGGGCTCCACCAGTGACTGCGAATAGCAGCAGGCAGTAAAAACATTTCTGTTTCATTGCCACTTCCAAAGAAGCAAGCCAAGAAGGTAGTTGGGCAGTCCAACGCAGGCCAAGACATTGTTTATCAAGGTCGTGATGCTCCCCCCAGTCGCCAGGCTCCACGCTACCCTTTGCGATAGGGAGAAATGCCCAGGGTTGATATAATGGCAGGGCCTTGGGAAGAGCTTTGCCAAGTGCGGGTAAGCTTTTTCCAAGCTTCCTGGGCAGGCTGGGCTTCTTTTTCGCGGGGAACCATGTTTCCCTTTTTATATGGAAACGCGGGGCCGCTGTGGATCACGGGTCGAATAGTCCATGGTTATATTCTCCGATTTTCTTTTTTTGTTTATCATTTGTCCGTCTTTGCCGCCAACTAAAACAAATCATTGTACTTGTACTTGAACTGTTTTAATCATGGATATAACTTGGTTGCTTTCGTCATTGTGTGCCCTTATAGCGACATGATATTTTACAGGAAGCTCGCAAAATTTTGGTGTGTTACATTCCGTCCGCTATTTGTATATGTGCCTCGGGACCCGGTAAGCGAACCGACGGTACATCTTTCTCTGCCCAACTTTCTATTGATATCGATTCTCTACTTGCATCAGGATACCATCAATACCAGGTACTCCAGGGGTCTCATTGGATTCAATCATCTAGTCCACTGAGGTGCAGGACATTTCTAAGCGCCGCAACTGTGGATCTTGTCGTCACATGGTGGTAGATGATCAGGGGGAGCTGTGATGAATCACTTTCATTGATGCATAGCGATGCATAGGAGGGGTGCCGGGTTCCACATCCATGTTTGCTACTCATCACGTCCCAATGAATTCTCATTTTAGCAAGTACATTCGTACTAGAGCCTTGCAAAGATGGTAGTTGTGGTGAGGGCTGATATGCACCCAAGCACGAGGTATGCAGCTAGCTCAGGCCAACATTTTTGTCAAGCTTGTCACAATAAGGCCATTCCATATTCATGGAAATTCATGAGGCCGTGGATCTATCTATACAGACCTGGCTAGATCCTCATGTCTGAGTACATGCTGGCCCTTGCTTGATGCCGCCATCAATGTGATGAGTGCTAGTGCTGGGGGAATCCTCTCATGACCAATAGGGATCGAAGCCTTTACGCCGCCCAAATGCACCTAAATGTAGCTTCGTGTCCAGAGACAATCATGAAGTAGCATCTTTCATCAGGAGCCTACACATGACTTGGACGAGTTACTAGCATTATATACATATACTCCATTGCGAAGCCAAATGAACATTGATTTGGTGTCTGGTTTCAAACCACAATTGAGGTAGAGTATCTTTCTACTATCAAAGTGACATGGAGTGAAGATAATTTGTAGGGGAATCATTATTTAGAATTTGAAATATTTGGATTTTATACACGAATATTGATAAGAAACGAAGGAGAACTAGTACTTGAGAACAGACTTGTGCTCCTGGGACCCTTGCCATCAGATCAAGAATAGAAATTCCTAAACAAAATGGACACATCAAGTATTGATCGACATAGGAAGGAGAGGAAAGAGCCCTTTAGTCCATAACCTTTTCTGACACTACCGCCTCCAAAACGCTACCCAACCTCTCGCGATCGACAATGGCCCTCTCCAGGGTAGGATACACGACATCAACGTCGAGGTAGTGCTCGTCGTCAAAGTCGGACAGGGGCCACTTTGCGCGGGCAAAGCGGCTGCGCACCCCTCGGTTCATGCCCACCATGCGGAACTGCACCTCCTTGCCGCAGTGCAGACGAATGTCGGCCCTGAGCTCGCCCAGCGCCAGCACGCCCGTCGTGTCGATCCACGAGGTCATGGTAAAGTCAAAGACGACAACGGCCAGGGGCACGTCGCGCAGGGAAATGTGGCGCTCCCGGCGCACCCGCTCCACGCGGCGCTCGGCCGCCACGCTCCAGCTGCGCTCGCGCGACCGAAACACGGTCGCCTCGGGCAGCTTGTCGTAGACGAGCTGGATGGCTTCGACGGTGACGCGCTTGTTGCGCGCCGCGTTGGGGAAGAAGATGGAGTCGTTGAAATGTACCACAACAGTGTCGCTGGGGACCGAGACGGTAGAGAGGTCGCCCGACGTGGTGTTGAAACGGTCCAGTCCTTGTGATGATTCTGTAGACGTGCTATCGTTGGTGCTCATGTTGACGTCGGCCTTGACAAAGGCGGAGCGAAGCAGTGACCAGACCAGGCTCCAGGCCACGCCGGCTCCGATGCCAATCTCTGCCGACTGGAAGATTGTCAGCCAGAAGGCAAGTTGAGATGCGATAAAGTCTGCCAGAGACATTCTCCAATACTTGTAAAACAGCGAGACGGGACCAAACAAGTTGATAACGGCCATGATCTTTGAAGTGTCAGCATTGTCCATAATATCACAAGGCAAGGTTACGTACAATGATGGCGGCGAGAGTGGCCTTGGGAATCCAGTATAGCGCCGGAGAGAAGACATAAATCGTCAAGATGATCCAAGCCGCGGTGACCAGTCCGCTCAGAGGGCTCCTGACACGACACTCAGAGTTGACGGCGGTACGGGACATGGCGCCTCCGCAGGGCATAGCACCAAAGAAGCTGTTGACGAGGTTCGTGACGCCCAAGTAGTTGAGCTCCTGGGTCTGGTCAATGGCATAGCCGTTCCTGCGTCCAAAGGCCTTGGCGACGGCAAGGTGCTCCAAAGCGCAGGCGACCAAGGGCGCAAACGAGCGGGCTGCCGCCTTGCCAATGAGGCCGGCGTCGTGGGACTTGGGGGTTGCGATGCCGTGGGTGCTGACCTTGCTGATACCCCAGACCAGATCGTCGCCGCGGTCCTTGTTGACGAGGTAGCTGATGAGCGTGAAGATGAAGAGGACGATAATGGCTCGGCTGCTGGCTACATATTTGAAGACAAAGTGCCTTTCGCCCAGTTTCTTGCCAATCTTTTCAATGGCAATGAGCAGAATGATTGATCCAATGCCAACTCCGCAGGTCGGTCCGTCCCAGTGCGGGAGTCTCTTGAGAGCGTCGCCGATAATGTCAAAGACCATGGATGGTGTGTTGCTGAGTCCGATCAGACTGCCCAGTTGGCCAAAACCAATGGTCAGGGCGGTGGCAGAGATGAAACCAGTAAGGACGGGAACCGACACATAGTCGAGGAGGAAACCGAGACCAAGGAGTCCGAGAATCAGGCAGTAGATTCCGACCATGAAAGCAACGGCACTGGCAATGGCAGCTGGGCTGTACTCGTCGGAATAGCTTGCCACGATCTCGGCGGTTAGCAGACCCAAGATTGAAGTTGGTCCGACGGAAATATCTATGGGATCAAAGGTATTAGCACCATGAGCTATGTATACTTTGCCAAAGCAAGTGTAAATCACCCTTGGATGTTCCCATGAAAACCTGGATCGCAGCTGGCCACCAGGCACTGTATAATCCATTCTCAATGGGAATCGTTGCAATCTTGGCATATGCTAGTCCTTGCGGGATCAGCATCACGCCAATGGTGAGGCCAGCAATAAAGTCTTGAATGAGCCATGATGGGTGGTAGCGCGGCAGCCATTGAACAATGGGCAGTTTGTCGAGAAGATACTGCTGGGCGGCTCCCGGAAACTTTGGGCTGCCTTGAACAACAAAGCTCTTCACCCTATTTGTAGTCGTATCTGTTCTGACAACGTTTCTGAAGGCATCAACCTTCTCGCTGGCGGAGATGATCGCCATGATAGCAGAGTCTTGGTTGAATGCCAGCAAAAGTCAGAAAGCCAGTCCGACTATGGGGAAGGGATTCAACAAATGTTTTATAGAGTGAAGCCGCTTTAGGCTATGCAGAGATATGAAGAATAAGATTAGATCTATACTCGGTGGCGAGTAGTCTATGGTGGCTAGCTGCCAAGCTCTATATACACAGCCTCAGCATCTTGCTTCCAGGATACTAGATACAGACATGAACTAATCGAGGTTGTTTTCTACGCTGCCTCAGGTGCTGCTGCGTTATTGTGACCCTCCTTCGGCTCATTCTCGCAATTTTCGGTATGTCAATGCATTCAAATAGAAGGCCTGATCCGTAGTACAAAAGACCATCGAGAGAAATAGGATTGCTGCTTGCGTGGCTGCAGATGGTCGCACCTCCATGAGCAGAGAGGTATTCATCTCAGACCCTAACCATATATTACCGTGCAAGAGCCGGGGTGGCCCCCCGACATTCGTTTCTGGGATTCGTCCTGGGACATCTACCGAAATGGCCGGACTACTCATGCACGACGTACTCGATACCTAACAGTTGAGATGGGTGGGGTGACAGTGTGATGAGTGTGTGTCATTCGCATTGTAAGCAACGCCAAATATACTCCCATGCGGGGGGGGGCTGTATATGTCGAATCTACCGCCGTCAAGGGTTGCTCTGCACATCTGTGCCTTGTGACAATCAGCCTCTGATTCAGCTACCTGGTAAGTCGTCGAGAAGCAAATCGCGATCAAGTATGGTATTCGTTCTGTTATTATGTTGATCATATCGGCCGATCATGAAACTAGGATGTCAAAAATTTGCCAATACATTTCAAATCAAAGTATAACAAAAGGGCAATCCAAGAATGTCACTTTACCTCATTTAATGCTCTCCAAATAATCTGCCCAGGTCAGCAACATAGTTTACAAGCGTTGGGCTTCACCCGCGTTTTCCGGGCGACTATTTGCCTTGCGACTGTCGAAAACTAACAGCAGGGCGAAAAAAGAAAACAAAGCTCCTAGGCATATTTGCATGCTATATTCTCCAAAGAGCATTTGCTCTACCCGAGTGACATCCAGCTCGTTTAGGAAGTAGAGCCGATGTTGCAAAAGAAGCGAAGCGACAGCACAGGCACACAGATACACCATTGGAAAGATGGCCATGAATCAGCAATTCCTAGCATGGGGGGGGGAGTACTGGTACATCAAGACTCCAAGTTGGAGCTGCCTGCGATTTGTTGCACTTACACAGCTAGACTTGTAATTCGGTCAGCATATCAGCACTAGCCGTTGGTGTTTGGTATTCCTGTTTTTCTAATAAAGCGTGGGGAAACCTTGTCGCTGGGCCTCATTGGCCGACGAGGCCGGTGAGGGAGCTTCTGGATTCACCACCTTTGGAGAGAGACAGCCATGACATTGTCTTTGTCTGTCACAATTGACAAGCTGCCGAACCTGACTAAAATCCGAGCGGCAGTGCGGAGTTGGGGCGCAGCGTCGTTGTCGCCATTGGGCGAGCCGGTACAACTTCTCCTCTCCTTGTTCCATCCCTCGCTCTCCGAGTGCTAGTCTGTTGAATGCGTATTCCAACTGCTTCACGATGGTTTAATTTGTTGACTTTTCGAAATCTCTTGATTGAAGTCGTGGCTAAGCTTTTTACCCCAGATCAGCTGATGCGAATTGCATGCAATCCATCAAACTGATCAGCCTTTTTGTTGCACCGCCAAGGGCCGTTTTGGCGTTTTGGCAGCTCTTGGAGAAATGCTCAGCAGCTTGGCAACGTATGCCTAGAACTTGGCAGGCTGGGCGAAGCGCCAAGATGTCTTGGGACTGCCTCAACATCAACGACAAAGTTCAAATAAAGAGGTTTGTCCATTCAATCATCGCGATACCTCAAGTCGTGTTGGTCTTTCGGGGACAAGCCTAGGATGAGGCTCTGCGGCCCGTGAACGACGGTAGTTAGGAGCCAGGACTATACAATGCCTCTTTACAGACATGAGCTATAATATACACGGACTTATGGAAACCAATCTGACACGACTAGTTAGAAAGAAGGACCGAAAAATATATCAAAGATTATATACCGAAGTACTCAATGCATCCCAGCTCCATCGGATGAAAATCTTAGAATCCAATACGGCTTTGAAGTTTTCTTAACATTAAGGAACACGGCGTCTTACGCTTCTTAATGATCAATGTTATGTAAAATTTGTCGCACGCTTAGCAGTGTAGAATTCACTCAGGTTAGGCCCTCTATCGACGGGAAACTGTCCTTATAACTATAATTGTCCCAGCTAGCTTCGGCAAGTAGAGCCAGGCATCAAGACTGGTGCGTTAGGATTGTTGTCTATCCAAGACCTTTGTTATTCTACCCTCCTGCCTTGATTGTGCCTCAATCAAGCCTAAAAGTAGATGGCCTCCATTACTTTCCTGTATGAATTTTAATAATTCACGAAATACAATTGGAACAGCACTAGTTCGATGTTGAAATCCTTTCGAAATTCGGAGTCTGGTATAAGATATGTTTTTATGTGGTGCTTAGCCAATCAGGCTGATTTGGGTATCTAGTGCTTGGTGCCAATAGCCAAATCAATAGTCTCAGTTTTTAGAAGATATGTGGAAGAATCCAATCATGAAAGAACCCATTTTGGTACAAAGAAATTCGGCGACCATCAGGGAAGCCCAGAATAGGATTGACAATTCACATGTCGCATGGGACGAATCTTGGCCATGGTTCGGCATTCACAACAGCAGCTGAGTTCGGGCGCAAACACAACAGTCCTCCTCCAATCGTGTCATTAGCATTACCCCAGGAGGAATGCTACAATGACGAACCTCTTGGGACAAAACAACCCATCTCAGCTGAATAGTAGGCCCTATTAATATTTCTAGCTTGGTAGCGAGGCCACCTTTATTTATGCACAACGGGTTCGTCATTTCTGGATGCTACCTCGAGGATTCGAGGAGCCAATCGCGAAGAATATGATTCCTGTCGATCCAGGCACACCACCTCGGCAGCACCCGCAGCGGAGAGGGACCGGATTCTCGGAGACTCGCTGTGTCTTCGGCTTATTACAAGGACTATAATGGTGCTCCAAGCCTCGACTACTTTATTGAAACAAATGTAGATCAAGGGATGGGCAGTTCCGAACCGGTGAGAGGGAATCCTCACGTTTGGTATCGCAGCCAATCAAGAATGCCAAACATGACCAGCTGAAACCTCCCCACGGATGTGTAGCGATGAACCTTGCACCGCACGTGACTTTTCGGTATGATGCTTTATAGGTTCGACTTGGGCCTTGATAATTCTATTAAAATGCCATATCCGCAACCAAGAATAATGAAAAATATGTTTTGGGCGTTGGCGGTGAGTAGCTTTTCGGCCCGTTGCACCGTTCCTATATTTTTGCTTCAAAATTGTGCAAGTGCTCTAGGAGATGGCCAGTCAGCCGAACAGAAATACGACACACCATCCTGGAGAAGCTATCAGAGGCAAATCGAGAGACAAGACCGGACAAGTAAGCGTGTTCTCAACCTAACTCGTATCTTTCAAGTTCTGTGACGCTGTTTGTGTGTATTGCGTTTGAGTCATTTCATATGAGCATTGTTGAACTCGGCCGAGGCTGATATCGAATCAAGTAGGTAGACTGGGAGGCAATCGAAACAACCTTGGTGGGATTCAAGACAAAGCATAGGACTAGTAGCATGAGAGGCGATGCAACTGAAACCAATCTTTTGACACGGCTTGACTTCAGCCTCCCGAAAACTATTTACCGGCAATCGACTGGAACCGATGTGCCGTAGAGGTCTCAATAAAACCACCCACCATACGGCCACAGCTGCCTTCCTATTTGGACAATATTGTGACGATCGTAAGATGATGGAGTGTTGAGTAGAAAGAAAGAGAAGTATTCTCGGCTTTTGATTCTTCTGCCAAAACAGTTTGCCGACTGGGCACGGCAGGACAGGTCTTGTATGCTAAACGTTTGGCTCCGCTGTGGAAGGGAATTCGTTTGAGTTGACTAGTTTTCGTGTGTTAATAGGGACTGAATTCACTAAAACTCCTGGTTTAACTCATACTGAATGCAAATATCAAGAATGAAGAACCGCATAAGTTATTGAATCGCGAGGGTTGATCTCAAGCTGACCACTGTTTCCTGTTTGCTGTAAACTGTTGATGAATGAAAATAAGGCTTGTCTTCAACGAATATTACGCAAGGACACTTTGATGAAGAAGTATTTTGATTATTACCTTGAAGTTGAAGAAGTAAAAAGTACGTCGTTACGTGGACTCGTAGTGCTCGCTCTTGACGCGTGCAACTGATTCCCCCGGGCAATGAATCTTTGTCCCTCAATTTCTTACTGTCTTCTCCATTAGCTTCACTAATACAGAACCGAGACATCCCAGGTGTGTTTAACCAAATATAAAAATGTAGATAACAGTTCTGTATTCTCAAGTGACTTGAGGCTTCAAAGGCAATCTTTGCAAAGCACATTCATTTTTCCACATAATACATGTCCTTCTCAACTCGTAAAGATTTACGACCATCAAGTAAGAGGAAGTAGTTTTATGCAAGACTACCATGAAAATGATATGTTAGGTATATTTTTACAAAACCAGCCTCTGACATACCAGAATGATCTATAAACAGCAGGTTTGGGTGTGAATCATTCGAAGTAAGATGTTTTTGACGAACTGTCTCGTTCGAAGCATTCCAGCACGGGATTTGGTTGCAATATTCTACCATCAGCAAATTCCGCAACGAAGAAAGACTAATCGCAAAGACAAAGGACGTACGCCATCTGTTGGTACGGAATAATAAGAAAGGAACTATGCATGTGCACACTAACATGCGGAATAATGAAGGCACTACTCTGCACATTAGTGTATGCACCACTATGAGGTGCCTTAGCTAACTGAAATATGGTGATCCGCCCCGCTATTACCCGCTGAGTAGACCCATGGAGCACACGGCAGGTGGAGAAGAGGGGCAAAGGGAGGGGCACTGGACTCACTTGATGGGAGCATTGTCAGATGTCGTCATCACCAAAAGTTGAGCTGCAACAAAGCTTTATGGCTCGGCTGTCCAATCGTGGTTATGGCCATCACAGACGTGTCGAAAATGAAGCTTCACCAGAAGCCTCTGGTATTATTGCCAACAAGTCTTGGACTGCGCATACTATGAGTGCCAACCAATCGTTCCTTCAAGCTCTGTCTAGTGCCGATTCCGTTGCCATGCGTTGAGGTAGGTACGGAATAATAGGTTGCGCTGTCCCTCTGCAAATGCAGGTTGGTTGGTAAGACGGCGGAACTTGGAACCAAGCCTGCGCCAAGAGGGAAAGTGAAGGGGCTGTATCACCAACCCAAGCTTGTTCTCGTACGATCTGACTCGAGGAACAAAGAACTCGCGTATTCCCTTTTTCAATATTAATAGTCTAGACTTTACAGCTTACTGCTCGTCCCGTTCGTTACTTATAGAACTCGTCATTATACCTACTCGACTTCACAATCACCATGAAGCTTGCAGTCTTCAGCGCAAAACCCTACGACAAGCTCTACCTAACCACCGAGCACGCCGCCGAGATCGACGCAGCGGCCGGCATCGAAGTTATTTACCATGACTTCCCCCTCAACCTCGAAACGGCCGAGCTCGCCAAAGGTGCCGAGGCCGTATGCATCTTTGTCAATGATGTCGCAGATGCCCCGGTAATTGAAGCCCTTGCCGAGCACGGCGTCAAGGCCATACTACTGAGATGTGCCGGCTTCAACAATGTCGACCTGGACGCCGCCGAGGACCACAACATGTTTGTGGCCAATGTTCCTTCGTACTCGCCTGAGGCGGTGGCCGAGTTTGCCGTAGCCCTGGTTCAGACCCTGAATCGCAATACCCACAGAGCGTACAACCGTGTGAGGGAAGGCAACTTTAACCTGGATGGCCTCCTTGGCAGGACGCTCCACGGCAAGACAGTCGGGCTGATTGGCACGGGCAGGATCGGCGTAGCCTTTGCAAAGATCATGAACGGTTTCGGCTGCAAGGTTATCGGTTTCGACCCCTTTCAAAGCGACGAATTCAAAAAAATCGGCGAGTACATGGACCTGGACACTCTGCTACCCCAGAGCGATATCATCAGTCTGCACTGCCCCCTGATGGACAATACTAAGCATATAATCAACGAGGACACCCTTTCTAAGATGAAGACGGGTGCCATGATTGTCAACACTTCCCGCGGAGGTTTGATCAACACTAAGGCTGTGATCTCGGCGCTCAAGAACAAGCAGCTGGGGGGTCTGGCGCTGGACGTGTACGAGGGCGAGGGTGCGCTCTTCTACAATGACCACTCGGGCCACATCATCGAGGACGATGAGTTGATGCGTTTGACCACTTTCCACAATGTCATTGTCTGTGGCCACCAGGCCTTCTTCACCAAGGAGGCTTTGCAAGAAATTGGCACCAGCACACTGAAGAACTTTGCCGATTTCTCCTATAATCGGCCTTGTAAGAATTCATTGCTGCAAAACAAGAGCGAATTGTTGAGGAGAAAGTCTATCCCCATTCGTATCTGAGTCTACTGAATGCTTTGCACAAAACGAGGATAGTCACAATCGCGCATGTAAGCCATTACAAATTGTTTCCGACAAGATCCAGACATAGATAAAGAAAAGAATACGAAACTTATTTCGGGCTGCTTGCTTCGTATTTAAGACGCTATGTTCCACAATGTGGTGAGACAAATGTGATGATCTATCTATCACCTCCTAGTGCTGTCTATACTCTACTATACTTTCCAGCAATGGTATAATCTTTCTTTGGTCCCTTGACAGAGTAAGCCAGCTTCCAGTCCTTTAAGTTGACTGCCTTGAAATTAAAATCATAGTGCACGTCATACAGATCCTCGATGCAGAGGTGGCTTGCCTCTGCCTGCCAGTCCTTGGCCTCCTCATTCTCGTCCCCGTTTGGTACGAGAAATTCAAGGTTATGAAAGAGGTAATCGGCACGCGTGTTGTCGTCAGTCCGCGCGAACCAGACACTCAACACATCCTTGGCTTCATCATACCGCCAGACATACCGGCGCGTGGCCCTAAACTTCATACCATTGTCGGCGATGAAGTCGCCGTCCTCGACGTACAGATACTCCATTCCCAGGTCCTGACCCTCGGCAACGGTGCGTCCGTCGGTAGTACCGTCCCGCAGCAGGAACTTTGCCGTGCCCACGAAGCGACCGCTCGGATGGCTTGGTAGCTTTGACTTTAACGCGCGATCTAGCTTCCATTCGCCGAGGAGCGACCGAAAGACTGCATGAGCTACAAACTTGGCCTTGGTGAGGCCGGCTATGGCAGTCTCCTGTGTCGAGACTAGGTTCTTCTCTACTTCTTCGAGCGCTGCATCTGATGCGCCATGTGAGACATACCGTGCAGGCGTGATTATATCCATGGTTTTCCCGTTGGCTAATGCTGGCGTCTCCCTCGCTGGAACGATGGGGATCTCAAGAGCCTTTGCGAACTCGGCCATTAGGAATACATAGTCTCCCATGGGAAATTGAGAGCAGCGAGGGTCTGTCCGTAAAGACAAAGTTCTCTCGATGCTGTTGTCTGCAGCAAGTGCCTCTTTAAAGCTCTCAGATGGGGCTGGAGTCGACCACATGTGCGCCATGAACCGTGCTTGCATTTCCATGACGCCCCAGTATGGAGAGCGATAGAATCCTACAAAGCCCAGACTCGGATACGCTTGATGGTGTGTGCCATGAAAGGCCAGAGCAGCCGGCAGAGTCGGTGTGGAGGGAGAAAACGAAATGGTCTCGAGCACCTCGGGCTGAAGGAAACCGAGTGAAGGTGCCGGGTCGAACCCGGTAGCAAGAACCACGGCAGCTACATCTGTGATGTTCTCGCCTGAAGGGACAACCGCAGCAGTGGAACCGTCAAACGCGGATACTCTTCCCTGGCTGACCTTGATCAGCCCTGAACGGACAAAGTCAGCATAATGGGAGCTCATGGCCAGGAACGGTTGCTCTTCTCGAATTTCAGCCCCAATCTTGATTTCCGGAGAAAAGTCACTTTGGTCGGTGCCAAGAACTGATTCAAAGACACCATTTGATTTCTTGGCAGCATCGACGCTGATGTGGCCCGAGTTGTTAGCCAGTGGTTGAGGCCTCATGGCTTGATTATAAGATGGCAAATCACATGGTAAGAATGGTGGTGCACGAGAATCAGGCTGTCAAACGTGTCAGCAATGTCTCAGTACAGATTTGTACGACCAAACGTGCTTACCTTGGCTGATGTGAAGAGTGGAAAAACCCAGGCAGGTCTCTGCGCAACATGGTGTATCGTGTACTTTTCCGGATTGGCTATGGTCTTTTCTCCCGGAGAGTTTGTCGCAGATGACAAATGAGATGCAATTGTCCCGGCAATCTCAATGCCCGACATTTGACCACCAACAATGAGGATCTTACTTCCCTGCGTCTCCTCCTTACCCAGCAAGCTTGTCAAGTCACGATACTTGCTACTGTGGATGACAGATAGAGGGCCACTCTGAGGCACATAGTCGGGCCAGATAGGCTTTCCAAAGAATCCAGTGGTAACCAAGAGGTAGTCAAAGACGCTGGTCTGGGCACCTTGCTCCGATTCGGTTTCGACTTGCCACTGGCCGCCATTTTGAAGCTCCGTCCGTACAACCTTGTGACCAAGTCGAATATCAGCGCCACCATATCTCTTGGAATAACGCTCTAGATACTGGCCGACCTGCCAGGCTTTCGGCATCTGTGGCGCACCATCATCCCAGGCAAAGTCGCTAAACTGCACGGTATGTTTGCTCTGATTTGCGATCATCAAAGGATGCACCAGGCCAGCTGTATCATTTTTGCTTAGCGGCCAGAGACCGCCTATGCGGGTTTGAACGTCGTAGACAGTCACGTGGAAAGTCCCCGGTGCCACATCATGAAGAAACGTCTTGGCCGCGACCAGGCCTGAAGGACCAGCGCCTGCGATATTGTCAGCAATGGAATGGATATACTGCTTAATAGATTCAGGTATTTAGTACCGATTATGCACACAGTTTTCGTCATGTCTTCGGTCTTGCCGTGTCCACTCGGCGAGGAATCTGAAAGCTGCAGTACGTGATGCCGGTCCGATGCACAAAGGGATCGAATTATGTGCAGGCAGAAAACAAAGTCCAAGAGTATATCGCCGATCACGATATTTGCTTCAGACAAAAAACAAAATTCAAAACTCCGGGGCACGGCAACCAAATCGCCCCTGAGGTCCTCGCTGGTTGCTGTACATGTCTCACTCTCACCTCAGCACTGAAAGTCGCGCTACAATAAGACAATTGAGTCAAGTGGGTGCGCACAACCGCCAGCTGCTAGCCACTGCCAGTTGCGAGACCACTTGGTATCTACCTCGCGCCCTCACATTAACTGTTGAGAAGAACAATCAAAATAATTTTCTACCCATGTCAACATTCAGTTGCTGCCTACATCGTCGTATCATGACTCCATCGGACTGCAAGGTGTTCTTGTATTCGCCGCCTGTTATCACAGATCTTTGTCGGATTCCATGCCGGAAAGGGCCCATGGTTTCACCCACCCGGTCAGGTTCTGCAGCACCTGAGAGGCTCAGTCTCGCCGGATCCTCACATGGCCAGAGTGATCTCGCACAAACACACGGCATTGTACAAATCGGACTACAACTCGAAGAGCTCGGAAACAGGTTGAGAACGGGTACGCGGGATCTGGACCCAAATATCGGTGCATGCATCGCGTACATCTGAATAGCCCAGCGCAAATCTCAGATGGGTAGCCATGCGTTCTCTTCATTCCAATACCGGGATCACGCATCACGGTTCACGACAGTTCCTGCATACTAGCCGCTCACTCAACATTGTTCTTCCACGTAGCCATGAGAGATATGTAAAAGTCAATCGCCACGACTAACCGGCCATGGCAGGCCCATGCAAGCAACGCACAAAGACAGACCTCGGCAACACTTAGCTGTATTGGTAAAACACACCATAACCCCATCGTGAAGTAGTATATCTGTGGGTACTCTACTTGGTTTACGCGCGACGTAAAAAGATAAGGGACGAAATGATATATGACCGGATAGTACGAACATGACATTCCAAGTGGACCGTGTCAGAGTGATACCCTTCCAGAAAGTCCCACACCCTTTGGGGTCTCGAATATCACGGGTCGTTGCATACAAGCTGCACAGGAGAAACTGTCGTCAGCCGCGCACCTTGCGATTCAGGTCTCTCGTTATTCGTCTCGCGATGTCGTGTGCATGGAACACTAGCACATCTGCTCGATGGTCTTTTTGGACGTCCACAAGGGGAAAGCAGTCATTAGTTGTGCCTAATGATTGGGGGCATCATCGAACAAACCTAAGGCACCAGCAAGTGCACCGGAATCCAACAGCAATCCAGCGAGCATTCAGACGACGCGGCCGGATTCTATCTTTCAGCAGAAGCAAGTGGATCCTATCGGCTGCCGACATTCGTCCAGCTCCAGAATTCATCTGGACGTTCCCAGCGGCAGAGGTCCATCCGGACAGCCCGACTTTATGATTACTGGAAGAATGTTCCGTTTGGCTCATTGAGCCTGTGCGTGTGCAACAGAAGGTGGTCAGTAAGCCCGGGCAATTGGGTCGTGACCCTAGGGCAGTGCTACTGAGGCGCTGTGCACCCAGCAGATACTCAGGTCGCCAGTGCTGTAAGACCATTCCACGAGGACAGCGGTAAATCCCTCATGCACGCCAAGAAGCCAATATCCGTATATTCACGTTTGTGGTCTACGAAGTAAGCTGCACGGCTTGCTGCTTCGCTGTGTCAATCACCTGGAATGCTAGTGCCTACACAGTACAACTCTCGACAATTCGTTCAGCAACTTCCAACGGGCTTCCCAGGTTCTTAGTGACTGGAGCTCACCCCCGCTCGTCCAGTTTCAGTGTAGCAAGCACCAGCCAAGCCCACCCCGGATCTCCTTCCTGGTAGCTCGGTGCGGGGTAGAATCCCAGTTTCCTCCTATCGTTTCGATATGGATGGGGTCTAGTACGGACAGAAGGAGAATCCCTGATGACTTTAGTGCTATTCTCCTAGCATCAAGTCGTATTGTCGAGTGGTTTTGTAGACAAGTCAGGCAGGTACGTATGGTGGGTGGGCGACAAGACAAGTCGCAAGATGTGCTTATAAGTGCCGCTTTCGGCCAAACATCCAAGTCCTGTATGATGAGCTCCTGGCATATTATCTGGTAGGACTGCCCTCTCAACGACGGAAAACTTGGAAGAACCCAAGGGAGCACAGTGAATCCAGCTGAGCTAGGCTGTAACCAGGTGTTACGGATTAGTTCTAGAATATTTCCAGTCAGCAGCGCACACCGAGCTTTCATGCGAGCCTGAGGCGTGGCTGCCACTCTCATATGTCGGTTTCAGCGATGACGGGCATACTAGCAATTATCAGCATGACAGTTTGCGTAACGACACGAGGCATTTCCAGCACGAGCTTGGCACCGTGTTCTTCTCTTGATCAGTTCTCATATGAGTAACGAATGAATGGAAGGCGTGACAAAAGGGTTCCACTCGCAAGGCTTCACAAGCATAACTCAAGATGCTTGAAAATACCAATACCTTCCGTCAACGGCTTTTACCGTATGAGCACTGGAACCCAAGTATGGTGAACAGGCCGTACTGGCTTGCCAACGTCAACTATTCACTCCGTGGAAGATTCTTTCTGTGTGATAGAATGAACTCAATCATCACAGTCTGGATGGCAGAAATGGCATGTTTTTTGCATGTTCATGCCATGCGTCTGGATTACAACCTGTATGGTCACATTAGCCAACGCCTCAAAGGAGGCGCCTATACTCAGAAAACACGTCTACATTGTAGACGAAATACCTTGATGTTTTGTTCTGGCCGAGTTAAATCCGCAGCGGTGAGGCTCCGACCTTGTGCACCGACGTGTGGCTTTTCCAAGTCTTGAATATACTGCGGTTACACAAATATATGGGGGCATGTGCCAAATCTTATTATTCGTCGCACCCGCGGATACTATGTATTCATCCAATGCATAATAGTTGCAGGTCTTCTATGTCTTCCAAGACATTCGTCAGCTCTTGAATCGGCCATGGCTCCCGCATTAGCTGAAGAAGCCGATGCAAGATCACTAGTTTGTGCATCCACAGATTGGTATGAGGGTGACATTTGTTCGGCAGCAGCCAGGCGGCGACGGTGGGATATGACGCTCGAAACTCTGCGGCAATCGAAGCCATTTCTTGGCGCCGTCGGTTCTGGGCAGGGTTCATGTATGATTGGGGTTGCCATAGGCACTAACCATGTAGATCCCACCCTGGCGTCGGTTCTCCTCCTCTTCCTCCTCCCCCAGCTTGCCCAGCTTCCCCCACTGCCCCCAGCTGTGGCTCACATTCACGATGGTGGACATGGGGGTCGGGTGTGTGTTGCAAGGTGTCATTGGCTTTAGCCCCGGTACTTGAAGCTAGTAGAGTAGAGTAGAGCCCCAGAGCTCGTGAGGGTATTTGTCAGATCAGGCCGTCAGCACTCTGGTGCGCCTATGTGCTGGGAGGCGGGGGGTTATAATTCCCCAAATCTAGTCCATGGTAAGCCAGGTCGCGGTTGCTCCTCTCCTAAGCTCTCTCTATGCATCGTCTGGATCTAATCCATTTCAACCTCGAAACTTCACGAATCTACCCACCTACATACCTAGTTGCCCGCCTTGAACGCCAGATTGCATTGAGCTTCTCATCCACCTCATCATACAGGCTCAGACCAAGCTTTCTGGTTTGATTCATCTGTTTACTTAGCTTGTATTCATTGCTGATTGTGGTCTGATATTTATTTCATCACTCTGGCTGGACTCGACGACACTTTCCGTTGAACCCACACCCCAACGACTGGAAAGACTTCTGAATCACCGAAGCTCCTTCTGTGCATCTCTTTCTCCCGAAGAGAAAAGGATATATGCCGTCTACTGCCCATCATTGATGCTTGAAAGGCAGAACTTTATCTGCGCCAAATCCGTGGGGAAATATCACGACTTACGCCGTTGCCTAAAGCACCACCACCACCACTTCACTTCATACGGGCATCATTTTTGCATTGATATCCTCCAAATTAACTCGCCCACCTCTCCACAATGAGTGACCCTGAAAAGCTTTCAGTTGAAGCGGCATCTCATAATAGTTATGATCCACACCAAATACGTACCAATAGCGACCCGTTTCCTGGCCTCCCTCCAGACCCAGATGCCCATCTGAGCCAGGAAGAAAAGGATGCCATTGTAAGAAAGCCTGGCCTCCATACACGGAAGAATGAACGGCTGATCAAACGTTTAGGACCGCAAACTACTCCGAAGATTGGACTGGAAATTGATACCTTGGGTACGTCTACTTCAAGCTTTTTGCCATTGCCTGTCGAATGCTTATACTTGCATACAGCTCTGCGTACTTTATCTCCTTGCATTCCTCGACCGTACCAACATTGGAAATGCTAAGCTCGCCGGTTTGGTACCGGCCCTCGGGTTGACGACCCAAAGTTACAATTCCACCCTAACCATTTTTTTCATATCGTATTCTGTATTTGAGCCACTCACCAATATCCTGCTCAAGAGACTAAGGCCATCGATATTCCTTCCCATCATAATGTGAGTACTTGAACTTAGCTCTCTTTAGGTATCTCATGCTGCTTCCATACATGTAAAGCTAACGCGGTTTGAAGGATCCTTTGGGGATGTGCCATGCTGGGAATGGGATTCGTCTACAACTGGTCCGGCCTTATGGCTGCCCGCTGGTTTCTTGGTCTCGCAGAGGCCGGTCTCTTTCCTGGTATCAATTACTACCTATCATGTTGGTACAAGCGATCGGAGTTTGGGGTCCGAGCAGTCAGTCGACAATTTCTTCGGCTTTGATAATGTGTCCTAACAATGGTGTAGGCTATTTTCTTCTCAGCTGCCGCAATCTCCGGCTCGTTCGGCGGGCTACTCGCCGCAGCAATTGAGCAGATGGATGGGGTTGGCGGTAAACCCGGCTGGGCATGGATCTTCATATTGGAAGGCCTCCTTACGGTTGTCGTTGCCGTAATATCCTTCTGGCTAGTACACGACTTCCCTGACGAGGCAAAGTTTCTTTCAGAGGAGGACCGGGTCCGAATAATTCGTCGACTGAGATTGGATCAGCAAGCATCTGCCAAGCACGAGGACTTCAAGTTGACGTACTTGTGGGCAGCTCTGAAGGACTGGAAGATGTGGCTCGGCATGGCCATCTACATGGGCTGTGACATGCCCTTGTACGCATTCTCGCTCTTCCTGCCTTCCATCGTACAAGAATTGGGTTGGAATAAGAGCGTAGTCCAGTCCCAGCTCATGAGCGTGCCACCCTACGTTGCCGCCGCCATCCTAACCATCGTTATTGGCTTCGTGGCGGACCGCACCCGGCAGCGCGGCCTGTGCAATATCGTTGTTAGCCTTTTCGGTATCACTGGCTTCTGCATGCTGATCGGCTCCTCCTCGTCCGCTGTCAAATACGCCGGCACCTTTCTGGGCGCCCTGGGCATCTATCCTTGCATCTCCAACACCATTACCTGGATGGCCAACAATACCGAGGGTGTCTACAAGCGCGGCGTTGTGCTGGGCTTTGTGATTGGCTGGGGTAACCTCAACGGCGTCGTGAGCAGCAACATTTACTTTGCTGCTCCGCAGTACTATCAGGGTCACGGTGTCGTTCTCGCCTACATGTCCATCTTCCTACTGGGAGGTAGCTTGCTCATGACGACTCTGCTGCGGATCGAGAATAGGAAACGCCGCCAAGGTAAGCGTGACTATCGCGTCGAGGGCAAGTCCCAGGAGGAGATTGACGCGCTTGGCGATAAGCGACCCGATTTCTTGTATACTCTATAAAAAGGGGAGGTGTACGAGAAAAGACAACCGAGGATTTGGAATACCAACTTTATTGTTTACTGTTTTTTCAGAATGCAATATGGACTTTTGGAGAAAAAATTGGTTTTATAGAGACTGACGTTGCTCGACGGCGGCATTGCACTCTTTATTGGTGAGGCTGCGGTGGTTTGATAGTACACTTGTCTCATCTGATACCCCTCTTTGAGAATAGTTTAACAAGGTAGTTTATGAATCCTATATGCAGTGATTCTTTTCAATCTGGCTACTGTCGTGTGTATTCTGAAGATGCGGATTGAGTAGTTCCCACTTGCATTTCAAGTAGTGAGCTGGAAAATCGAACCGGCCAGAGGGTCGGAAGAACTAGTCTTCGCCAAATATTTCATTCTTTAGGCCTCTAATATATGTTGCCCGTGCTAATTACACGATTAATGATGAAAGCGGCCGAGGTCGATTCAGGAATCATGTAATTCATTTGCTTGTCTTCATTTGCAAAAGTCGATAGCGTCATCGCCATGCCGGTAAAGTCATCATCTGTAGGAATCTAGGTGTTATGCCACGTGTGATAAAAGAAATGCCCACCTCGAAGCATTATGTAGTTTCAGATCCTGTGCACGTTTGATGTAACTTAAACTGTACCCCCGAGGTTAGCGAGCAAGCTCACAAGCCCCGGAGCAGATTATAGTAAGACAACGACTCGCTCTGGTACGACTGATCAATTCATGTGCTGAATGCGAATCAATCAAGCCGCGACGGTGGGTGTCTCGAAGATAGAATGCTCCCGTAAAATCAAAGAAAATTGCGAGTGGCCGGAGGCATTCAGGAGAAGGCCGCGGCCCGGATCGGAGAGGAAGAAGAATCGAAATCAGCGCGAGCCGACAAATAAGGTTGACCAATCAATTACGCTTCACTATCCAGGAGATAGCCATAAAGGGCAACTCCGATTTTGGTTCTCTAGCCACAATTGCCTGGGGTTGGTTTGGAATACGTGAGCAGATTTCAGGTAATGTGGCTGTCAGCCGATCGGAAACAAGAAACTTTGAATAAACATGGCTTGTTATCTAGTAGTCGTCAAGTCCGAGTAATAGGTATCCTTGAGATACCAGGGAGTGAATGGTATGCAGACTACCAACCAGAAGCAGTATACGAAAGCCACCTCGCCAAAAACAAACCTATAGAAGTTCAATAGTCATGCTAGAACAACGTCCATTCTTTTCAAAGTATTTCCTCGGGTGAAGTTGACTTTTCAAGTTTCCCAGGACCCCTGTTGTTTTCAATAGCATAATATTGAAATATTTGCTGCAAACTCCCATGGCGTAACCTACAAATATGCATAATAGGCAAAGACAACTCAGCACATGCGCCAGAACCAGGGATAATCGGGCGGATCTTGGGCAGCCGGAGAAATTTGATTGGCTCATAAGAAAATCGAGTATTCAAAGTACTTTGCCGTTTGCATTACGCGGTCACGGTGATGGAGGGAGAGACGACGATTGGTCGGCCGCCTGCAGAAGCTGCAAGGACAATGTGTAACAAACGCCCGTCGCCTCTTTTTGTTCTCGCTTGTCTCTGATCATCGTCCCCTTGTTATTGGTCTCTAGCATATGATTCGAGATGTACGTGCAATATTCATTCCCACATTTCTGCTTTTACCCCTTTCAAATTGGAATCATGGCGTCTGTAAACAGGTAAGTAGATCACCACAATCGGTAGATCCTGTATGTGAGATGGTCAACAGCCACAAGCTCCAGCAGCCACCACTCCGACTTGTTGGGCCCAACATCTCAGTGACTGCCTGGTTTATGCAATTAATATACAAAGACACGGTATTCTTGCCATTCTCAGAGAGCTTTTGGTCTTTCGGTGTTACTGACTGGCCCTCACCATGTCAACGCATTCCTTTTTTTTTTTTCTTTTTTTTTCCCTGGCAAGATGACCAATAGACAATAGTCGAACATGAATAATGCAGCAAGAACACATAAAATGCAAAAGCTCGTATAGGAAGGCGTTTCTTCAGGCATAAACCTTCTCAGTAAAGCATAAATAGCAGAGGCTCTTGCTTGTGAGTCCATTTCGGGACTTCGAGGAAATGCTGTGATGCCAGCCGTTCAATACGGTCAAGGCAGGACCTTCCCAGGGCAAACGTCGAGGTCTGAGTGAGAAGAAGATATAGGATTCAAAAAATGACGATTTGCGAGCTCTTCTCTTCTTATTCTCGACATGCGCTGCAGACAGACTGCAGTGAGGAGCAATAGCGGTGATACAGAACAAATGGCCGGACGACAAAGGGTCAAACGGCATCCATCAAAGTTGTTGGTGTGAATGGGGGAGTGAAAATTTATCGTTGCTGGAAACGAAGAATTTTGACAAGGAGAAGGAGTACCAAGTGACCTGCCTACCTACCTGCCTCTGGTTGATCGCTCCTGCTTCAGTGTCCATTTCATACCACCACCACCACCAAACTGCCACTCAAATATCCGGCAAGCGCCTTGTTTTTTTTGGAGGTTGCGCCGTGTAACCACAAAAAAACATCGTGACCTAAAATTCGCCTTTCAGGCTTCAATTCTTTTTGCTCGTCCACGTTTGCGGCTTTGGCGCTTGCGTTGGAAAGAGCTTGAGGCTGCATCTTTTTTGCCCTGATCCAATCATTCACCTACTTTTGCGCCTCACGTCCTTGGTTATTAGACCTACCTATTTGCCCTCGTTTCCCCTCTTCTCCTTTTGCATGGGCAGCTCGTCTTTTTCTCACTGGCAAATACAAGAGGCAAGATACGGATGCTTGCATCTTAAGCTTAATTGAGCTTCCCATTGTCTGAGCCCGTTTGGTCCTACCCATCTACGACAACCCGCTTCCGTTTCCTAGGATCTCTACATCCGAACAACCGCCACCATCCTGATCTTCGACGGCAGACTATGTGCTTGGTGTCGCCCTGTATTATTTTCTTTACATTCTGGTGCCACACGCAGCATTGATACCTATTCAAGCAAGAACGTTTCGCCACTTCAAATCCTCATCATCACCGCCAAGGGAACAACCGTCGTTGCCCTTGATCACCATTTCTTGATTTGACGGAAAAAGGGAAGGAAGAAAAAATATTTCAAAGATACTTTGTTTCCGTGGACTTCCGAGAATAGTCGCAACTTGACGATTCTCGCCACCAAACGGATTCTGCTTTCGATTCTCCACGGCTGCAAAACTTCACTGTCGCCTTGAATATTTGCGCGCGAATTTGGCCTATGCACTCGACAATCAAGCTACATATCACATCAATGTCTCTCGGCTAGTTTCTCGGTATTCAAATCGATTTTGCTTGCCAATAGGCACTCATCAGATCTTACTACCTGTGCCTGGCGCGACGGTTCGAGGCGCCAGGAAGACAGCAAAAATACCATCATGGCACCGATCGCATCTGCTCTCATGGGTGCCGCCAAGCGTCAAGAGGGAAACCTTGGCCTTACTCAAGATCAGGTCCAGATGATTGTCGCCTTTGAACGCGCTGGTGCTTGCATTTCCATCGTTGGAGTCCTCTTGATTTTCCTCGCATTTACTATTTTCAAGCGCCTCCGTACGGTTCCTAATCATTTCATTGTCTTCGCTTCATTCGCAAACTTGGGTGCAAGTTTGGCTTGCTTGATCGGCTACAATGGCATCTTGGCTGGTAACAACAGTGCTCTTTGCCAGGCACAGGCCTTCATGTTCGAGCTGTAAGTCGCACATACTATGCAACCACCCAGGGGCCTTGATTTGCGACTAATACTCTTGTTACAAAAGGTTTATGCAATCAGATCCGTGGTGGTCTTTGGCCATGGCTGTCAATGTCTACTCGGTTTTCTTCTTCGCTGCCAACCCTAAGAGTTTTCTCAGATTCTGGTGGGGTTACTTCATTGTCTGCTATGGCATTCCTCTCATTCCATCATTGGTTCTGCTGCTAGTCGAGGGCAAAGCTTCAGCTCGAATGTATGGTAATGCTACTGTAAGACTCTACCACTCATCAGTGACGATCACATGCTGACATTTTCGGTAGATCTGGTGCTGGATCGACCAGCACTGGAGTAGTCTCCGCATCTGGACATATTACTTACCCATCTGGGTCTGTATCCTCTTGTCTTCTTCAATCTACATTGCCGTTGGCGTCTATGTATTCAAGAAGCGCAACCAGCTTCGAAACTTGTCTCTTAGCGATCCGAGCAAGGAACGGTCTGGCCGCCGCGATTCGGCAGAAAAGGTATACGATGTTGACAAGCCACCTGGACTCCAGAATCCACGCGCTGACTCTAGCATTTAGCGATTGAATGCGAATGCAGCAGTCATGGGTAGTATCTCGGCTGAAACGACGCATACAACAACTGTTCATGTCGCATCTCCCCGTTCCGCCACACACAGAGCCACCATCAACTGGTTTGCAGGACCTCCCACGGACTCGTCATCAAGGGATGGAAACGATGCTGAGCAGGCGCAGCCAACGTATCACACTATGACTGAGATTACGGCCCAGCCAACGCCCAAGATAGCTTGGCATTTGCGCGTCGCTGGTGCTTACAGAGGATGGTGCGGCAAATTCGCCCACATGGATCCGGTCAAGCTCGCCTACCTTCGAACATCCTTCATCTTCGCCATCTCCGTTCTTGTTACCTGGACACCTAGTTCCATCAACCGAGTCCATGACCTCGTCACAAGGAGTTCCGCTAGTTTCGGACTCAACTTGGCCAGCGGCATCGTTCTTCCACTACAGGGCGTCTGGAATGCAGTCATCTTCTTTTCTACAAGCTGGAAACCGCTCAAGGAAGAGTGCCGGTTCTTGCTGAATCGTCTTCGCGGGCTGCCTCGCGGACTGCAAGAAGCTGCGGCAGTGCGCAATGAGAGGGAGCGCGGATTAGAATTGGAAAGCAGACGCCATCGCAAGGACAGAGACGACACAGCAAGTGAGGTTACTGGCAGCACTATGAGAGTCATGCGCGATGGGTCAATGGCCAGTCTATAGGAGACAAGTAGTCAATGAGAGCAATGACTATACTGGTGTCATCACGACGGAATGATTTCTTTGAGTAAGGGTAAACTTTTGCTTTGAATCAGAAGCAAAACCAGTTGAGCAGACAACAGCTTCTTGGGCCATGCAAATTACTTGCATCTCACAGCTGAACGGTATTGTTAGTCTGTATAGTATAGAGACGGGAACATGATCAACTTTGATCCATGGGACCATAGCAGTCAGTAGTGTCAGGAATGATACCCTATTCGCTAAACAGACAGCGCTTATTGCTACGTCGTCCCAGTTTCCAAGACCTCCAACAGCGCCTTGCTCCGATCGTGTTCCTGAATTAGGCACAAGTTCCCGAGGTTGTACACCACCCCTGTTGCGAGAGTATGTGTGCCACACTGCGGGGTTCTCAGCAACACCGAGACCCAGTGATATCTGTGGAACGGAATACAAAGTGCGTGTGCTGCAATTGTTCCTGGTTGAACTTGAAACTTTGTGTTCCTCTAGATAAAGGAAATCTCTAGTCCATCTCGTCCCTTGACCTGACCGTTCATCCACTTTGAGGTGAAACAGAAGAAAAGGTTAGCCATGAGCGCCGAAAGTACCGAGCCTCACCCTCCCCGAGAGGCGCCGGCCCCAACTGCATCCGAAAAAAAGGAGCTCACGGCCGAGGACGTGTTTGAACCCCATATCCTAGCCAAGACTGATCCGGAAGTGGTAAAAATTGTGCTTCGGGGGGTCAACGCCGGCGTACCGCCCACGGCGTCGGTGCCCGTCGAGGAGCGCCGCGCCCACCCGGAAAAGTACCGGGCGCCGTGGGCCCGGGCTACCGACGACTGGCCGCGCGTGGCCGATCAGAACTTTGCGTCGGATGATGGCACGGCGAGTATTCCGGTCAAGGTGTACCATCCCGATCCCGAGGTTTGGGGCGAGGGGCCCTATGGTGTGCACCTTAATTTTCATGGTATGTGGTCTAGGCGGGAGAGAGAGTCTCTGCTAAGTATTTGGTATCATGGGACTTGCCGTTCTGACTGAAATGAATCACAGGCGGTGGTTTCGTCTTTGGTGATCTGGAGGGCGAGTCCACGATTTGCGATAATATGCGCAAAGACGCGGGGGTTGTAGTTATTGATGTCAACTACCGACACTGCCCTGGTAAATAATTTCTTCCACAAGAGTTGTAACTCATGGCTAACATTTTGGGGAAAAGAGGTCACTTGGGGCAAAGCTATCGAGGACGCATGGTCGGCAGTGAAATGGGTAAGACATAATCTTCTCTTGACTTTTACATACACAAATCGTTCGCGACTAAAATCTACCAAACTTTAGGTCAGAAACTCTGCAGAGTCGCTCAGAATCAAGCCCGAATCTCTATCGATCGGCGGCATCTCAGCCGGCGGCCACATATCCCTCGTTCTCCAGCACATTCTGCGCGACGAGGGCATCCCCCTGCGCATCTGTCTCCCCACCGTCCCGGGGACGACCAAGGCCTTGTTTTACAACTTTTACACTGATTCGCCGCACGCTTCCTTTCACGAGTTCTTCCGCGGGCCCATCCTGCCGTGGGCCACCATCAAGTACTTTGGCGACTACTGTTTCCCGCGAGACCAGCGCGAGGAGCGCGTCGCCCTGGTTCCGGACTGGTGGGCCGACCCGCTCAACTGTGCCCGGGACTGGACCAGGCTGGGCGAGACGTATATCCGCACCGCCGAGACGGACCCGCTGCGCGACGAGGGCGAGGCCTATGCCTTGAAGCTTGCTGCCGCCGGCAACAAGGTCGGCCTCAAGCGCTACCAGGGCGTGCCTCACGTCTTTATGTTTTGGAGCGGACTCGCGCAGAAGGAGGAGTGGGAGAAGGAGTCTGCTGCGATCCTGAGGGTGGCGCATGGTACCGCTAAAGTGGTTGAGTGAGGATAGTGAACGCCTTGGAGGGCTGGCAAGGGCATGGATATCATGAATTCCTTCACGGGTTCGATTCGATTGTGGTGTTGGTTGTTAATTTTTCCTTTCAGTAGGATGAACACCTCATCAAGATTGGCGTTCTCCGCCTCATTGATGAAGATTTTAGGCTTGGCAACTTTTCGTGCTGCGGCTGTGTTGTGCCAACAACGGTGAAGTGTGTAAGAGTTTACGACGAGTCTCTAATTTGCTTTGGTCGTATGCTATTGTGCTATGGTTATGCAACCTTGGTCACAGCCCTGATGCTCTTCAGATATGTATCTCTCACCGTCGGATATGATGAGATGTTGATGTTGGTTTGCAGAGGGTGTGGGCTTTTGGCCGTATAGTATTGCCTGTAAAACTTGAATGTGTATATGATGATATTTGTCATACGTATTGGTGAGCCACTTCTCGGGCTGCAAATTGTCTCGGGCCGCTTAGGGCAAGGATCGGTCTAATCGCTCTTGTGTTCGTCGAGTTTACTGGTGTATCTTTGTAACTTGTTCAGCTCGGCTGTCAAGTATTGATATGACACAAAAACTACAGTGTGCTTCAACAACTTCAATGACGATGTGCCGGGTAAAGCTGCTTCAGGAGGAAATGTTGAAAAAGCCACATCTTGGCAGCTGAAGTAGTTTGAGCTTCAAGAGGAGGGCATCCATGATTCTTGCGGCTGTGGCCATACATCAATGTAGATCTGAACATGTAAGCAACACAATGGACAATATGAGCCAGCCCTCTTCTCCCCCTGACACCTTATGCACTTGGTATAATATTTCCCGTCAGTCTTGGGGAAATCGGGCTGTTGGATATGCTAATGACGGCTTATTGTAATAAGGGTCATATCTTGCCCTTTAAGGTAAATTGTCTGGCACCTGTGGCGATTCGTCGCGGTGTGAGTCGTATGCTGTCGGGATGTCAGACACGGCTGTACTGTTCTGGACCTCCACGTCGGCAGCGCATGGGAACGACACGCAAATACACAATTTAAAGAACTTGAGGTGGGTATTCATGGCTTATGATTGATTGATGAGATCAGCTATAACAACATTTGTCTAGTGTATATGCATCAATGACTCAAGGGGGTTTGCGGACTTGGGGATTTGGGAGACGTTGACCACCGCCTTCGCCTTTATTACCATTTCCACCATTCTCCGGGTCCTTCGAATGGTCTTCTGTGAACAGCCAAAGGAGGCTGCCCCCTCCAATGTCGGAATCGGCATCCTCATTGCCATTGTCGCCATTGAATCAAATATGCCATATGGCTGAGCCACGAGCCGCTGCTGTTTCACAGCATGGGACATAGTGGTCGATGCTGGTCGGTAGTTGGTGTGTTGTCACTGCCTTTCCCCCAGAGACGGTGTAATGGTCCTGACTTGGTTCTCTGCATCACTCTTTACTGTAAACCATTCAATGCTTCTGTTCCTTAAATTCCTCCACGTCAAGGACAAAGTCGGTAGCTTGGCGTATTGATAAAACAACCAAGACATGTACACATGCCATCAGTGGCGATGATGAGCTTCTTCTATGAACGTGCGATATGTTCCTCCCGTTCATCTAAGACCTTGTCGTTGACTTCGCGGGCGGGACAGATCGTGCATGAGTTCTTGCTCAGGGGGGCATGAGATTCTGCATGTTCTGTCGCTGCTTCCTAGACGAGGCGCGGCCATTCGGTGTGTCCAGCTCGGCGTGACCTTCAAGCTTTGGCCGTGAAAGATGAAGTTGTAAGAGTCTGGTAGTCCGATAGTCCGAATCTCTGTGGATGAAAAGAAATGTGTATAAAGTCAATGTCATCGGATCCGAGTACAAACCGGCCGTATCGGGGTATGTAGCGGGCGATTCCAGCCCATGAAAGTATTCAATATTGCAGTGACTGTCTCCTCGGCCATGGCTGTCAAGTCCCCATTGAAAGCGACAACATGGAAGACCTCGTACATTAGTCTCCTCTCTCGCGACATCGTTCCTATGTTGGCATCCATACGTAGGGTGCCAGGCTTCCAACTGGCATTGTAAATCGTATAGCCATAAATTTCGGCTGTCATAAACCCAGGGGCCTCATTAATCGTCAGGTTCCCAAGGGTGGCAAATGCTTCGTGAAATAGTCAATGAATAATAGTGGGCAGATGCTTGTGGTTGGAAATTGTGAAAAGTTGCATCGCTGTCGGCTTCGCTGCTATGTCCTTGCTGCTGCTGCTGGCTCATTGTTGAGGAAATGTTCTGGTGGTCAATGAAATTATATAGTTAATGGTGCCAAGGAGAATCCTGACTGCAGAGCATGACCTTCTGGTTCCAAATCGAAAGGAGTCTGGTCTAGAGCTCCGTCTTGAATCGAATGCCGACTCCATTGCAGCATTGTACTGTGTGTGTACGTTGAGGTGCTGGTCATTTGATAGCAAGACAACATTGTTGTTATGACCTCGAGGATAGCCAACCTCGGAGGCACTAGAGATATATGGGGAGTAAAGCTTGCCACTAAGTGCTGAGACCCTGACTGAATACTTTTATATGGCTCTGATCTCTGTGGCTTTGTATATTGATGTATCAGCCTGCCTATTTCGGACTGGCTTTCGGTTTTGGGAGTCGCTGGATAAAACAAGATTCTGAGATGGAATAATGTGCGGCTTTCCCCACGTGCAATTATGCTAGAGTCGCTTCAAGCTTGGGAGACTTTCCGTGTCTTGGAATGGACGATGATAAACCAATATAGACTGTACGGTGGAGACTGAATCATTCATTTTAGTATTCCCTTTCTCCTTGATTAGGTGTATGACTGGAGAAATGTCCAAACTTACGTGGCACTATGCTCTCATAGCATCAGAGATGTGCATATGTTCGGAGCAGAGACTGCCAGGTCTTGCAGGAAGCCCAGCTGCATCTTCGGCTGGTATGGAGTCTCTTCGAAAGGAAGAAGGGGTGTCCGTCATTTTGCAAGAGAAACTCATGGTACCAGTCAATTTTTTTTTTCAGTCGTTCGACGTCGCAGTTTTCGGCGGCTTCATCATATGAATGTTTCCTTCTTCGTGTGACTGAGGGCATTATTTTGCCCTTTCTTTTGGACTGGAATGAGATGCAAGAGAATCATGTCCCTTGTCTCTTCAGAGTCATTATCAGTTTGCCACTTGCCAGCGGATACATGCCGGCCAAGCTCTGAAGGAGGAGAGCTCAGTCATGACCAAGGATGACATCCCGGCCTGTATTTGCAAAAAGAAAAGAAAAATACGTAATGAGAAAAATGGTTCGTGGGATTTAAAATTTCCCTTTTTGAGGTTTCGAGGGATTCATATGTCAACTATTCTTAGATGACAGTGATAGTTGTAGAGATGTTTATACGGAATGTTGGCGTGGTGGATTCCAATGTCCACAAATATAGAATGAAGGGAGGATTGGAACGATTGCAATGCTGCGAAAACATCTATCTTTATAGAATCTGAATACCAGTACAATTTCACATCTCGCATACCCTGATACGCACAAGAAAGAAATACCATCCCTAGAGCCGTGTCTGAGTCATGATCAAGGCAAACCGGTCAACACAAAAAGGTCTAACAACGACAATGAAGCTCATAATGCTGTGATCAAACTAGAATCAAGTTGTTTCATACCATGTTTGTGTGTTTCTCGATTGCTAGCTAGGTATCATGAATCATTTGTCATTGTTTGGTATGATGCCAAATTCCTGTTTAGCTCGGAGCACCAGGATACTACATGTTTCAGTGCTGTTGGTTTACTTCAGGGTACCAAATGAATCACAACTGGAATATCCTACATCATATTATGCACTGTCCCAGACATAATGAATCTGGTAAACAAGCAAATGTCAACCTCAACGTTGTTTGAACAGCAAATCTGTATCGTCAGATTTTCAGTTCCAGACCCAATACAGACATGGATAGGTAGAACTTGTTGTTCTGCCAAACTTGACTCTTCAGACCTGCCATGTCATGACTTTGGAGATGGTGCCGGTTTCCAGAAACATCAATTTGACAAACCTTGCGAAATCAGAATCCTCCTCCGTGTGGTAGTTGAGGTAGTCATGTAAGCCGTCCCTCTAGATCCTGATTTTAGTGTGTGAGAAACTCACAAAGATCATATCATAATGAATGTTTGAAACATGGCACTCAATCATCAAGTGTGTCTGCACCATTTGTACAAAAGTATACACCAGGCTCTACATATTCAGAGGGCCATTTTTGGCCACTATCTTACAGTCGGACAGCGTACAAACTAGCACGCTCAATCTCTCCCACCACACCATTACCAGCCAGTGTCCACCGCTCGCTGACACTCCTTTCGTCGACCCTCATCCTGAGCACGCCGCTAGCAGCCCAATACTCCATCAGAGCTCTAGCTTCGGCCTTCGAGACACCCTTGACGTCAAACACGCTCACACCCTTCAGGGCTTCAAAAACGCGGTCGTCGTACTTTGAAAAGAAGGGGTCGCGTGCAGGAATCCTCTCCCCGGCCTGTGCAGCGACAGCTTGCTGAATAGCCTTCTCGACTGACGGGGACTTGGCATAGTTGCCGCGGGTCGTGATGCCGACAATGGCAGCACCGTTGACAAACTTGGTCTTGCCACCGAGTGCCTCGGTGATGGTCCGGACAAGAGCAAGGTCATGGCTGTGGATGAGCTTGTAGGCAGGGTTGCGGTAGTCGCTCACGCGCATAATGTGTTCTAGTCCATCAATGTTGAGCATGATCGGGGGGCGGCCTGGAAGGAGGAGCTCTTGCCACAAGGCCTGGAAAACAGGCCAGGCAACGTCATGCTCCTTGGTGGCTGTAGCCAAAGCGGCGAGCGTCGTGGAGCGCGACGTGTTGAATGGGAGGTGGATATGGTCGAGCTGCACGTGCAGGCTCTGGAGGAGTTCCTTATTGCTTTCTTGCATGGCCTGCATCAGCTTGAGGAGGTAGACTGGCTGTGAGAACTGCTCTGATCTCGGGATTTCCTGGTATTCGGTTGCAGCCGTCGTCAGCTCCTGGCCTGCAACGACATTGTTAGCTCATCGTCTCGTAGCAGCATAGAAAGTGTCCCATCATACCTTCGGGAATGTTTATCACAACATATTTATTCAAGAATCCTGCGGCAAGAGTTTGCAAGCCCAGCATGCTTTTCCCGCTAGATCTTTCGCCCGTCACAACGGTCCTCACTGTCTCCTTCTTGCCGAGCTTGTCGGTAATGTTCTTTACAAAATCCACAGTCTCCTGGCGAATGAGCATGTGCGGACTCCTGAAGAGACCCCAGTTCTGAGTCGACTTGAAGGCTTCCACCGTTCGGAGCTGGTCGATCAATTGGTCGGGCAGGCCCACCATGGTTCCAACAGCCTTTTGGTCGACGATGTTTTCGGCGCTCAACGGAGCGAGGCCGGTCACCTCGAGCGCATTGTCATTCGAGAGTTGTATCCTCTTTCTGAAAGCTTTTCTCTCGCCCGGTGCGACGGGCTTGCCGGGATCTCTAATCTTCTTCTTCTTGCTGCCAAGTACGAGCCTCTTGCCGCTACGGATGTGCCTCGACACGCCGGAATCCTCTTTGGCCAATTGAGCTGTCGAGGTGCTGAATGATGCATTTGTACTCGGGACAGTGATGGTCGCCGGCCTCAAAAGACGCTGAGATGGCCGCGCCAGGCAGCGCCAGCAGTTGGGTGTCGCCATTGTGGTTTGGATTCTTGGGTTCGCGGTCGCCGCAGCACCTCTGTATGCTGCTGCTTTGCAGATCGCGTTCCCCTGCCAAAATTTGGGAGCTGGTGTCGGGTCCGGCCAAAGCCTCACTCCGAACACATTGGCGCTCCAGCTAGGTAGCTCTAGGTAATGTATGGAGGTACCTAACCTAGTATGTAGGCTGGGGCACCAGGTCTCTACCCGCTAAGAACTTATCGATAGCGGGGGACCCTCCAAAATTTCTGGGAGTGCAATCGCAATCAACTTTTCTCGTTGCGCTCAAGGCTTTGCGATAATACATATAAAACCGAATTGCAACGACTGTTGATCTACCGCCAGAGATTGACCACCACGGCAATTCATTCGCCCTTGAGTCAGATTTCTGTGAAATCCGAGCCCGTCACATCAATACATAAATAAATCTGTGTGCATCAAACCGCAACATTCACATTCATAATGGCGCCCGCACCCAAGCTCGAGGTGCAAGTCACCAAGCCTACACCCTACACATTCGATCTCGGTCTGCTCCTGGCCAACGACCCGAATCCGCTGCCGCCTACCGATCCCTCCGTCACACTGGAGGAGCGCCTGGCTCAGAACGCCCGTGACGGCGCGCAGTCGCTCATCAACCAGCTCCTCACAACGCTGCCTCTGCAGTCCACCCAGGCCGGCGTTCTGCTCGATCTGCCGGCTCCCACCACGGCGCTGCCCCGAGAGAAGCCCCTGCCTGCCGCCAAGGAGCCGACCAAGTGGGAGAAGTTTGCCGCCAAGAAGGGCATCAAGCCCAAGACAAGAGAGCAGAGGAGGATGAAGGGCAAGCAATTCAACGAGAACACGGGCGAGTGGGAGAAGACATGGGGTTACAAGGGAAAGCCCAAGGAGGGTGTTGTCCCCGACGACTGGGTTGTGGAAGTGGACGAGAATGGAGAGGCCAAGAGCGCCAAGAGCAAAGGAGGAGCAAACAAGAAGAGGAGAATCAAGGCCTAAGCTCGCCCTGGCAGATGCGTGGTGGTTGGTTCATGGCATTTACGTCTGGTTCGCAAACAGTATCTCTATGGTGGGCCAAGAGGAGAGGCAGCGAGCACTCCATGGTCATGTTGCATCAACGGCGTTCGAGGGCTTTGGCTGGCGTTTCGGTTTTCATTCTTGACAACGGAGATAATAAAATGAACAAGACGGATTTTTCAAAGAAAAAAAATTGTAAATGCAAAGGTTTGGTATATTCTCGATCTGGTGGCTGGAAATCCAAAACTTCTGTCATGCCTATATTACAATTGCGCTCGAAAAATAATGTAACCGCACTCTTGCCTGTCTCTTTTCTTGCAGGACAGGGCCTTGGTTTTGTCCCATCACCGTCAAGCCCACAGTCGTCTCAGTACATCTGTCAAAAGCAGATCATCTCACTATTCACCACTCTCCGTAGTTTTCCAGCTAGATGTATCCGAGAATCCTTAGAAATATGGGGTGACCAGGAATGTATCAGCCTCGTAATGCCGAAGTTCTAGGAAAACAGATCGTTTGATACTGTTCGGGATCTGTGCGAGAAAGATCTACCAATCGAAAAGTCTGGGGAAAAGGGCTCAAGGTGTGTTGCGAAACTTCCAGATCGTGATAGTTGACTACGATAGGCGGGGATCTCGGTGCGAGAGCGCAGTATTTGTGCACACAAGCTCGCAAGAAACAATTCGTAGCCGCTCTTTCAACCACCCACGTGGCTCTTTTCATCTGCACACCTCTCTGCATTCAGTGCATGCATAAGAGCCCGTTGAAATTGCTTTGCATTTCCGCAGTGTATCGTTGTACTGCTCCAAAAAAAAGGTCAAAAAGACCAAGTGACGATTCGACAATGTGGAAGACTGGGCCTGGATGTTCTCCTTGACCATTGTTGGGCGGTCTTTCCAGCTTCAGTCTCCCGTGTGCATCTGGGATGTTCGTCATATAATATGAATTGTGAAACAAATGGAAAATGTGCAGTTTTGTCATCCAAGGGGCATCAAATCGTTAACCAGACGGCAAGGAGCAAATCGACAAATGATGCCGGACAAGAGGCATTCATCTCTAATAAACATGAAACTCAGTCTCTGCCGGACAGGGTATCGTGTCTTCGATGACCAAATTGACAGGCAAACTGTCAAAAGAAACGCGCCGTATGATAGCAGATAGTGTAAATGCACCAGTTCCTTCCCGGTATATAGGGAATAACACAAAAACGTCTTCTCTGCAGACGTCGCGGGGTTAGCGATCTATTCGAATCGCTGGTAGAGATGCGCTCACGGGCATCTTGCGAACTCCTCTGCGCATCAAGTGCCTTTGCTTCGAACCGCGGCTCGCCTTTCGCTAAAAGTTGAGGGGTGAAAGAGGCTTGATGGGTGAAAGCGGGCGCAGTTCGTTTGATCGTCCATGAGGGTCATGGGAAATGACAGTCAGGCCAGCAGGGTTTGCGCCTCCATTGCCACCTGTGGACTTCTTTCGTGGCTTCCCATTGTGCTGATCGTCGGGACCTTGAACTTGTAGAGCAACGTGTGTGCTGCCTGGAGAGGAATCATAATGTTCTTCGTCATGGTACGCCTGATCACCTCGTGCGACACTGGCATCATCATCGTCGTCGGGACCAACATAACCAGCATTAGATTGGGAGTTGCTTGATGTCTGGCCATTGCCGCAAGTGAGTGCTGCTGGCGGTGGTTGATGCATGAGGGCATATTCCTCCTCAATAAACTTGGCTTCGTTCTTGCATCCCTTCCAGCATTCTCTCCAGTCGCATACTAGGAATCTGAAACAGAACGCATCGATTTTCAGGCAAGGCTGGAAGCAGATGCAAAGGTTTCTGAAGTCCATTCGGTTCTTTTCCGAGTGTGCCAACAGCAGACTTAGGTGACAGGTTATGGCAAACAGCAGATAGTAGTTGTACGGCTGTAAGTTCGAAAGTTCGTCGATCAATAGCTGCGGAACTGTCTCAGCACCGGCGCATTCGCGAGAGATTCGTTCTTGCGCCTCCTTGGGAAACAATTCGTCGGGGAGTTCTCGGAGCCAAGCCTTCAGCATTGAACCAATGATATTAATATCATAGAGATCCTCTTGTGCGAAAAGATCAACGTCATACTCTGGTTGTTCTTGGTTAGTAGCATTCCTACACTATAGTCTCTCTGCAGCATAGGTCGACTTACCTTCATCGAATTTCCTCTGCCACTTCTTGATCTGCGGTCCACTTCCTGGAACACGATACAGACCTTCTACGTCGCTTCCCTTGTAGTTGAGATAGTCGATGGCACGCCAGGGGAAGGCAGGCATCCAGAATTCGGTCTTATCACGGGCATCCTCAAGCTTTTTGGATATCCTTGTTTTCCGTGCCTGTTCCACCAAAGGTAGATTTATCACCTTGAGTTGATAATGCTCATCGTCCACTACAGGTTCTCGCTCCGTGTTGCTTGCGCTGCGATTAGACTTGTTGCCAAAGAAGCGATTGGAGAAGATGTCGGCTGCTCGTGAGCCTGAACTCTTCAGATTGCCAAGGAACGTAGAGCCGGCACTTTCTTTGAAAGATGACGGATGGCTGCGATTCTGGTTGTCTCTATCGGGTCGCAGATCCTTATTTGCTCTATCCCGATGCGTAGCCCGGTCCGCAGAGTGGTTGCGCTCAGAAGAGTCCATCACATGTCTATGAGAACGGTCGTGTAGCGCCTCCTTGTCCGTTTGTGCCGTCTTCAAAGGCTGGTGGCGAGGGGCTGCGTATGTTCGCTCTGGCTCTTGTATCCTTATGTCAGATGCGGCCTCTCTTGGGCTGGGGCCCTCTCTTTCCTTCATCGACTTGGTCCTAGTCAGAAGCGTGAATGGCTTTGGCTTGCCCTTCTTTGATGATGATGAGCTTTCGTTGTCGCCAGTCAGAGACAGGTCTGAGTGGGAGCGCTGTGACGCCATGGGCCTTTGTATTGAGTATGGTCCAGTTGGCTGGTCTAAACATGGCAGAATAAAGCGATTAGCCTCTTCAGCAATAAATCAATTGCAGACATAACTTACCTGCTTGTCTCGCCGTTCTAGGTGGGCCGCGATCTGAGTTGAACTGCGACTCTGGGCCTCGGGACATCCCCTCGCTGCTACTGTTCGTGTCGTTGGCTCTTGGGTTCGGGCTTGGGTCGCGATTCCGAAATGAATCTTTTGTCTGCCCCCGTCGATGTTGCGGGGTTTTTGATTTGAAGTTGAAGAAACGGCTTGCACTCCTTGTGTGTTTTTCTTCTTCACGCCCAGTCTTTCGTGACACAGGTTGCTGCGGTCCGGCAATCTGGAAATTCCCAGCGCCGTCTCTTAGTAATGTTGGAGTTCTGCGCCCAGCATCTATGCCTCCACTCGGTGGTACGGGGGAGGCGGAGGGCGTCCGGTCACGCGGGTTCGGCTGATTTGGTCGAGAGTCCGAGAGGTTCGCATGAGCGCTTTGGGGGTAGTGGTAGTATTCTTGATCGTAGCTCTCTGCGACAGGTCCCGCTTTGTAATCGAATCGAGGGGAATCAGAGCCTTGCGAAGATGAGAACTTTGATTGCAATTGCGAGGGCGACGTCCCATGGGACGTATGGACTAGTCTAGTCTCTGGCTTTTTGGAGGTGTTGAACTTGCTAAATGGCGATCGGGGGGATCGTGGTGATTTGGAGGGCGCGGGGGAAATCACTTGGAGGTTTGTTTCACCAGCAGCAGCAGTTCCACGAGGACTCTGCGCTCCCTTGATTCCCAAAGCACTGGAATTCGGAGTCGAAGAAGTAGGTGCGCTGAGCGTAGCAGAACCGTTGCTACCAGTACTGGGACCGCTGCGAATATGGGCATGAGTATGGGAATCGGCCAGGGCGAGCGGCTGCGGAGCTTCCTTGCGTCCCATGGTTACTGCACAAGCGCTGTCGCAAGCGGAAACAGACCTTGCAGGCCGCTATTAGGGGTGCGAACAGAAGAGTTGACTCCAAGAATGTACTGTGTCATTCCGGGACATCAGCCTCTCGCGTGCAGTGGTTTACCGGGCGCGACAGAGACCGGAACAGTGTCTAGCGTATGTCTCTGGCATGCAGAGCTGCCCATATGCCCGGTATCCCAGCAAGTAGAAGACCAGGAGTCTGCCCAAGTCCTGGTTCCGGCCTTGGCGCGATTGTGGCAGACTGGTGAAGGTCGCGAGCTGCCGGTGCGAATGTACGAGCCGTGTGTCAGGGAGTGAGTATCAGAGTGGAGGATTGGCAACAAGAAATACAGGCAGATTGTGAATCTGCGACACTCGCACAGGACAGCTATGATCACCAGCGGCAGCCCCAGTGGGCGGAGCGACAAGTGGGAGTGGCAGCGACAGGGGTAGTAGGCGGGTGGTGCCAGGCAGGCAAGCAAGGCACGAGAAAGCAAGAGGTGCGAGCGAGCGAAGTGTGAGCCGAACGTGGACGGATGGACAGACGAAGCAAGAAGGGACGAAGGAGAGCAAGCAAAGCCAGCAAGATCCTCAATACCGAAGTGAACAGCGGCGGCAAGATGAGATATTGTTTTTTCCCTAGGTATGCAGCCCGGGGGAGGGACCGGACCACACAATCTCTGGGGAGGGGATCGTATGGTTATCCTCCGAACGACGATCACAGTGAAGGGCAAAAGGGGTGGAAAGCGACGCCCGAAAACCCGACTGAACTCGAGCTGTTTGGAGTGGTGGGCTTATTAGCTGGGCTGGCGACATTTTTTTTTTTTTTTTCCCTTAATAGATTAATGTAAGAGAGGTGCCGCTTCCTGCTCCTGCCCATGGCGCTGCAACCGCAGTGCCAACAACATTACACCGTCTGTCAGCTAGCTAGGAACAGGTAGGTCGTGGTGGTAGGTACATAACATGAACCTGAACCTGACTGAATCTGATGCTAGAGGTCCAGCCGTTGCTTGCTGCAAGTGCTTTGTCCACACGGAGCCGCTAATGTAGGTGCCTGTTAGAGACTCAGGTCCAGGTGGACTTGAAAGCGCTCGGCGCTGCACTGGCGCTGGAGCATTTTGGAGAATCCAGGAACCAGACACCAGACTGGAAACGCCCAGATTTGTCGAATCGTTGCCCGCCATTTGGTACATTATTCAGTCACAGTACATGAGGAATAGACTTCAACTATTGGTCACTCACATTACAACGCATAGATAAATTCTTTTTTGTTCTCCTCCAAAAGAAAGGGACCGAATTATCTAGTGTAGACACATCGGCTTGTACTGTTTATACATCTCTAAGTTAGGAGGTACTCAGTTTAAGTTTGACCAGACAGGCCTGCATTCTTTTACGAAGGATCTACTGTAGCACAGACAAACAGTGGATGGAGTAGGTAATCAGAAAACATGAATCCACGTGCGACCACATGGGACCTCATGTACAGTGCTTTGTTTCTAGAGCCTCAATGACGCCTTTATCATGTCCCATGTACGATACATGTACAGAAGCAAGAATAGCATATTCTGCAACGTATTAGAATGTCTTATGAATCGAGCACCTTGCTGGCGTTTAGTTGGCGGGTGATGAATGAAGAGTAATCATGACAAGACAGCCGTGGAGCCCAGGAATGTATGACTTGAGCAAAAATCCCGGCACTCACGGGCCCGGCAGCAATTATCCAATATATATTGTTATTCGTATAGAACCATGGATCGACGCATCCTATTTTGACCATGTCCGATCAAGGCAGAGGAGAAACGACTCTGACCGGGGAGTGCACAAATCATGGAACCATCGCACATCTTGATAGGCAATATAGGTATTTTGGAATCACTGCACGTTTGTTCTGCCCTATGCCATGTATCTCCAGTATTCTATGGGGCTCTTGAAGCCGTCAACTGGCTGCAACGTCAGACATTGCGAAGATCTGCGGCTGCGTATCGGGTCCGATTCTTCAAGTAGACGAGCGGGAGCACCTCTCTACGCTGCAGCCTCGTGGTTCTTTTGATCGCCTGCAAGTCCACATCTTCCACGGACAACCCGTAAACTGGCAGAGCAATTCAATCCGGGTAGAGCCTGGTAGGTCGCATCTAGATCTCTCTACTACCTTCCTCTCCACTGCTGCCCAAGCCGGCAAAATGTCTTGGCGCTCAGGAACGTGTAGGATTTAGACGAGGGGCAGACTTACGCATTTTTCTGAAACGTCAACTTAGCGGCGCAACCCCCCTGCTGCGGATTCAACCAGGCCCCCCCTTTGGGCCCCTGTATCAGAACAGGCGGCTTACCTACAGGTCACACTACTTACTACCTGCGGAGCCACACCACATTGCCATCCCAACGACACTACGTACACTATTCGTACATAAAAATCACGAAGGCTTGGTCCCAAGAATAGGGATCGCGAGGTCAGTATGCTTGCACATGCGTCGTCAAGGGCCCAATCAAAAGAGCTTGTGTTTCAAATGCCGCGAATCACCATACAACACGCCATACTCTCCAAACAAAAATGCACGGCAGGCAGAGTCAGTGGGTTAAGCTTATTGCGCATCTGACCCCGTTCCAACGTCTGACAAGGAACAATCCACTAACTGGGAAACTACTGCGTAAAATTCAGCCTACCTCAAGTGTTGGTTGGGACTAGCATGCTGAAGACCTCTGCACTAATGTACGTTGGTTGGAAAACCCGTTCAAGATGCATCTCTGTCTCTTCTTTTCATCAACTCGCGTATCTAGAACAAATGTAGTCGGAGTGACCCGCAACAGCCCGATCGGAATCCTCAGCCTAACTGCTATCTTCAAATGTATTACGTGATTATGCCGCCGTCAGTGTCCTAAGGCTGCCTAACGACTCTAGGGACTGAGCCGTATCGCTCAAGCAGACCATGCGATTTAAATTGGTGCGCTTGATCAGGTCGCACAATGGGCACATTCATCACTAGAACTCACTAGCAGGATTTGCTTGAATAAAACCAATTGTATTAAAGTGATTTTCATGCCCGTTGTGATGCCTCGCCTGAACTACATGGCCTTCTCGTTTGTCGACTTTGTAAACTATGTAATACTAGGATGATCAGGAGTACCGCCAGCCATGCAATAAATTGTCGAAAACTTGGAGCTCGCATGATTGGACCAGAAGTCATGGTATCAGAACACGGCCGTGAACCTGTGTGCTGTACACGTTTTGATATCATCTCCAAATCGCTTCTGCAAGAAAATACGCCGGTACGGTTTGTAGATAATGGAATCCTAACCACAAAACTTCTATGCTGTCTATCTCTACAGTTAAGTGAGGCATGCAAACAGTTCAGAAGATAAAAGTAGAGAAATCACAGAACGCACTATATGTGCCTGGGCACTAGCCGTACCGATCTGTTAGATTCCCGCACCACCATCACCACCACCAGCAAACGAGCTATGTAAGCTCCTTCCACACAAGATCAATGCAGAGCCCAAACTGAAAACTCTGTTGACCCGAGCAGCAATGTAATAACCCCCAGGATCTCTCCGATTCATTAAGTGATAATATTCGCATAAAAGTGAAGAAATCTCCTTCACATCCTCAAGCAAGCTGAGCGATGCAATGGAAAGCCTGCGCGTCAAACCGAAGTAGTGAAAGTCGGTCGACACTTGCTGGAGTCATAGGCAAGCCCAGAGGACTCCAGCAGAAGCAAAAATAGGATTAATCATTCAGCAAGGCCGTAGCCTCGTTCAGCGATTAAACTAAACAGAACAGATACTACACTTGATCAAAGCAACTAGAAGTCGAGATTTGTTAGCCTTTGACCATCATATGGAAGCATGTCAGGTCACACAAGGTGGGCCATCAGTTGCTAGGTAGGGGTTGACTTACAAATGCTAAGAAGAGCTGAAGAGGAAAAAAAGAATTGGGAAACGGGAGGAGGAAGGCTTTGATAAATAGATGTCCGGAGGGCCCGTGCGCAGTGTTACTGATTGTGAGCGTTTGCAATTCCAGGCAGGCAGCAGCCAGGTACAATGGTACTTACTGATTGTGAGTCACAATGCAATTTTTTGATTGGCTGAAAGCTATCCCACGGCAATAGCTCTTTCTGCAGCTCTCCCACGCCAGCAAAAGTCAGTAGGCAACCACGCATTATTCAATATGGCATTCAATATCACGGCCGCCGGGCCGGAAGGCACGCGCAGCTCCGGGACCCACCTTTACTAGGAACCGAGACCCGCCTGCCGGAGCCGCTTATGCTTTTGGCTCGCATGACTAAGCAATATCACTGTGACTTTGTAGTCCACACAGGCCGCCAAAATTACCAGTAGCTGGATTCCACGTTGGCTTTTTGGCTGTTGAGCCCAATTCACATCGCAACTCAACTTTGCGGCTTTGTCGCATTCTCTTCTTGTACAAACGCTCAAATTACGTTGTACCCAAAGTCACCATGTCGAAGCTTGACCAGCTCCCCGAGGAGCTCCAAATCGCGACCGCCGCCCACGTAAAATACATTCAGAGCCTTGACACCAAGAAGGACGAATACGAGTACTGGTTGACGGAGCATCTGCGCATGAACGGTCTCTACTGGGGACTGACAGCTCTTCACCTCCTGCGACATCCCGATGCCCTTCCCCGCGATGAGACAATTGATTTTGTGCTGTCCTGTCAGCACGAGAGCGGCGGCTTCGGGGCTGCACCTGGCCATGATGCACACATGCTGTCGACCGTGTCTGCCGTCCAAATCCTCGCGCTAGTGGACGGCCTGGATGAGCTTGACAAGAGGGGCAAGGGAAGGATTACCACAGGCAAATGTGTGTCTTGATGTCCAACGATTCTCCCAACACAAGACTGACGAGCAGCAGTCATGGCAGATCTGCAGAATAAGGAGACTGGCACTTTTGCAGGAGATGAATGGGGCGAGGAAGACACGCGTTTCCTGTACGGTGCCCTCAACGCTCTCTCGCTCCTTGGTCTCCAGCACCTCGTAGATACCGATAAAGCCGTCGATCATATTGTAGCTTGCTCCAACTTCGATGGTGGCTATGGATTGACACCCGGCGCAGAGTCGCACTCCGGGCAAATATTCACCTGTCTTGCCGCGTTGACCATCGCCGGTCGCATGGACACCGTAGAAAAAGACAAACTCGGTAGGTGGCTGAGCGAACGTCAGAAACCGAATGGTGGGTTGAACGGCCGTCCCGAAAAGGACGAAGATGTTTGCTACAGCTGGTGGGTATTGAGCAGCCTGGCAATGATAGGAAAGACACACTGGATCGACCGAGACGCCCTTATCAAATTCATTCTCCGATGCCAGGATATGGAACTGGGAGGCATCTCAGACAGGCCTGGCAACATGGTTGATGTGTGGCATACAGTCTTTGGCCTCACTGGTCTGAGTCTGCTCGGCTACCCTGGTCTTGACACAATTGATCCCGTATATTGCTTACCAAAGTCGACCGTCGAGCGGACTCTCGGGTCGCACAAATAGCTCTAGCGAAGAGTCGGCGATGGGGTAGCCCGGCAGCAGCATCAACCATGTATGACCCTACAGAACACGGTATCTGATGCGCTGAATCATTCATCACCGTCCTCACAATGACTTGTACCACGGAGACATGTATCTCTTGCAATCTAATAACCTCGTTGCATACTTCCAATGGCTTCCAGGATACAAGGCAAGAGCAAATAAATCAGTTTTGTTTCCACTAGATCTCGCTTTCTGTAGCGTCTTGGATCGCGAGAAACATGGCGTACATGTATAATTATCCTTCGGTGCTTCAAATTGGGGAATTGCCGAAGCGAGACAGCAGGATCTTTGGGTGGCTGCGAATACTAGGAGTTGAACACGGCTTCTGCCAAAATAAACAAAAGAAATAAACTCAATAGAAACAAAACAAGAAATCAACTATTTTCCCCGCAGCCTGATAATACTTGATGCTATGTGAGTGTGTACTTTTGACTTGTTGCTTCGTGTGTATGGTTTTATGTAATATCAGATCTAACAGGTATGGGTTGCTATATGTTGTCCTAATGTTACTTCTAAGTTATTCTCTTGTTAGGTAGTCACCTCAATCCACGTTTCATCGGAATCCTCTCCTTTCTTTCTTATTTTTCTTGGCTAATCATACTCGTTTTTGGTAGCAACTATTGGATCATAAGCTGACTCCAAGACTCGCTGTTGTGCCTCCTCCTCTTCTGCTGCTTCATCAGGAAGCAGGCTGCACTTGCGCAATTGCTTGCCCTTGCAGACCAGGATAGCGATTAGCACGCATGAGAAGAGGGTACAGAACGAAGCGATGCCCCAGACCCAATTGATTCCTACCCTCAAAGTCCAGGGCGCATAGAAGAACTGAATGGCCACGGTGAAAGCGACGCGGTACACGTTGAGAGCAGTGCCCACCTCTTGTGGATGACTCTTGAAAACCTCAATGACATAGTTTACCGCGGGCGAGATACACGCAGTCGCACCAAAGACAATCATGCCTTCGGCTACTGCAAGCACCATGTAATGGAGATGGTAAAAGACGGCTGCGCCAAACAGCCCTAGACCGATGGGTTCGACGATGAGACCTGGAAACCACGCGGTGTGTAGCCTGTACTCTGGATGCCATATACCGCGGCGCCGTGTCTTGATCCATAGAGGCAAACGGTCGTTGATCAGTATACCATAGCCAACTCCGATCAGGGATCCAATCCAGGCCGAGAAGTAGAAATAGCCAGTGGCATTGGACGAGAATCCAAATCCTCCCATGTTACGTGGCGTGACCAGAATAATGGGTATCTGGACTCCAGCCATGACGAACCAACCGTAATTGATCAGGTTGTATACACCTGCTAACACGCAGATAGGACTGACAAAGACCTTGGCGAAGACAGTATACGACATTTTCTATGCTCGTGAGCAATTACATCACTCGTCACTTACTTTTATTCTTGGAGATCGAAAGGCTTACAATATTGGCCATCTTGCCAGGCGCAGCAACGCGCGTGCCTGGGAAAAACAAAGCACATCGCCTGCCGATCCATGTTCTGGGTATGGGAGATGACGATGGTGGCCTGTTGTTAACTCTGTCCCAGCCAGTTTCCTCGCCCAAGATGAAGAAGAGGATAGCCGAGAGGCCGTTTGCAGCAACCGTCCACCAAAAGCAGATTGGCCAACTGTGGTACTGAACTATGAACGCAGAGAAAGTCGGTCCCGCCACTGACGAGACCATGTAAATGGTGGAATATATGGCAAAGGCCCTCCCGCGCTGGTGGAGAAAGAAGACCTGAGCAATCACACCAGCAGAAAACACCTGTGTCGTAGGACAAAACAACCCGGCAATGGCACGGGATGCGCAGAATGAGTTGAACGAGCCGGGCCCAGTGCTCAGCGACGACCAAATGGATGTCGCCACCACGGCGATTTCGCTCCAGAAGCAGCACGACATGACGCCAAACACTCGCACAGCAGCCACGAGCAAGACGGGCCCAACCACGATACCTCCCAGTACGGCAGAGATCTCACGCAATTAGCTTCCTCCTTTTACGTGTATATCGACTGAAACAGCTCACCGAGTAGGAAGACTGCTCTGGGGTAATACCAAAGTCTTCTGCTTGCGCGGGAATTGCGAGTACATTCGCCACGGCAGTCGCAGTCCCAATAAAGGTTCCTTTTGGTTCGAAAAGTATTAGTAGCAAGCAATATATTCGTCAGTCAATGTCTTCTCTTTTCTACATGATCCGTATTATTGTGATGGAATTCCAACTTGAACTTTCTCTCTTCGCCATGGGAGTCAAGACATACCAAAGCACATGATTCCAAAAATGGCAACCTTTTTCGACATGGGCCAGTTCTTCACGAGTGTCAGCGTAGCAGAGACGATTCTGATTATACTCTATACATACCAATGGATCGCGTGGATCATCTGAGGGCTGTGGTACCAGTTCTATACCTTCGTTAGAGTATTTAAGGTTTGTCTTTCGTCTATTTTGAGCATCGCTGGGTCGCTTGGTGGTTTCGCTCGCCAGGGACAGCCCACGTTCGGCATCATCCCCCTGAGCATGATCCAAATGATATTCAGGAGCTGACATTTTGTCTTTCTCGTTCAAATTGGCTTTCTAGGATAGCAGGACCCCAATGCATCCATTTGTACCGCAAAGCATTTATTTACGAATCTCATGATGTCTGCCTATTTATATTGACCATATAGTGCGGCAGGCCCCTCAACTACTCCGCACAATAGACAAAGTATAATCTTTGCTGACTCCGTGGTAAAGGAAAAAGAACCGTGGCTAATTCTGCCGTGGTGCGGGCGGCCCAAAACTTGGGGACGAAAACAATCCGTCACGATGGAATGATTCAGACTAGACTCGATTTGCGCCATTGGGGCTGTCGACGGTGGAGAGTAAACATGTTTCTTCCGTTCTGTAGATCACCAACTCGCACCTCGCTTGTAATGTAGGGGATCTTGAATATTATGAATTCATGAAATTACGCCCAGCCAACTAGACCAATGCCCACTCACAATCCATACACTCTGATCGCGTAAGCCAGTGGAGGCAAATAATGGATATATATTTTACGACATCGATGGCTTCTCCAATTCAGGAGGCATTTCCGCCTCGATTAGGAATGGTATCATCGTTTATCAGACTCTCCCTTGTACGGCAAATCGTCTTATTGCGGTGTCTTCCGGTTCTCGGGTGCTCTACCCGACGGCTTAGTCCGCCATAATATATCCACAGGGGACCCAATTACAATTTACTCCTTTGATATACAGCTTGGCATCTGGGGGGTTTATTCCCTGTGAAGCGAGTAGGTTATTTCATGGCATAACGTTTCCTGCCGACCCCCAGTGGCAACGATAAAAGCTTGTGTGCCCGACTATAATAGTGTTTTACCTAGGAAGGTGGCGTTTCCTTGCTAGAATAGCTCTCCTCACAAGCGGCAGCGTTATTTTCCCCCTAGACAAAGGGGCCAGCGCCATTGACAAAACCACGGCAAAGAGCTACGGGTAGCTAGCTTGCTTATTCTTTTTTAGCGCTCGACTATGGACCCGAATTCCATTGACATCGCCGTGGTGGGCGCCCATCTGAGCGGCTTCCCGCTGAATAAGGATTTGACTTCCCGAGGCGCCATCCTCCTCCAGACCACATCGACCTCGGCCTCGTACCGCCTCTTTGTGCTGTCCAACAGCTTTCCTCGGAAACCCGGCCTGTGCCGGGCGCTCAACCACGAAGACAGCGGCGCCATCGAGGTTGAGATTTGGCGTCTGCCCAAGTCCGAAGTGGGCAGCTTCATTGAGACCGTCCCCTCGCCCCTCGGCATTGGCACCATTGAGCTAAAGGACGGCACATGGGTCAAGGGCTTCATCTGTGAGCCTTATGCGATGCAAGGGGCAACCGAGATTACTGAGTCTGGCGGTTGGAGAGCCTACACGGATAGCCTGGATACGCCGACTATTTAGGGCACCAGTATCAAGCAATTGTAAGTTTCTTGGCATCTTTGCGATATTTTGCGCGCTGACCGTTATGTGAGATATTCTTTTCTTTGCGGCGGTATCTTTGGGGACTTTAATGATTCACGAATTCTTACACGCCTTGACGATATACTCTGCTTAGTCATGCATGCATTCGTCATATTCAATTTTGTATTGATGATTGCGAATAGAAGTCTTACGTACGCCAAATATCATTAGTTCAAATTGATTGATAGTGACTGCAACTCCAAGGTGAATCTCTCGCATATTACACGAGTAGCTCCATGTTGAAGAGCGGCAGATACTGCTGTGATCCATGAACATCATTCTCCATAAAGCCGCCAGCAGCGACAGCTCGGCCCCCACGGATTCTCGGGATGGTGAATTTGAAAGCAAGCGCCACATCGAAGAAGCCGCACCAAATAATTTGATCTACTTGCAAGCCAAATGCCGCCGCCACCGATTCCTGGCTGAGCATACCAGAGCTCTTGACCCTGGCATAGATATCTTCGGACTCGAATATGACGTCAAAGGTAATCTCGTAAGGCCCAGCGTTCTTGGAGCGAAGGACACTCGCCAGATCGCCGAGCTTGGCTGGTGTCGAGCTGACTTGATTTGACACGGAAGCTGGTCTCGGGACCTTGGTGGCATTATTTGCGCTCAAGTTGACTGCCTGCTTCTTTGGTGAAGATGATGGTTGTGTTGCTGATAGCCTCTTGCCACGGCCAACCACCTCTACGCGGTGTTTAATCATCAGCCTTTCTCCAGCGCTGTCGATGGCTGGAGCTGATGATGTTCTTGGCGTGGGGTGAAGACGTTCTTCACCGGGTTGCAATTCCATCAAATGATATACTGAGAACTCTGCGCATGGACCTGCCTCTACTTCAAGCTTCCCGCCTATGCCAAATGCAAAGTTTCCCGATGTGGCCTTTTGATTCTTGTACGGGCCGTGCTGGTGTCATCAGTATGCTTGTCTCTCTGAGATAATATGCACCGGGAGTTCAACTCACCATCGTCGCAATTCTAGCTGTGGAGGCAATCGAGGTGGCCAATGCCTGCGTGTCGGCAAGAGCTTCACCAACGAGGAATATCTCATCAGTGTTGCGCCCATGCACATGGAAATCTACCTTCCATCGCTCTGAAGTGTCGACATGCTGAATGCCTACGTATTCCTTGATTCTGGCAATCAATTGATCAATTTGACTGATTAGAATGGCTGCAACAAGTTAGTAATGCCACAGTATTGTTTTCTCTGGGTGTCTTACGGTCTCGGATGCTTCCCATAAACATGGTACGATATCCCACCACCAGCGCTGCCTCAAGCTTCACCGTGTAAGGGAGGTCGTCGTCTTCTGAGAAGTGAAAGGAGCTCCCCAAGACCCTAACTGTCCTGTCGTCGCTCATTTGCATGTACTTTGACCGGCTGAGATCCAAATAACCGCCAGGCCCGTGAAGGATGTCAGGTCTTGTCTTCTCATACAAGGTATGGGCTGCAACGGACAATGTGGTACAGGCGGCCGCGGGATCCAGTGGTGAGATATCGAACTCGCCAGTGGAGTATAGTGTTCCAACAGCACCGTGACTCTTTGGTTTGGCACACTGCCCACCACATTCCATAATCTTTCCTAAATGTGTAAATGCTCCGTATATTTTCTGCTTCTCGTCCCGGGAGGCATTATGTAGCTGCGCCTGCGAGTTAAATGCAGCATAGGCGACATATGGAGATGGATCATATGCCCGACCCCCGACAATGATATCAAAGTCTGGATTCTCGATCATGGCGTCGACGAAAGGCTCGGGGCCTAGTTGAGCAACAATATTTGACGATTCCTCAATATCTTCTTCGGTCAACTGAGGCACATATCTGCCACAGCCACTAATCTGGCCATTCCTCAGTCGTTCTTTCACCAAAGTCTTGTCGATGCCGGCAAATATCGCTATTGTCTTGAGCTGCACGTCCCTTAACGAAATGTCGCATTAGCTTGGTGACGACAAACCACAAGTGAATCATGTATCACTTACGTATACTCATCTGCTGACATGATCTCTTTGATTACAGCCATAATTTCTTGCACATGCGTGTCGCTGCCGTCGCCACCCGCGGAACTGAACATGAGGGGAACCCGGAACTGAATCACGAGTCGGACCAACTTGGTCAAGTCTCTTGCGTATGCCGCCGGAGGACATGTCATGATTCCAAGGGCCAGTTTCTCAGGTCCGCTGTCGGTTGATCCCGAATCTAGGATGATGGCTGTTGGTGTGCCGCTGGGGACGAGTCGAGAGAGAGCTGCAGCAGTTTGTTGCTCATTGAAGCCATAGCCAAGCATTCCGACGGGTGTTACGATGTTGCATATTGGCTCGGGCGGGTGGCTCTCCTGAGCGTCCAATAAAGGCATTTTAAAAAGCAAAGAATATGGTTGTTTGTTTGTTTTCTTCAGGGAGATCTCTGCTTCAAGGATTCTGACTTTGTGTTCGCTGCTCTCATCATTACTTATATATAATCCCAAAGACAAAAAAACCTTTTTCAGAGGTATCCTAGTCTAATGTATTCTATTTTAGAACATAATAGGGCTGGCAGGATCATAATTCATCACGGCGCGGACTTTACTTCTATAGCCAATTGAGGTTTATGGTGGGTCGGAGTATTGGTTTATTCTCCGTGGCGCCGTGCCAAGAGATGAATCTAGCTCCGCCCCGTGCCAAGCCGATCGTATAGCATAAAACATACAGGAACCGTCAGCAAAGAATTGTTCTGCCTGGAGTTCTTTAGTTGAATATACCAATGATCAGCCTATTTGTTCCCCGACTTGAACAAGTTGACGCGGCGTGGCTTGTGCTTCTAAGGGCGGCGGAGTACTGCTGTGTTGTATGACTAGCTGACCCTGTCAGCCAGATACTGCTGTGTTGTATGATCCTTTTGGATGAAAGTACCATATTCGTGTATTATACTGAGATTCAAAGTTTTCTCTATGGGCTGTGTATAGGATGTCCTCAATTTGATAGATGGACATAAATGGTTGCGTTTCTCCCGTTGAATAAATTCATTCATCATCAGATCACAACTGCCCCTTTCAATTGCATCTTGCTACGGCTTGTCTCTCAGCAAACTTATAGTTCACCAATTCTTCCAAATTATTATATACTACATACCTCGCAGTGTCCAGAAACGAAGTACGACAAAATGAATGAAGCAGGAATTGAACTTCAGGAATCAGCCAAACTCCTGAACAATGACAGTATCCCCGAGCTGGTTTCGGAAGCCGATCGCAAAATGATTAGGCGAGTCAAATGGAAGACTGACCTCATCATTCTTCCGTTATTGGTGTCTATTCATTTTCTTGCACAAATGGTAAGTCAAGACAGGCCGTGCAATCGATTTTGAACCAGCATTCGTCTAAAACAATTCAGGGACGTTCTGATCTTGCCAATGCCAAAGTCGCGGGTCTAGACGAGGACTTTAATCTCGATGCTAGCAAATACAGCTTGGTCGCGAGTATTCTTCTCGTTGGCTATCTGCTCTTTCAACTACCGGCGATGCTTCTCATGCGCAAAGTCGGGCCACCGGTCGAGGTATGCATCATATTCAACCATCAACAGCCATTGATCCTACCTTAGCTGACTTGTTCAGTTCGCTTGTGCCATGATAGTATGGGGTGTCGTCACCGTATGCACCATCAAAGCTACCAATTACGTACATCTGATGATCATCCGCACCCTAGTTGGTGCTTCAGAGGCCTTTATTCAGGGTGCAGTTCTCTACTTGTCATTCTGGTATCCCTACAACGAACTGGCGACCCGGGGTGCGATCCTTTACTCCTCAGTGGCGTTGGCCGGGACCATCAATGGCTTGCTTGCGTATCTTATTGAAATGAAGCTTGATGGCGTGAACGGCTGGACTGCATGGCAATGGTAATACTTTGCACGTTGAACCCCTAAGTAGATGTGTCTGCTAATCACAAGTTCGCAGGATATTTTTCATCGAAGGAATCATCCCCATCGCATGGGCCTTTGTCATCTTGTTCCTTCTCCCCAACACCCCCGAGACTGTCAAATTGTTCTTCACGCCCCAGGAGAAAAAGGTCATCATTGCCCGCAGCCGCGCAGCACACAACACTGGAGAGAGCAAGATCATTCCGAAACTGATCGTCAAGGTCCTGACCCAGCCCCAATTCTGGTTTGTAGTCTTGATGGACGCGGGAGTCCACTTTTGCACAACATCGCTATCCAATTTTATTCCCGACATCATCAAGGGACTAGGCTATGAAAGCATCCAGGCGCAGCTCATGACCGTCATTGTCTACTGCTCGGCCCTCGTGGGCATCCTCGCCGCCGCGCGCGTCGCCGACAAGCTCCAGAAGAGAGGTCTCATCATCATCATCTGCACCGCCGTGGCCGCCATTGGCTACGTCTTGCTCCTGACCTTGACCAATGACGCCGCCCGCCTCGCCGCCACCTGCGTCGTGGCCGCCGGCGCGTACCCCATCTCGGTGCTCAGCCTGGTGTGGATGGCCACCAACAATGTCGGCTACACGTTTCGCGCCAGCGCCGCCGGCATGGTCAATATCTTTTCCCAGCTCATTGCCATTTCGGCCAATTTTGCCTTTAGCGATCCGCCGTATTACCGCATGGGACTAGGTATATCCCTGGTCATGATTTCCATATCGGGCATCATGGCGGGATTGCAGATCGGATATCTCAGCCTGATGAACAAGGTCAAAAGGGCGGAGCAGCATGGAGAGCTGGCTGCGTGGAGGCGACAGCTGACTATTGATGAGATTGGCAACGCTCATCCGGATTTTTTCTTTTCTTTCTAGATCATGGCGATAGTGTATTAGACACAAGTGCCGGTGTGTATAAAATCATATTTACCTGAGCTGCCTTGACATGACACAACTACTGCAAAGAGTTACCAGCCAGCCATGGATTCGTCGTGAACCATGACTGTTGAAGAAGAGCGGAAGGAACATTACTGTGCATGATAATCAGTAAACATCGCCGTGTATCACCTCCCAGCATAACCACCCTAGAGGCGGATGGTTTAATCTTCATGCCTATATTATCATGGAATCTACATAAACGACATGTGCGCATCTCTATGGGGGCAGATGCAGTATCCATAACGCCATAATCCAAGCCCCGCTTTGTTGCAGTCCCATTCCTCAACTCCCGGATATCATGAAATGACATCCTACTCGTCATCGTCATCATTGCCACCGGCATTAATGAACACCAGTCTTGTACCATTTCCTGCCGTTTGCCAAACCTATTATTTATCGTTAGTAAATGCAACTCCGATGCAGTTTGGCACAATAGTCCAAGTAAACTTACATCAATGCTGGCATATTCGTCCAAAGCTGTCAACCATTGATCTTCCGTGAAGCCCTTTGCGAGGACTCTCTCCCTGACCTTGCGCAGGCTCAACTCAATGGCAGCCTCCTCATCATCATCGTCCACGTCATCAGGACGGCAAGCACCGCTCTCCAAGAATCCCTTGACGAGCTCCAGAATTCTGGTGTTGACGTCTCTGCCACGCCTTCGTGGTCCCTCGTGGGCAGCCAAGCTTTCCTTACTGGCTTCGATCAGGCGCAGAGCCTCATCAACATCGTCCTGGTCGACAGAGTCTGCAAATCGCAGACGTGCCAAAGCCTGTGCCAGACGGACGACACCGAGTAGTGTACGAGGAGTGGTGTGAGCAAAGTTCTGGCCCTTGGACTCGGCGGTCTTCTGAGCCTTTCGCAAGCGCACGTATGTCTTGGTCAGGTACTCGGTGACAGTCTCGGGAACCGTAGGGCGGTACGTTCGCGCCTTGGCGACGTAGGCTCGGACTTCATGCGGAGTGAACACGACATTCGGCACCTCACCGTTGCTGTTGGCTGCAGCCGACGTCGGGTTGTTGGCGTAGAGGTCGGGATGCTTGCTGTGCATGTGTACGTAGGCGACGTGCTTCGCAAGTTGAGCATCACTCTCACGCGTCGGGGTATCAAGAAGGAGGAAGAGAACATCGAAACGAGACAAAAGGGCAGCAGGAAGATTAATGTTCTCCACTGGCGAGATACGAGGGTTGTAGCGGCCATAAATGGGATTGGCGGCGGCGAGGATAGATGTTCGGGCGTTGAGAGTCGTCGAGATTCCAGCCTTGGAGATGGAAATCGTCTGCTGCTCCATGACTTCGTGAATGGCGGTTCTGTCGTTGTCATCCATCTTGTCGAACTCATCGATACAGCAGATACCGTTGTCAGCAAGGACGAGGGCACCGCCTTCGAGGACCATCTCATCTGTGACAGGGTCACGCATCACAGCGGCTGTGAGACCAACACCACTGGAGCCACGGCCGGAGGTATATACACCTCGAGGGGCGACCTTTGAGATGTACTTTAGAAGTTGCGACTTGGCTACACCAGGATCACCCATCAGACAGATGTTGATGTCGCCACGAATGCGCATACCATCACCCATCTCCTTAGTAACACCACCAACGAGCAAAAGCAGCAAGGCCTTCTTGACATCCAGATGTCCAAAAATCTCGGGAGCGATAGATTTGGCCAGCATCTCGTACACGGCACCAGATTGGCTGAAAGTCTGGATCCTGCGGAGGAGTCTGTCGTCAATAACCATCGCCTCGTAGGCCTTCTTGTGCTGGGCAATATGGTGAGCCTCCAGGTACGTGTCGGTGAGAAGTCCAGCACGCATGGCCTTGAAGCCCGTGTAGGGAGTCGGCAAGAAGATACCAGAGATGTCCACAATGTCACCGGGGTTGACTTGACGAACAGTGCTTCCGTAGCACATGATTGTCAACGTTCGAGGGATTTGACCAATTGGGACCTGCTCGGCCATCTCTTGAACCTTGACCTCCTGGAACGGCAAGAACTTGGAGGCACGAGATGATTGGAATAGCTGGCCCTTGGACTGATTTTCCTTGCACTCCTTGGAAGGACATGTCGTCAAAGGTGCGTATGACTTGTCATTGACCGGCTGGAAGATTTCGCAACCACAGCGATCGCACGTGTAAGCGCCAACCTGGACAATGGGCTTCACATCGGATACCCTTGTCGCAATGCCACGGATTGTGATGAGGTGCCCAAGATGTTCACCACGAACTTGTCGCACGGCAAGGGCCTTGACCGGCTTCTCTTGAGTGGAGGTCCTTGGCTTGAAGACCAGGGTGTATCGGCGCGTGAGTTGGGCGGGAAAGGTCGACTCCAACATGTCCGGGTTGTTAGTACTCTCTGCTAGTTGAGCCACCTCGCGGTTTCTGGCCTGTCGCCTCTCCATGATGACATCCAACACGTCGTCTTTGAAGCTGACGCCTGTCGCGGGAGGAGGCATCTTGTTGTCGATAGCTCTCGAAATGAGCTCAACGTAATGTTTTGTGTTTCCCTCGATAGAGTCGACGAGCTTGAGTGTGCGAGCTTCATCGCTTTCTGATTCCCACTACAAGACAATGGAATGTTAGTTTCATAACAAGGTAGGCCGAAGGAGGAGAGAGTATGGCCATACAGTGACTATGTCGTCAAGATCTATCAGCACTTCGTCAAGCTCGCGGTTTGCCAGCTGCTGCATCAATTCGGCATATTTGTGCTTGGGTTGCCTCTTGGCGGCCTTTTGCCTCCGGCGTTGATCATGGGCATTGTCATCCTCGTCCATAAAGTCGTACTCATCGCTCAAGTCGTCCTCATCGATGCTGATCTGGCCGATGGCGTGGGTGATGCTCTCCTGCGGGGAGGTCTTGAAGTGCGTGAGGAAGTCTTCGAAGGCATTTTGTTGCGCCTCGTAGTCGACATAGTTGCGGGCCTGAAGAAGGGCCATGATGGGCAGTCAATTGCCTCTGCCGTCACTCCTGAATAGATTTTCGAGGACTTTGAAGTCGAAAATAGGAATGCGCCGGAGGAGAGATGACGCGGACGGCTGCAAAGATGTCGCAAAGAGAACGAATTCGAGCCTTTCAGTCTAGACCCACGGGAGGTTGGCATCAATTTCAAAAGCTCGACGCGACAGGGGGCCGCGCGCTAAGGTTAATTGAAACGCGTCGACTGCCCCTCGACGCGACAGTTTGGCGATTTGGGCATAAAGCCATATCTCGTATTACTTCAGACCAGCCTAGGCACAATTGGCGTATGGACTGTGCAACCAACGAACAGCTGGACGTTGGAGATAATGCTCCATGCATGGCCTAGCGACCATGCATAAAATTAGCATAAGCCACAATAACCGTTCAGTCAGCTCCAGTTGCGTGCATGCAAACGTCTGAAGCGCATTAATGGCCCACTGCCTCGGCTACGGCACATGTCTACCCACTACAACCCCCCAACCCCGGCCGAAGCTACCTTACCTTAGGTATGGCCCGCCGAAGCTCACGCTCCGGATTACAGATTGTACCGTGAACTCGATGAAGCACCCCAATCCATTGCTCGACGACATGTAACTGCTCCAATTCTACGTCGCAACGATCGCACGAATCTCCTTCGCAAGTGTTCTGACCTACAATGGCCTCCCGCAAGAACGCGCAGTCAACTGCTGCCGAAATATCTCTCGTACACCTGAAGAACTGCCTCGTGAATCTTCCCTCCTCGCTCGTCTCTCTGCTCCTCAATATCAACACTCCGGTGCAAGATGTGGTCGTCGAACTCAGCTACAGAGCGCTCGCTCCAAGCGGCTCGTCTCAAAGTAATGGCACGCAGTCACAACGCTCAATCTTTGTGGGCTGGACGGGCATGCCGAGTAAACGCAAACTTGCATCACTAGTTGGTCGCGATGGCATCAGTGCTTCCCGCACTGGTGGTAGGGACCAGGAAGTAGCCTCGGTTGAGATAGATGCTTCCTTGGCCGGGACTCTTGGACTACAGGATGGCCAGAAGGTCATGGCCATCATACATGTTGATCCGCCGCTCGCCCATACTGTCAACATTGAACCACTTACACCCGAGGACTGGGAGATAATAGAGCTGCACGCGACCTTTTTGGAACTTCACATGCTCTCTCAGATTCGCGCCCTCCCGAATCCCCTCTATAGCCCCGGTCAAGGACAGGCCCCTTCGCCTCATCCCCTTACACTGCATCTATCGCCGACGTCCACGGCCAATGTCAAGGTGCTATCATTAGAACCAGCACCAACCGCCGACACACCGTTTGTCAAGATTGCGCCCAACGCCGAAGTCATTGTCGCTCCCAAGACGCGAGCGAAGCCTTCCAAGACAAGCCGTGAAAGTCGAAGTGTTGGAGGTACATCTAGAAGAAGTGGGAAAAGCTCCGCTAGCACTGCTAGGCGGAGGAGTCAGCGCGAAGAAAAGAAAGTGGCATTGTTCCTCAGGGGTGTGGACAGATATTTGTGTGATGAGTGGTTCGACGAAGATGTTGACACATCTGACCTGACTGTATGGGTAGATCGTGACCTGCTCTTGTCCAAGGATTTCAGAGGAGTCAATTATGTTTCAGTCAATGTGGTCAAGCCGGCTGGGCTGCAGCCACCAATCGACCCTCAAAAGCAGCAGCAGGAAGCCGCCGCAAATGCAGAGGCAGTAAAGTCCAGTGAAAAGGTTATTGCAAACCTCCGTCCGTGGGATGATCTGCCCGACAGCCAGACTATCACGTTGTCTTCCAATTTGTGCGCAACACTGAATTGCTCCGGCATGGTTGGTGGAATCATCAAGATCGAGCCGGCATCTCAACCCATCACGCGAAGTACCGTGCAAAGTCTCAAGATCTATCCTTACCAAACAGCCAGCTCTAGAAGCTCAGAGGGCTTGCGATTCGGTGGCGAGTCCAAGTCTGAGAAGGAAGAGGCCGCAAAGACGATCACACGTATTTATAGTGGTGCCAAAAGCCAAGGCTTCCTCTCCGGACCCTTGACCGATGGCATGGTGCTTCCGCTCAGCAAAGATTTGGAAGCACCGCAAGGCTGGGAAGGAGGCGTCCTGAAGTTTGATCCTCCCATCATTTCTACCGGCTCCAAAGAGCCAACGAGCTGGTGCTTGGGATCCGACAAGTCCTTTCCACTTGATGTTCAGCCGCCAATAACCAAGCCGTCTGGATCAGACGAGCTTGAGCAAACGGGCGGGGATCTTGCTACTGATTCAATCCTCGTTGGCATCGACACTTTGTTAACAGAAGTCAAGTCTCACCTATCGCATATGTCCTCCATATTGTTGTCTGGCGCATTGGGATCCGGAAAAACATCTGTTGCAAAGTCTGTGGGCGAGGACTTGCGTAAAGACTATCTCTTCCACACCACCTACTTCCCTTGCAGGCGTCTGGTCAATGACGAGAGCAGGATATCGACAATCAAAGAGACACTCAACAGGGTTTTCATGCGGGCTAGCTGGGGTGCGCGACTGGGCGGCAAGGCTATTGTCATCCTAGATGATCTCGACAAATTATGTCCTGCAGAGACAGAGCTCCAAGTAGGTAACGACAACGGACGAAGCCGTCAAATCAGCGAGATAATCGTCTCCATAGTCCGCCAGTACTGCACACGTGAGAGCAACGTGGTACTGCTCGCTACAGCACAGGGCAAGGATTCGCTGAATACCGTGATTATCGGTGGTCATGTGGTGCGCGAGATCGTTGATCTGAAGGCCCCTGACAAGCACGGCCGGAGACGAGTGATGGAAACTGTAGTCAATCAATATACAGTTTCCCCTTCGTCGCTCGACAAGCAGGACTCGGACCACAGTCGCCCTACCACGGCAGATGGCAGTGCGAGAAGTGCGGACGGCGAAGCGTGGATGGATGGTGGCAGTCAGCCAAGTAGAAGGGGCTCCGCCGCCAATACGGCCTCGGACGGCTTTCTTCTAGATCCCGAACTCGATTTCCTCGACATCGCTGGCGAGACCGATGGTTACATGCCAGGTGATTTGATATTGCTAGTTGCAAGAGCTCGTAATGAGGCCCTCATACGCTCTGTCAGCGAGAACCCGTCCAACAAATCGATGGATATCGTGCAGCTTAGTCGAGTAGACTTTGACAATGCTCTCAAAGGATTCACACCAGCCTCCCTGCGAAATGTAACACTACAGTCATCGACCACGACCTTCTCCTCAATCGGTGGACTAACAGAAACGCGGCGTATCCTGCTGGAAACACTTCAATACCCTACAAAATACGCGCCCATTTTTGCGCAATGCCCCCTTCGACTACGCTCCGGACTGCTGCTGTATGGATTTCCTGGATGCGGCAAAACCCTCTTGGCATCAGCTGTCGCTGGCGAGTGTGGCCTCAATTTCATCAGTGTCAAGGGCCCGGAGATTTTGAACAAGTACATTGGAGCCTCCGAGAAGAGTGTGCGCGACTTATTTGAAAGAGCAAGCGCGGCAAAGCCCTGTGTCCTCTTCTTCGACGAGTTCGATTCGATTGCACCAAAACGTGGCCATGATTCGACAGGTGTGACCGATCGTGTGGTGAACCAGCTTCTGACTCAGATGGATGGCGCAGAAGGACTCAGTGGTGTTTACGTATTGGCTGCTACCTCTCGTCCCGATCTCATTGATCCAGCTTTGCTCAGACCTGGACGTCTGGACAAGAGTCTTCTGTGTGACTTTCCGGATATCGACGAAAGGATAGACATACTTCAGGCCCTGGCGTCAAAGGTCAAAATGTCCCAAGAGGTCTTGGGCTCCCAGGATGCACTCCGCGACCTGGGCCTCCGGACTGAAGGCTTTACTGGCGCCGACATTCAAGCTCTGATCAGTAATGCTCAACTTGAAGCCATCCACGATGTCTTGAGCGATGTGGACCTTCAACCGTCAAGCAAATCTCGACCGTCTGCTGCAACGAAGGTGAATCCTGCCGCGCAATCGAGGAACTTTGTTCAATTCCGTTACGGTGCCGAGGAGGCAATGGCGGACGAGAAAGAACGGGCAGCAAAAGGTTACAACAGGTCGTCCGAGCTAGCTGAGAATGCTGCCATCGCTGCCAAGCTGCAAGATATCAAGCTTGCCAAGAGGAAAGCCAAGTACATGCAGAAGGGCGCTGCCAACCTAACGAACGGCCACAACGCCGGCAAGGGAAACAAGAGTGATGGGGCTGGGGAAGTCATCATAGGCTGGAAACACATTATCAAGGCGCTTGAAGGCACCAGGGCCAGTATCAGCACTCAAGAGCGAAACCGACTTGAAAGAATCTACCACGAGTTTGTGGTTGGTAGAAGTGGTGAGATGCGAGATGGCCAAGGTAGTATGGAAATTGGTGGCCGAAGTAGCCTTATGTAGAGCCACCTCCTGGACGGGAGAGCTGCTATTCGTAGGTAGCATTTATTATCAAATTTAATCCTTTACAGCCATGTGATACAGTGGGTTCGCAAAAGTCCTTTGCTTTTTTTGCTGTAGTCATTGAAATGCAATTGGTGGCAGCGATACACGCAGAAAATAGCCAAGCCACGTTCGGGGTCATGATACACAACAAACCACAATGCATTGAATGCTTCTACAGAAAGTTGAACAAGGTCATCTCTAGAGTCGAAATGAGTCATGGTGCAGTGACAAGTCTTTTCACTTTTAACACGAAAGACTGTATGTGAAGTTGATTTATTTCAGGAACTCGTTTGCATCTGCAAACAAAGCTGAGTACCAGAGTGGAAGTTTGTAGTCCAGTCAACAGGAGAATATCTACATTAATAACAAGGCTGCTTCATTTCTAGGCTCTCGGGTTGTCAAGACTCGGTACACCTGTAGCTATTGGAGGGGCTTAAGCTTAAAAGTCGTGTGTCTTGATAGGCTCGTGCTATTCTGGCGCTAGTCCGAAAGCAATTAGCGCCAGAAGCTCCCTGTCTGGCAACGGTAATTCAGTTGTCTGTGCGTGCATCACGCCTTGAACGACTTCCACCTTTCCTCTATAGAGTAGATCAAGCTCTTGGTGCCGGCACCACCACAACAAGGACAAAATCCAGCGAGTTTTAATGTATTTCGGATCGGATACTGCTTCTGTGCATCACTGAGAGAAATTTCGGCCGATTCGGATTGATCTGCGTCGACAATTGATGAAGTGAAAGCCGGCAGAATAGGGGTGGACTCAGCTCAGGTCGACTGATAACTTTCTATATCGGTGACAGTCTCGACAGCTTCATTTCCGGCGCGCCGCCCGCAGGCTCCAGGCAGTGGGCAGCCTCAGGCATCACTTGTCCAAATAATCACAGCTGTGTCGTTTGAAACATACTCTTGTAAGTCACCATGCCGTCTTCAACTTTCACTCATTCTCTCGCGCCGAACCCTTCACCATTTTCGAATTTCACTGCCCGTTCCCTTGCGCTCTCAATCTTCAAGCTCGTCGTCGAAATCTGCCATTTTCCTGTCTGTATACCCTCAGTTCATTTGTTATATTGCTTCTCTTCCTTTCACCATGTCTTTTGCTCGCCCGAATTTCAAGGATTTGCCCCAAAAAGATGTCAAGGCCTATCATAGTGTCTTCGGTGAAGTGATCGAAGAGATCCCCATGTTTGCAAGCGTGCCATCACAGCATCATAGGCAAGTTGCCGGTGTATATATCACCATATATCATTTCCATACTTCATCTTCAAGTCATTCACCCTGGTGGTCATCGGCGCTGGTGATTGGTCTACAAAGGATCTGTTACACTTCCTGTTCCATCAAGCACAGGACTGCACAGCATAGCACGCATGCCACCACCGCGTCGCCTTCAACTCCCCAAGCAGCCGTCAAGGTCCCCATCGTCAAGGTCCCCGTCGTCAAACAATCAGCCAGGCCCTTAGCTTCCTACAGAACAAGGCACAATCTGCTTCAACCCCACGTCCTGGTTAGCTGTCGAGTTTTTCCATCCCACCTTTTCTATTTCTTCCAAGCCTGTTTCCATCCAAGCCTGTTTCCATCCAACCTCTACCACATCATCATCACAAAACAGCTTGGCCTCCTGTTTTGCCCTCGAGATGTCCTACTCGGACCTCCTTTGAGATGTCCTACTTGGACCTCCTTGGAAATGTCCTTCTGGGACTTCCTCCTGAGATGTCCCAGCGGGACCTCCTGAGATGTTCCACTGGAACCTCCCTTTCCCCCTCCATCGTGCCGGCCCTGCGTGTTTGTTCCCCCTCTTGAAATTATTGTTTCATTTCGTTGGTTTCTTTTGCTTGCTTTGCTTTCTTCTCTTTTTCCTTTTCTCTCCTTTTTCTTGGACTTCGCTTACCATCACGACAGTAGCAACGCAGATAAGCCGTCACGATGGCGGGGCTTGCGGTCCCTTGGTCCCAGACTAAGGGGAAAGCTGAAGAAGATGCGAGAAAGATGCAGCTGGCGGTGCAAGAAGAGTGCACCAAATCGGGGAAGCCAGCCCCCGACTACGAGCTCCGAGAACTGATCGGAAAGGGCTCCTTTGGTCGCGTCTACAAGGCCACTGGAGCCAAAGACGGCAAGGTGGTTGCCGTCAAGATCATCGATGTAGACGAGAGCGACACAATGAACCCGAAACTTGCCGACACGTATTCCGAGTTCATGAAAGAAGTCACCGCCCTCCAAGTTCTTCGTGAGGGCGGCGCAAAAAACATCAACCATGTGCTAGAGGCACTACCTGTCGGCCGTTCCATGTGGATGGTGACAGAATACTGCGCAGGAGGGAGTGTCGCAACTCTCATGAAGCCGACAGCACCGGGCGGCCTGCAGGAGAAATGGATCATTCCCATCCTGCGAGAGGTTGCTATTGCTATTTTTTGGGTACACAGACAAGGCATCATTCACCGAGACATCAAATGCGCAAACGTCTTGGTGACAGAGGAAGGTGGTGTACAGCTGTGTGATTTTGGCGTGGCCGGAATGATGGAGAGCAAGTTCGACAAGCGATCGACATTTATTGGCACTCCTCACTGGATGGCGCCAGAGCTCTTTGACATGAACGCTTCATATGGAACAGAAGTTGATATTTGGGCATTTGGATCAATGGTTTATGAGATTGCTTCTGGTCTACCGCCAAACGCCGTGGCTCAAGTCGGACTATCACAGCTTGGAGGTTTCCTGAGAGAACATTTGCCCCGTTTGGAAGGACCGCAATACTCCGACGACCTCAAGAGCTTGGTTGCTTTCTGCTTGGTCGAATCACCGAAACACCGACCAACAATTGTGCAAGTCAAGAACCACCCCTACATCAAAGGAACCGAAGACAGATATCCCTCCAGCAGTTTGGCATCACTTGTACGGGCATACAAGCTGTGGGAAGACCGTGGCGGTAGTCGAAAGTCTTTATTCAACCCTCTGATTGGAGCACAGGGACCGTCTGATGTCGATCTTGCTTCAACATCTCTGGCTGACGAGTGGAACTTCAGTACCACACTTGCATTCGACGAACGAATCCATGAGAACCCTGACGGAGTTACTGATTTTGAGGCTGTTCGAGATGTGTATGGATCACAGGTGGACTTTCCAGGCGGCGGTTTCAACGAGGAAACCCAGAAAGCCAAGCCGAAGGGCAGAAGAAGGCCACCTCCTCAAGCACTATCAGCAATGAGGGCCCCTCTAGAAAAGGTCTTTGATCCAAACACCATCTCCAACTACAATGAGAACTCACAGGCGTATTATGGACACATGCCTATGCCGCCTCCCCCACCGCCTCCTCCCGCTTCTGACTTACCGCTGAGAAACGACAATATGCATTCGACTCTGAGAGAGTCCCTGATTGATCTGGATGCTTCCCTCGACGGTGGCGACTTGTCACAATTCGCATCAATGGACACAATCAGAGCTGGTCCGGGCCATAGTTCCAATCTAGGTCCTGGTCCTGGTCCAGGCCCCAGAGCGTCGATGGATAATAACTGGTCGTTCTCAGGAGCTACCGACCCTTCTTACAACCGCGCGCCATTTTCTGATCCTGCAGAACTGAACAATGGAAGGCCTGGACCCGACTGGCAATGGCCGACTGTAATACCACCAGCTTCCGCGAGTGCAGAGATCACGAATTTCACCTTTGACGGCGAGGATACGACGAGGCCACCTCTCATTCACCAACAGACAGAACCAGCGGGTCTTCCATCACAGGGATACGATTTACAAGTGCCAAGATCCACCAACGATCGCATGTCTGTTTCCTCGCTCATCGATCTAGACGAGGGTCTTGTGGATTCAGGCATGCCAGAATACACGCGACCGTCCACAGCAAACTCAGACGTACCTTCGATGACCGGTTCAGAGATGGGAGGCGGCGCCAATCCATTTGAGCTTGAACGCCATCCTTCAATCTATGCTCCAGCCTCGTTTACTCAGCGCGAACCGTCCATTTACGTTTCCGATGCCTCGCAATTTGCATCCTTAACCGACGCAAGCGAACCCGACCCGTCCACTATGCAGAACACTATCCGTCACCAGCCGTCTGTCTCGGACGCGTCACAATCTTATGTCGATTCGGATAACAGCGACTACACCACCTCGAATCACCGGATCAACAGGCGTGCGAACGGCTCCGGCGCAAACAATGGCTTGTATCCAGTCGCACCACCTGCTGCCAACATCATGGAGGGCACCGCCAGCACGCACGACGTTGCAGAAGAGATGCGCCGACTTGTTGCCTCCCTGTCTGACCATCTTACTATCATTGGCCAACAGGTTGGTGACCTGGAACCCCGACGTTCCAGTCGTGTCTCTGCAGGGCGCATAAGTGAAGAGGACATTGGAAATCCAGCTGATTAAGGATAAGATTGTTTTTGTACTACGAACAAGCGTGGAAGAAACGATGGGAATATACCAGTGTGCAAGGAATTTGTCAGAGTAATGTTTTGAAGAGCAGTTGTATTGAGCATGCTATGGGAAGGCACAAGATGCCATGATGGGACATGAAGTATTTGTACTAGGTTTGCCGTAACAGGGCACGAAATCATATGATCATGAAACACCAACTGAATATCTTGATTTTCTACGTGAATGTCTATGTGAAGTGATTTATTCAAGCCATTCCTATCATATCCCCCATCAACAGGGCCCTGTACTTTTCTACTGCCTCTCGGAGTCTGATCAGTATTCCCGCAGCCATCATCTTGACCTGGTTTTCCTCGCCGTCGCCACCTTGATCGCCGCCGCGGGTGCGGTCAAAGACACCGCTAACCCACTCGACGGTCTCGACAACTTCGCGGCCGTGCTGCTGGCACAGACCGCGCATATCGCCCTCATTGACATCGAGCAGGGCCATGAGGCCAAAGAGCACCGCGTGAGTGACGCCAGCCTCGCCGACACACTGCGCCCGGACGCCGAGCAGCAGGTCCCAGTACTCCGAGGTCATCTGGGGCAGAGCCAGCGTCGAGGGACCCGCGGCGTGGAGGAGCAGGGCCAGGGTCTTGAGGTAGACGGACAGCAAGTAGGGCTGAAAGAGGACGCCGCGCAGAGAGGCCGAGGGCGAGTGCAGGGCTGCGAGGAACCGCGACGTCAGCGGGAAGAAGAACGACGTTGCAATGACTTGGGCTGTCGTGTTGGGGATGCTGCGGATCCCGGGCTTCTTGCTGATCGCCTTGGATTTCACCTTGGTGGGGTCTTGAAGCCGCGAGGTAAAGGTTGACAGTTTGAGCGCATCGGGCCCGGTGGCGGCGTCGGCGGCTTCGGCGGCTAGAGGGGCGAGGAAAGTCTGGGAGAGAGACTGCGAAATACTGTCGAGAGCGTTGGGCGGGAGCGCCTTTAGATTCGAGGGTGAGGAGCTGTATCGATCGGATGGCGGTGCCAGGACGTAGTGCTTTTCCATCTTGGCTGGTAGCTGCTTGGAGGGGAATGAAGCGGCGGACGCATAATCTGATGCCTCATAGCCAGCTATCTCACGACCGCTCAAACCCAAAACGATAAGAATGGAAGCGCGCTGGGAAAGGGAGTAATCGCCGTCGAAAAATGTCTTGGCGAACCAGCGGCCCATGATTTGTGGTTGCGCCACAACGATGGCAATCATGCCCTGCAGGCGCAGATTGTCAAAGTCGTCGAGTTCAAACTTGTTAGAGATACCAATCAGAAGAGATGCTAGCTCCTCCGCGTGTGAGCTGACTTCTGTGCCGTAGCTTGCTTTGCGGCGAATGAGGACTGGCGCCGTGGCAAGGGCCAGTTTCTGGCGGTCATAGCTCTCTCCATCACGAAGATAGAGGATGAGATCCCTTATGTAGACAGGTGCCTTGGGCTTGTCCCGATTGATCAGGGTTGGGTCTTCATCCGAGTCCTCCGCGTCTGAGCCTGGCTTTGCATAAGGTACTAGATCCTCATCGTCTTCATCCTCATCCTCAATCTCTTCAATGATGAAGCCTGTTTTTGGTGCTGATGGTATAGAACGGGCTTTGGGTTTTGATGCCGCCCTTTTCGTGCTGGTGGAAGGTTTTTCGGGACTTGTCTGGGTTTGGAGAGGGCTGACTGGTCCAATTTCGTCAGCGATATTGATTAATGACTTGTACCACGTCGCTTCCTCTGTGTGCGTCTCATCCGAGTGAAAATCAAGCTTCTTGTCACTTCCGTCTACAAGTCCAGACAGAGCTTCCCCAACAATCATGCCCAGGAACTTTGCCCTGTGCTGGGATGCGTCGATTCGTCTTGAGATGGCATTAAGATAGCTACCACTTCGAAGCAATATAGTCAGCTTGATTGGCGATATTCGATGAACGTAGCCGGCGCTTAGTAGCAGTACTTGGGCGTGAGCTTGATAGATATCAGCAAGATGTAGTGCCAGACAATGAATCGAATATCTCACCTTCTTGCTGTAATATCGGAGAGTGCTTGATGTATAATTGATCTCCAAACTGATTCAAACTTCGTTCCAGTACCGTGGTAATGGCCTCTTTATCATTGGCCAATGCCGCTACGGCAGCTCTTCTGATGCCACAATCGTCGCCCAGTCCAGCTCCGCTTGCATCAGTGAGCCAGGCGATCAAATAACCCTTTCTAACTTGACTCGTCCCGATCACTGATTTCAGAACACCTGCCGCAGCCCATATCATCGGATAGTCTTCTGTAGACTTGTCGGATGAGGTGGGTAAGCGGGAGGCCAGAAGTTTGAGGATTGTTGTCAAGAATCGGCGTTGATCTAGTTGAGGCATGCAATCTAGTAGTCGTGGAAACGTTGATAGAGCTTGATTCCGAATGAGAAGCGTCTCGTATAAGTCTTGTACAAGCATGTCTGGATTCTTGTTAGTCATTTTTACATCTGAAGAGAGTATTAAGCTCACCAGCATGTCCAAGTTTCAACGACTTAGACAAAAGCTCCGCGCAGAGCTTAATGGAATCATCTGTTTGTTCACTCTGTATCCAAGTCTTTAGATTGGCTCCTAGCCATTGGACGTATGCTTTGCTATCAGCAGTCCAGAATGACTGTTTGGAAGCTTCTGCTTCGCGAAGTAGTACTTCGGCTTCTGCAGATAATGATACGATTCTTCCTCCAGCCATTAGAAATATGAATTCTTGTCTAATCGCTCGAGCCCTGCCCGAGTTCTTCATGGAAGGGGAAAGATTCTGCCAAACTGTTTGCAATCGATCCTTTGGCTCGAGTAAGTGACTTGCAAGATCCATAAGCGAGCATAGAATCACGATAGCGTTTGATTGTTTGACACCTCTAGGGTCGTTCTTTGCTTGCTGAGTCAGAGCTTTGATGAAGGTAATGGCGGCGTTGATGCCGGTGACACTGAGTAAACAGTCGAGCATCAATCTCAAATCTGGGTTCTTGTGTTCCTTGCCGGTGCTCTCTTTGATCACTTCCCAGTAATTTGGCACTATCTCGGTTACAAGTATGTGGATGATCTGGGCTGCCTCGGGACTTGGCTGATGGATATCGAATGGATGATTCCCTTGCGAGCCCTGCCGCAAATATCCGAGCACGGAGATGAGCTCATCGTAGCTGGGTTGGTGTTTTAGTGTTTCGAGCGCCTCTTCTGGAGATGCACCCTTGAAATCTGATTTTGAGGCCCTGGTGACCTTGGCAGGTTCTGATATTGTCAGAAGATCCTCCGTCTGGCGTTTAACTTGGCCAACAGGAGTTAAGAGTTCTTCCATAGTGATTGATGAGGAAGAGCAACCATGTGTCTGGTTTTTTGTCTGTGTAGAAGCTGAAAGAATGCTCAAAAATTTTTATCATTCGTATTGCTTGTGGTTGGCATATAAACAAGCCCCGGTCTCTTTTGTTTCGTTCAGAGACTACTCATGCTCGACGATGGCAGTGCAAGACTGAACGCAAGCAGGACGACGAACAATAGTTCCCGGTCGACTGGGCAGTATGGCCCTAAAAACCTGCCCAGCTACCCCGGTGAAGTTGTGCTAATTTGCGAGGGGCTCTAGATTTTCAAGCTTCTGTCGGATTTTGTCGTGGTAACATTGCCTTCTTGAACTCGAAACTTCACAATCATAATGCATTGATGGGAGACAACCACATGCTCAAGACCATGGATGAAGGTGAGTTTATGCGCCTAACAGGTAGATACCTAACTCGATGGCTACCTAGATTACCTACATTATTAGCGCCCTGCCCTCCCGCACTTTAGCGTGTGCCTTATCACCGATAAGCCCCAGCTTCTGACGTTATCCCAGGCAGCTCCAGCAGCTACAGTGGTGCCGGCGCCTCTGGCTCTACAGGCAGTAGCTGCAGCACCACCACATCCCACCTCCCGCCTGCAAACACCACTACAGCATCCTCCTCATCTTTGGAGCGCAGTTTCGCCGCCATGTCCGTCGATACGGGTAGCAAGGCCCGCGAGGCTGCCCGATGGAAGTACCTGAACCACATTCGCAAGACAAAAGGTCCCTTCAACCAAGATGACGAGATTCCCGAGGACATGCCGGATCCTCTCGAGACCTACAAGATCCTGGTGATTGGCGCTGGTGGACTGGGCTGTGAGATGCTCAAGAACCTAGCCATGTCTGGTTTCAAGAACATCCATGTCATTGATATGGGTAAGTAGTGTGCTCTTCCATTATGGTATTTTAAGGTTTATCTGGAAAACTTACACATTGGCTGTTCGCTAGACACTATCGACATTTCCAATCTCAACCGTCAGTTCCTCTTCCGAAAGAGCGATGTCGGCAAGTTCAAGGCTTCTGTCGCTGCCGAGTTTGTCATGAAGCGCGTAAAGGGCGTCAATATCACACCACACAATTGCAAGATCCAGGACTTTGACGAATCCTTCTATTCCCAATTTCAGATTGTCATTTGCGGACTGGACAGCATTGAAGCAAGACGATGGATCAATGCTACCTTGGTGGGAATGGTCGATGACGACGATCCCGAGTCAATCAAGCCCCTGATCGATGGTGGTACTGAGGGTTTCAAGGGACAGACTCGTGTGGTTTTGCCTACGGTTGGACCTTGCATTGAGTGCCAGCTGGACCTCTATGCACCTAGAGCAGCTGTCCCTCTTTGCACACTTGCCACTATCCCGCGACAGCCCGAGCACTGTATCGAGTGGGCACACATCATTGCTTGGGAGCAGGAGAAGCCTTTCCCGTCCTTGGACAAGGACGATCCTGAGCACATCACCTGGCTGTACGACAAGGCATTGGCACGAGCCAAGGAATTCAACATTCCGGGAGTTACCTACTCTCTTACTCAGGGCACTGTCAAGAACATCATTCCCGCCATTGCCTCGACCAACGCCATCATTGCTGGTTCTTGTTGTCTCGAGGCCTTGAAGCTCGCAACCAATACGGCACCCCCCTTGGGTTTCGAGCAAAACTTCATGTCCTACGATGGAACCGAGGGCATCTATACCAATACCTTCCAGTACGAGAAGAAGGAGGACTGTCCCGTTTGTGGAAATCTCGCCAAGCCTCTCAAAGTCGACCCCAAGTGGAAGTTGCAAGAGCTACTCGACTCACTGGCAACAAATGCAGCAGCACAGTTGAAGAAGCCTTCTATCAGAGCCGAAGAGAAGTCTCTTTACATGCAATTTCCGCCCCAGCTGGAGGAGCTAACACGGCCCAACCTGGAAAAGAGTCTTGCAGAGGATCTAGGCCTGGTACATGGATCTGAGATTGCAATCACTGACACAGCATTCCCGAATCTGGTGTTCAGATTCATTCTCCAATTTTCCTGAGTATTGGAAAACTTTTGCACAAATCTTTTGAGATACCAAAATAGACGCATCATGACCTTGTACGCGCTTCCTTGTCAACGTGATATTCTGTTCCATTAACATGCTTTGCATGAGCACATGCTGTCAAGCCCAGCTTGCCTCGATCTTGAAGAGACTTTCATGACTACATGTCTCGTTGTATAAAGCTCTATTTCTATAGAGCTGATCGATTTCTGTCAGGGGATTTTCTTCAAAATATGAGTCCTCTGATCAAATGTCGGGCCAAAAATGTGTTCTCGTTGTCCTGTCTAAATCCTGTATCATCGTGACTCGTGTCTGCCAGCTATAATCCGTCTACTCCTGGGGCCTGAACACCTGCGTAGTCGTACTGTAATGAGCCGCCATAGGTCAAAGCTTGATAACCCCCGGCCATTTGGTGATTACTCATTCCAGTATTAAGAAATCCACTGGCATCTCTGCCGGTAGATTGCGTATTGGATGATTTAACTTCCACGGCGCCGCTAGAGGCCGCTCGTGGTGGTTGCGACTGATGCAGCGAAGACCTCGCCACGCCCGCTGAACTGCCACCTTCGCCAAAGTACAGATAATCCTGCGGTTTAGGCTCGACTGACCTAGCCCTTCTCACGGTGTGGTTGTGTCGCAATTTAGTAGTATGGCCGGGTTTCCGCTTTCCAGTGGGCTTCCTTGGCAGCGGTCCTGTTCGTTCTGCGGCCGACGGTAGTTTGGCGTCCAAAGACACCTCTAGAATATCAGAGAACCGGCGGTCCGCCGACTCGTCTCCAGAGTCCTCCTCCAAGGTCTGGTTGGGGCTGTTGATGGGCGCCCGCGCGTCAGCATCGCCATCTACGATGGGGGCGTTTCCTCGTGACCGGTCGCGAACCGTCGAGAGTCTCTTGAGTGTCTGTCGCAAACCCATGGCGCAAGTCCCCCAGTTTTTGAATTTCAAATGGTTCCGGTGTGAATTTCAAGTTGCCCAGTTGCCAAGGAAGAGACGGTGCCGTACAGCCGCTTTTTATTTATGGTCGCTGCCAGCTGATACGGAAGAGGTAGGGCTCTCTCTTTGTGGTGCAATCAGACTGCAATCGGTTGCATTCCGTGGCTAGCGCGACATAATTACGTCCTTGCGACGAATCTCTGTATCGTCAAAACAAAAATTGAAGAGATAGTTGGCGGAGTAGAAAAGAAGAAAACCTGCGACGAACAATTTCCATACTCAAAAGATCCCAGGCTCCCTCTCTCACTCTCTGTCGCATTGCAGGGAACTCGCGGGATCCTTAGGGCGGGCTGTGCTAATGGCTTCCAAGGTTCCCTGTACCCTGGGGCTTGCCTGGGCCCGAAAAAGCAAGTTTCGAATAAGCACTGTCAAGCCGGGGCAGTCGATCCCCAGTCAATCTTAAGGGAAACAAACCCATAGCCTGATTTTTCCTACGCCCAGAGGCAACTAGTTTTATGATAAAGGGAGGCAAAGGAGGGTTACTCTAGGGCCCAGAACCAGTAGGCTGGACCAGCCCCGATGCAAACTATATACTGGTTAGCACTTTTCTTGCCCAGTTTGGCGGCTTGGCGCTAAAGCGCCGTCTTCCCGTGCTGCGATTCAAATTTCATATATATGTGTTTGGTTGGAATGAGCTTTGAGTAAAAATACAGCTTGTGATTTAACTGAAAATATCAGGGAGGGGAGAAAAAAAAAAGCTGTCTTGATTAGTATCTTTTTTTTTTTCCGCCTTGTATCTCCTTCCCTTAGTGACTTATTAAGTGGATGACCTCATAGAATATTGTAATACATACATTAAGGTACACATCACAGGCGACTTGCAACTTTCTAGCAATATATTCAGCACATTGTGTTCCAAAGTACAGAATGAATGAGAAATGACAATGGATGAGGATATGTATAAAACAAGTTTCTTCTCATATGCGCCCTGGGTAAGGTTTTGGTATAAGTCACCCTGTGCCAGATTTCGAATTAATTATTTCCAAGCACACGAAGATTTAATATCTAACAGAGATCCGTAACAGTTTCAAGGTTAACTAGCTGACAGACTGCCTTTTCTTCTCAACCATTTTGGTACGAGAACTCGAACGCAGAACATAGTGTACGGATATTATCAGTTAAAGTCATGGCTTGCTTTGCGGAGATTTTGCTTCTTACGGGCATCGAATGATGGCCGGATCCAGCCCAATATCTGACTAGCTATTGGCCATACGGACGCCCAGAGAATGGCGTTCAACCAATCCACGTTGACATCAACTGTGGATTATGTACAGGTGAACTCGCTCTTCCTAAATCGGTGGAAGATCCCAGTGTTGTCAGGTAGTCGGGAAAGGGAATCCAGCGATTCGTCCCATTTGTCAGTTCGAGTTACTCTACAAGATTCGTCACTGTAAGATATCATCTGAAAAACTTGTGTTGGATACGGCGTACAGCCAGGTGTAAGATCTCGTGCCAAATGTGCAAATGTGGGGGATGGGTGGTTATGGGGATCTCGAGCCGGTTGGAAGACCCGAGAGTAATGAGTTTCAACGAGAATGGCTCTTGTCATATACACAGAGGTAATCCCTTAGCAGTGCCGGCTACAGAACATGGCTACCAAAGTAGTTCATGCCACAGTTGAATCACATGTTTTGGGCAAAGGGCAATGGCGAAACCAAAGACATGGGAGACAATATGTATGTCAGGCGGTCGGGCAGAGGAGAATATTGCGATAGGATAAATGCTTCCGCAAGAGAAGAGCGTTTTTCTGATCAATTTGACCATGTTCGAGTAGAGATCGGATAGTTTATAATAACAAAATCTATGATGCGTTGACTTTTATACACAACTTCAGCACTGACGAGCTTGATTCTATAAAAGCAGTAATGCGAATTGACTCAAAGCTCGTCATTGACTGTGTGTGCTTCTACAAGAGATTCCAACAGACCTTGGGTGTTGTTTTTGTTTCCCCTTCGGCAATTACCATTATGTTTAAGAGTCTTAGGAAGGAAGGGGTCACACAACTGTCTATACAGCAGCCTGTCTCTAGTATGCTGATCCTTTGCTGACTTGGCCTTGGAAAACGTACCATTTTAGTGAACGATGAAATTTTATACAAGGAAAAGATAATGATGATCCGAGTACAAAAGGAGCCGGAAGATAATGCTGGTTTGCATCCGTCTCTTTGTTGGTGATGCTGATCATTAACATGACTCTGAGGTTTGGAAGCTTTGTAATAGGCCAAAGATACAGTTACTATTGGCAACTGATGGAGTGCACGGTTGTCGCTCAATTGACCAATCCACGGCGCGCAATTTGCAAAACTGGGTGTTTGACATTCGCTTGGAAATTCACTGTGCAGTAATCAGCCCGCGCCACAGGCTTCCCAAGCTCATGGAAGTCACAGGCACTTGCCTGGCAATCACACATTATAACTTGTACCAACTCTCAAGTTGTCCGAGTTGCAAAAGGAACAATATCCAGCATTGCACCTTTCAAAAAGCATTACAAAGGAAACAGCGCCGATTGGCAGTAACGCGGCCCACAGACCCGGAATAATTATTATTGCGGGGCAGACCCATGACGAGCACACTGCAGTTCGCTACTAGCCGGGCCCGTTGAACTTCAATCCCCGATTGATTGCCACAGCAGAGCTAATCCACGAACAACGTTCCTCCAACTCCCATCGGTCCAATTGACCACCCAACAATCGCAATGGCGGTGCTATCCAGGATTGCCAGCTGCGGCGCTCGCCGCCTGCAGCTTGCGATGCCCTCAGTCCGCTCTTCCGCCCGCACCTTCTCGTCCACCGCCTTCCGCCGCGCCAACGAGGGTCCCGGCGTCGACCGCACCACATTGATGCCCGTCGACAGCACCTTTTCCCACCCTGCCGACCCCTATGGCATGCAGCGACTTCAGAACCAGGATGGAACCGTCGAGGCCTCGAGGGAGGGCAGCATCGAGGGCGTCGCCGCCCGCAAGGTCCGCCACTACACGGTCAACTTTGGTCCCCAGCATCCCGCCGCCCACGGCGTGTTGCGCTTGATTCTCGAGCTGAGCGGAGAGGAGATTGTGCGAGCCGACCCCCACGTCGGCCTGCTGCACCGTGGTACCGAGAAGCTCATCGAGTACAAGACCTACGTTCAAGCTCTGCCCTACTTCGACCGTCTGGACTATGTCTCGATGATGACCAACGAGCAGTGCTTCTCGCTGGCCGTGGAGAAGCTGCTCAATGTTGAGATTCCCGAGCGCGCCAAATACATCCGAACCATGTTCGGCGAGATCACCAGAATTCTGAACCACCTCATGTCCGTTTTGTCCCACGCCATGGACGTTGGTGCTTTGACACCCTTCTTGTGGGGTTTCGAGGAGCGTGAGAAGCTTATGGTAAGAGGAGATTGATTTCATTGATGCTATCTATCTAAGATGCGGGAAAGAAGAAAAAGAAACACAAATCGCAATGGAACTCCGGTATATGGGAGGAAGGAACGAAACCGAGAACCTTGATGATAAGCAGGAAAACACCGCAACCAGCTGACCACCCAAAATAGGAATTCTATGAGCGTGTTTCCGGTGCCCGTCTGCACGCCGCATATGTCCGCCCCGGTGGTGTTCACCAAGATATTCCCGTTGGTCTGCTTGACGATATTTACCAATGGGCTACCCAATTTGGCGACCGTATCGACGAAACCGAGGAGATGTTGACAGATAACCGTATCTGGATCAACAGATTGCAGGGTGTCGGTGTCGTATCTGCTGCCGATGCCCTCAACCTTTCCTTCACTGGTGTTATGCTTAGAGGATCTGGTGTCCCTTGGGACATCCGAAAAAGCCAGCCGTACGACGCATACGACAAGGTCGAATTCGATGTACCAGTCGGTATCAACGGAGATTGCTACGATAGATACCTTTGCCGTATGGAGGAGTTCCGTCAGTCCCTCCGTATCATCCACCAATGTTTGAACGATATGCCTGCCGGCCCCGTGAGAGTGGAGGATTACAAGGTTACGCCCCCTCCACGTGCAGCCATGAAGGAGAACATGGAGGCTCTGATTCACCACTTTTTGCTCTACACCAAGGGTTACGCTGTGCCCCCTGGTGAGACCTACTCCGTGATTGAGGCACCCAAGGGAGAGATGGGTGTGTATCTTGTCAGTGACGGAAGCGAGAGGCCATACCGTTGCCACATCCGTGCTCCGGGTTTCGCACACTTGGGTGGCTTTGACCACATCTCGCGAGGACACTTGTTGGCAGACGCTGTGGCAGTGATTGGAACGATGGATCTGGTGTTCGGTAAGTAATTTGTCCTATATGTGAACGGAACCTTACTAACAGTATGCAGGTGAGGTTGACAGGTAAAATTGAAACGTCGAGGGGAAAACATAGAACGATGATGCCCATACGGAAGAGGATTGCCCGCGATGCAACCAACTGTATCCCATTTTGCATGTACCATAGTAGAGGTTAAGAGCCATGGGGAATGCATCGTGAAGGAGATGAGGCATGTTTTGTGCCGGTACATATGATAAGTTTTTTTTTGAAAGGACGCTTTTTTTTGTTTTATCTTGAGATTTCTTAACTGTGAAGAAGTCAGTATCAAGGTGTGATTGACCGGGACTGTGAACTTACAGACGAAATAAAAGCACGGCATCGGCTGTGCAAATAGTATGCTGAAAAAGGTTGAGGAATGGGGGGGCCAAACAGCCATTGGTTCATGAGATTCGTGATACATCATGATCGAAGAACAAGCTACATTAGTAGCAACCCTGTTTACTGGTTGGCAGAAGGAGGGCAGGATTGGGTCCTGATGCGCTTTGGACGAGCCGAATTACACATCTCCCACTCGGCCGAGTGGGAATACTCATCAAGGCCCTCAGGTCCTACACCAATGGGCAATCCAGCAAGGGGCAGGCCATGGTCTTGAGTGTACTTGGTAGTCTGGTTCTTGTTATCCGCCTCGCTCATCGAGACAAATGGCGGGGCCGTCGCATCGAGACCTCGGTATGCCTTGGCCTTGCGCGAGGGCGTGCGAGCCTTGATTTCCTCGTGCGCGGCTTGGGTCTGCGGAGAGCTATAGGCCATGATGGGATAGGTGCGCTGAGGCTTGGGTCCGGCAATGGAATAGCTGCCCGAGTAGGCATAGATCTGCTCGTTCTGTTGCTGCTCGGACTGCGGCTCCCGGCGGTTGTACCACCAGTGCTCGGCTTGGGCCAGGTTCGCAAAGCCGCAGAATTTCATGGTGCGGCGCTCATGGACCTGCTGACTCTTGGGCACACCATGGTTCATCTGCCAGACAAGCAGATCAGAGTACTCGGGAATGTTTCTTGGCTGGACAATGTCGTTGAACATCTTCTTCTGCTTCTTTTGCTTCGGGGTCGGCTTCTTGTTCGTGCCATTGCGCCAGTTGGTGGCAAAGGGATCGCCGTGCTCGGCCTCGGCGGCAGCAACGTCGTCCTCGGTCAGCGCGCACATGGGCTTGTACGACTGGAACTGCACGGGACACTTGCACTGGCCGCTGGCGTGGAGGGCCTGGTGCTCCGCGAGCCACTCGGCGCCGTACTGCGACTGAATGCGGTGCTGCCAGCGGGGTAGCTCGTGGGACGGGATGGACTCGTCGATACCGTTGAGGACTGAGGGATTCCAGGAGAGGGCGGGCGGCTTGTCGTGATCGGCCAGGGTAGAGTTTTGCTCGCTATTGCGGTCGGGCTCCGTAGTGGTTTCGTCATTCTGTCGGCCGCGCGAGCCCTTGGACCTGTTCTGGTGCTGCTGCCTCTTGTCTGCCTTTTTCTTCTTCTGTCTGCGCTGCTGCGTAGTCGTGTACTGGCCACTCTGCTTATACTTGCCGTTCTTCTTCTGATTCTTGTGGTCCATCTGATGCTGAGCATCAGAGTTATTGTTTGGAGTAGAATCTCCACTACGTCTATGCTGATGATGCTCGGTTGAACTAACAGCAGAGGAGCTACTACTGCTGGTATTAGGACGCACAGATTCTCCAGAAGACTCCTGGCTGACCGAGGGCGTCATTGCCATGATGGGCGACGACTGGCTGGCTGTCGTCATTAGGGGAGGGAACTTGTCGGCAGGGAATTGGACTCCGCAGCCACAGGCACCGCGCTCATGCATATACTGGTGCTCGATAGTCACAATCTCGACCCAGCGGCCGTGGAGAATGCGAGCGCAGGCCGGACAGTTGGCATCCAAGAGCTGGGGGCGCTCGGCCGGGTTGGGGCAGACGGGGTTGCTGGCGTGGTTGGTGGTCAAGGGGCAGGGTCGCAGGACGGGCTGGCTGCGATGGCCGCAGACATAGCCGATGAACTCGACGAAGCACATTGTAATGCCTGCAGTGTATTTTTGTGGATGAAGTGTTCTTGAGATCGTAAGGTAGGAAGGGATGGAGTTGATGACAGCGAGTTGAAGAGCTGTACGAAGTATCTAGGGTATTGTGATATTGTGATATTGTGTGGACTGATGGCTAGTCTTGAAGTTTTCGGGAAGGCATAAAGAGGAAGATGGGGATTGATGTTGATGAAGGGAAACAGCAGGTGTTGTCTTTCTTGTGGGAGAGATACTCTGCTGAGAAGTCTGAGCAGCGATGAATGAGCCGAGACTCGGTTAACGTTGAAATCAGAAAGATATCAAATGCTTTTTTGTGGTTACCTTTCCACTAGAAGAAAATTCTTCATCGCCGTAGAGCTGAGACGATTTCGGTTGCTGATATCTAGGAGAAGAGAGATAGCGTCAGTGACTGCTGCTAGGAAAGAGGGTCTATGCGGGAATATAGAAAAAATGATGAGACGAGTTTTGAAGATGGAAAACCACTTCTTTGGGAACTTGTCAGGGGATGGGCAAGACTCAAGAAAGCGGCTATTGTAGAGTGAATGTGATGGTTGGGGGAAAGATCTGTATGTGAGAACCGTGATCAAATAACTATTATTGTCTACGGGCAAGAACCTTTAAGAGTAAGAGACTGATTCCAGCGAGGAAAGAGCTTGTGTACAAGACACAAGGAGCAGGTTTTGTAGGATAACAAGCTGTCTCTCGACGGACGACGAATGTAGACTCGGGTGTATCTGTGAAAGGAGTGTTGAACAGATGAAGGGCGAGGTGAACTTGTAGGCTGTTTTTGCGAATTTTGTCGGATCTTGCAGTCAAGCTTTGGGAAATCAGAAATTGGATCTGTTGGTGAACTTTTGTGATGGGAGAAAGTTGTGTGAAGGGTGAATGGATGTTCAATATTCTGAACAAGAAAAGATATACCAGTGCTTTCATCTGTGGTTTGCAAAAATTCAATCAGTGTTAGTTTATTTACTCGGGCAGGCACTGGTCCTACTTGGAAATCTGTGGTTCTGGAATCGTTGGGTATTGTACTGCCATCTTTTGTTAAGAAAATATTCAATTCTTTGGCAACCCATAATTACAGATGCATAGAGACACAAGGACATGAAGGTTTAGTCATGTTGTAGGAGCTCTTAGAATCTATGCTAAAGCCATACAAATCTATATCTATTAGGGACGTTGAAGATGATACTCAGGTCTGTTAATAGGCATATCTTCTATATTACTTAATACCATTGGTCTTCTATATGGCCGAGAATGAAAACTGAGCCTAGTCAAGGAGTAGTAGTCTATAGCCTTTCAACTCTCATAATCAGTGCAACAAGCTTAAGAGAATAGTGACAAGAATAATCACCTTGGTCTCTGATCATGTCAAAGACCCAATTCCATTACGCCTGTCGATGCTATTCTACTTGAAATCCCACACAGGTAGACCCAAAGAATAATTCAAAGAACAATATTAGGTCAGTGGTTTTATCTTTAATGACTGACGTCGTCAGATTGGACTGGGCCTGGGCGTTATTGTGCAAGTACAGAAAGCGAAGTTTTCTCTTCCTTGATTCGTGGCATTATTATTTTGGAAGTCACGCTTTGAGACGACGCTGCCGGTTGATTTTCTTTGTTTTTCACGTGTTAGTTACGCCCATGCCATGTTGTGCATAGATTGATTAACGACGATGATTCTGTCTGCACAGATTTTGCACTTGCCTTTTGTATGTGTAGATATGTAATTGCTTTTCCCAATACGGTAGATACTTAGGGTGTTTTGCAACACTCTTGGTGAACACAGTTGTTTCATTTCATATCAGCTGGAGCGGAGTTTCAGCATCTCCAAAACAAGATTACTGATGAACCTTATGGCCCTCATTTATTCATTGCTTCTTTTCAAAACAATACTCTTTGCTCCTTCAAGTTCTGGAAGAAACTAGGTAGTACAAATATTAATATTCCTGTCTGGTATGTTTTCTACTGCAACAAAGTGTGACTGCCATCTTCCAACTTGAAGCAACCACACGCCATTCACCATCGATCATCGAAAAGCTACCGCCTTTCAAGGCTCCGGCAGCGGCAGCAGATCCTGTCCAAACACACCCTTTCCATGCAACACGTCCAGCCTGTGAATCTGGGCCGGATACGCCAACATATCCTTGAGCAAGTCAACACGTAAGAAATTACGCCCACCTGGCCCATTATCATGATCGGTGCGATGCTGAGAGGACGAAAAGGCCTCGAAAATGGCAAAGGTGGTCTGCGAGTAGCGGAGACCAAACCAAGGACCGGTGCCCGGCTCCTGGAGGACGCCCCGGTTGATGTCGCGCAGGAACTCGGCCACGAGCTCCTCCTTGCCCGGCTTGGCTTCGAGGTGGATGTAGTAGGCCTTTTTGCCCGGGTTGTCGTCGGTACCGTGGACGACAAAGCCCGGGTGCGACTTGTCGTCGTCGGCCCAGTTTGAGGCGGGCGTGATGGCGCGCAGGCCGGTTTTGGGATAAGTTCGGGAAATTTGGTCGGATGAGCTCATGATGACGGTAGTTAATTGGGACTGAAGAGGAAGAAAAAAGTTCTTATTCAGTACTCGTGAAGCTGCCTTGTGATGCAAATTTGGTTTCTTATGGTGCAAACTTTCTTTACTTGACCAAATGCGAGAAGTGCAGCATATTTATATTGATTCGATCGATATATTCTATCCTCCAAGCTGATAAATGGGATCACAATATCATAATATCACCTGCATTTGTGGCACTTGCCGAAGCTTGTCGAACTGTTCACATTTGACAGGGACTGATTTGTACGCAAGAATCAGAATGATGATGGTGATACAAATGTTAATCCATACAATGGATCACTAAGCAACGCGTATTATCTTGTGCACCTACATGGATGGATTTGCTTGAGTACATAGTAGGTATTATTGTGCATTAGGGGTTTAGATACCCCGCCTGGCTGCTGCGCGGCTAGAAAAATGTAAATGCATAAACTCCGATAGTTTCCATCTGAGTAATGGCGGGCTGTATCTGTGCTGCGCAATGACTAAACTCTGCTACTACCTTTCGGGGGATCATGGACCCGTGGTGAGGTGTCGTACAAAAACCAAGCCATCAGGTTCTAGCATGTTTCTCATTCATGTCATGGTAACATTCATTCTTTTGGAAAGTACCTAGTTGGATCAGGGATCAATATTCTCCCTCACGATGCACTCGCAGCTGGTTGTCCACCTAGAGGGTCTACAGCTGCCTTGCCATCCGCCTGCTCCATGGCCGTCTCTGTCAGTTTTTTGCCATCTAGGTCTCCGGACTCCTTGACAGCGGCAATCGCTCTCTTGCAAACATCCAGAAGATACGGCTCATCCTCCAAACCAACACTGAACCTGATTTGGTTCGGACTCATGCCATAGGACGCATGGTACTCGGGGTTGTCCTTTCCATAGATCATGGCATTATAGGGCATGGCGAGTGTCAGGTGAGCGCCAAGATGGGGTCCATTGTGGAAGGCGAGGTTGTCGTAGAACGCAATCGTTTCCGCTTCCGTCCGGAATTCCACCGAGAAGAGACAGCCGTAGCCGACCTTGGGGAACTCGGGCGAGGGCTTGCGCAGGAATGGCAGCAGGTTCCTTGACCCGGGCGCGTACGGAGGGTAGCAGACCTTGGCCACGGGCGTCCCCGCGTCCTCGGCGAGGCCCTGGAAGTAAGCAGACAAGGTCGCGGCGTTGCGGTTCAAGATGGCCGAGCGTGCCAGATAGTCATCGCTATTCTTGAAGAGCTGCTTGGCGTCGGCTTCAAAGAATTCATTGTGATAGTCCTCTCTAAAGGTGTTCTTCAGTGTATTGTAGCTGGCCAGGTTGGGATTCAACGCGAGGGAGCCGGCGATGAGATCGGCGTAGCCAGAGAAAGATTTGGTGAGCGACGACATGACTACATCGGCTACAGAGAGGACGTCAATGTTGCAAAATGAAGAAAGGGTGTCGTCTACCACGATCCAAAAGCCATATTTGTCCGCCTGTCTCTTGTCAGCTACCCTTGTCTCTTGTAGAGCCTGCTTTGTACACTTTACTCACGAGTTTGCGCAGTCTGATCAAGTCCGTGCTGACCAAGATGGGGTTTGAGGGGAATTCAGTAAAGGCATAACTACATTTCCCGCCTTGCTCGAGGTACTTTTCAAACTCGTCCAGGTCATTCTCATCAGCTTTGCCGTAATGTTTCAATCCTCCTGGACTCTCCTCGAAAAGATGCCAAGTGCTGTCTGTATATCATATCAGAGGATGCATTGTATGAATAATGAGGAACACCACTCACGAAATACTGCTCCGAATACGGCTATAGGATCAGGCCGAGACTTGACAATGGCCTCGTGACACCGCAAAATAGCAGCCATTCCAGATTGGTAGAGGTAAATATCGTCAGACTGGACCTGCTTCGGATACTCCTGCACGGTACTCCGGGAAAGCAGTCCAGATATCCGCTTGCGCAGCAGTTCATGGCTCTCCGACTCTGGGAGGTACGTCGGCGGTGGCGGATTGGCACCGTCCGGGAACTCTCCCAAATACTCGAGACTGTCCATCTTGGACACTAGGTGTTCTCCCAGCCGAGTAGAAAAACCAAGACCGCCGTGCTGCCACATGAAAATAGCCCCCATGACTTTTTGCATCGGAAACTCGACCAGGTAGAGTCGGATGCCGTCAATTTCCACGACGTGGTACTTGAGCTCCTCAGCCTTGACAGCCTTTTCCTTACGAAACTCGGAGACGGCATGGCGCCTATTGGTGTGCCAGACCTGCGGCGAAAGGAAACCGACAAGTCCACGTCCCTGGGGGATATTGATCCGGGCTCCTATCTCTTGGGTGAGCTGTGTGGAAAAGAGGATTGGTTAGCTTGGGAATGTAATCAAAGGATTATTCAGTATTGTTGGCAACAAACTCACCTTTGCTGAAGGTCCAAAAGGCATGAATCGAGGATAGATGCTCTTGAGCCGAGCCACGAGGCTCATGTCACCCTCGCGGAATTTGATGGCCGACTCCCATTTCGGCACATGGAAAGTGATTGTATGGGCACCTTCTGGAGGCAGAGAATGGCCAAAAGGCGTCTGTATCTCGGTGGCCATGTCCGACAAGGTTGGATGAATTGTCAAAATGTATCAAGCTTGCTGGAAAATCAAGCCTTGCCTTCCCAAAGCTCGCGACAATGGGAATGAAGTGCAAACGAACTAGGAACAGATAGATGATTGTTCTCTCTTGTGTAATGGCTTTATAACCCCCCAACAGCCAACTTGTGAATCCCCCCCTGTCGCACAGAGGGGCCGTCGGCAGCAACTTGACAAGTACAGACTACACTTACAGTAGCGCTGATTGTCCAGCGAGACATTTTCCCCACTGGCAAGGTCACCAACTCCTCGTTTGCATGCTGGAATCTCATATCTCGCGCCACGCAAGTGCTGACCGTTGGTTAGTTCCGGGGCGTCAAGCTGAGCCTATTCGACGTCACCCGTCTCGTCTCTCCATTTCTCGTTGGGATCGCGGCGTATGACAACCAACGTACAAGCATAATTCATTGGGATTGTTTTGGGTGACCGTGCCGCTTAATAGCATACAAACTAAGGTAAGGATAATTGATCCTATGCGGGGTTCCTGGTGGCGATGGAGGCGGGCACACACGAATAGCTATCAGTCAGGAGTATCATCATAAGCACATTTTCCCCTCCAAAAGAGTCAGCGCGGCTGTGGCCGACTGATTCATAGCCTAGGTAACTTAATGACAACCCCTTCGCGATTGGAAACCTTGCCAACAAGGTAGTACATAAGTCGCTCATTCAGCTTACATCCGTTCAGGTTTGCGGCCCGGCTCCGACCTGTCTTGATACGGCAACTATTTTACCGTGTATTTTCTCAAAAAAAAAAAAAAAAAAAAAAAAAAGTAATCTTTTCCATCGATTGAACTCATGTTGGAACTCTAGAATGAGCTTCTGACACAGTGAAAAGGAAAATGGTGTATATAGATGGTGCTCTAATTTGTGTGCAGCTTGTTGAATTATACAGTGCCAATCTCATAGCTGATAGACTGCCACATTTCGAGCTCGCGCAGTGACAATGTTCTTGTATCCAGTTTTTCATATGTACAGCTTCCGTCAACATCAGGCATTACCAGAATCGTCGCTCCTTGCCCTCAAACACAAAGTTCAATGCCACTGCGATAAAGAGTGCCACGCAGAGCGTAGTTGGTCCCCATCTGTCGTAGTACTTCACCACTCGTCGCTCCCTTATAGCAGAGCTTCGGTAGAGATATATGCCGACAGAATAGCAAAGGGACATGATGGCTAGAAGAGTGAAAATACCCGAGACAATAAAGGAAGTCTTGGTGGGCTTGACGCCAAAGTTCAGCAAAGTCACAGCAATGGTGCCAATGTAGATGGAAAACTCGAGCTAAAACATCCGGGATTAGTCGTGACCTAAAAGAAAGACAGAACATTTTGCTTACCCAACCAAGGAACGTTCGTTCGGCAGCAAAGTAAACCTTGGGCTCAACTCTGACTGGAACGTAGATCTTCTTTCCCTTGGGTGCCTTGAACTTCTTTGTTTGAAGCTCTTGACCACCAAAGAACATGCGTTGACGATTGCTTGGACCAATGGCAGATCCACGAGGATGTGGTACCAAAGCTTTCATGACACTCAACGCGCCATTGCCAGCCGCCTTTGAATACTTCTGAGCGACTTTCGAATAGTATGTCCAGCCACCAACACGCCTAGCTTCCTCGAGGGCATCTTCTGAATCCGACTCATCGTCAGAGTCATAGAGATCATAGTCTGCATTGGCCAAGACCTCTCCCACCGTCTGGTCCTCGAGATCGGTGAGGTTGCGGGGTTGACCTCCGTTGAAGTTCGTCCGTCCATTGGACTGGTCGCCCTGTCCGTTGCGCGGGTGCTCTTCTTCATCATCCGAGTCCAGGTCATCCTCATCCTCCTCGTCAGATGTCGTACCACTAGCAGGAGACTGACCCGGCCTGCGAATACCAAAGTCCTGCACTGCTGGCTTGCGAATGTCAACGTCCATCTGTGGGAACCAGTAGGGCAGCAAATGAATGCGGTCAGGGAAGAGCGTGGCAGTTCCGTGGATAAATTTGGAGAACTTGGGAACAGCCTCGACGAGGTGACTTCCGATAAGCTGGCGGACCCATTCAGGAGGCTCCTGACCGTGCTGTGTCTGGAGCTTGACCTCTAGAACAGCATAAGGGAAGCGCTCAATATCACTGGGGGGCAGCTGAGAAAATGGGTAGTCAATGCCGATATCCATCCGTCTCCAATTGTCACCGGAGCGCTTAGCACCGTCAAGGTTGTCTTCCCGAACCATGGTTAGTTCTGTGTCAAGTGAGATACGAACACGAGCGTCCGCTGGCAGTTGAAAGGCTGTCCGGTTGTAGAAGGATCTGCAGACTGGCTTATAGCCCTTCTTCAAGACCGACCATTGGACCTCTTGTGCGAGTTTTTCGTCCTCTGCAATCTGTTTCTCTGACTTCTTGCCCTCCTTGCGAGCCTTTTCAAAGATGGCTCGTGGGAGAAGGTCTCCGCGCATATAGGCGTTGACGTTCTTTTCTTTGATAGAGAATCGTGCCTTGACCGAGCTTTCTCCAGTCCAGTCTTCACGATGCGTCTTCCTTTCAACAAAGATTTGGTCAGTCTGCATGCCGCCATACCATCGAAGTCGGATGGCTTCAGCTCCCTCAGTCTTCTTGAGTCGGCCCTCGTACAACTCCCATGTTTCAGGATTATCGTAGTAGATGGACGTGATCGCGGCATCTGCGGCCTCGAATTCCTTCTTTGGGTTGAACACAAGCACTGGAAGATGCTTCAAGATGATGAGCTTGAGCTCGGTGATGTTTTCCTTGTGAACCCAGTACTTGGTCGTCTGACGCACGAAACTTCCCTGGCTTCCTCCGGCTGAACTGTCACCCTTGACAGGGTTACCTCGTGTTCGAACAATATCGTACATTCTTGACAGTTTGACAACGTCCCTATCGTAGTCTTCCTTGAAGAAGGCCTTTTGGCTCATCATGACGCCCCAAATCGGCTTCAGATGCTGGCCGGTGACCTTGTCATGCTTCTTGATGATCTTGAGGAAGCCGGTGTAGTTGACCTGGACGAACTTGGCAAGGTCATGGACATCGGCAATGATATCACTGAGAAACTCTTCCCTGGCAATGAACTCTTCCTCGCTCGGTCCTGCCTCGTTGGGACCGCGCTCAGCCATCCGCTTAACGAGAGCATCGACCTCTTTCTGCTCCCACATAATCCTTCGCTGGATCTCAGAGGTCTTGACCTGGGTCTTTCGATAGACCTTCTCGAGCTGGTCGTCGAGGAGCCTGACGAACTCGACCTCATCGTCATTGTCCCAGTCTGGGGTTGCGTTCGAGGACTCGGCGGCAGAGTGGGCGGTGGCCTTCTTCAGACGCTGCTTGAGAGCGTCATAGTCGATATAGTACCACTGGTACTCGGAGATGATGCTCGAACGGAGCTGCTCGCCGAACTTCATGACAATGGTGCCGGGGCTGGCGCGCCAGTTACGAGGTGTTTTGCCGTTCCTAGTCGAGATCCAGGTCTTGGTCTTGTTGCGCACGTCTTCTACAATCAGCATGTGGTCACCATTGGTAAGATATAATAATCAATCGAGTGCGACAAAGTTGGTGTAATATAACATAAGCACACGCGGGGGAGGGTGAAGAATTCTGGTTGCCGTACTTGTTTGTGTTTTGCAGAGACCAAGCAGTCAAAGCTTCAGAGTTGCAGCGATTGCGACAAGAGTAAGAGAAATACGGCGGCGGCAGGACGGAAGCTGGGAAAATGGCGCCTCGACAGTTTGGGAGTCAAGTAGGTAAGTCTGATGACCAAAACCAGAGTGCACTCTCCGAATTTCGAGCTGAATGACCCGCGCTACTTTGAGGCTGTCGAATGAGAATAACAAACAGAGCAAGTCGACCGGCGCATGGGTGCCAAGTCGCTGCGAGGATAATGCATTTCATCACCCAGGCCCAGGCTGCTTAGGGCGATTTTTGAGTCCCACTAGGTCGCCCCACGAGAGCTGCAAGGTATCCAGAGATACCCGAACAGACAATTGGCCAATGGCGGTTTCGTTACACCCGCACGTGTCGAGATGGCAACGTCAAGAGCCCCACCAAACAATAGACGTCTCTTTTTCTCATTGTCCACTCAACTGCATGAAGTTGCACACAAGAGCGGAAAATATACTTGGTGGAAGAGGACATGGGCTGGGAAAACTTCTGCCATGTTTGCATTCGCCAATTGGACGAGTACATAGAGTTAGAGACTAAGAGAGAGAGAGAGAGAGAGAAAAATCATTACTCATGCTACGTAATTGTCAAGTGCATCAGTTAAAAACGTAAACAGTAAATTGAATGTTATTTGGACGGCACGTGCCCTGCCCTGGCAGCGGCAGCAGCAATGTTCCCTCCACGCAAGCAACGGCGCGGGTGTCCTTGCGGCATCCCGGGTGGGCATGTTACTGCATCTTGTTACGGGACATGGCAAGGTAGTAACGCCGCCAGAGGCCGATATAGCCCCCACTAAAAATTATTATTTTGGCAGAAAGCTACCCCGCTACGGTGTCCCGCGCCGAGATAGGCAGTACGTATATACAAAATTCCATGAAATTTTGTGAAGCATTCACGATCACTTTGCATTGGGTAACTATACAGCGCACTCACAAGGCCGCAACTTTTCACGAATAAGCCAATTCTCATCAGCAGCCTTCACACACGACCTAGAAGGAGATTTTTCGATCAGGAACGAAAGAAAAATGGCCGATACAAAAGACTCGCTCGAGGCGCGAATCCCTTCGACTTGCCCCTCGTCCATTTCGCAGATCCTCACCCACGCCTGGAACCATGATCTAGCCTCGCTCAAGCCCCTCCTCGACGTCCCCGGCCGAGCCAGCGTCCAGGAGCCCACGACGGGCGAGACGCCCCTGCACGCCGCGATCCGCGCTGCGGGCAACTCTTCCTCGCCCGGCAAGGACCATGATCTCGCCGCCGCCAAGGCCGTCCTCGAGGAGCTCTTCTTTAGCGGCGCCATTTGGAACGACGTCGATTCCAACAATGAGACCCCTGGTGATGTCGCCGCCCGTCTGGGCCAGGCCGAGCTGTACCAAATGTGCGTCGAAGCTGGCGTCCGCGCCGAGCTGCTCTTTGGTCTGCTCGAGGGCTACGAGGCGCTCGAGGACGACGACGACGAGGATGAGGACATGGAGGAGGCCGATGTAGAGGAGAACGGTGATGCCATCGCAGAGGATGGTGACGAGGCTCCTGAGCTCGTATCGACCAAAAAGACCTTTGAAACCGACGGAGAGCAAGCACAAGAAGAGCAAGAGGAGACGGAAATCGTAGACTCGAACCCCGACAGAGCCTTTGCGCCACCGAAGCCCGTGACTGCCGACGACCAAGTTACTTCAGACGAATACCTGCGCTCGAACCTGACGTACACCGACGGCAAACTCGTGGACTCATCACTCAATGGCGTGATGATGGCTTGGGAAACCGAAATCATGAAGGCCTCTGTCGAAGCACTACTTCCAGGATCCCCCGCCGGCAAGAAGATCCTCAACATTGGCTTCGGCATGGGCATCATTGACACCATGTTTGCCGAAAAGCGCCCGTCCAAGCATCATATAATTGAAGCCCATACCGAGGTTATGACATATATAAAAGGTCCTGATTGCAAGTTTGGTCAGGCATGGGAGGCTAGTGGACCGTCTGAGGGCGCTTTCAAAGTACACGAAGGACGCTGGCAAGATGTGGTAACAAAACTCATGGAGTCTGGTGAGACATACGATGCGATATACTTTGACACATTTGGCGAGGATTATTCTCAGCTGCGCAACTTCTTCACAGAGTCCGTTCCAGGACTGTTGGAGGAGGACGGGCGATTTGGATTCTTCAACGGCCTTGGCGCTGATAGACAGGTCTGTTATGATGTGTACACCAAGGTAGTTGAGATGCACTTGTCTGATGCAGGCATGGATGTGGAGTGGCAAGAGATGGACGTTGACATGAAGGCTTTGGGAGAGGACGGCAAAGGTGATTGGGAAGGTGTCAAGAGGAGATATTGGACTCTCAACAGTAAGTTTTGTATTTGCGTCTTCCTTTTTTTTTTTCTTCCCTCTTTTACTTGGGTGTATTTGCAGTCTATCTAACCCACGGACAGCGTACCGCCTGCCAGTGTGCACCTTTATGGGCTAGCTCCGTTTCAGTCAATCTCGACTCGAATACAAAGACGGAAGCCATATTTGCACCCGATGCCTTGGATGATACCCTATTTTCAAAACGCTCTACGTAGCCCAGACAACTATCCCAAAGATTCATCATGATCTGCCAATGACTTATTTGAAGTGCTCGGGGTGGAGGATACCAGCAAGGTTTCCAGCGTTGACTCTCTTGAGTGTCAACGCTGCAATCAGAGCAGCACCCACACCACTACCGTCCTCGGCGGCGAGGATCTCGATAGGGTCTTCCTCCCGCAAACTCTTCTTGGCAGGCCAGTCAAGAATCTCCTTGAGTGCCTGAGCACCACGAGCCTTGAAGTGGGGATACTTGTTGAAGACGGAGCCGTCAGCGCCAACGTGGCATGAAGAGAAGTTCTTCTTCTTGCAAATGGCAGCGACACCGCACGCGGAAAGACGAGCAGCACGTGTGCCGATCAGTTCAGCTGTACGACGGATGAGCTCGAGCTCAGGACGGGTGGTTGCAATGCTGAGCTTATCAGAGAACAAATCAGCAGTCTCCTGCAAGTTCTCAAAGGGGTCACTGGATAGACTGTGTTAGCTACATCGCTCCATCAATAAAGTCTGGCAATGTATGACTCACTCCTCGATAGCCGAAAGGAAGGATGCGTCCAGGCTGTAAGGTCTGCGAAGCTTCTTAATATCCTGGCCCTCGAAAATGTGGACATCCTTGTTGTCGTGAAGGTCAACCAGGACCAGTCGGAAGATCTCGCCCAGGTAGAGACCTGCGATCATCTTCTCGAATGCCTGCTGTCCAGGTCTGGGTGACTCCTTGTCAATGATGATATCGTAAGGCGTCCGCGGCAGGACCTTGTGCTCGTTGTCAAAGGCACCCCATTCGCAGTTGATAGCCATGGGGCAGTCTGGAGGCAGGTTCATGTGAGCCAGCTTGGGGATGGCGCCACAAGTCTCCATGTATGCTGCGTTGCAGCCTGTGCCAAAGATACAGCCAATGACCATCTTAGGATCCGTGTAGGCCGAAGCAATGAGTGTACCGGTGGTATCGTTGATCAAGGCAGAGACCTTAATGGGTACCTTGCGCGATTCGAGAGCGGCCTCCAACATGGGGACAACGTTGTTGCCCTCGACGCCGTCAATGTCAAAACCCTTGGTCCACCGCTGCAGGATACCCTCGTCGATGTAGTTCTGGGTTGCCGGGTATGAGAAGGTGAAACCAAGCGGGATCTTCTCGGCGTCTGGTGGCAGCTCTCCGTGGTGAGTGTCAATGAATTGTTGAAGGCAGTCGGCAATATATTCCCACAGCTCTTCCGACTCTCCGGTCTTGAGCTCCTCGGGCATACGGTACTTGGACTGGATGATGTCGAATTCCGACTTGTTATCCGTCAGGGTGATCTCACACACACGCAAGTTCGTACCGCCCATATCCAAGGCCAAATAAGTACCCGTCTCGTAGCCATCAGGGAAAGCCATGACCCACGTCGGGTTCATTGGCTAACAGCAAGAAGTCAGTTATCAGTCATTTTCTGTGGGTTCTCGCCAGGCTTTCACCTACAATGCTACCACCCTCAACGCTCAGACCTACGACAGTTAGCCTCGTTTAGTAGACCCTGCTTGGGTTTCGCGTACCTTTCTCAAGCTCCGAGACAAAGTGGTCGGTGATCTGCTTGAGCTTGGTCGTGTCGACAGTGAACTGCTGCTCCAGCTTTTTAATCTCTTGCAGCAGGTCCTTGGGGACATCTGCCATGGATCCTGTAACAGTGTTGTTAGTGTGACAATGGGCAACACAGACAGCACAAGCAACAACCATGATGATATGTATGCCTCCTGGTCGTGGCACCACCAGCAGGCTCCCATTTCCAAAGACTCAATGAACTATGGCTCAAGTGAAGAGGACGTGCGGATTGAGGTCGGTCTGGCACTTGAGGATGTGTGGATGCAGGGCGTGCGGTTTGGGGCCGCACTGGCGGTTGCTGAAGGGCAAGCATAGTGAACAATGGTGGGAATGGTGAGGTATGAATGTGATCTTCTGTTTACAAAATGTTCCTCATGTATGTTCAATGTTTGCGTAGGGCGTGAATCTTGTGATTATAGGGGTGGGCAAAGGAGGAATTGGATCGAGGACTGGAGATTGTGTGCGAAGTTGAGCAGAGTCGAAATCCAATTCGAAACCGTCCTTCTCTCCGTCCCAAGGAAGGCTCGACCCGTGGTATACATATCTGCTCGCAGGACTTTGCCAGCAACCACGCATGTCTTCCACGTGGTGGAGTTGCGACTTCCATCCTGACGTAAAAGAGCAAGTATCACAGATCTCGCTAGTAGTCTTGATCGCGGTGCTTCTATCAGGTTCGATCCTTGCAATTGAAGAATTGCAATGGTAGAGTAAGGTCTGGGATCCGGAGAGAATCCTCCTGGGACCCATTATACGTATTCAGCCCTGTGCCCCTTGGACATCACGCCAAAGTGATATAAGAGCTCTCAGTTCCAGAAGTCCCGAGAATAGGCTGCTTTCATCCGGCCTGCCGGTGGGCATTCGTGTAACGCGGTGGGACGCATGCAGGCAAAAAAGCAGATATACTTACCCTTGCGGGATGGGGGCTTGCGAGGACCTAGGCCAACCATTTTGAAGAGTCTCGAAAGTTGTAGTTAAAAATAAAATGTCTGTTTGGATATGGGAGAAATCCTCACGGGTCAGCAATTGTGTTGTTTTAAACTGGCTGGCTTGCCTGGATGACGCAAGACTTGTGGTTGATACCCACCTGGGAGGATCGGACCGGTTATATGATCGGACCTTTAAAGCAATTGGCAAGATTTGCAAGTACGTATGCCCAGTCAGACAAGAGAGATCAAGATTGAGATGCAAGCAATGAATCCCGAGGTGAATATGTATGAAGGATCGTTCCTCTTACTCAGCCTATCGGGTTTGGTTGTGGTTTTTTTATTTCTCAAGGTGGGATGAAGTTTTGAGTGTGCTGGGTTTTTGATGAGGGGTACGAGCTCAGGTCTGTCAATCTTCTATTATTACGGAATAAGGTTGGTTCAACGACTTGTGTCAGTCCAAGGCATTCTAGCTCCCGGCGTCCGAGTGGGAACCACACGGACCAGACTCGGCCAGAAGCAGCCCAAGGAACCAATGTTGAGCCCAGCTTTTGCTTTACGGATACCAATTGGTCTTGTCAATCAGCCCAGCAAAGCGCCGGAAAGCTCGCTGATTCCTAAGGGGGGAGCTGGCAAGCTGCTTCAGGCCCTACCTATGGACCCCGGTAGGTGGGTCTTCTCATCAACTCCCATCAGGTTGTTAGTCAGGCGGTGTGGTGAGAGATATATCGGGTGTTTTGTTCTCACGTTTGTCTCAAGGTTTTCTGATGCCATGGCACTTGCTGCCTGGTCAGTTGGACGCGGAGCTACCTGCATATGCTTACTTGTACGCATATGGATGGTACATCGTTGCAGCTTGGATGAGTAAGTGACCACGAACTCAAGATATATATGTAATTCCAGGTGAGGCAATACCCAGATGAGCTCTTGTGCGTCTCAAGTTGTGCTTTTGTTGTGTAGAGGTCAGGGCCTAATCTAGTCTAGTCGAGGCAATTTAGCTATTATATTCAAGCTCATGTCACTGATGTTGCATAAAGGCCGTGGAATTCTCTGGCATTCGATCATCAAAAAAGCTACATTACCGAGCATGCCTTACGACAACGGGATTCTCCAGAACATTGGAAGGTGCATGCACATTGCCCCGCGCCATTGGAACACGGGAGTCGGGCGGGACACATGCTGGGCAGCCCCGACGCACATGTGTAGGTACCTTGTATCTGTGGGGGTCACTTGCCGTTATCGATAACTGTTCACCTTGCTGAAAGACGGTTAGCGCAGGGAGTGAGCTTGCCGGAACAAACTAAATCCCACGTTTCGTCCAGCAAGAAGCAACGTAAGCTCTTTGGGGTCTGGCCAGCTGTGCTGTAATAGTACGCGTAGCTGTCTCTAAAGCCAGTTTGCCAAGACATGTTGATGAACCCATCTCATCACGAATTGTTGAAGCATTGATTTCTGCAATTCACTTTTCCCCCCTCCCCTTCGTTCACACCAATCGCAATTATCTGGGGTCGCTCCATGGTTGAGCGCTCCTTGCGAAGGTTTTCATCATGAAGTCGGTCGCAGCTCTCGCCGTTGGCCTTCTCTCGCTCCTTTCCTCCACAACCGCCATCACCAACGTCGCCGGCCCATCAGTATCCAAGGTCACCCTGCCATCAACCTTCAAGCCATCGCAGGTGTTTAAGAACGCTAATCTCGTTCACGTCATCTCTTTGGAAAAGAACTTTGCCAAGGAGTCGATCAATGTCGTTATTGAGAATGTCTCCGAAGATCCCCAGACCGAGTACTTCCTGCCCTTCACCAGCGACCAGATGGAAAGAATCGGCGGAATTGAGGTGAAGGATCGCAAGGACTCGACCCTCACTGGATTCGGCATCGATGCCGTCGAGTTTGACCCTCTCAGGTAAACCAAACGCTCTGGCGCATTGTAACTGCGTAGCTTACATATTCGCAGCGATACTCAGTTCTACCGAATCCAACTTCCCAAGGCGATCGAACCTAAGGCTCAGCAGACCCTGGGCATCTCATTCTACTTCCTCAAGGCGTACACCCCTCTTCCAGCGGCAATTGAGCAATCTGACAAGCAATACCTCGTCTACCCCTTCTCCGCATATGCTCACTCTGCCTACCCAACATTGAAGCAGAAGACAGAGGTCAAATTCTCCTCGGGCGACATTCCTGACTACACCAAGATTGCAGGCAGTGGTGACATCAAGGAGTTCCCTGAGAAGCAGGGATCGAAGCTCATCTATGGACCATTCCCCGAAGTCCCGGCTGGCGCTGTCTCTCCTGTCCTGGTTCGCTTCGAGTTCACCAAGCCAGTCACTCACGTCTCGTTGCTAGAACGTGACGTTGAGGTCAGCCACTGGGGTGGCAACGTTGCTTTCGAGGAGCGCTACACTCTATTCAACAGGGGTGCCAACCTGTCTACTCTCTTCAACCGCGTCAAATGGGCGCAGTCCCAGTACTTTAACCCTCAATCATACGCTCTCAGGGAGATGAAGTTCAGCCTACCGGGCGGCAGCAAGGATGCATACTTTACGGATGTTATTGGCAACGTTTCGACCTCTCGCTTCCGGTCTAACAGACGTGAGGCGTCGCTTGAGATCAAGCCTCGCTACCCCATTTTTGGTGGCTGGAAATACCCCTTTACGATTGGCTGGAATTTGGATTCCAAGAACTTCCTGAAGAAGAAGTCTGGCGATGGCTACCTGCTCAAGGTTCCATTCCTCGAGGGTCCTAAGCAGGCCGAGGGCGTTGAGTACGAGCAGATTCTTCTGCGAGTACTGCTGCCTGAAGGTGCTGAGTGAGTTTTGTCTGCAACCAGAAGAAAATGGGACATGACTAATATTCAAAAACAGGAACGTCAAGTACTTTACCTCCATCCCCGAATCCTCCATCATCGAGTCGACCGTCGACCGCCAAAACACATACCTCGACACCATCGGCCGCACAGTTCTTACACTCAAGGCCCGCAATATCCCGGATGAGTTCCGGGACCGGGAGCTCTATATCTCGTACGACTACTCGTTCATTGCCAGCCTCCGCAAGCCTTTTGTCATCTTTGGAAGCGTGATTTCTGTCTTTGTTGGAACTTGGCTGCTCTCCAAGGTTGAGGTCAAGTTCTCGACCAAATAAAAGGAGAATGGTTGTAATTGTATGTAAATCAAATGACCTTTGCGAAACAATTCGCAAGTACCCACCAGCATTAGGGTAGCTGAGAGGGGGAAAATAGAGAGACAAATGACATGATGATACTTTGATTCCCATGTTTGTATAGTGCTTGACTGGGTTCACGAGACTCGGCGTTTCTTTCAACAGAGTACATGGCATTGGGTGATACGAGAACAACTGCTTTCTGCCAAACTACATTAAGAAGAGCCCATACGCTAGAGTAGAAATGGACTGACTGGGCAGCCAAAATTTCAAACAGCATCAGAAAAAGATCAATCATACTGAACAGATATCATGCAAGGCTGCAAATATTCAATCATGGTGAGACTCGTGTGATCTCTGCGCCTCAGCACCGCAATGTTTAGCGACGCCCAACGCCCGGCTGTCAGGGTCCAGGGGTCCTTTTTTGGTGCGTGACAGAGCGGGAGCAAGTTGTCGAAAGGCGGAAACTCCACTACTAACAGCAGCCCACACAAACCGATCGCTTGCCTATCGGGCGGATCTGCACGCTGACGTCGCTGCGCCATCATAGGCTCAAAAGACGGGCAATCCCATACTGGGCATATGGTGGGATACAACGACAAAGGTTGCAAGGAACACCTCAAAATTCAACCAAAGTGCATAAACGGTGCGTGGCTCGGCTGCAGCGTTTCATCATTCTTATTCCCTGGACTATAATTGAAAGTCATGATCATAATGATTCCCACGCTTGAAGAACTGAAGTATCTCGTGTTGACGATAAGTCGATTTGACTGACAAGAGTAGACAGACTGCAGAAGAGTCTCTTTTCACGGACACGAGGACTGTGGCAACTCCTTTTTTTGCCCATCGAGTGTCTCTCTCAAGTCTCACCTTGGATACAGTAGCGCTCTCCACATCCAGTGTCATGAGGTGAGCTACAAACTGACTGCGACCTAATGAGGCTCTGTTGGTAGCTTACCTAGGTATGCTTGCCTGGCCTCATCATCGATCCGATTGCAACCAAGGCAATGCGGCCCGCCAAGATGTGGTTGGATTCTAGTGTACAGTGTACTGTAGGGAAACCAGGTTGTGCAACGCTCTAAACGCCTAGGTCTTTGGCAAGGGGGAATCGTTCCAATCCTGGCATTGCATACACTAAAAGATAGGCGAACGTGAGTCCTGAGTAATGTACAGAGTAGTTATTCTACAGTTGGCGAGGGCTTTCTGGGCACACCACATATAGGAGGTGCATACCTAGCCGACCCAGCGACTCCGTGCCGAGCCTTGTTCGAGAAAAACCTGGTGGTGTGTCTGGTCACTTTTGTTCCAACCCTCCTCCTTCTGGGCTGTGTTTGGTGGGAATAACCCGATCCTCTCGGTCTGGAGCGAGGGATACCCCAGGTTGTCATGGTCCAGGCAAAGGAGGGCCAAGGTCAGAAGTCTACAACATGGGCGTATCTAGGTGGATAAATATACGAAGAATGCCCGCCTCCATGCTTCGCTTTGAACTTTCCATTTATAAAATCAATCTGATCTTTAATTTCAAATAAAGATCGATCCGTTGAACTATCTTGCTTGTCAAAAGCCCAGAATAGCTCAAGCCCCCCCAGCAGATCGTCAGGTCCCGATCCAAAGTCTATTACTCCGAACCCCACTATCCCATTACCCTCCCGAGTCACCACCGGTTGCCGATATATAAACTGAAAGGCGCTCGCTGGACATTCCCCAAGCAACACTGAACAAGGGCTTTCGTGGTATATACGAGCCTTTCATAACAATTTGTACCCGAACTTACGTTTCCCATCTCCTTGGTCAACGACACAAAAAAAATCCACCATGTGTTTCGGTTCTCAACCCAAGAGGCAGTACTACTACCGCGAGGAGTATACGCCCGTCCGCCAGGTGCACGGCCATCACCATCATCATCACCACCACCCGCGCGCCAGCTATCCTTCGCCGCGCGTCAGCACGAGCAGCTACAGGCGGAGCGGGCCCGTCGTCTATCAAGAGAGGACAAGCCGAGCGAGATATTACTAAACAGCCAAATCGGGCGCAAATACTCAAGAATCTCCATAAAGATCTGCAAAAGAAAGAAAGCAAGCCCTGACCAGGCCAACCACCTCTGCCGCAACTCACAAGCCACCTACACAAGAAGATTTGAATTTGGGGATAGGATCAGCGGTGTTTTGAGCTCTTTTCTCTTTCTTGATTTCTTTCTTTTCCCTTGCCTCTCCAACGGCAAATTGATCTCGTTTATTTTTATTTTTTTATGTTATAATGGCTTTATGTATGACGACGAAATGATTCACATAAGGTCTTCTTTTGCAGAGGAGGAAAAGGCCACCCATGTTTACGAGCGAGAGGTTACGGAATGTGTTGTATCATGAGATATAGTACAAAGTCCTCGGGTTGGCGATTTGGCATTTTCACACAATCCGGAGCATCTCGAGGTGTCGCTCGAGCTGCGTCATACCCTACCTACTACTGGTAGAGTAGATTGGCGGGGTCTTTTTTTTTTTTTTTTTTTGGGCTGGCGGCGCAGATTAGGGGAAGGCGGGGGAGATCGAATGGGGGAATCAGATCTGAACGACCGCAACGATGATAACGCCAGAGAATCAATAGTTTCAAAAATATGATGTCATTACCATACCCGTCTTTCAGCAATGACGGCCGTCGTAGATTGCGTGTCTAGCACACAGTCTTTGCCGGTTGGCCTTGGAAAAATGCAAACTAATTAGGAGAAGTGGAAGTAATGATGTAGTGAATCGCAATAGTCTTTGTGTTCATTAAATTCGCGAGTTTAAGAGATAAATAAAACAAAGGATTTATAATTCCCAGCATTACATCGTGGAAAAAGACCCCTGTTTGAGTATACTCACATCTATTACGAAGAAGCCTTGGCCTGTCAATCCGACGTATATTAAAGCGTTTGAAGAGGCTAATACTGTAATTCACTTTGCACTATTATTGTAAGTTCAACGGTTTACATTGTCCGCATGCCATGTCTGGCTCGAGAGTTCGCGCTGGTGTGAGCCGCCGTCGCGCTGTCCTGCTACAGATGCAGGTGGTTATATCAAGAAGGGACAAACCAGCTTACCTTGGACAACTAGAAATCAACATTCGAGCGAGCGAGCGCCCAAGAACCTGAAGCTTTGTCAAGATGTAAGTACCGCGATATTCTACAAATTTGCAGTGTTTTCCCACTTCCCAATCATGGCAAATCCCAAGGCTTGTGTCAGAAGCCGATTCAGCTCCCTCCTGCTTGATGCGGATGCGCCGGTTCAATCGTCTTTCGACTTGGACGCGGAGCAACGCTCGATCAGATTCGCAACATCTCCAGGGGCCCATGCCATCGAAACTATCGATGTCCTCAAGCAGTCGCAGCAGTCAACGTCGTCTGAGTCAAATGCCACGGATACCTCTGCAGGATCGCGTCGTTATTTGGGACATGCACCACAAAATACAAAGACCTCTAAAGTATCGTACCCATACTTACCGGCATCGTGGCTATTTAGGAATCGTGCACTTTCTATCCGCTCCAAAGGGTCGAAAAATGATGGCGGATCCAGTCGCCGGCCTTTCTCGTTCGGCTCCCTCAGGGGAAACATGCAGCCTGAGCTGTCGCGCAAGTTGTACAAGGTGATCAAATCATCCAACAACCTCATCACGGCGCACGACGCGGCAGCGAAAGAGCGAAACACCATTGCGAACCAGCTATCCGAATGGGGCGAGCAGACACAAGACGAGGCCGTTTCAGACATCAGCGACAAGGTCGGCGTCATTCTGTCTGAGCTAGGTGTTCAGGAGGACAACTATGCTCAGAACTTGGAGGAGTCGCGCGGCGTACTAAAGGCTATCCGTAACACGGAGAAGAGCGTCCAGCCGAGCCGCGACAACAAAGCCAAGATCGCAGACGAAATCCAGAAGCTCAAGATGAAGGAGCCGCAGAGCACCCGGCTTGTCGTGCTGGAGCAGGAACTCGTTAGGGCTGAGGCAGAGAATCTGGTTGCAGAAGCTCAGCTGTCCAACATAGTATGTCCACTTCCTCTCTTTTTTCCCCTGAGCCTACGCTGGCGAACAGCACTGACTGACAATGCTTTGTGCTTTTAGACTCGACAGAAGATTAAGCAAGCATATGATATCGAATTCGCTGCCGTCATCGAACGCGCCGAGAGACAAATAATTCTCGCCAAGCACGGTCGGCGACTGCTTTCCCTGCTGGATGATACTCCCATGACGCCTGGTGATGCGCAGCGCGAGTATCAGAGCGGCAGTGAAGCGCGACAAATTCTCAACGATGCTGAAGATGACCTCCGTAACTGGGAGCCTCACCCCAACGACGAGCCTTTCCACGACGCCCCTGATGCTGCCGCCGCTGACTATACCACCGAACCTTCGACGGCACCATTGAGCGATTCGACCGTTTCAGCAGGCGAAGCTCAACCAACAACGAAAGCGACCCCGAGCGCTAGTGTCGCTGCTTAGAGAGGAGCTTATCGCCAAGGCGTGCGACTGTGATTTTTGTTGTTAGTAAACATGCTTCCGTGTCGGGCCGCATGTTTTGATATGTATATCAGTGGAAAGAGCAGTCTTTTTGCTTAATGACGTTTTATGCCCAAGAGGCGTTTTTTCGATGGAAATGCGTTTTGGCACGAGCAACAATTAATGGGCTGGATGTAACATAGCTCGGAAATGATTATCACGAATTTTCTTTTAAAAATCCACTTCATGCGATATACTTTTGTGGAAAGATGAAATAAACATCGAAGTTCGATTTGTACGATACCTAATTGCACGTACACTGACTGTACCTGCGTTCATAAGCGGCAGCCGGCAAGATGCTAGCGTCAGCTGCTAGCGCAACTTCGTCATGATTCTCTAAATGATCGTGCGATACTGGACTGATCAACCTTGATCTTTCTACCTGTTCAAGAAACATGGAAGTCGTTCTCTCGCAGGGTCGCAGGCTTCCAAAATCGCCTCAAAGGCTTTGCAGGGCCTGTTATCGCCGGCTGGGGCCTCAATGGCCTGCGCCGCGACGATTATACTCAAGCCAGTCACAGCCGGACATTTACGATGTTGTATGCGTCGGCGGCGGACCAGCGGGACTGAGTCTTCTAACGGCTCTACGTATGCCTTTGACTATGAACTCTTTGCTGCATCGTATCTTCTGACTTTCTCCCTAGGTAGCAACCCCGTCACTGCTGGGCTGCGAGTAGCCCTCATTGAGGCGCAAGATCTCTCGAAAACGCGATCATGGAAGCTCCCTCCCGACCGGTTCTCGAATCGTTGCAGCTCCCTGACTCCGAAGTCCGCTCGCTTCCTCGACCAAATAGGAACTTGGGACCATCTTCAGCGTGATCGCGTGCAACCATACCACGAGATGCAGGTGTGGGACGGCGTAACGGATGCGCGGATAGAGTTTGACTGGAACGATCCAGCCACGCAGGCCGGCACGATTGCGTACATGACCGAGAACCTCAACTTGACCTCTGGTCTCTTGAAAACACTGGACTCTATCGGCGGAGCGGAAGTCTTTGATGGCGCCAAGGTGGAAAACATCACGCTCGGCCAAGATACAGAGGAGCTGGACCTCAGTCAGTGGCCAATCGTCCACTTGTCCGGAGGTAAGCAGCTTGCGGCCAGACTTCTCGTGGGCGCAGATGGCGCAAACAGCCCAGTCAGAACATTTGCACAGATCGAGAGTCGTGGCTGGGATTACCAAAGACACGGTGTCGTGGCTACGCTGGAGCTTCAAGGCGAGGGCTGGGGCGGAGATGCCACCAAGATTGCCTACCAGAGGTTTCTGCCAACCGGCCCCGTCGCTATGCTCCCGCTTCCCGGAAGATACTCGACGCTGGTTTGGTCCACGACACCATCCAACGCTGCCTTGTTAAAAAGCTTGCCCCCGAAAGAGTTCATCGCTTTGGTCAACGCCGCGTTCCGCTTGAGCACTGTAGATTTGGAGTTCATGCACACGATAAACGAGGGGCACGAGGATGAGCTCATGTGGAGGTTACAACATACACCTGTCAATACTCAAGTCATTCCGCAGACTGTCGTTGGCGTTCAGGAAGGCACAGTAGCCTCTTTTCCTCTAAAGATGCGCCATGCCGACACTTACATTGGCGAAAGAGTAGCGCTCGTGGGTGATGCAGCTCACACCATCCATCCCTTGGCAGGTCAAGGTCTGAACCAGGGCCAGGGTGATGTCGAGAGCCTGGTCAACGCGATTGAGTACTCGGTGCTGCATGGCGCGGACCTGGGTACACGCATGTCTCTGGAAGTCTACAACCAGGAGCGCTACGCTGCAAACCATGTGTTGTTGGGTGTATGCGACAAACTGCACAAGCTTTACTCTGTAGAGCATGGCCCATTGGTGCCGCTGAGATCATTGGGTCTCAGTGCAGTCAACTCTATGAAGCCGCTGAAGGACTTTTTCATGGGCCAGGCAGCTGGCAAAGGAATGAAGCTATTCTAGATGTAAGAGAACCATTCAATCTGATTTGGCGGACGGATGTCGCCGCCACTGTAGACTATAAAATGTATTTTTTACAAGGGTAGAAGAGGCCAAGCAAGCCTTGGATGTACATCGCAGAATAATTGTGTAATTACCCAGCAACCAAAATTGACAAAATACCCCAAACCAACTTGTATATAATTCCACGGATTTTGTATTCGTGCTCTTGGCCTTGTAGAAACTCTTTGCATGTGTCACTCACTAGCTAGGGGTGTGTGCGCATTGAATGCGGGGAGTGTTATCGCACTCCAAATTTTTGGGAGATAAGGAACTTTTTATCGCGAACTGCAGACTGACTTGCGAACGCATTCACAGTCCAACCCCACCAAGCACATCACAATCAGTCACAATGGCACGGAAACCAGAGTCAGAGGAGCGCAAGGTAAGAACTTTGTAGGGAACTCGAAGCGTATTATTGCCAGGCTGACCTGTTAATCCAGACGGTCGGTATCAATAAGGAGACGGTCACCAACACTGTCTCGACCGACTTCCCCGATAACTACCCAGACGCAGACGAAAGTTGGGACAAGGACTGGTTTGCCGAGAACCTCAGGATAGAATTCCACCAAAATGATCAGTTTGAGGCACAATTCTCCTTGATTGGAGTAGACGCCTCCATTGCCAATGCTTTCCGGCGTATCCTCATATCCGAAATTCCCACGCTTGCGATCGAGACTGTGTTTGTCAACAACAATACTGGTGTCATCCAGGATGAGGTTCTCGCGCACCGCCTGGGTCTGATCCCGTTTACCGGTGGCAAGGAGGGCATCAGGAACTTCATGACGTGGTGGCACAAGCCGGCAGAGGGAGAGGACACCTACTCGACAACCTACGATCACAACACGATACAACTGAGACTGCAGGTCAAGTGCGAACACAACCCAGACGCCGCACCCGGCGAGACGGACTCGCGAAAGTTGTACCACAATGCGCACATCTACGCCAAGGACATTGTCTTTGAGCCCGTTGGCAAGCAAGAAAAATACTTTTCGGGCGACGACGTGATCCGCCCCACGAACCCCGACATTTTGATCGCCAAGCTGCGGCCCGGCCAGGTGATTGACCTGGAGATGCACATGCACAAGGGCGTTGGCTCCGACCACTCCAAGTTCTCACCCGTGGCCACGGCCAGCTACCGACTCATGCCCGTCATCAAGATCCTCCAGCCCATCCTGGGCGACGACGCCAAGAAGTTCCAAGAGTGCTTCATGCCCGGCACCATCAAGCTGGAAAAGGTGACCAAGAAGACGGCCAAGGAGGACCCGCAGTACGCCGGTCACGAGGGCGAGACCATGGCCGTCGTTGATAACGCCATGTACGACACGGTGAGCAGAGAGGTCTTGCGGCACGAGGAGTTTGAGGGCAAGGTCAAGCTGGGCAGAAAGAGGGATCACTTTATCTACTCCATTGAGAGTACGGGACAGTGGGACAGTGATGAGCTCTTCCTCGAGTCGGTGCGTACGATGAAGAAGAAGGTCCAGAAGCTGCAGACACAAGTCGAGAACATGGTCTACACCTACTCCGGCTAAGGTACATGTGCATGAGTAGCGGTAGCATGTTTTTCATCTTGGTTGGGGGAGACTTTTAGATTTCTCCTCTGACTTTGTCTCTGGGCTGTTGTACGTTTGATATACCATATAGAGGCGTTTGACCGGAAAAAGGTGTCCTGGGCATTTGAGGCTTATTTTCATCATGTTTCCCTTGACACTGTGCCCTTGAGAAGAGTTGTGATGTACTGTTTGTCCTGGCCTTCAATTACCTTCTTCAAGTTCAATTGAAATTCCAACAGGTATGTAGGCAATCTTATTTCATACTATGTACATAATTATGGATTATGTACATCCTCCATAGTGTTCATAGGACCCACTTATGCAGTCGAGATTAGTGTCGTCTCTAGAAGAAGTCGGCGCAAATGCCATGACAGACCGTGGTGGCTATGCCAAGTTCCAACCATTGAAGCATTAAATTAAATTCTTCCAGCGCAACAATGTTGTCAGGGCACACAACTTAGAGTCGATAGATCACTCCGAGCCCTCCCAATCCAGTGCCGTGGAAACATGACCGAAGATGGTCATAATGTGACCCAAGGCTCGCGCAGCAAGCGAAAGCGAGCCCGGGCTCCAAGAGTACGAACCGGATGCAAAACTTGGTTAGTTTGTACGCACGGCGCGAAACTCCAATTTCACTGACATGGCAAGCAAACAGCAAGTGAGTGTGACTTGGCCGAGATTGTACGTGCGAGATCTTGACATGCTACCAAACCAGGATACGCCATCTCAAGTGCGACGAAGCAAAGCCCATCTGCCGCCGTTGCACACAGGACGGAGTCAAATGCGATGGTTATGACCGTTTGGCCCAGGCACCCCCAGCGATTCGGGAGGGCCATCCTGAGTACAACACAATACAGGTCGTTCGACCGATGCAGCCACTGGACATAAATGATCAAGATGTATACCTAGACCACGCTTTTCGGTACACGATCCTAGATTTGAGCGACTCGACCACAAACACAAGGTTTTGGGTTGACTTCCTTCCTCGCTCCTTGTCACATATCGAGGCAATACGCTTTGCCTTGGTAGCACTCGCAGCTGCGCACGTTGACTTCATTACACGAAAAACGGATGGATGCAGCTCATTAGCAGCTACCAAGCACGAGCGGTCTGCCATACTATACTATAACCTGGCTATCCGGCATTTGCAGCCTCTCTTGTCCAAGGCAACGCCAGAAAACACCGAAGCTGGTTTGGCTTGTTGTATCTTGTTCATTTGCCTCGAGAATCTTCGCGGACGATACGCCGAGGCACTTAAGCACTTACAATCTGGAGTGGATTTGCTTGTATCCATGTTGGTCTCCGGCTCGGAGCGTTATTGTTTGACCACCCGCAGAGGCCGTGTGCCAGTGGCTCTGTATAAAGCAATTTCATCCCAACGCCAATACAGGCAAACCCTAGGCCATGTCTTTGTCTTGTTCTGCCGCCTCAGTCTGGAGACGCATATACTTACCGACAATGAAGTGACTTCGCTGACGACCGTCTCACAAGCCAACCCAGACCTGAGCCGAGCCGAGCTGGAGTCGCTTGCGCCCATCACGACATTAGATGCTGCTAGAGATGAACTCCACTCGTTTGAGATTTCTCATGATATTTTCTATCAACAGACTTACAGCAACATCAGAAGCAGGCCGTCATATACTAATGCGACACCCACGCAGCAGCCTGAGTGCTTTTTGACGCGGTTCAGTGAGAATGACAAGACCGCTTATCAACATTTATACAAGCAGTTTTGGCAATGGAGCATTCGTTTCGATCGGTACTTGGTCGAACGCCATGCACATCCAAGGTCGTCACAGGATCTATCTAAAATATCCAAGATACGCCTTCTACAGAAAACGTGGATTGCCATACTAGACGAAGAGCCATGGAGGTTCAGCGGCCAGAGTGCCCCCATACTTGGCGTCTTGGATGAATTTCTGCCCGAAGTTGAGTCAATCATCAAGTTAAGGGGTCCGTCCTCCCGGCGCCTCTTCACTTTTGGCGCCGATGTTATACCCTATATAACACTGGCCGGGTGTCTGACAGAGGACTTGGGATTACTGCGGCGAATTATTGCCGCCCTCAAGCTGCTCGATCGAAGAGAAGGATTCTGGGACAGCAATGAGATTGCCGAGATCTTTGAGGCCTCCATCTTGGCACGCGCAGAGCATGGAGCGAATATTACAGGAAGCAGGGGCATCTTGCAAATGGCCAGTGATCTCTTAGCATTAGATACCCGATATCTCTCGCCGACCAACTCCATCTCTCTATTAGCCAAAAATACCGAGTCATAGGAGATATTTACAGCATCAGCTCTGATATACGATAAATTGACTGATGAATATTGAACATACTCATTCCATTTAACATGATACTGTGATCTTATTTATGAGAAGTTTCGCTTCTCGGATAATTACATATTTAAACAAACGTTAGAATATATAAGGATTCACAAATCATAGACCAAAAGTATGTTGAGTCAACTTGAACCTCATCTTTCTATAAATGGAGGAAACACATGTCGTTATTTCGATGTCTCCAACAACCTTCCATCAGCCGCCTGCCGTGACCAAATCGGCGTCGTTGGAAACTAATAGAGCATGCTCGCAAACACAGTAGACATGAGCAACGACGCCACCAAAGCAGTGGCACTCGAGCGACCTCTAGGCTGTACGACAGCCGCGGCACTTTTTTTAGAGTCTGTACCGTTTGTTGAAGTCCCATCCTCGGGCGTGGCGGTCGACGTGGCCTGGCCGGAACTCAGGATGCTAGCCGAAGCGCTCGCCGGCAGCACGCCAGCCGTGGCCGCACCCGTCGCCGTGGCCGTCTCGTTGCCGCGGCAAAAGACGTCCTCCCACGCCGCGCCTTCGTCGTAGAGGCAGTCGGAGAGGCTCTGGACGTCCTGGCCCGACGCCAGGCAGTATAGACCGCAGCCGTCGTAGTAGCTGACAACGTCGGCCTCTTTGCAGCACGAAAACATGAGGGCCGTGTAGTTGCCGCTGTTGGGCATGGCGCAGACGGCATCGTCGACGGGGGTGTCGTATAGATTCGAGCATGCTCCCGTGGCGGATGCATGTGCAGATGTGCTCGTTACGGTGGACATTGTTTGCGTTGAGATGCTGCAAATGGGGTTTATGTTAGGAAAAAAAAAAAGGTGGTATATTTGGACCGAGTGAAGTAGGCAAAATGGACCATGGAATTCCACTATCATGGGAAAAACATTGAGTCAAGAAAGTCAAAATCATTTATATACGTGATCCTGAGGGTCGTCTAGGGGTATTCAGAATGATGTCTAGGGGCTTCATTTGTTCGAGCGTCTCAGCTCCGTCCTCGTATTTGACATTTGTTAGTCTTGGCATAATGTGCTGTACTGTATAGTTGAAGAAGAATTATATGGATGCTCCTCCTTGTTCTCACTCAAGGTTTTCGGCCGCCAAGCATCGATCTAGAGGCCTTGCGTACCCCTTGGCCCAAACACGGCAAGTACACTTATGGATCTCTTCAATGCTTTCTAGATACATGTACGACTCCGTGCTATGAGACCGATCAAGTCGACACTAGAACAGGATACGAAAGTGCCGGCGAACCCGAGTGACAAATGGAAAAGACAAAGCTTCTTGTGTGGTCTCTGTTCAAATCGAGGTTCTGCATGAACCAGGCTGTGCATTTTCCTCTTTACAATATTCTTACTCACGTCCAATTTAGATGCTCGGCACCTATAGAATTGGTGGATCTTTAGTGACGCTTGATGATTGGCTCTATCGTAGATTTCTTAGAGCAACCTAGACTGGGCCAATTCCGGAGTCCGAACAGATGGGAGATCCCGACGTGTGCTTATGAATTGAAGGCCAGCTTGAGCTCCACCGTAGCCAGATTCCTCCGCTTTGATTGGCGCCGTCGTAAATATCCAAAAGTAGTAACGCAAGAAAGGTCCTTAAGAAGCGGCTTGTCGCCTTATATCCACTTGGCTATGCCGTAGTATATCCTTACTGACCTTGGACGGGCTCTACTTGGCACTTTACAATGACCGACAACCTGTGTTTCAACATTCAACTGTACATCAACGGTGATAACGCGGTCTGTTTTTTATTAACCCTTCACCCTAGTAACACGCGGGTTCTTGGCCGTTGAAACACGAGTTTTCCACAATCGAGCTTGGGTTCCTGCGTTAGATGGCGATACAAGAAACTGGGATGTTGTTGTTAACGCTGGCCTTGAACTGCGTACGTCGCAAGTATGGTCACCTTGGAGTCTTGGGAACATTGTATGCGGCTAATTAATACAGATGAACACGGATCTCCTGTCGTGAGCGTACTTCGGAGGCCCGGCGTCAAGAGCCTTGGCGCGTGAATTGATCAACGAATTCCAGAGATATAGAAAAATAAAAGGTGCATGTTTTGCGTAGTGTCAAGGTACTGGCAGTTGTTCCTACCTTTGGAGTAATGCTCCACATTATTTGTGAATTCTCGCTGCTGTGTCTTAGGGCGGCTCATGGTACCAACACGACCTCTAGTATGCGACACAAGCCACAGAGCAGTGCTGCTTGGCGTTGCCTTAGTTTTTGGATTTGGAGACCTATTTCCATGATGGAATGGGATAGCATGTATACAGGAAAGAACCAAGAAAATTCAAATAGGCTTAAGCAAATAGATATAAAGAAAGAAAGGCAGCGGTATCTCACCTACGAAGGGGAACGGACATGCCGTCAATCTGTCATTCTTCCCAATAATCTTTTGAAATTTCTCTTACTCTGGCGATATGAGTTCGAATATCATCAAACTTGACCCATGGGGCGATCTCACTCTTCGGGTTGGACCAGACGATGCAACACAGGATTTCAACGTTTGCCCCAAGACATTAGCTCGTATATCTCCAGTATTCGAGCGAATGCTATACGGCAATTTTGCAGAAGCAAAAGCAAACGCATCGGCGACTGGCAGCGAATGGATCGTGCGACTGCCGGAGGATGAACCAAATACCATGGGCCGCTTCCTCTCGATAGTCCATGGCGAATATGACGAGGCAATGCGAGACCTTTCTCTTGACCAAATATATAACCTGACTGTCGTGACTCACTACTACGATGCAACCAGAGTCCTCCGACCGTGGGCAGAGGCCTGGATTACCTACATGACCAACTTGGTCGAAGATGTCAACACGCCCATTCTGAAGATTTTGTGGGTTGCGTGGGAGCTCGGCGCCTCAAAGCTTTTCCAGAAGACGTCACGCTACATCTTGTTGGAGTTTGATGCTACAGAGTTTCACGACGCGATTTCCAACAGAAGCACGCAAACGCCTCCTGACATATTAGGTACGTCAATAAGAAGTCCATATTATCACTGGAACCCGTGCGATGAAACATAGTTTTAACGCATTAGAAAGAACATATACTTGGTTTTCGAGAAGATATATTGAGCTCGTTGCTACAACCACTCGGAGAATTACTTGATCACCTATTGGTCGAGGATGAGAAGCCACGATGGTGCCGACACGCGGTTTGGATGGGACCACATAGATGCGAATCGATAATCCTCGGATCCCTCACATGGTGTCTCTGCAAGGCAAAGCTCTGGCCATTACCAGAAGCATGTGATGTCCACGAAAGCATCGCGGTGATTTATACGCACTTGTCGACCCTCACGATCCATGATTTGGGAAAGCTGGGGCAGGATGAGGACCACAGTATCTGCAATCCGTTGAGATGGATCAATTTGCAAATACAAGCAAGCTTGAACGGCATCGACCTTCCACTGACTCAAAGACATGGAGCGTACTTGGAGAAACAAGACCGCGCGCTGCGCACCCATTCTAGTTTTGCCAATGTACTTTAAGTCGCGATATTTGTAACCAGCCTCTATCACAAGCCGGCAGTGGGGACAAACCATAAATATATTCATTTTGCCTAGAGCCCATTTACAGTATATACTATAAGGCATTTGGGGAGTACTTTTTCTGCTCATTGAAGCTCCATTTACCTGAGTAGGCTAGTCTTTCTCCAAGTATAATAAATAATAGCTCGCCTTTCTTTACGTGTCGGCTGCCAAGGCTTAATTACATGGCTCTCGTGGTTTGTCAGGACAAAAGGCTATGCAATTCCCTGGCTCGGGCCCAATATCTTGGCAGTCCCACTCAGTCCATATACACAAACACGAGGTGGGGGCTATATAGTACTACCACCTACTTACTACTGAAAGAGAGGAGGCTCAGACTAGGAGTACGTGCTCAAATAGGTACTATGTATTGCAAGACGGCCGCCTCCTATGGGAAAACCTTTAAAGCCAGACATGAGCAGCCCATTGCAAGAAACCTTTGACGTCTCGAACAGCTGAAAACCTCTTTCCTTTTGTCCATTTCTCTTCTTCTCAACGCCGAGACAGGATTATCCAAAAGAAGTGCTGTTCGATCGCGTCTATCGAATTCGGCAGCTCACCCGTTTCGCTACCAGAACCAACCTTTCATCGTTCCTGTTCTGGCCGATTCTTATTTGAGAGCCTCAACGGATATGAATCCAGAAAGAAGAGAAGATGATCCACCCGAAAGCTACGCCTTGCATCCCTTGCACCAGCATCAAACCAATGTACGCTCAGCCTCGAAATAAACAGACAAAGTTGATCTTGCTAACATTTTTGAATAGGCTGTTTCCGAGCCTGCGACGAGCTGGACCGATACCGACCACATAAACCACGTACATTCCTCGGATGATGCTCATGATGTTCACCAAGACCTGCTCTCCGATCCTCATCCGGGATCGCCTTATGACGAGACCGACCCTTTTGACCTCCAGCGGCAACATTCCCCCATTAGCCTCACGGGCGCCGAGAGCTTCCTTGATGGGCACCAAAATCTTCCCGACAACGACCCGATGCCATACGATCATCACGATGACCCCTTGGACACACGGAAAGTGTCGCCAGCTGACCGAAACCAAGGAGGTCTTGGACGCCGCGGCACGCGGAAGATCAAACTGGTGCAGGGTATCCAGGGATCGGTTTTGAGCGCAAATTATCCCGTGCCCAGTGCAATCAAGAATGCATTGCAGCCCCGGTATCGCGACTTGGAAAGTGGTTCTGAAGAGTTTTCCAAAATACGGTACACTGCAGGTTGGTAACCACTGCTATTTCTTCTCCCATTGGCATGTATTTGGGGTCATGACTTGGGCAAAGTTTTGTCTGTTTCATAACGCATGTCAATTTACTCTTGATTGTGGTCCCTGAAACTGCCGAAACGAGCAATGACTGACACTTTTATCGAGTAGCAACTTGTGACCCCAACGACTTCACCTTGTTGAACGGATATACTCTGCGCCAGCATATATACAACCGGCATACCGAGCTTCTCATTGCAATCACATATTACAACGAAGACAAGGTGCTGTTTGCCAGAACTTTGCATGGCGTAATGCAAAATATACGCGACATTGTGAACCTCAAAAAATCCACGTTTTGGACGCGCGGTTCGGCCGCATGGGAAAAGATTGTAGTATGCCTCGTATTCGACGGCGTCGACAAGGCAGATCCTGGCGTCCTAGACCTCCTCGCAACAGTCGGGGTTTATCAAGACGACGTGCGGAAGCATGACGTGAACGGTAAAGACACGACTGCCCACATCTTTGAGTTCACGACGCAATTGTCGGTCACGCCAGATCAGCAGCTCTGTCGTCCCAACTCGGATCCGGATGATGCTAGCAATTTGCCCCCGGCTCAGCTGCTCTTGTGCCTGAAACAGAAGAATAGCAAAAAGATCAACTCACATCGCTGGCTATTCAATGCTTTTGGACGTATTCTCAACCCCGAAGTCGTCATCTTGATCGATGCCGGCACAAAACCTGGACCTGGTTGTCTATTGTCGTTATGGGAGGCCTTTTTCAACGATAAAAACCTCGGCGGCGCTTGTGGTGAAATCCACGCCATGCTGGGCAAGAAGAATTCCAAGCTGCTAAATCCATTGGTGGCAATACAGAATTTCGAATATAAAATTTCGAATATTCTGGATAAACCTCTCGAGAGCTCATTCGGCTACGTCACTGTTCTCCCTGGCGCGTTCTCGGCTTATCGCTTTCGAGCTATCATGGGACGTCCCCTGGAGCAATATTTCCATGGCGACCATACACTCACCACGGGCAAGAAGAGCATTCATAATATGAATATCTTCAAAAAGAACATGTTTCTGGCAGAGGATCGTATCCTTTGCTTTGAGCTGGTGGTGAAAGAGAAGCAAAACTGGCACTTGTCCTACGTGAAAGCTGCCAAAGGCGAGACCGACGTGCCAGAAGGTCCTGCCGAATTTCTTAGCCAGCGTCGTCGCTGGCTTAATGGGTCGTTTGCTGCCTCTTTATACTCCCTGATTCACTTCAGTCGCATGTATAAATCAGGCCACAGTCTACTCCGAATGGCAATGTTCCATGTCCAGCTGATATATAACATCGCCAATGTTGTATTCAGTTGGTTCTCTCTCTCGTCCTATTGGCTCACCACTACTGTGATCATGGACCTTGTCGGCACACCCGTAGCAGCATCGCATTATCATGGCTGGCCATTCGGCGATACTGCAACCCCGATATTCAACCACGTCATCCAGTATATATACTTCTCATTCATACTGATACAGTTTGTCGTGGCACTCGGAAACCGTCCAAAGGGGTCACAAATGACCTACCTCGTTTCATTCGTCGTATTTGGCTTTATTCAACTCTACATTATCATTCTATCCTTTTATCTCGTCGCTCGAGCCCTAAGCACACCTTTGGGCGACCAGATCGATGTCTCATCGGGCGCGGCATTCTTTCAGAGCATGTTTGGGGGGACTGGGGTAGCCGGAGTAATTCTCCTGGCCCTTCTCACCATTTATGGTCTAAACTATGTCGCGTCGTTTCTTTACCTGGACCCTTGGCACATGTTTCACTCTTTCCCGCAATACATCATCCTAGCCTCGACGTATATCAATATTCTCATGGTGTACGCGTTCAACAACTGGCACGACGTGTCGTGGGGCACAAAGGGGTCCAACGACACGGACAAGATGCCATCGGCCCACGGCATCAAGGACACCGAGTCAGGGGCCGAGGTTGTCGAGGAGGACGAGCTGCAGCAAGTAGACATTGACGAGAAGTTCCAAGACACTGTTCTGCGGGCCCTGGCGCCGGTAGTCACTGAGGAGAAGCGAGAGGAAAAGGAGGTCGACGACACCTACAAGGCATTCAGAACCAGGTTGGTTGTCTCTTGGATGTTGTCCAATATGCTGTTAGTCTGGGTTGTAACCTCGGACGACTTTGCGTTTCTTGGTGTCTCTGTGAGTAGCAAACCCAATTTGACTTTTCTGATGGTGTCCCTTGTTACTAACTCTTTCTTGCAGGAAGCCTCGAAGACCCGAACGCCGGCCTATTTTCGATTTCTTCTGTATGCAACCGCGTTTTTGTCGATTGTAAGATTCCTGGGATTTCTTTGGTTTCTCGGAAGGACGGGCATCATGTGCTGCTATGCGAGGAGATAACAGCATTGATTGGGTTGAAATTGGAATTGGCCGAGTGAGGCGATGGCGTGAGATCCTACTGTATAGATTGATTGCTGTCGATCAATATAACATGTTGTATGGCTGTACTTTTTGAATTATCCCCTTTCCCTTCCCATTTGTAAAGAAATAAACTACCGTTAATACAAGGAAAGTATTCATATTTAGCCGTCAATAGTATTTCATTGAGAGCTTCTGATAATCTTATCGGGTTGTTTCATTTGCCTATTGGAAGCCATGTGGGCGGATTCTTTACATGTCAATCCAGCTGTACGTGCACCGTCCACCCAGCAGCTCGGCCTTCACAACATTTCGAGACTTTCTCCGTCCTTTTTTCCATCTACCATACCTGAATTACGAGCAGGTGTCAAAAATTACGCTTTGGCTACAGCATCATAGTAAACCTGCGCAGCCTTGTTGAATACCTTCTTGACCTCTGCCGGGCTAATCTTTTCTGTCCGGTCAAAGGCATACAGTCCATTGACTTCTTGCTCGATATCGGTTCTGAGTTATATGTCAGTAAATGATCCAGTACCGAGATGAGAAATTCTAGTATTGTTACTCACAATTGAGTCCAAACAAAACCGGATGTGAAACCTCCTTGGACAACCGCCGTACACAAGGCCTCGATCCTCTTGAGCAAGTCGGCCGGGTCGCTCGCCGTGGTATAGCCCCAGTCACGCTCGCCCTTCTCAGAGTCGGATCGTGGAGCGATATTGACACCTCCAAACTCACTGCAGATGATGGGAGCGCCCTCTTGATGCGCCGTTCCACCATCGCCAGTAATGGGCTGTACAAACATGTGTCTTCCTCCATGTAGCTCCTCGTTGAACCTCGTCTCGGCCGTGAGACACCGCTTGGCCAGATCCGGTGCATCATGGTAGTCGTGGTATGTGGACAGATCCGTCTGCACGTGCTCCCAACCACAGTTGTCATTGATGGGTCGCGTAGGGTCGAGCGACTTGGTTAGCCAGTACAACGACTTGATGTGGTTGCGCTGGTCCACATCGTCCCGCAGGTTCGGATACGCCCAGCTCTCATTGACCGGCGTCCAGGTGATAATGCTGGGGTGGTTAATGTCTCGTCGCACCGCCTCAGTCCACTCCTGGTCGAAGCGCTTGATGTATTCGGCGCTGAACTCGTAGGCGTTGGCGATTTCGCCCCAAACCAAGTAGCCCAGCTTGTCTGCCCAGTATAGGAAGATGGGGTCCTCCACCTTTTGGTGCTTGCGGCAACCGTTGAAGCCCATTTTCTTGGCCAGCTCGACATCCAGCTTCAGGCTTTCTCCCGATGGAGGTGTCAGTCCAGTCTCAGGCCAGTAGCCTTGGTCCAAGTTCAAAATCTGGAATAGAGGGTATCCATTAAGTCTTAGGGTACCGTCTCCAGTCTTCCAGTTGATGTTACGCATGCCAGTATAGGTTTCCACCTCATCTAGGATCTTTCCAGCAGAGTCATAAAGTCGGAGCTTCAAGTCGTAGAGCGAGGGATAATCAGGAGACCATAGAGCGAGGCCGTCCTTCCAAGCGCGGGCATTATCGAGAGGAGCAGCACCAGTCACATCTGCCGACACAGCCTTGAGCTTGTCTGCCGAGAGTTTCAGCCCGAGGTTGAGCTTGATGTAGTCCTTGTCTTTGGGCAGTTCTCCTTTGACGCTTCCAACGCTCACGCCGCCGATGCTGCCTTCGAGCTCAATGGTGTACTTGCCAGCAGCTCGGCGGCCCAGCACAGCAATGCTTGCCTTGAGGACACCGCTTTCAATATCGTCGCTCCTCAACACGGTGCCCTCGCTGCCTGCGCCAAGTCTTGTCCTCGGCACGGCTTCGATCCATACATTCTGCCAAATGCCAGAGGTGGGCGTGTAGAAGATGCTTTCTGGCGTCGGGGCCCAATACTGCTTGCCTCGAAGCTGCTCCAGGTCACTAGGGCTATCTCTGACGCGCAGCACCAGCTTGTTGGACTCGCCGCTGCGCAGAGCATCCGTGACGTCTACATCAAACGGCCCATAGCCGCCGAGGTGACCGCCAACATCGTGGCCGTTGACCCAGACGCGGGCGTCATAGTCCACGGCGCCGAAGCGGACCAGGACCCTATGACTGCCGCCAGCGGCTTCGGTCGGGCTCCGTGGGTCTGATAACAAAGTCTCGTACCAGAGCACTTCGTGGGCGGCGTTGTCGCCCCATCCCGATGCGGGACACTGGAAAGCAAAGGGGACATTGATGGGCTTCTTGACATTTTCCGTCGCACCCGTGTTCGCCCAGTACTTCTCCTTGAGCTCCGGAAATGCCTCCAGCCGCTGTGCGTCCTCGGCCGCAGTGGACCCGCCGCTAGCAGCGCCCGTGAGCGTGACCCTCTCCGGAGGCCCGTTAATGTGCCATCCCTCACTGAGACCAATGTCCTGATCGTCAAACAGCAGTGACCAAGACTTGCCGTTCAACGACTTCCAGTTGAGATTGGGACGGGTAAAATCAGGGCGAGGGTACTGAGTCTTGGCTGACATTGTCAAGCAGTGATCGTCTTCTATCTAGAGCGTGCAAGACAGTATAGTGCGCAGGTGGGTAGCAGCTTTGCTTGTGATTTGATGCGTTCAAGAAAGTGCAACCAGTGCAATTGATCTATGGAGGCACGACGAGCAAAAATATGATACGAAGAAGCTGATCTGTCCTTGGAATTGCCACCTGAGCAATGAAGAACACCAAAAGTCGGTCCAATTGACTCGGTATTTCAGTTGATCCCTTTTAAAGGCCCCCGAGGCGAACCACCCCCAACTGTTCAGTGATCGGCCCTGCCGCCTATGCATGAAACGAGCAGTGGAGCGGGATTGGCGTCATAACGACCAATTGCATATACAGCGTCCCGGGAAAAAATGGACTGAGGACCCGACTTTCCTGTTTATAGAGTTCCTCCAAGAAGGCAGTGGAAGGATAGTGCTTGCAAAGCAGCGATAGACCTTGTTTTGGACGCATCTTTGGCAAAGCTCGAGTTCTGTCCTCAGTGCCTGGTGCACGCATTAGCACAACTTGACTTTATCTACAGAGGGTCCTCTTTTCGAGGAGACAAGACGTCCCCACATAACATATAACACCATCAATTTATATGAGGTTGTATCGGATAACACGCAACGGAACAAGTGCCTCTCTAGACAGATAGTCAGTCTTGGGGGTATATTCAAATATTATTCATCTCAAAACATGCGTAAATCTAGCACAAGTGAACCAATTGATCATGTCAAGTTCTACCCTACAACGCCTCAAAAGCACACGAAACCTTGATTCGTCACCATGTACCTTCCCACATGTTCATTATACCATTTGCATGCCTAGATGTACGGCATTTTGTGAGTCCCTTCGCACTGCAATTAAGCAAGACCAGTCACTCTCCTGACGCTTCTCCTGGCACCTTCGCCGCTGACCATGATGAGTCCCTCCATCTCCAGGGCACGCATAACCTCAGCAAAATCGGCAGGCTCAACAGCAACACTAGCGCCTTCGGCAAGGCGTCTGCTAATCTCGCTCCAACGTGCATTCTGTCCACCGCTGGTCATTTCGTCAAGCAGGCTGATCACCGCTGTCTTCAGCTCCTCCTTGCGCTTGCGGTCTGCAGAGCTCACACCCTCGTTTAGCAGGCTCATGTCGATTCGTCCTTGGGAATCTGTTGCTGATGTCTTCAAGGCGGATTGAATCAGTCGGTTGGCTTCTTCCACGTCGCCTCTTGTGACTGTCTGTGAGAGACGCATCTTTGCGTGTGCTTCGGCAAGACGGATCATCGACTCCAGCTGACGGGTCGTAGCTGTGATGCGCTTCTCGGCAGCTCTAACATCTTGTCCCATCTTGCGCATCTTGACGTAGTTGTCGACCAAAGCTTGAGCCGCCTCCTGGGAGATGGTGGGGTGGCAGGCCTCGCGGGCATACGAGATGTACGCTGTCAGGAACTCGACATCCTGCAAATAGTTAGTAGCTGATTCACGAGCGATGGGCAACGGGTACTTACCAGAATCTCCTCAGTGGTGGCAGCGCTTTCAGGCTTGTCCTCAAGATACATGGAGAGCAAATGTCTTGCTAGCTTTTTGTCGGTGTTGTCGTCTTGGCGATCAAGGATTAGATAAACAAGATCGAAACGAGATAGCAGCGTTGGTGGCAGATCAATGTTCTGGGGGACTGGGAGATCTGGGTTGTAGCGAGAGCCAATTGGGTTGGCCGAAGCGAGAATACTGGTTCTGGCATTGAGTGTCGTAATGATACCGGCCTTTGCCACTGAGACTGTTTGCTGTTCCATGACCTCGTGCAGGACTGACCGGGTAGCATCAGACATCTTGTCGAACTCGTCGATACAGCATACACCGCCATCGGATAGAACCAGAGCACCAGATTCGAGGACCAGCTGTCGTGTCTCAGGGTCCCGAGAAACATAAGCCGTGAGACCAGTCGCTGAAGAACCCTTTCCACTTGTATAGACGCCACGTGGAGCGATCTTGTGAACATATTTAAGCAGCTGCGACTTTGATGTCGACGGGTCACCGCAGAGTAGCACGTTTATATCACCGCGATACTTTGGACTGCCGCCCTTTTGGAATGTCTTGTTTGTACCTCCAAACATTTGGAGTAGAATTCCCTTCTTTACGTCTTCCATCTCAAAGATTGAAGGAGCAAGCGACCGTGAAAGGAGTTCGTAGATGTCTCGTCGAGCTGCTGTCTCCTTGATCTTCTCCTCTTCCTCGGGTGTGATTTTTCGTGCCTCTTCAATTTGGTTCTCTTCGTCGTTGACCTCATCGTCCAGTGTGGAAACATCGGCGCCCAACCGCTTGCTATCAACCTTTGCAACGTGAACGACATCTACAAATGTCTTGAAGACACTCTTGACCGTTCTCATACGAGGATTGACTCGGACCGAACTGACACGGTAGATACCAGTAAGTTGAATACGGTCACCAGCTTTACAGAAGTCCACCAGCTCATTGTATACACAGACGGATACTGAATGAGGGGTCTGACCAGCAGGTACAGCATCAGGAGTCTCTTGCAGTTTGATGACTTGCTTGTCCTCAAACTCACAACGGTTGTGGATTATTTGCATGGAGTTCTTGGAATCGCAAAGGGGGCGAGGGCATGCAGTCGGCTCTCTGATCTTGCCACGATCCAGACCAACAAGGAGAGAGTGGTTACAGACATTACATCTGAAATATGCCTGCCGCATATCTGGGATAACGGGCGTGGTTCGGATGACTAGACCCTTGACGCAGATGAGCTTGTCCATATCAGAAGGGTTAAGGTCTCTCAGATTGGTGACCTCATCCAAGCCATATGGACGTGTCATGTATGTCTGGTCCATCACCTTCTCCTCCAGGCTTGGGCCCTGCTGAGCCTTTGGCGTTGAAGTTGGCTCCTCGCTTCTCTCCGAGCTAGGAAAGTGCATATCAGAGCTGGGCGCACCGCTCGGCTGAGAAGCTGGTGCTCCGTTGCTCTGACTTCTTTGCCGCGACATTTCGGCCTGGGCAAGCTCAATCATAACGTCATGAACTGACTGATCCATAAGTGGTACAATTTCCTGAGGGTAATGCTGGATTTGGTGCCACATCTTCCTCGTAGGTGGATAGAGCTTGAAATCTTCAATGTTGACGTATAGAATTCTTGTGCCAAGAACCAACATGTTGTTCAGCGCCTCCATGTAAGGCTTGGACTTTGCATCCGGATCGGCATCTGTCTCGGCCTGCGACGTTCCGTCGGCCCACATTCGGTACTTCTTTTGAAAGTTCTTCAGGAAGTCCTTGAAGGCAGCATATGTGTCGTCGATCGAAACGGTGGTACCCCAGATAGTGGCATTGTCTTGTCCACCCAACATGTTCGCCTCATCGGTGTTGGGGTCGACATTCGAGAAGGTCTGAGCATCTGAGTGTATTTCCCGCACGACTCGACCGGAATCATCCAAGATGACGCGACTACCACTACGCGCACCTCCGCTGAAGATTTCCGAGTTGATATCACCTCTGCGGTTGCGCCGAGCCCTAGGAGTCGCAGAGGAACCGACAAAGAGAGCGCTGCTTTCACTTCGTAGGTCTGATTGGGGGTGCAGAGATCGACCAGGGCTTGAACTGGCTTCGTATCTAATCGGTGAAGAGTCTGAGAGTTTCCTCAATCAGTAACGAGTCCCGGGCGATCGTGTTGGGAGGAACTACTATGACTTACCGCCAATCAGGCCGTTTCCGCTGGCTCTCGGAGTTCGATCGCCATCGTTCTGACTCTCTTCCCGAGTGGTTTGTGAATGTGTCATGTGCCGCAAAGGCGAGCTTGGGGCGGCGCTTCCATTGGCGCGGGTATTTTGGCTCTGGCTTTCAGTATTCTGGCGCAGAGGGGAGGATACATCGCCGTTGCCATTTGCAGGAGACGAAGATTGGTAGAAGAGAGGGCTCGAGGCCAATTGTGAAGAACGAGTGTTGCGAGGGGTGTTGCCATTTGCTGCATTGCCGTTTGCGGGGCTGCTCTGCGCTGCTTGCGAGGATCGGGTGCTCCGTCTGGGAGTCCCAGACTGGGAGCGACGTTGAGATGGAGAAGACATGTCCAAATGTCAAGTACAAAACAAAGCCTCAGATGAGGAAAGAATTGAACTTTTTCTGTTTTGTCTTGGAGTTACTTGACGATAAGTGATGAGGGTGAAGGTGCATGTGGGTGCTGCAAAAGAAAGTGGGCGTCTAGTCAGAAAACACGACGCAGTCGCGTCTCCCCTTTCGACGCGACTCTTCGCGTAAAGTGGAAACTATCCAATCATGACTGGGAATATTTAGCGCGTTATGCAAGATTTATGTATCATCTACTGAGCCCCACCTCTCACATGGGCTTATAAGCTGGAGAACAAGCATTTTGCTTTGGTCTTGTCGATGAGTATGATGGTTCACCGTTTTGATTCAACTGCAAAATACCAGATGAAAGTCGAGGAAACTTTCATTTCCATGCGTTGCCACGTAGGTCACAAAGAACCTTCAACTCAAGGGCATTGACAAAAGCAACACTCCTAAGATCGTCACCATGCACCACAATCCCTTAGCATGGTGCCTGTTTATATAGTATTTCATTTCATTTGATGTCCTTGCTACTTGTACGCTCCTTCAATGAACACTTTTGGCCTGGTTGTGTCCCGGAGTGTCTAGATGCTGGCGCTGAATGGGTCAGTCAAAAACAGACCATGCAAAACTTGATCGAGATGACTGGGAAGTAACGAGCTTGGAACGATTCCTAAAACTTCAGTTATGTCTCATAACTTACCTACCTATGGGGTAAAAAACCTAGAAGTCCAAATACTTAGTGTTGAGCGGAGTTTATAGCATTACTTCATATACTTTGTCCCTCCTTGGACAAATACCCACCGCGACAATGGACATACAAAACGGCAGCACTCTACACACACGGCAGCAATATATCGTTCAAACTCGGGAGACAGAAACCCTCTCACGTATGGGCAGGTAATCTTGTGGATGAAATAGGTCGAAGTATCTATTGATGACCATTAAAGATGTACAAACTATATCAACCATAGAAACCGAAAAAGGTAGGGAAACAGATGCGAGAAAGACTACACGTCTGGGTCATTTATGTCTATTGCACAAGAATCGACATAATTTTCATTATTGTCCATACTTTGGTGCTGTGGAGCAGCGAGCTTCCAGTGGGTTGAATAGGCGCTAGCCCCGATTGGGTGGCCCAGGTACGTACTTTGGATTGCCAGCCAGGGCCGCCAATTGACAGCACACTGCTTTAAGGATAGAGAACACCACCATTCACTTACGAACCGACGCCTGTCCTTGAGCCACGAAGTCATCTTTGCGCACCCACGAACTTGCGCTCGAAATCCAAATTGCCCATCATGGCTCCCGGAATGTCCCTTTTCTCGGTCAATGCGATCCTGATCCTCTCGGCCGACGATGGCTCGCGCATCTTTGCCAACTACTACTCGGCACCCCACCAAACTCCAGGCGGTATGTCGTCTGTCGCTTCCTGCGGCGGGCTCAAAGGCTGACTATAGTCTCTTGCAGCGTCGGAGAAGAGCCCATACGCAGATGTCAAGTCACAGAAGACCTTTGAGAAGGGTTTATTAGAAAAGACCGCAAAGCAGACCGGCGACAGTGCGTTTGTCCCCATACGAGAGAGACCTATTCCCCCAGGCCGACGTTCGGCGCACGCTGCTAACTCTCGGCCACAGTTATCTTGTATGACAACAGAATAGTGCTGTACAAGATGGAGTCGGACGTCATGATGTACGTTGTCGGATCGGTCAACGAGAACGAAGTTCTGCTTTACAATGTCATCCTTGCCCTTCGGGATTCCCTGGTGCGTACAGCCAGCCCCCTTACGCGCCAGTATTGCAACAGGAGAACAAGGAACTAACCTCCGACCAGCACCTGCTTTTCAAGCAGTCTGTTGACAAGCGGACCATAATCGAGAACTACGACTTGGTGTCTTTGGCAATTGACGAGATTGTCGACTCGTAAGCTGCACCTTTGTACGTTCGCATGTTGTAGAACAACTTACTGACAAGCGACAATAGTGGAATCATCCTCGAGACAGACCCAGTTGTGATCAGCCAGAGAGTATCGAAAGCACCGACGCAAGATGTCAACCTCAGCCGAATCGACTTGAGCGAACAGGGCGTCAACAACCTGGCACAACTAGGAAAGGCCAAGCTGACAGACTGGCTGCGCCAGGGCTTGTAAGCCAAGTCTGGTGTTGTTAATCACGAGATAGGGGGTGGAACATTAGAGCTGCGGCACGGCGTTGGCAAAAATTTTCGTTTGTTTTGGTTCTCTTTTCCTTGGGGAATACCATGATGAAGGCACCAGGTAGCCATCTAAGTCTATGCTAGTCTTTCAACGACATCTATGACCTGATTTCCGCTGCAGCCTTCCGTAGTCTGTTCATGACTGCTGCTGCGATATCATTCTTATCCGGGATACCCTCGACAAATATCAGGTCGGGCTTTCTTCTGTCCAGCTCTCTCAGAGCTTGAAATAGCCCTTGAGCAACACTCTTGGCGTCCTGACCTATGCTCAGATCGAACAATTTTCCAACCACAGCACCCTCCTTATTCAACAGCTCGCTTTCTTGCACGTCAAGTTCGACCACTCCGTCCTGTGACTTGCCTTTTGCCTGCAAACTGCCACAACGCAGTCCAGCACCCGATGTCCATTTCTCCGTCCTTATTACCCCTATATTGGTCGATGCTTGCCCAGCTTGGTGTGCAGATGTCGCCAATGCCTCGATCTTTGCCAAATCCTCCTGGGAAATTCCTTTGGCTCCGTCTGCCACAAATGCCTCGTATAATATTACCCTGGCTTTAGGACTATAGTGCTTGTACTTCATGCCGGGAGCCCTTGGCGCTTCGCCCTTGCCGTTCGTTTCGGCGTGGTCTTTGTATGCTATTTGCACATCCTCCCAACCTTGACAACTTCGAATCTCGTCCAATGTCACTCCACCCGGTCGTAGTACTACTGGCGGGGAGCACAGCCCATCCACGACCGTGGACTCAACTCCGACTTGGCAAGAACCGCCATCTAGTATCAGTTCAATGCGGCCATCCATATCCTCCAAGACGTCCGAAGCTGTTGTGGCTGAGGGGCGCGTCGAAGCATTTGCAGACGGGGCGGCCAGCGGGCGGTTTGCTAGCTTGATAAGAGACAAGGCCAGAGGTGAAGAAGGCATACGAGCGCCAAAAGTCTTGAGACCTGCCGTGACTTCGGGCGCGAGTTTAGACGGCTCCGAGTTTGGCAACAAAATCGTAAGAGGGCCAGGCCAGAACCTCGAAATGAGCGGCTTGTATATTTCGGGGATCACATCTGTTTGCTGGGTATTCGCTGAGCCGTTCATTTCTGGTGCGAGCAACCGCCGCAGCATATCAAGGTCCGAGACGTGCACAATTAGAGGATTATCCTGAGGCCGTCGCTTGGCTGAGTAAATTCCCTTTACGGAGGCGCTCCTGGTGGCATCTGCGCCCAGTCCGTACACTGTTTCTGTTGGGAAGCCAACGGGTGTGTCTTTGCTTCTCAAGTATTCCGCTGCTTCTTTCAGGACTTTGAGGCTGCCATTGTCTTCCGAGGCAAGCTCCCAGCTGCCCACATGCTCGCCGTCTGCGAATTTTCCCAAATTTTCCCCACTGACTTTGAGTACTCGGGTTGTCACAGCTGGTAGATCTTGTGACATTGTGCTGTATAGTTTATACTGGAGCAGAGCTCTGACAGTATGTAGAGAGGAGAGGTTGCGCCTGAGAGCCAATTTGATAGATGACTCACTATGTGAGTCGAATTTTCACGTTATTCTCTGCTTGTTTGTCCGAAACTGAAAATATCTTTCTTATGCTGAAAGACTTGCGATCTTTGGTGATTTGATCAAATATCTTTCTTTCATGGAATTACATGAAAAAGCTGCTGGGCAACGATAGCATTTGACTCATCTGTGAAGAAAACTTTCCTAGGATGGATGCGATAATAGGTGACTCGGAATAATCACACGCCCAAACAAGCGTTAGTCTTACACCCTCGCGGGAGGTCAAGCTTCAGAGGCGTGTTTCGAAGCAAGGTACAGTGCAGTAGGGGCTCGAGGGGGGTCCCTTCCGTCGTTTCCAGGGATCAGCCCACTAAACACTACCGCTACGGTAGCACTATGTACGTAGTATTATTACCTACTATTGCGCATGCGTGTTGGCGGGGGACACCTCATCACAATCGAGACACCCGAGATTCCCAAAGGCCAGAAGCTGTGAAAGGGCAACAGCCGGCGCCTGCGACTGTCATAAGATCCCAACCCCGTTTCGACATGCGCCGACTCAGTTCACGGCCCCAATGTCCGCCACCAACCTCCCCAATGGCGACTCTGCAGCCCACAGGTCCGATGGCCTCGCCAAGGTGAACAGCAATAGCAACAGCGGTAGTGGCCCGTCGGTCCACGATGCCAGCTCACTCGAAGATGTGCGCGCCTCTCTGGCCGCACTGCATACCCGCGAAGCCGCCATCACTTCTCGATTGAAGAACTTGCTATCTTTCCAAGCGGATCTTTCCCGCGAGCTCAGTAGACTCGACATACTGCGAGCCAATCTCGGATCCCAAGTGATAGCTACCCGCTCGATATCAAATGGCATGCTGTCGAGCGCCGCCGATACCGCAGGAAGACTCTCGAATAGAGTCAAGGAGCTCGATCTAGAGAAGGACCGAGTACAGCAGACGTTGCAAGTCGTCGAACAGGTTGCAGAACTCAAGGCATGCGTCCATGGTGTTGTGGGCTCCATGGGAGCACCTCAGGACTGGGAGGCTGCGGCAGGCTACATTGCACGAGCATCCAAGGTGCCAGAGGCTATCATCCGTGGCGGCTTTGCTGCCAGCATCGTACCCAGTGTCGAGGTTCCTGATGCGCCGTGGGTAACGCTCGAGAATGCCAAGGAGAGTCTTTGTGGATTGTTCTTGAGAGAATTCGAAAAGGCGGCCAAGGAGGGGGATGGGACCAAGGTCACCCGCTTCTTCAAACTATTTCCATTGATTGGAAGAGGCGATACGGGATTGGACGTCTATGGGCGATATGTCTGCCAAGGAGTTGCTGGCACGGCCCGGCAGACGCTCAAAGAGGTTCCCGGAGGTCAGGGCCGGAAAGACGGATTTTTCTACGCCAATGCACTCACCAAATTATTCGAACATATTGCACAGATCGTCGAGGGTCATGGCGGCTTGGTCGAAAGACATTACGGTGCAGGACAAATGGTGAAAGTGATTGAAAGATTACAGATGGAGGCAGATGTGCAGGGTGGCATTATACTCGATTCCTGGAGCGATGAGAGGGGCGTGGACAGGAGACTCACTGATGTCAAGAGTTACCCGTTCTCCTTTTTGGTTCAGACTTTCGTGCCGTCGTCTAAAGGCCTGGCTGGCACACCCAGGATGAACTCACCAGCATTGGGTGGTGGAAATAACAGAACAAGCGAGGACGAAGGCGTCGACATGAAAGAGGTCGACGAGCTGCTCCGGGAAATTGCTGTCATGCTGGGCAGATGGGCATTATACTCAAGATTCCTTGCAGGAAAATGCCGAGTAAGTTGATTTGGCTGGTGGAGACCCGAATATCAGAAAACTAACATGTTACAGAATCCCGCCATGGCTGAAGATACCGAACTATCACTTCCCGATCTTTTGACCAACTCAAACTTGGGCAAGAAGGTCTCCGCCAAGCTGAGCACACCATATTCAGTCATGTCGACCTTCTTTTTCAGGAGATCGGTCGAAAAGGCATTCCAGCTCGACGAATCGCCATCAGGTCTTTCGCTCAGTCAAAGCAAGCCCATTGATGGCAACCCACCCTACATTATATCAGCCGTCGACGATGTCATGTACATAGTGAGTGCTGTCATCGAAAGATGTATTGCCACCTCACAGCGGGATGTCGTTACTTCAGTCATCCCGACAGTGAGCAGAGTGCTCAGCGCCGATTTCATTGGCGTTATTCAGAGAAGGATGCAACACGATTGCTACCCCCAAGCAGCCATACAAGGAGCCCCGCCCCCAGAGGACAAGATCGTTGCATTCATAGTGCTCATCAACAGTCTCGATGTAGCGATCGAGTATCTTGATCGAATTATCACATCGCGTCTTGGCATATCGACGGACTCTGGAAGCACAGCTGGCTCTAATCCATTGGCTGCCTCTTTCCCATTTGAACACGATGCCGATGCAATCGTCTCTTCGTTGAAGGGGCTCAACTCGAGTATCTCACTCAAAGCATCCGAACTCCTCAATGAAGGAGTGGCACACCTTTTCTCAAACGTCATGGACAAGCGTCTAAAGTTGGTCACCCAGGAGACCTTCCGTGACGCAGATTATAGTCTCACAGAAGACGAGCTGGCCGAGATAGCGCGACAAAATGACGAAGACGAGGAGGACATGCTTGACCATGTGCAACGGCAATTTGAGCGCCGATGGCTGGCACTTGTCAAGCCTATTGAACGCATCATGGCACCGAGACCATTCGCCACGCTTATGAACAGGATGGCAAAGGAGCTTGCTACCATTTTGGAAAGGAGAGTATGGCGATATGCCGGAAAGGCAAACGCCTATGGTGCCATTAGAATGGAGAGAGACTTCACAGGTATTATCAGCATTGTAGCCAAGGGTAATTACAGCGTGCGGGACCTGTTCAACAGGGTCAGCCAGATTTTGATGGTTGTTAATATAGAAGATGATGAGTGGGAAGAGTTGATGGCGGAAGGCGATGACGGCATCGAATGGGTGCTGAGCGAGGACGAGAGAAGAAAGGCCAGGAATCTCGTCAAGGGCTGAGCCGCAAATTTTATCTCTATAGAAGATAAAAACGTGGTCAAAAACAAGTAACAAATGCCTAGGAATGCATTGTGTTGTCTTTACGAAGTGATTGCTTGCTTGGGTTTTAGGCTGGGGCACACAGTGCTCTTTTTTAATGTACGATAGATACCACAAGATGATTGTCAAGCAATAAGTAATCTTGCATACTGCAGATGATGCAAACCACATGATCTTGAAGATCTAGAGCAATAGTCCTGTATCCTGAACATGGATGGGTGATACATAATAGTATAATCCAATCGAGGTCCCATTTTTGTACTAGCTTGTCTTTATGCAGCTTCTAGCCGCAACGTTGTACTTACCTACGGGCCAGCAGGAATCTTTTCTGATTCTTGAAAACACACACGCGACAAGACGACCACGCCAATCGCAACCTCTATCAATATTCCGACTCTATAGAGGTTCTTAAACCATGGCGTCAAACCAGTATGCCTTGCTCGACGATGCAGAGGAGAACGAGCTCCATCACCAACGCCTTCTTCCTCTCGAGACGCGCCCGTTCCTGCGCCTGACCAAACGCCTGCTCGCCCCCGGCTCCCTCACAAATCCAAACATCTTCAAGCTGCCGACACCTCCACCCGACAATGCCGCAGAAGAAAAGGCCGAAGATGCGGCACCGCCGAAACCCGAAAAGCTGGCGGCCGATCTCCGGGAGCTGCGAGAGGACGTCCTGTTTGACTTCCAGGCCTTTGACGTGGTGATTGACCGGTTGCAATTCCTAGCGACGCAGAACGCGGCGGAGCGGGAGCGCTACGCCCACGACCGGGGCCGGATCCTCGACACGATGGAGTCGGTGCGGCAGTCCAACGCGGCGCTGCGGGCGCAGCTCGACGAGGCGCGGGCGACGCTGGCGCAGCGCAAGAAGTTCGACGAGCTCGCCGACAAGATCACGGGGAACCGCATGCTGCGGCCCCGCGAGGAGCAGCGCGCCAACATCGACAAGCTGACCGAGGAGTGCGAGGAGCTCCAGCGCGAGAGCGAGACGTATGGTGGAACTTGGCGCGAGCGCAAGGAGCAGTTTGACAAGCTGGTCGACGAGGGCGTCAACCTGCGCAAGATGATCCGCGACGAGCAGGAAGAGGTCGAGAGAAGGGAGGGCATGGATGAGGATGCCGGCGAGGACGATGGTGCGGCTGCCGATACGCCTGCCAAGGGAAGCCAGAGCGGTAATGCCACTCCGGCACCACGCAGCGAGGGAGGTGCCACGCCATTGCGTCCTGGCAGCAGTAGTGGTCGAACACCGGCACCCGAGGACGGTTCAAATGCTGCCGGTGACAGCCTGAAGCCCAAGCCAGAGCCGTCGGGCACTTTCTCCATGGGAGCAAGCCAGGCACCGACACCGAGGGCCGACAGTGTGGCAGGCACACCAGCTGCGGACAGCCAGGCTGCCAAGGACGAGCCGGAAGATGGTGAGGATATCGAGATGGGCGATTCGGCACAGGCTGGTGATACACCGATGGCAGAGGGCAACACCGAGGACACTCGCGATGCGCCAACACCACGGATCACTGTGGATGCTCCGGCTGGCAATGACGACAAGATGGACACTACATGAGGGCCACAGAGGTCTGGCTGATAATGAGAAAAAGGAGTTATGGCTTGCAACATTATACCCAAATCAGCGGTTAGACATTCAATGAAAGACTAGCAATCTTGATAAGACATCTTTCTCTCTTGCGATTTTGTTCTTATGGAATCTAGCCCTATTGTGAAGGTTTATTTCTCGTGACCGATGCTCAAGGTGGTATCATTTTCGGGTGTCGTCTCTTTCGTTATCATACACGTCTGTTTCCTCTCTTTTCCACTGCTCCAAGCGACCGTCTTCCAATGTAAGTCCACCTCAAGCCTCCTCCTTGGGCGCACTGGCGAGCACCTCCTTTGCCTTGGTCAACTCGTCCTGGTTTGCATCTTGGGCGCCCTCGGCCGTGGCGATTTGCTCCTCGAGCCGCTGGGTGGCCTCGAATATGCGTTGCTTCAGGGGTCCAAAGACGGCCTTTGTCTCCTCCATTGCTTTTTGCTGTGCGGTGAAAAGTCCCATGAATTAGTCATCTGTATCTAGCAGCAAGAGATTTCGAGGTAGCTGGACTGTGTCATGCCCAGAAAAGTGAAGGCCTTCCCGTAACTCAAGGTGTCCCAGGCAGGAGAGATTTAAGCTCACCTCTTGCTTCAGCATAAATTCGGCATTGCTGTCCGTGTCGCTGCCATTCTTGATGTCGGCGTCGAGCTTCTCAATGCGAGCATTCTGCGAGGAGAGCTCCTTTTGGTAGTACTTTTCTTCCGTAACCAGGCGCGAGACAGCCTGGGTCGCGATCTTGAGTGGTGATGGGGCCGGCATTTTCGTGTGCGGGTTTTAGGTATCAGTTTATGAGCGTTGTTTCTCGAGTGGTAGCAAAGACCTTGGGCAGCGATTGGGTGGTTCAGAGGTTTGAATTTGCGACTCGTGGTTGACTTCGAGAATACCTAACAATGGACAAAATGCTGGTGCCTGGGCCGAGAGGTTCCACTGCCTGTTTGTCAACAGCAGCTTTCCCTTGGAGGGGTTGGCGGGGTAAGCAAGGGGTTATCGATATCACTGCCAGGTTACCGCGTATAGTAGCAGCATTATACTGGACTACCACAAGAAGCCTAACCCATGATTATTCTCATTTCCATATTGACTCAAAACCAGGCACAATCAAATAGACTGTTGGACAATACAAGCCAGAAAGTCAAGGTCTAATTCCTCGCTTGTTTGCACTAAAATTGCGAATGCAAGGTCGGATTTTCATGTCTAATTAGTAATGACATTTATAGTTCAAGAATATCAGATTTCAATGTATTCTAGAGTCTGCAATTTGATAAGCGAGAAACTCGGGTGATTTCACTTGTAACGACCCTGGTAAAGATGTTATTCTCAACATGGATGTACATCTCTCAAGTCGCCTTCTTTTCCACCTGGCTTGCTTTTCCGTGCCCTTCCACATGACTCTATTTCTAAGGCCAGCGCGGAGTTGAATGGTCAACCCAACTGCGTCTCCGGAACGTGTCTTCAACTATGACCAATAGGGTCGGTGGTGGCAATTTATGCTTGACACTAGAGTGAGAGAGAGTGATGAATGGAACTGATATCTTATCTTTCCCACTTTTGAGCTTGATTTATCTTCTGGATTTTTTGCCCTCGGGTGAATGGTATTTTCACAAGGCCTGACCAGCACGAACGCACAAAATCGCAATAACTCGCAAAGGCTTTGGTTCTTTATGGTGAATCATCTTCTGTTCCCAGGATGAGATGAATTGCTAAAGGGTTTAGAAAATCGTCTATAACCATCAATCAATCATATGTTATTAAGGAAGAGATTATGTGTGAAACGCTGCCTTAATTTCACATTGATTATTAACTCTACAACAGCATTTTCATACAGTTACAGGCATGCCCTATTGCCACAGCCAAGACCAGCTGAGAACGTAAAAAATCCCATCATGGCAAGTTTGTGTTTGGCGAGTGGAAGCTATAGACCATTGCATATCATAACATACAGTGCGACCCTATAAGGGGCCTCGATCGGTCATGACCAATGGCCAAAACACCACCTCTGACTTTAGTAACATACAGGAAGCCATACATTGGCTCGTTCTTCATGATGTAACCGACTTTTCATGGAATCAAGGATTTCGACCTTGGCCTCGCCCTGTCCAGCCACCAGAACCATTTGGAGTCGAACATGACTGGCTGTTAGCAGGGTGTGTGTTGGCAGCTGAAGCTGAAGGTGGTGGATTAGTGCCAAAACTACCAGCACCGAAAAAGGTAATCTGTTGACCAGTAGGGCCAAAACCACTGCCAAAACGACGGTTTTGTGCGTAATCGGCTAGACGCAGCTCCTCGGCGGACCACTTCTTGTAGGGCTCCTGGAAGAGAATGCTCTGATACGAATTCTGGGCAAGACCAGCGATAGACTCTTTTTCCAGTGTGGGCGAGAACGCGGTGGTTGCGGTTCCAGGAGCATCACCAACCGGGGCTCCCAGGGCTGTGTTTGCAGGTGCGTTGAATGCATTGCCCGAGCCAAACGATGTAGTCGTGCCGCCGCCGCCGAAAAGACCACCGCCTGTAGTTCCCGTCGTGGACGCGCCGAAGGCAGGCTTATTTTGGGTACTAGAAGTACGATCACCAAATAAGGTAGTCGTCAAACTGGAAACAGCATCAATGGAGGTGGTTAAGGATGATTGCTTATTGCCAGGAAACAAGCTCGCCGTTGAAGTTGTCGGATTGACAGCAGGACTACTCTTGACTGAAGGTGATTGAAGAGGATCCCGACCCGCTAATTTGGACGACACTGTTTCGCTTTTCGATTTCAACGATCCCATCGATTTTCTAGAGGCTTTGGTGTTACGTCCTGTGTCTGCGATGATGGATATGGCTTATCAGCACTCCTGGTATGTCGCTCTAACAGCCGACGGTGACTTACCTTTCTCCCAAAGACTTTGACGCTGGAGCTGACGCTGATGGTGCTGATGAAGCTTGACCAAACGCCTTATCTCGCTGAGGCACTCTTCAAGTGCATTCTTCTTCGCTGAAAACGCTGCCCGATCTTCCGTGATCTCTACGCTCTCTCCTGCAATGCACTCAATCTGAGAATCATTTAGAGTGCTGACCCGGCCAGGGCTGAACAAGTCGGGAAGCCTGGAAACCAGACAGGCTTCGATAACAAGGTCACCAAAATCATCTATGACCCTTTTCAACGCGACCTAAACAATATCAGTTCCCGGGGTCAAACTTATGGAAACCTCGAACGGGAGAGGGAGGGGGACACACCTTGTAATATGCCAACATGATATCAGTAGCTCTAGAACTTGCAAATATTTCCATATCGGCTTCAGTGTCTCGTTCAACAAGGATGTTGATTAGCGAATCAACTGTCAATCCCTGCTGCAGGATCCCGTTGGCATCGCTATAACGCTGTAGACGCGCTCTCATCTTCTCACGAACCCGCTGATTTTGTGCCCTCTGCACATTCTCGATGAGGTAGTGGTTATAGGTGATTGGATGTCCTGAGGTGTGTGAGGCAAGAATTTCTGACATTTTCTTATTCAGAGTATCTTTCAGTTGATCCAACTCTGGAGCTATGAGTTCCTGCCACAACTTGGATCTGGTATCGAAATCGACAACATGACTCAGGACTGCGTCAATAGTGCAGCTGGCGGCGTCGAGGATTTTCTCCGAATAGCGGCTGAGAATACCTTGCCAAGGTTTGGACTGCTGTTGGAAGAGAGCTCCGATGATGGCTGGGTTGAAGGTACCAGGAAGCTCGCAACCCCTCGAGGCTCTCATAAGACTCTGTACCTGCTTGAGGTAATCAGCTCTCAGGATCTCTCGAGAACCTCCTTCACGATGTCTATCAACAACTTGCTTTGCATGGCCATCTACGCGCATGGCTTCTGCAAATTCAGCGAGGGTACTCTGAAGCACTGCCCGAAACCTTTTCATGCCGCCTTCGGGCTCAAAAGCACTACCAAAGAATTCGTTGTTGTAGGTACCAGTGATCGAGTCTTTGATTATCGTGGCGAAGTGGTAGCTGGATTGTAGGAGGTAATTACGCTGCTCTGAGATGGTATTTCTTGAGGTGCCCAGTTTTTCCAGGTCAAAAGAGCATTCTTTGAGCTCGGTCTCGACACTATGGAGTAATGCTGGCAGCTCTTCCAGAATGTGACTGGTCAAGACCTCACTTAGCCGAGACCGCAAAGCAGTGACGCCTTTATTCTTTCTCGCCACGGCGGCCCATACACCCTGGGAGAAGAATAAATCCTCAGCCTGGTCTCGTTCTCCATTCGTAGAATCACGAGACTTGTAGTCTCGATTGCGCAAAACGTGCCAACCGAGACGAAAATGCACGTCACGGTTCTGGGCGAGTTCGTGATAGGCTCGCTCACTATCAGAACCAACGTCGAGTGTGTCTGGTTTTGTGATAAGTCCAATAGTTCTGACTCCGTGAACATTAATCTTCCGTGCCAGTTGTGTGACTTCTTGGAGGGCAAAGTCGCTCTTGGCCGAAACCACTGCGAGGATGATGCTAAGAGAGTTGGTCATGTAGGACTGAACGATTCTGTTGACAATCTCTGCATCGTCTGCCGTCTGGTCCTTGTTTCCTGCCCTGAAGAGGCCGGGCAAGTCCACAATCGTCAAGTTCGGCTGTGTTGGCCCGCTGATTTCGATGCGTAGGACATCTGAACTGAAACGCTTGGAATGGTCATCAAGTCTCATGATCTCCTTAGCGCTCTCGATCAAACGTCCAATGTCGATCTCCTTGGTGGAGTCAGTTTTCTGAAATTCCCTGAGACGGGATTTTTCCTCGTCTGTACGGTCGCTGCCTGGTTGAATGGTGATCTTGCAAGTCTCAATTACTCCAGTAACGTGCCTGAGAATGAGTTCGGTAGCGAATCTGGTGCACTGCAAAATCTGAAGTTAGTAACCTGCTTTGAAGGTCTCTTGAACGGATTCAAATATTTGTGCGTGGCACAGAGCGTAAAAGTTAGTCGCGTGATCATGGAATATTGCTTACCAAGTTGTCCTTCATTGGGAAGGACATGTTCGAAACAGCCTGCAGGACCGAGCTCTTGCCGCTCGACTGGTCTCCGCAAACCACAATCTGTGGCAGGTCTACATATTGGCTGATACCCTTCGAACGGAGCTTGTCGATAGTATCGAGTAGGGCTTTATGGTCCTTGGACTGAAGCGCTGCCACTGCCGTGGCTGTCTTCTCCTTTTCACTACCCATGTTGTTGCGTGGAACGAATCAACGCAATTTGGGATCTGGGCGCACAAGAAGAAGTGAGGTAAATTGGTGGTGTCGAAAGAATTGCCAAGATGAAAATTATTTTCGTTGCCTGCCAAATGGAAAGGGGCCAAATGGCATCAGGCAGTCACGCAGACACTAAGCACTTTGGTTATTCCAATGGAGTAAACAAATACAAATAGAACATTGAATCGTGGTCACTGCACCTCAACATAATCACCCCGCATACTTGAGCTCCTATTTCTCTTATGCCGTGGAATTCCATTCTTACTTTGGCAAAGAAATTGAACTGTTACCGAACAAGATTTTCTGTGTAGTGTTATTTTCATCAGCAGAGAGCAACGGATTAAGACTTGCTGCTAGCATCGTCCCGGGCATGTTTAGGCCTGGGATGATGGATTGCATGTGGCTGGGTAGCTGTTCATTAAATGTCTGCTCTCGAAATGCTACTCATCAAAATATTTCTTTTCATGCGGTCCAGAAAAAATGCCTTGAAAGGACGAGCGCTAACCAGAACGTTGTTTCCAAAATAACGATGCAGGCAGCTATCTAGAAATGGCTGTCGGACGACAAACACCAAAGTTGATTCGGCCCGCAAATAGAAAATCAATCCGTCGGAGTCTCAGTGGCCCGATGAGGTACTTTTCGACAGACGCGTATGGACAAATATGGCGCAAGGTCATGCAATGAACTGTCGCTTCTCTCATTTCGTCGGCGAAAGTGGGTAAATGAAGCCTGTTTGCATTGCATACTGTCCCGACGGTTTGGGTATGCGGATAGTAGGGCGCCTAACTCTGCTTCGTGACTGGCCAGTCATGGACCCCATTATGCACGTTGGACCGTTGGCAGAAGATAGTCTTTTTATTCTGTAGCAAACTGTATTTATTCGTCTACACAAGGAACCATCATCTTCTTGCGTGTTAAATCGAGAGACCCAGTCGGTCGGAACCGCCAAACCGCGGCAACGAGTTTCTCTCTTTCGTCGTCTACACTCAAATATGGAGACCAACTACCCGGAAATTACAGATGATAGCGATAACCATTCGTCGGCGGCATGGTCCTACGCGGACTCGTCTCCCGAGCCGAATAGCTTCGTCGTCGGGCCGGATCTGCTTCCCTACCCGGCAAACCCAATGTCCGTACCCGCTTATGTGTTCCCATCCGAGTTGATCTCAGCGGTACGACGATCACAGCAGACCTATAGAGGTGCAGTAGAGAATACGTCTGCAACACCCTGGATGAATTTCATGTCGCAAGGCGCTTGGAATGAAGCGAATCCTCCAATCGGTCATGTCCCACGCTACTCGACAGAATCTCGAGGCATACAGTCGTGGTATACTACTCAAGCTCCACCGGCGTACAACATATACTCTCAAAACCCTATAAATAATGCTATATCCCTGCCGGGTCGAAATATGGGGCCGTGGAATGTGCAGCCTAGTCCTGGAGCGAATTCGCTGGCGTTCGCAGCTTCAAGCTCGGTACCGATCTCGTCCGTACAGTCCCCATTTCACTCTTCAGAGGCCAGCTGGCTCCGAGAAGTCGACGGTGCTTTTGACCGAAACCCAGATGGTTCATCAATACACGAAACCGGGTCCATCTACTTGGCCGAGAACGAAAGATACTATCATCGGTACAACGAAGGATCCTACTGGTTTCCAAACGATGCCGTGAGTTCAGTCAGATAGAACTGTCTTTCTTCTCCTTCTTCTTCTTCCTCCTCCTCCTCCTCCTCCCCCTTCACACTCCGTTTCGAAATTCTTGACATTCTCGCTTTCTTTGGAAACACTTGCTAAACAAATGTGATTTCAACATAGGAAGAACAAGACCGTCTCGACTTCCAACATGCCATGTTCCGCATCATGACGGGCGACAAATTGGCCCTGGCTCCCGTGAAAGCCCCAAGCAACGTGATGGACGTCGGCACAGGCACGGGAATCTGGGCGATCGAATTCGGTAACAGCTCGCCAACCAACGCGCCCGCCTCTTTCTCTCTGCGCATGTGAACTAACATTTCGCAGCCAAGGAAAATCCAGACTCCCAAGTCTACGGTATGGATCTCTCCGCCATACAACCGGCCGAACACGGGGCACCCAATTGTAGCTTCGAAGTAGACGATGCCGAAGAAGAATGGGCCGGCTATCCCATGTTCGACTATGTCCATTTACGATTTGTCAATGTATGCTTTTACAATCCCAAAGCCGTCATGGACCATGCCTGTAAGTACCATGACACATATGACAACGAATCAGAAGCCTAATATTCATTAGTTAGAAATCTCAATCCCGGCGGCTGGATCGAATACCAAGATTACGACCCCGAATTTAAACAAGCAAACCCGCATTACAAAGGCATGGCGCTGATCAGATGGTATCAAATGGCGATACGAGGAGCTTTGATGAAGGGAAGGAATATATTGATCGCGCGGCAGTACAAGCAAATGATGCAGGAAATTGGGTGTGAGTATTTCTAGGAACACTAGTGATAACATGGACTTGCACTAATTGGACGGACAGTTGTGGATGTGCACGAGGAAAACATTCAGGTACCGGTTGGCAAGTGGATGGACGACCAACGTATGAAGACGGTGGGGCAATACATGCACAGAAATGTATTGGATGGTCTTCGAGGCCCGTATTGGAAGATGATGAGGGCAGCAGGATTGTCTCCTCAGGAAATCGACGCGTTTATAGCCGAGGTCAGATCTGAGCTGAGTGACGAAAAGAACAATAGTTATTGTCGGATGTAAGTGTTAAGCCCATGGGCCTGAGTAGGAATACTGCTAATATTTGATGTCCAGGATAATAATTTGGGGTCGGAAGCCATAAGACTGGAGATCTATTGGGAAAACAAGATCTCGGGAGCCTCTCGAGCCTGGCGAATATTTATTATTAAACAGCTTATGCCGTAATATACGGACGATGTGCTGTAATGAAGCCTAGCCCAGCAATGTAGTGCAATGCTATGGAAAGCATGCGTCGTCTGCTGTGCGATGTACTCTGGTATAGATGCATTCCGATGTTTGGTATAAAAGTAGAATTTATTTATATACACGATTACTAGGGTATCCAAAAGAAAGAAATATAAATTAAGAGATAATTCATGATATTCCCATCTCAAGACACAGGGTAGAATTGGACCTGCCAGCAACATTGAATCGCTGACGTATTTCGGCGTTTAGATAAGCTGGCTTATCGGTGGCGCCATCATCGGCGCGCGACGGGACGAGGGAAGCGGCAGGCGGCCTTTCAATTACAAATTAATAATTCACGGTTCGAGCCGAGTCCCCGATTCCTTACGTTGCGACAACATACAATTCTCGCAGACGGAACATACAATCAACGTCGCAATGGCATCACAAGCTGTATCAATGCGTAAGGCACCTACATGTACCACCAGAATTACTTCCCGAGCTGACCCAGAGTAGCTTCCCTGGGCTCCAAATCTGATCCCAAGCCCGTCGCAAACCTCGAGACCTCCAAGCCCAAGGTACGGACTGGCCCTTCACTCTACCCGTGCTTTACTGCTTGCGCAACTCCGAAGCTGACGTACAATGACCCAATAGCCCTGCTGCGTGTGCAAGGATGAAAAGTCGAAGCGCGACGAATGTATGCTGTTCTCCAAGGCTGCCGACCCTGCCGCCGACTGCAAGTCTACCATCGATCAGTACAAGAGCTGCATGGCTGGATTTGGTTTCCAGCTCTGAGCGCATAAATTACGGGCGACACAAACAAGTTCGTGCCTCTCGAGCGAGCACAAGAGGACTACAAAGAGAGACCCCGACTGTATTATCAACAATAGTGTACACCACGAAGACAGCCTGCCGTCTTGAAGTGAAAGGGTGGCATGGCGTATTGCATAGATTGGCGTTTTAGGATTTCTCGGATAGAAAAAGCATCACGATTCCCACCTCTCCTCTTAATTTCATCTTTGATTTCGGACCATCTTTCTTGACCAGCATGGCGTACGTGACGCATTCAATCTACAGTGGTCGATTTATTGCATTCATTTCCTTCATGGAAGCAACATTTACACGCCACCGTGCAGACATGTATGAATTTCTCAACACTTTACATACATCCAACCAATGTAAAAAGAAAAAAGAAAAAGACTCCGGCCTGTAGACACTGGGACACGAAATTGCACAGCAAAGCCAGACAGCATAATCGCGGCAATGGTACTATCAACTAACTCCAAGTACAGCACAGTACGGTCAGTCGCCTCTCCTCATGTGAAGATGATTCCTCCATCAACAACCTGCGTCTGTCCTGTAACAAAGTTACTATCACTGCTTGCCAGAAAACTCACATGTTTGGCCACATCTTCCGGTACACTAACACGGCCCAATGCGGTGAGTTCGGTCACGAACTTGTTGATCACAGAGCCTTTGGGCACATCATACTTCTTGGCCAGCTCCGCGTCAATCACCTCCCACATGGCGGTCCCGACAATCCCGGGCGCGTACGCATTAACGGTAATGTGGTGCTCCGACAGCTCCGACGCATATGCCTGCGTCAGCCCGCGGACCGCCCACTTGCTTGCGCTATAGTGGGAGAGCAGGGCAAACGGCTTGAAGGCTACAATGGACGCGGCCCCAATGATCTTGCCCGGCTGCTCGGGTGTGCAGTTCCCTTGCCGGATCATTTGCTTGGCCGCCTCGGCATAGCAGTTTTGCACTCCAAAGACATTGACTGCAAACATGCGCTCAAAGTCTTCCTCTGTGAGATCTAACAGGGCCTTGACTTGGGCGATCCCGGCATTTGCAATCCTATGCATTATTATTAAAATGTTACATTATCTTTGATTTCCAGGAGCTATTCTGGGAGTTGCATAAGGAAATGGGGACTTGATGACTTACATGGTGTGGAGAGGCCCCAGCTCCTTGACACAAGTCTGTATCATATCCACGACCTCTGCCCGCTTCGTGACATCGGCAACCGCGAAACACGCCCTTCTCCCTAACCGCGATCGTATCTCCTGGGCGACTTCTTCGCCACCTTTGGCGTTGGCGGCCACGTCGTTGATGCAGACATTGTAGCCGTCGGCGGCCAGCCGCAGGGCAATGCTCTTGCCTATACCCCGGCTCGAGCCCGTAATGATGACATTCTTGCCCTCGCTCGACTCTCGCTGCAGACTAGAAAATGACGACGAAGCTCTGAGACCAAGATTGCTGGCCGGGACCAGGCGAACGGCTGTCACGTTTGGTCTGGCGGAGCGCAGATATGCTGACCGGACTGTTTGGTATGCAACGGCGGCTCTCATGATCACGGATAAAAACCAAATCCACAACTGCGGAAAGAACAGCAAGAATCAGTGATTCGAGAAGAACCCCCTCCCAAACCTTAATATGGGAGTATACCCAAGACTTATACCATCATCATCTTCCCCGCATCTTGGTTGGCTTTCCATAGCCCCTCTCCGGACTGCATTATCCAGGTTACACTGCCGTATGTAAAACGTGTTTATTGCCATCACTCTCGTTGTTGCAGGAGTCGAATCTTCTGCTTGGCATTCCACCTGTCGATCATCCAAAGTCCGAGTGGCCAGACCTGTTGTTGGCGGAGGGCAGAGGTGTATAAATTGCGAGTCATATATTGGAGAGTAATGATTCGATCACAACATGTGACGAACCGTTCAAAATCTTAAGTATGGGGTTGTCGCGGGAATAATGTGTACGGAGTACCTAGAAATAGGATCTCCTCTTGCCAAGATGCTTGTGTGGCATTACACCAGTTCAGAGTTGGAGAAATACCGCCACTGAATTAACCACTTACTAGCTGGCGCTTTATGAACATACCAAAGCCCGTGCCGGACTTTACATTGCCCGTTGGGACTATAGACGCCATGGCTGTGTCTGGCCGACGATTTGTGGTATGTTGGTAGCGAATGCATGCAGCTATAGCCTATTTATAGTGTGCCCATAGTAGGCAGTAGGTACTTTGCACAGAGTATAGTTCAAACATTTCAACCAATGAATGATCATTGTACCACATTTTATTCCAAAAAAGCAACCTTTATGCATTATTGTTACAAATGATCCTACAACGCCTCCTTCATTCTGTATCACTTCCCAGTTCTTCTAACCTAACCCCCAAGATCGAAAAATGTACTCCCCCCCATGGATATGAATTTTGTTTTCAAGCAAAGGTATCTCTCGTAAGATGATGTGAAACCCAACCCAAAATTTAACGCCTCGCCATGTACTTGTAAATCTCAATACTAATGAAATGTTTTCGGTGCAAGAAGTCTTTTGACGTGTCGGTCGGCAGTCCGTGTTGGTTCGGACTGTCGTTTTGTTTTGATAGATTCTCTGCCACAAAGCCCAATGCTGGCAGCATTATTCTCCTCGATGCTCGACAACCACAAGGTCTCTTGATTGTGGTGCGACCTTGTGATGCATTTCCTACTACCTTGACGCCATGCCAGGTAGTCCGTATTCGTGGAGGTGGATTTGGTCACACGAGCTATTTCCTAGATCGGCGCGACCTGTTTATATGTTTCTCCCCTCAGGAGCAGCGAGCTGCCAAGGAGACATTGTCCAGGAGAGCGTCCACCTCGCCAATGCTGCCGCCGCAGTTGAACTCGAATCTAACCGTCTTGATCGTGGTGTCGGCGGTGAAGATCCTCTCGGCCATTTGAAAGTGGCCGGCTGTGGCAGGCACCAGGTCAATGGCGTCGCCTACCACCTCTCCGTTGAGCGTGACCGAGAGGCTGCACACATCTTGGTGCAATTGCTGGTGAGTGCCGAGGCCGTACCAGAACTTGAGCGAGTACGACTGTCCAATGGTCAGGTCCGTCACGGGCTGCCGCACCGAGATGAAGTTATCGACGGGCACCAGGTTCGCAATGCTATATGAGTTGGTCCACCATGTCAGTTTTCGGGGTTGCACTCCTTTTTTTTTGTGGCAACAGGCAAGGATTTTTTTGATGACTGCTTTTACTTACAAGTATCGCTTCGATTCCTGAGCCTTGACATCGCCAGACGAGCCGGCCGTGGCACCGTGGAAATTAATCCAGGGTGAGAACCGTGCAGCTTCGAAACTGGGGTTCTGGATCAAGTTTGTTTCCACGCATTTTGAGGAAGTCGTAGGTGCTGCTTGGACACCCAGGAAAGAGATGGAGGCGAGGCCAACCACGAGGAGGTTTCGGAGGGCAAACATGGTGATCTTTTTGGTGTCTTCTCTCTCACACGCACACGCACACACACTCACTCTCTCTTGCCGTTTGGCTGGCTGGCTGGCTGCTAAAACTCAACTCGGGGATGATCTGGCGCAAGACTTGCTTACGGATGGAAAGAAAGAAGACGAGGCATCCTAAAGACGGACAGCTTGGCGCGAAAGAGGTCATGCAGATCTACTCCCCCTTCCTCCTCCCATCATGGGCCAGAACATAGGGCAAGAACAACGGAGCATGATCGTCAATCACTCACCATAGTCCCGGGTCTTTGGGTTGGTTGTTGGACTGGTTCTTCTCTCCAGAAGTTCCTTTGGTCATATCTCAGGTATCTACCCTCCGTAGATTTAAGGTAGGGTACCTGTACTAAAGATGGGTAATGCCGGTGCACAGGCACGTCTTGATTGTGATTGCCGCGCTAAGTTACGCTATTAGCACTAGAAGATGACGAGGTTCCCAGCGATTGCAGATAGCCCCTGAGACATCGGTGGAGGCCCTGTACTGCTATTGGTGACCAGCTATCTGGAGTGGAGGCCACTGGAGTTCCCTTGCACGCGGGCTCAGTGCCAATTTTGCCAATTTCAGAATTGTCAAAATCTGTAATTGGGGGTCCCCCCCGGCACCAGTATGTGAGCTTTGTCACAGCTGCAGAGTTTTGGTCGCGTGACTGTTATCTGAATGCGAAAGTCGGATTGCATCTCTGCTATGTCTCTGGTGTGTATACATATATACCTTGCCTTGACCGCGTCATCAACGATTGGTAATATGTACGGTCATCTCTCCATGATCATGAGCATTGCGTTTCGACTTTATCACTGCATCCCCCGGACCTTGTTGGGTTTATCATTGTCAACTTTTACAGACCCATGATGGCAATGTGACATGTTTGCGCATCGGCCATCCTTTGTGGGAGCGGTACTTGACTAACTATATTCCTAATTTGACCAACATCATATCATGCCAAATGGCGAAACAGGTCAACTCGAGGTTTGCAGCAATACGAGACATGTCAATGAAAATCCTTCCTACGTATTCATTGCACCTCTTGCCCTCGTATTTGCACATTAGGGATTTCCAGGCAGGCTTTTTTCTGATGATCTACAAAAGGCAGCGAGCATTTGCATTCCAAATGTTCTGTAAGTTTGGTGTTGAGCTTTTCCAAGATGAGGGCTTTTGTTGTACTGTGTATGATTACCCTCATCGAACTTTGGAATTTGTTGGTAGTCGACACGGACAAAGGTACGGTACGTGTTGTCGAGAGTAATGTAAGGTTAGTGCAAATGATGCCGCCTTTTGAAAGTGGATCACCAGTAATCTGGTCCTGGACAGACTAGGAAAATGGGCGGTTTTCACACCCAATGAGCTTGTCGTTATTCGACTATAGTACCTAGCAATATCTTGAATTTTCATGTTTTCCTTGTCAAGAAACATTTGTTTTCTCTTAAATATACACATCTCTGACCTCATTTCGGCACCGCAACGCAAACGACTTGGAGTACTTGCCGCATTCACGGCCTGAAATCACCGTTGGGGTTTGTAATTACAAAGGATTTGATGTCGCCTCATGAGAAGGAATGATCTTCATTCTGATATCATAAAGTCAAGCCCATCATTTGGTTTGAGCGTTATCAGCCAGCCACAACAGCGGTCAGATATTGGCATAGCATAAATCCGAATAACATAAAATTTGCCAAAGATCGACTTGATCGATGTGACAGAGTTATTCTTCAACAGGGAGCAAGATATCAAGACCATGGTACCATAGAATCCGGGGATCTAGAACTTACCCATGAATATTGGTGGAATCTTATTTATTATCCATCATTCATTCTTTGAGCCCCGTGACTCCACGCATCAACTTGTTTTCCTGATCCAGTTTTTGAGTTTGATGCTTGTATATGGTCTCGTATAGTGATTTGACACAACTGGGGTGCGACTCATTCTCTAGTCTATGGAATCTAGATTACTTTCATGGGAGAAGAAAAGTACTCATAACTACCAATTCATGAAGTGCACAGTGTCTTGCCAACGTTGACAAATACGGCCAAGAGAAAATTTTTATGCTAGACGTTGCAAGATGGCAAACAGGTAGTATTTCCAAGGATTTAAAGTTCAAAACGTTCTTCATGGCCAAAAGATCTGGACGCAGTGGATCGACAACGGATTGTTATACTGGCCATCTAGAGGTCCATGACATCCATCATAGAAGGATAAGGCTCAAAGGGTTGCGGAGGGGGAAAAAAAAGTCTCGGCACTTTCAGCCTTAACATCAACTGCCATCATCGTCAATGGAAATCATCCTTCATTCGTAAATAGTACTTTGCATGATTCTCCTCAAGGTTGATGACCACCCATGGTTTTGGCCCACGGCAGTCGCTGTTAGACTCAATGAAAACGAGGTCATCACGTAATGAACACGAGATTCTAGGCGGCTACCATGTCTTGGCACCTTCCGCAAAGTCCGAACAAGGCATGACAATTTATGGACTCTTACAAAACCCATCCATGTCTTCCCTTCGGAAGCATTCTCGATCCACTTCTGCCTCTGCCCGAACTGACAAGCAGCGTGTCCGGGTATCGGGAATATCTTCCGTCGTCCGGGACGATCAAGGAAGCCGAGGCTAGTGTGGACATGCACTGGTACACGATACAGATGTCAGTCAATGGCGTTGAAGAAGATGAATCTAGACTCGTGCCGGCAACTGAGAAAATCGTCCAAAAAACGGGGCGCTTGGATTCAGTCTCTTAGGGCCGTGGAGACAAAGCGGGAGGAGGCTTGTCAATGCACAAAAATGGCCGTTTCTATTTAAAAAGAGCATGAGCTGTGGCTTGCCACAAGTTTATGCAGTTTTTGGGAATATCGAGAGAGATCTGCGAGACCTTGAATAGGTCATGTCAGAATGTAAAGAAAGTACTGTTTTGCAGGCTGGCGTGAGAGAGGTTATTCGGAAGATCTACAAAACACTACAGAATACAGTAAAACCAAAACCTGGGGGGGTGCCTTGGGTGCCGCGTCTCCGGCGCGTTGTTGTTCAGGGTCCTCCTGTAAAAGGCCCTAGCAGCCCTCTAGTGTCGCCTCTAGAGTCCCTGCACCACAGTTGACAGGGCTGGGGTCACCCGAGCTTAAGCCTTAAGGTAGCAAGCAGCTAGCCACGAATTCTGGGGCCAGGTGAGATTTAAAGTGTGGCTTTCCATCTAATTATCTGGGCAAATTGCGGTTTGCCCTTTTTCGAGAGAAAAAGGGGCAGACGTTATAAACCTCGAACCAGACGGGGAATGACGGGACAAACGGCCAAGGGAGAAAGAAAAAAGAACGCGCCGCAATAAACAGTCGTTATCTATCAAACTATCTTTTGAATCTATCTATTTTGCCTACATCATTTCATACATATATTTATACACGCCAAAAGATTAACTAATTACCATTTGACCCATGAGACATCTGTCTCTGGTTTTGCGACTCCACACACAGTAGAGACAGAGAGAGAGGAAAAGGTCGTAGATTTTTCTGGGAATCCACATAGCAGATTCCTTGCTTGCTTGGACGGAGCTCCCGGTGAGGCTCGAAAGGGGGTAGCAGGTTACTCCGAGACATGCTCTGTGCCGCCCATTGGAATCTAGAGACAACATTTGGCTTTTGACCGCTTTACTATTCTACTGTTCACTACTACTACTTTCTCTCTCATCAGCGACGACATCTTACACATTGGGCGGCGCTTTGTTCGGCTGTATTTTCCGCCTCCAAAGATCTATCTTCTTCTCAACATTGCAAAAAGACGTCGTGTGCCGTGGCTCTAGCGTCGTGGCTCTTCCACAACCATCATGGACTCACATAACAGCAACGGGGTGCTCGCCGCCAGCCCACCAATCCGGGGCAGGCCCAGACAGGAATCACTGGGTTCTCTATACGAAGTGCTGGCCGACCTGGATGAGAACCAACTTCACTATCTGATCCAGGAGATGAACCACACTGGTCACCAAAATGTAAAGGTGTCACAGGCCAAGGCCGCCTTTGAGTCGCAAAGTCCAACCGAGTCGTTGCAAGACATAAGGGCGAGCATGTTGCCGCCAGGATCGCCGCCGCCCGAGCCAGGGCTGCAGAGGCGGCTGTCCAAGTCGCAGCAGGGCAAGCTGCGCATCCAAACGGCATTCCAGAGGGCGCCGTCCCTGCGACAGAGACAAGTCCCGGAAAACCGTGTTGTCGCACCAGAGTCAAACAGCAGAACGTCTCGCGACTTTACGCCAGAAACGCCAAAGCGTCAGTCCTTCCAGAGCCCGGCAGAGGCACGCCTATCTCTGAGCCGCTCCCCAACTTCACCTGTATTCTCTGGATTCGAGTCTCGCGGGCCCGTGGCTGGGTCGATCCAGCTGCCCAAACGGGACACTCCCCGGGAGACGACGCAACTGGACGCGCCGCGGGACACGAAAAGGGACAGCTCCGGCAGCTCCATCAGTTCCCTGGCGCCGACCATTGGCCGCAAGACGTCGGCCTACAAGCGCATCCCACGACCCGACTTTGACCTGCCGCCCGGCGTCACCGTCACGGACCTGCTCCGCCTGCTCGAGAGCGAGTTCCTCTCGTCGGCGGACCCGCTCGACGCCCCGTCGCCCATGTACCTGCCCTCGCCGTCGTCGGCAATATCGCGAGGCCACTCACCGTCGCCCTTGCTCCTGTCGGCGTCGACCTCGTCGGCCACCATGCCCTTTTCCACGTCGCCCACCTTTCCCGGAGGTCACCACTTGCTGCGTCGTCCTTCGTCGAGGCTGGACATGGCCCTCGACGCCGAGCGCAACGCCTCAGGCTTTGAGGAGATTGGGTTGGGCATGCTCGAACCCCGGGCCACGCCGTCAATGGCTTCTTCTGTTGGGCCAATGCCAATCTCCAGCAGCGCGCCAGTGACGCCCTTTACCAGGGGAGGGGCAGGAGGATTCATGGCAGAAACGCCGCCGCCACAGCCTCAATCTGCGTCACCAATGGTGTTGGAGGGTATTTTTGATGTCTTGGAGAACCGGTGAGGTTTTGCTGGGAAAATCTTTGGATATTAAGAAAAAAAGCGATTTCGATTCATTACTCTTTTTATGCTGTTCGTCTAGGCAAGGATGGACCCTGACTAGCCTACAATCTGCAAAGGCTTTCTTTTGTCTGGTGGGCATTCGGCGTATTCCCATTGTATATAGTTGTTTATATTTACCTGGTACATACATTGCTGCTGTTGGATAGTATTATAAGCAAGTTATAGACATAAGAGAATATAGCTTTCAAACTGAAAGCCTTTTATTTTGTCATTGGATATCCCCACCCTCTGTTCCGATAAGACTGAACTGCGGGCATCTGCATATCAAGCGCCGGGTTACGCAAACTTAGAAGAAGAAAACTAAAAAAACACTATTCCACATATACAAGCGTGGATATACACTCTTGATTCTGAATAAAATGAAAACAAGTATTGAATTCCGTTGATTTGAAGCAATGGGCTTGATTCCAGACATTTTCAAAATCAAAAACAGGATGAGCTCAAGTAAAATAGACTGGGGAATGGTTTTGTATTGTGTCACGAAACAGGGTGGCCTATTGACCGACACCGAACCCCCACAGTTGCCTCATCCAGTCAAGAACACAAAAGGTCCCATCCGCACGTTGGGGCTTTCCTTTAACCAAGCTTGCTCTTGATGAAGGAGAGAGCCTGCGAGCCGTAAATGGTCACGTACTGCTGGTGGTGGTTGGCGTCGCTTCCGTTGCAGCAGTACGGGTCTTGAGAGTCACAGTAGGACTGAATGATGGACGGGCTGCCCGGTGAGCAAGTGTAGCCGCTCGGGCGTGCAGCAAACTATATTAATTGTCTTGTGTCAGCTCATGTGGTCTTTTGGAATTTTGGAAAAGGTGGGTTTTTATATCAACTTACACCACCAGCTCTGCAGGTTCCGACATCGTACGACAGACCGTAGACATAGTGCGGGTCGCCCATGAAGATGGCGGCCTTGACGGCGGCGAGGGCATTGCCGGAAAGGGTGGAGCCGGCGCCGCCGCAGAGGGCGTTGTCCATGATCTGGCCGCCCTGGGAGTAGCCAATGAGGACGATCTTGGTGCTGGGGCAGCGCGAGTTGAGGCTGGTGACGGCCGAGACGACGGCGGCCGTGCCCTGCGTCGCCGACGAGTCGTAGCTCACGCCGCCGCAGCTCGACTGCCCGCCGCACGCCGGGTACACAATGGCCTCGGACTGCGAGCCCGAGTACGCCGCCAGGACCTGGTCCACCAGGCCCTTGGAGGTTCCGTAGCCCGCGGCCGCCGTGGTCTCGCGCGCCCCAAAGACGTAGACGCCCGGACAGCTCTGGCGCTCTTCCAGGTCGATCGGGTTGGCGGTGGCGAGCCCGGCCGCGAGGATGGGGAGGATGGCAGAGGTCTTCATCTTGACACTAGAGACTTGTTATTGTTGAAAGTTCAAAGAGCGTGTATGAGTCCGGAGAATGTCCAGTGATTGCCAAGTCACCTACCAGCTCATATCCCCCCGGACACGCAGAATTACTTATACATGGCCGTGACCGGACGAAAGGGGGCTGTTCTCAATGGGGATACACATGAAGCTTCCGAGATGAGGTCCAGTGGCGCCCAATGGAGCCCCTTTAGAGGTTAGCCATGGGCTTGTATATGTGTTACCTCGTGTGAAGGTGACACTGCTCTTGGTACGATCTTTTTGGTTTGAACGCGATGTAACACGACGGCTAGCCACCGGCACAGGCAAGTATGGGGTACATTAAGCTTGTAGCAGAAAACCTGGTAAAACTGTGGGGATTTGGGGATCATCAATCATGCTTCCACGGTAGTCGGTGTCCATGCCCGTCATCCCAATTCGGCATGATGAGGTCTCAGGGTCATATTCCGGCGCGTTATAGAGGGGGATCTCGTATTTATGCTAAATTCAAAAGATCCGCACTGGGGGGACACGCTACCCGTCTGCGGGTCACGGTTATTACTAACCTTTGTTCCTCCGCACAAGCGAAGAAGCCGATGTGCCTGAATGATCCAGAGTCTGCCGGTACTGCCATGACTTTATTGGATCATGGATGTGCTATTTCTGACCTTGCATGGGCCGCCACTATATCCTGAGCCCTGACTGCAGATTCCTATGAGGCTCATATCGCCTGGGCTGTGTGTCATGCCACCCAACCAAAAGTCAACAATGCGATTCATTTGTGAACACTGACGTTTCTCGGATTGCCCATTTATCCTTGGTACGTCTAGGCTAGCCTTTGAGGTATGACATGCGTCATTCGCTTGGAGCGATTGACACTTGCTCAGTGCCAAGAGAAGGGTCATTCCGCATCTCGAAACAGACGGTATGATTCCCAGGTACAAGACCTTCCTTTCCATATTGTTTACGCGTATGCGTCCAGTTGAATGAACACCCATGATATTAACTCATAGGGGGTTATGGCTGTGTTCAGTTGTACAATGAGCAAGACACAATTGAGATAATACAAATAGCATTATCAGTACGAGGTTGAGACATTCGTTCCATTACGACCAGGATTTACATTGCAACGCTTGAATAGCCAGTAATCGAGCGGCCTTGACCACGTGAGCACCATCAGTTGTGTATCTTTGCGTGCAAGCCCGGCAAAATCTCCAAGTCTTTCTGGTCATAGGTATACTTGCCCTCGGTAGAGATGGTAGCCGCCTTGGTTGGGCGCTGCTGCTGCGTCTGACGCACCTTGACCCACTGCTCAGTCGTCAGGTGCTGGCCCAGCTCGGTGAGCGCATTGGTCTTGAGTCCCAGACGGTCAAGGACAGGGCTGTTGGCAATGGGGTCTAGCACGACGTGGTTGTTGGGTCTACATTGTAAAAGAAGTTGTCTCAAGTTAGACCTTTTGTGTCTTTTCAAGGAAAATGTGAAAGCAGGGTAGAAGAGACATACCGGGCAAAATAAAGAACTCCCAAACGGTCAACATGTGCCTGATCAGCCGGAGGCGCGTGTACACGGTGGACGCTCGACTTGATGTAACCGCCCGTGAGCGCCGTCAGGGCGTCGCACGTGTTGATGGTGATGGTGCCATCCTGGGGCTTTACCCACTTCCAGTTGCCATCCGAGTTGAGAATCTGCAGGGCCGCGACGGGCTGGCGGAAGAGCAACGTCAGGGTGCCCAGGTCCGTGTGTCCGGGGACGTACAGGTCGGCCACCTTTTGGTTGTCCTCGAGGTTGCGCGCCGCGTAATGCATGTATCGCAAATGGTCCTCGCCCTTGACATCGTACTGGTGATCGCGCACGAGCTGGTCCTCGTCGGGCAGTTCGAGGAGGAGAGCAAACAGGCGTAGTAGTTTCACCACAACTTCATCATGGCATTTCTAGACGGACCCCGAATGTTAGATACAGATAAAAGACCTCTCAAGTAGGCAAGAAAACATACCCTGCTAAAAGCTTCAATCTCACGGACATTGTCACCCAGAACTGGTGGCTGCTGTCGCTTGTGGAACCCATCGAATTTCGGAATATTGTAGACTTGAATGTTGTCCTTGACTCCATTGGCGATTCTGCATTTGCCAAAATGATGTTAGTATCTTCCCACCCAGCTACATATTCCCTGATGGGTTGCAAATTATAAATTCAACGTACTTGCGATGTCCCGCAGGTCTATAGCCATTGTACTCCCCGCTTTCAAGATCACTCTGGCTGTGATACTTGAGCTTCTCTTCCAATGGAAGAGCATAAAACTCTCGACCAAGCGCAAACTGCCGATCGACCTCCTCTTGGCTGATGTTGAAGTTCTTCACGTAGAAGAACCCGACGTGGCGAACAGCATGTTCAAGCTGCTTGACCAGCTCCTCCTTGCCTCCTGGCTGATCGTAGAGTGACAGATCGAGTGTGATCAGCTCTGCCCAGTCCACTGCACAGCAATTAGTATGATGAGATTTGCTGATGGGAAAGTAAGTCGGGCCAAGTACAGTTCTCTTTGGTCACTGGGACTTGTTCATAAGTGTCAATGATTCTGCCCGGCATTTTGAGAATGGCGCTTATGAGCTTTTATTCTTTTATAATAAAGATTAATTTCTTGAATACTAGAGGATAACTCTTTTTTTTTTTCAAAAGGAAGTAGTGTCGTATCTGTTATATGATAGCAGTCATCTCTGCTAGAAGTGACAAGTTACGTTCTCACACCACCTATATATACATGTTCAAGCATCTCACTCAAGTCCGGAAATAGAGACGCGGGGTTAGATGGTTTGATACCCAACGATTATAGTCGAACAGATGGTATGCATTCCAAGCACGTCATATTAAGCGATTGCGTCTATCGGATTTGAAATCAATGTCACGTCAGAAGAGGGCACAGACAAGTTGCGCATCACCAACCCCCACGCCTATAACACAGACACATAACGGGCCCCATCATAAGTGAGCCTCGGGCTACGACTCGATAGAATCGAAAGAAATGATCCGATAAATCAAAGAGCCCTTGCCTTATTCAATCTCCTCTCTCCCTGCTTTTCCAATGGGGGTTTTCCTGGAGTGGGACGGGGGTTTCCAGGCACGTTGAAATAAGCACGCAATGCGGGGACAAAGGCACCTCATCGACCGGCCAGAAACCCGGGAGGACCAGTCACCATCACGAAACCTACCTGAATAATCGAGCAATCGCCTTATCCCCGGAGTCCCGTTGGCTGTTTGAGCATCCGACTAGACTTGTTTTTGGCAGATTGTGGGTTTGCAAGGCGCTCAAAGTGGTGGCGGGCAAGCATGGATCGGGATCAACCCGCCGTTTCCTATATGCCCCCGGGGTCGGCTTGAGGAGGAGGAGGAGGGGGGGAGCGCCCCCGGGGCTGAAAGATAACATGTCTTGCCGCTCGAGTTCATAGGAGGGAGAAAATCCTCTTGGTTCTGTTTCTACAATCTCTTTTTCGTAGTTGGCTAGGACGAGTCTCGAGACCTATTGTGACACCGTCTACCTGCGCCATGGCAGAACCAAAGAGCCAGCCGCGAATTGCTTCGCCGTTCAAAGCAATCAAGGAGATTTTCAATTGGTACCCTTCCGAGTATCCCGTGGAAGAGAGAAAGTGAGTTTTGCGAGACTGTTGAGTGTTGAACAAGAGTTCTAACAAGACAGACTTCTCTTCAAGCTCGATCTGTCGATTCTCGTTTTCTCCTGTTTATGCTGTAAGTGTTGAGCATGGTAGTCGTACGATCCAACAAACTGTTTACTAACATCATGACTAGTCTTTTGCAAATATCTGGGTAATTATTCTCCGAGTCGTGCTTAAAGACATCAAGAACCATCGGCTAATGATTAGCCATAAAGACCAAACGAACATCAGCAATGCCTATACCAGCGGCCTGAAGGAAGAATTTCAGCTATACGGCAATGAGCTCAACTATTTCAACGTCTGTTACTACACGGCATACGTCATCTTCCAGGTCCCATTTCTGCTTTTGATCTCCCGGCCAAAATTGTGAGTAGAATTTTCAGGATTGTCAATCATTGGAAATTGACAATTGATATGCTGACCATGATTTTCTTCTTGCCCAGAGCCCGCTGGTTACTCCCTTGTCTAGAGGTTGTCTGGGGAGTCATCACCTTTGCCCAGAGCAGGGCTACAAATGTGACGCAGCTCTACGTTGCCCGTTTCTTCATTGGTGCTCTCGAGGCACCGGTATTTGCTGGCACGCACTTTATCCTAGGTGAGTTTGATGATCCACTGTATCACTTCGTGTTGCTATTTGCTCGGAAAGTATTTGCTAAATCTACTCAACAGGCTCTTGGTATAGCGGTCCGGAGCTGTTCAAGAGAGCCGGCGCGTGGTTCGTCTGCAACCCACTGGGATCCATGATCAGCGGGTATCTCCAGGCGGCTGCGTATACAAATCTCTCGGGAGTCGGCGGCATGCCGGGCTGGCGGTGAGTCTTTCCCCAAATACCAATCTGAGTAAGAAATACATTGGAAGACTGACAACTTTCAATGCTAGATGGCTCTTCATCATTGATGGAATCATTACCATTCCCGTAGCGCTGTCGGGCTTTTTATTGTTTCCCGGCATCCCAGACTCACCCAAGGCCTTTTTCTTTTCGGATGGCGAGATCAGCCTCGCCAAGAAGCGACTCGAGAGGGCCAAGGTAACCCGAGCAGGCAAGCTCGACTTGCAAGTATTCAAGCGAAGTCTTTCTCGATGGCATATTTGGCTCTTTGTCTTTTGTTACATGTAAGTGTTTCCAAAGCTGAGGCTTTTCAAACGGGGAAACAAGAAGCTAAGCCTGCATTGTGAAGCTGCATGATCATCTCGAGTTACCCCAGTCAATACATGAACTTGTGGCTCAAGGCAGAAGGTTACAGCGTGGTCAAGATCAACCAACTTCCCACCGTAATTAATGCCATTACGATTCTGGCGTCGTGGCTTGGGACTACTCTGGCGTCAATCTACCCCTCTTGGGTCATCTACAGCATTGCTTCGGGGGCAGTTATCTTTTCTACCATCTGCATGACCATATGGTCCATTCCGACGGGGCTCAAGTAAGACACCCGCTCACTGGATCTTTTCTTCTTCACTGTTGACTTATTGCTGACACAATATCAACATAGGTTCGCGGCCTGGTATCTGTTTGGCTTCTCTGGCTGTCTCAGCCCGATTTTGTATTCGACAGTCAACACCATTGTCAAAAATGATGCAGAGGAAAGAGCGCTTATATTGGTAAGACTTTGAATATATTCAAATTCTGCAAACTAGCGCCCTGTTCGCGCTGCTAACATGCTGAAACCAGGGATCCATGATGACGTTTGGATACTCCTTCAACATCTGGGTGCCCTTGCTGCTGTTCCCGACTGCTGGAGCCAACGGGGCACCCCGATGGCGTGTTGGGTGGCCAGTGACGTTGGTCTTTTATTTTCTGCTCTGGGCAGGTTTTATCACGGCCGTCATTTTGTACAAGAAAAGGTGAGTCGATGCGGCCAACAAAGTTGGATGTGGTCCTTGGGCTAACATTGGCGTAGGCTGAGCAGGGAAAGTGCACAAGAAGAGGTTGGCTCGGCCACGGATGCACAGTCAACCTCCGAGACTGGTGAGGTGGTACGTGATGGGAAAGTTGTACCGGAACTGGCAGTCTCGATTGCGCAGTCAAAGGTATAATGTCAAGCCCATGTCGTCTTTCGATGCATTTAGTGGTCGTCGGTATTGTCGCTCGTAGCCAGCAAGCCCTGGTCGATATAAATTTCCTTCATATCGCCGTCAACCTTCCTTGGGATAAAAAATAAAATTTTGCTTAGCTATGTCAGCTCCCGACGTATATCGACACGTTTGTCAAGCTACCACAAGCACGACAAGCTTCACAAAATAAAATAATTATTCGTAGCAAAGTCGAAAATTTTCTCATGTTCTTCATTACCATCGCATTACCCATGAGTCTATTCAGTGATCATGCCCAAGTCCAAGCTCCATGCAATCTCTTATTACAAGTCAAATTGAACCAATTCAAAAGATTACCTGCCGGCTCCGTTGCCAGCCCCTCCTCCGTTGCCTCCCATAAAGTTGCGGGCCATCTCGGCAATGCTAGGGTCGTTCATCAAGCTGGCCATATCAGGCATGCCACCGCCGCCGCCGGCGCCACCACCACCACCACCAAACTGCTCAGCCATCTGACGGAGTCTGGGGTTCTGCAGAATGTTGTTCATCATCTCAGGGTTGGACATGAGGTTTTGTGCCATCTGAGCAAACATGGGGTTGTTCATGATACCGGCCAAGTCAGGCATGCCGCCGCCAGCACCTCCGGCACCTCCACCACCACCCAGCATGCTAGCCAAGCTGCTAAAGTCTGGTGCTCCGCCGGCTCCGCCACGGGGGCTGCTGGCGCCCTCACCCTCGAGTTCCTCGACGCGCTTCTTGGCGGTTTCGAAGCCCTTCTTCATGGCATCAGAGCCACCGTTGCCCTCGTGCTCGATACCCTGCTGGTAAGCCTCCATGCTGCCCTTGGCGTCGCCGAGGGCGAAGCGAGCAAGGCCGAGTCGGGACCAAGCCTTGGTGTACTTGGGGTCGACGGCAACGGCCGCCTCGGCGTCGGCGCGGGCGGACTCGTGGTCGCGGGCTGCCGAGTGAGCAGCAGCACGGTTTGACAGGAAAATGGCATTGCCGGGGTGAAGGGCAAGGGCCTGGCTGTAGAGGTCAATGGCCTTGGGGTAGTCCTTGGCAGCCATGGCCCGGTTGCCATCACCCTTCAGGCTCTCGGCCTTCTTATTGTCGTCTTCGGAAGGAGCCGTGGTGGTGCTTGACGAGCTGGTATCGGCAGCAGTGGGAATGCTGGGGGAGGCAGAGGGCTTGGAGGCGCTCTGGAGCTTCTCGTAGACGCCGTAGATCTTGAGGAGGTTTTGGGTGCCGACAGCCTCGGTGACAGCGGCGCGGTCATTAGGATCAACCTTGAAGGACTCGGCGATACAGTTGATAGCGACATCGATCGAGTCCTTGTCGTCGGCGGTCAGGGTGCCATCTTCCACCGAGGTGGTGAGGAAGTCGCAAATCGCAAGTGCGAGACGTTGCTTGGATGTGGTAGCCTGAGAATGCGATCAGCGAATTCGGTTCCTGGTGGTTCAGTGGTTAATATCTGGCAGTAAGTGTACTTACCATTTTTGGTATCTGGCGCAGTTTTCTAAAAGGAATGGATTCTACAGCAAGAAAAAAAAGCGAGATGGTGCTGAGGGCGAAAACTTAGGAAGCACGTTAATATATATGGTAACAACCCAACTTGTCAAGTTCGAAGTTCGCTACACGGCAGCACTTCTGGAACGTACCATGAATGAATGGGAGGGACCAGGACCAGAGACATGGATTGTGCTTGCTAACCCCGCCGCCACAACTAGTACCTAAACTAGTCCCTGCACTCCCACGGGCGGTGAAAACTTGCCTCAAGGGTCCGAGGGGCAGAAAGTCACATTAGAGAAGTGGCGGGGTAAACAAAATCGACTTTGGTTGAATCACTTATTAGTACATGTCGAGCGTCACGTTTTCTTTATTTGATTGAAATTTCAAACTTGGATTGCTTTGAATCAAGACATCATATTGAAATGTACAAGAAAAAGCTACCATTACATGTGTAGGTTCGCATAGGAGTACACAAAACCTATCACTTAATTGTTCGGGCATCCCGGTCCCACATCATATACCGGAAAACGCAAGCAACAATCCCCACGCAACCGAATACATACATCAGGCAATGGAGTATAGTGATTACATTGATACACAGTGTACAGGTACTCTACACTATGACTTGTTCATGTTTCCATCTTCCACATAAACTACCCAAGCACTAAGAAACGTGCAACTTGACACATATACTTGACGTTAGCAGCAGTCACCTCTACCTCACGACGCGCTCAGGAATTGTTGATAGTCGGGCTGGTATCGGCCGCTGTGATGAGTCAGTTAGCCGTTTTCCAGGGATCGGGAAGTTTGTACCGCCAGTTCACGGTGATGACTGAATCACATAACGACTCCTCAGTCACAGTTGCGCATGGCCAGCAACATGTATATATTCGTTCATCTCAGCACCAAGGTCTCGTCATAGCCCACCATGTAAGTAGAGATAAACACAGCTCCGGCAGCGTACAATAAATCCTCATCAACGTTATTCACTCTGTTCAACTGAAACAAAAAAAAAAATGTCTACGCTCATTACACCACCGGCGCCTTCAGGCTGCCTGTCATCATCCCAAATCTCTCAACTCCTTTCCCACATTCAACTACCGCCTCATCTCCATGGTGCCGCACCCTCGCTGGATCTCCTCCAATCACTACACACACACATGTTGGCAACCTGCCCATATGAGAACCTCTCCATCCACTACAATCCCAAGCACCGGGTTGACCTGGACCCGCAAACGCTCTTTCGGAAGATTGTGACTGACGCGCGCGGACGCGGGGGTTACTGCATGGAGCTGGCCATCCTGTACAACCACCTGCTCCGCGGCCTCGGCTTCGAGGCTTACACGGCTGGCGCCCGGACGCGGCCCCGCATCGACGGCGTTCCCGGCGGGCAATATCCGGGCTGGTGTCACATTGTCAATATTGTCACGCTACCTGATGGTGACCGTTATGCCGTCGATGTTGCCTTTGGCGGGGACGGGCCTACTGCACCTTTACCGCTGACTGATGGTTTCGTTCACCGCAATCTTGGGACCCAAGAGGTGCGCCTCATTCGCGACTGGGCCCCATCGCAAGCTCATCGCGCAGAAGAAGCAAAGATGTGGGTTTATCAATATCGCAATGGTCAGAACAGGGAGTGGAACTCATACTATGGCTTTACCGAGATTGAATTCATGGCTGCCGACTGGAACGTTGTCAACTACTGGACGAGTACGTGCCCAGACTCCCATCAGACGAGAACTGTGCTCGTCGTCAGGTTCCTCGCGCGCCAAAAAGAGGGCAGTAAGCAAGGTGAATTGGAAGTATACGGGAAGCGCATGTTGGTGAACGGTACTGTCAAGGAGAATCTTGGTGGCAAAACACAAACTCTTGCCGATTATGGAACAGAGGCGGAGCGCCTAGAAGCTCTGAAAATTCATTTCAAAATCACACTGAGTTTGGAGGAAGCCAAAAGTATTAAAGGTTGGGTGACTGACCTCGACCTGGCTGCGTCATAATCAGACAAGTCAGACGACATGAAAGCGGTAAGAAAGATGTGATATATTTGGTTGCGATACGATACGATAAAGCGCTAAATTGGCCGCCCGTGGTTCATATAACTCTGTACACTCGTCATTTTCTTTTTCCCCTACCAGGCGCAATTATTATCGGATAGCTTGAACATGGTTGGAGCGACAGAACAATATGATTCCTCTATGCACCTCGAGAAAAGACCACAAACCAATAAATAAGATAATGCTTTGTATGAAGTCTTTCCTCCAAAAAAGCCAAAGCAAGCCTTACAAGTACTACCTCTCGCGACCAGCAAGCATGTTTGTACATGGATCTTAGTAAGATGGATATGCATGACGATTATGGGACCGAATATGAAATCGTAAGTATTGATGCTTAGGGTAAGAGTTAACGAGAACCGTGACTACTTGTCAGTTTTTGAGGGACCCGAGGTACTGCGATTAGTTTTGTTACGCTTAGAAGTGCCGTGGTTGCGACTGCCACGGTATCGTCCACCTCTACCTCTGCCCCTTTGAGTTGGGCGACCGGCATCGTTCGCCTTGTTCTGGAGCACATTGCTGCTAACGCTTTCCGCTTCTCTGGTGGTCGAATTTGTCGAGATGGACGGATATGACTTTCCAGCAGGCGTAGTTGCGGGGACGGGGTCTGAGGCTGATCGATTGGAGGACTGCGGCTCGAAATGACGATATGCAGTTACCGCCATGGCTGCAGTAGGGCTTTCATTTCCTGGCTTTTTGTTCTCATTATTCAATATGGAGCCATGCTCTGATGTGATATCCGTTGGCAACGTGTGAGCTTCAACATCGTCGGCCCAATCGCTTCGTCCAGGCTGGATATCCTCCTTGGATGCATTGGTGGGTGTGCCCAACTCCTCGGTGTTGCCTGTAACACAGTTTCCATCAACAGCTGTGGAACGAGGCGTGAATTCGGGAGCACCAGGATTCAATCTAGAACCCTGCGAAAGAGATTAGTTCAGTCAAAAAATCAGGGATTCTTCGACTGATCTACCTCTTTCTTGTGTCCATTTGGAGTCTTCGCGGGCGTCGTGACGAGCTTGGTGTTTTGCATGGCTTTCTTTCGGTCCGTGGACGATGTCGAGGCCTCTTCTGAGCTGACACTAACTGCATCCTTTTCCGTTTCGTTCGCAGAATTGCTTTTTTCGGAGCGAGACGAGGATTTCTTTGTCAAACGGTCGTCAGATGAATCCTCACCACGCTCTGTTACAGAAGTATCGTCGTCGCTTGTGTCCTCGATATCCTGAGATTCCTTGGGCTTGACAAAGATCTGTTTTGACCAAAGCTCCGAATACTTTCCATGCTTCTCCAGCAGCTCTTCATGAGTACCTTGCTCGACGATTCCGCCTCCTGATACGACGAAAATAATGTCCGCATTCATGACGGTAGACAATCGGTGACTGGAATATCTTAGCAAGTTTGGCTGAAAAGCAACAACAGGAACTTACGCAACGATAAAAGTGGTCCGGGCCTCACAGAGGGCCTTCAGACCTTCCTGGATCTTCTGCTCAGTCTCAGTGTCAACGGAACTCGTCGCTTCATCCAGCAAGACGAGATCGGGTCTCTTGAGTATAGCCCTAGCAATGGCGATGCGCTGCAGTTCACCGCCGGAAATTTTGCTTCTTCCGTGTTAGTCCCACAGTCTTGAGTTTTTCAAAAACAAAAAGAAAAAGAAAAAAGGATTCACATACACTCCTCTCTCTCCAACCCGAGTCTGGTAGCCCTCACTGAAACTCATGAGGTGATCATGGATAGCAGCAGCCTTGCACGCCTCGAATACCTCGTCATCCGATGCGTTGAGTCGAGCATATCTGATGTTGTTCATGATAGTATCATCAAAGAGGATTGGTGCTTGAGGCACGATTCCTATACTCTCGCGAAGACTAAATCATGATTAGAATGAGCTTGAACAAAGCCTGGTGCGGCATAATGGGGGAAATACCTTGCCAGTTGAACATCGCGTATGTCTTGGCCATCTATCAAGATTGAGCCGTCGCTGACTTCATAAAAGCGATCCAGGAGCCTCAGAATAGTACTCTTGCCTGCGCCTGTAGCTCCTACGAAAGCTGCCGTCTTCCCCGGGGGCACTGTCAGATTAACGCCCTTCAAGATGTCCTTCTTCTTGTCGTAGCTAAAACCAACGTCGTGGAACTCAACCCTTGCCCCATCCAGTTTGAGAGGGGCGGCGTCTGGTTTGTCAACAATAGTTGGCTTTTCCAACATGACGCCCAAAAGCCTCTCAGCACCGACCAGATCCTGGCTGATGCTTCTGCCAAGATTTGAGAAGAATCGTAGCGGCGCTGTAAGTTGTCCCCAGTAGGTAAGCAGCATGACGAAATCGCCAGCGGTGCTCTGCCCATGGGTCACCTGGTAAACGGCAAGGAAGGCACCAGCGATGAGACCGCAAAGCAAAATGAGATACTGGAACGCGTGGCCGATGAGATATCCTGCATAGAGTCCCTTCATTGCTGACATTTCCGAGCTAATGGCCTTCTTGTAGCGATCCTCCTCGTATGGAATCTGGTTGAATGCACTGACAGTGTGCCATCCTTGAATACCGGCTTGTTTGATGTAGTGCTCCTCAAAAAAGCTGCGCATCAGTCAGTAAAATTATATGGACAAATGAGTTATTGATACATTGGAAGTAGGCTAGCATTTGTCTCTTGATGAAAACGAACAAGCTGCGAAAATTTGTTGATCACTTACGTCTTCACCATCTTCCTTCTCTTTTCCTTAAATCGAGCTATCAGATGTGCGGCGGCCTGAATGAAGGCGACTCCAGTCATTATCGTGATGAAACCCTCATAAGGTCCAAACTTGACAGACAAGTAGATGAAAGCCACGACAAGATCAATCAACATGGGAATGGCCTCGAAACAGATAGACTCCAGCATGCGGGTCAATGCTGTTCCGTGGGATATGGCGACAATCAGATCCGACGAACTCTTAGAATCGTGGAAATCTGCCGAAAGATTCATCACATGGTTGTAGGCTGCTACCTGTATGGCCTCCTCACCATAGTACTCAACGGGCAACCACAACATTGATCGAATTAGGTTGATGCCAGCTTCTGATGCGGCAAGGCGTAGTGCAGCGAAAACGATCACCTCGATCCATGGATTGCGATCCGAAGTGCCGTTCAAAGCGTCAAGGATTATTCCCATTTGGCGCGGAATGAGGACGTTGAGGGCATTGCCAGCGATGAGACAGACACCAACCAAGCCGGCGTATACTTGTAGACGACGGTTGTGAAACGGCCAGATATATGGAAGGAAGATGAGGAAACCCTTGGCATATGCGATCCAACTGCCCTCACTCTGAAGACGCTTCTCCATCTGCTCCTTGGCTAGGCGTTGGCGACGTTCCCAAGGTGACTCAGGGTCTGTTGGTGAGTTTGTTGCATCTGTGTTATTCTCCGAGTTATCGGAAGTTCCATAACCACTATCGTCTGCATCCAAAGTGCCATTTTCCGGTCCGGGCTTTGGTAGGAGCGGACTCGTCTCTTCGTCCTTGCTTTCTTGTTTTGGTTTGTAACGACCAATAAAGTAGATGAAGATGACAGCAAGGAGAGATATGTAGCGGACAGAAACAATCATCATTTCAAAGGACAGCGTGACGTGGGGCAGGGGGGTTCCCGAGGTCTGAGATTGCTTGCGTTGATCGAGGATGGAGAGCACAGCAATGACCGGCTCGGAGACGGCGGCGATGAGCCATGATCCAATATACGGATACCAGACCACATCTGTGCCGTCACCAAGAGCGCTTTGCTCGATACCAAAAACCAAGATACAAGACAAAATACCGACGACAGTGTCCTGAGCTGGCCATGCTGAGCCCAGAAATGTCTGTATGACCTTGAGAAGGAGCTGGCCAAGGTACAGGAGCACAAAAAGGAGCAGAAGATAAACAATAACCTTTGGACGAGTATGCTTGACTTTGGGTGATGTAGATGAGGTCTGCAAGGTGCAAACTGCCACGCTGGTCGCAATGGAGAAGTATACGAAGACGGCAGTCGGAAATGCATAGTGTAGGCTGATCAGCAGCCAGTCCGGGGGTGATGGTGACATGCTTATGCCGGAAAGTTGCGAGACATGGATGGTCCTTTTTGGTTAGTGAGGCTGAAGGCTGAGCGGTGAAGACCCAATTGGTTCAATACTGAACGAGGCGTGGGAGTGAGATGACCTTATATCCGCAACTTCGTCTGTTAATTTGACTGGAATCAGAATGGAACGTGTCTCAGAGATGAAAAGAAGAGGAGTGTGAAAAAAAAAGAAGACGGCTACAGGGTTCCAAATTCCACTGAAAGTGTGGATCGTGAGCCGCTTGTCTGGTGACAATGGGTTGAGAAACGGACGGCAATTGACGGTGGGAAACTGAAAAGATGGACACAGAGGAAAGACATGGGAAAAGACGCGATTCAGTGAAGAATCAAGGCCAAAGGGCAAGAAAGGATGACATCAAGCAGCCAGCCGCTCTACACATGGGTAAGGTAAGAAGTGCAGGCAGGGAGGGCAGGCAGTCAGCCAGACAAGATGGAAGGGTGGCAGGTGCAAAGGAGCCTCAAGTGTAAGACAGAACAAAAGATCCAGTCCAGCATCAGCATCAGCATCATTCAATGGGCGAGAGGCTGCACCGAATGAACGTTGAGGGAAGCCGTAACCTAGCCAATCTATTGTAGGAGGTACCAGAAGGGGGCTGCGCCTTCCCTGTGTCATGACTGATATGATTCATGTTATGACCACAAGGGATGGGCCAAGAAAGAGAGAAAAACCAGGCTACTAGTAACAGTAACAGTAGCAAGCTCACTGAGAAGCGACCAACACATGCTCTATCCGCCCGCTTCAAAGACCTTCAGAGACCTGCCTGCACCCTCTGAAACCTGGGGGTGTGTTTAGGTATACAAGCAAGGGACTGGAGGATTGGGGTCCTAGCCCGCCTACCTATTGCCCGGGGCAATTGCAACGGTGCGGCGTAGGCTATGTGCACAAATTCATGTACGGGGGAAGCAAGTAAGATCAGGCATCACTCACATGTCCAAAACATACTTGTTCCTGCAACCAATAAGAAGCTCGAGCTCTGAGTCTGTAATAAGGCTTGGGTGTGGGCGATGACTATGCGAGGCTGAAGCTGAATAGTCGGTAATATCTCGTTTTGATTGGCGCTTTCGCTTCTAGGTTGGTAAGATTTAAAACCACCTGCTCCAGGCTCCAACCGACCAGCCGTGCCGGGGCAGTCAGATTGATGTGTAAGTAGGTGTGTCAGAAAGATGAGGTCCGTCCAGCTGAACAAGAATGACCACCCATCAAGCAAGATATCTATTCGTTCCTGGGCGCAGAGCTGTGGGAATCGGGCAAAATTCGATCCGGCCCAGGAGTTGAGGCAGGTCCAGTGTCTGTGAAAAGTCTCGTTGAAGTAACAAAGGAGCAATCGAGGCACATGTATGGTATGGTATGGTTTGGTGGGCCTTGTTTTTGTGCGGCTCCTACAAAGTATATGGACTGCAGCTTATTTATACGGTTGCCTCAGACCAGCAGTGGCCAATGGTGTATTTTGTGAACAAGGTTTCCAAGACACATGATCGACAGACGGACATTTCTGCTGTAGCCACTTTTATTTTTATTTTAAATTTTTTTTCCCCGTCCTTCAGCGCCCTGCCACAACTGCGGTGTCATTGTCCAGACTCCATGGCAGCGGTTTTCGGCCAACCAGGGCTAGCGTCAGCGCCGCTTTTAACATGCAGTACTAACACGCAGCTCAGTAAGGTACCATGAGTGCATTCACCAGGACCCATTGATGGCGGCCATGTTCTTGGGTTTATTTAATCTCTAAACTAAAGAGAAAATAAAAGAAATCTACAAAATTAAATGTAGATTATTTACAATAAAAAGATTGTACTTATTATTTAAAAAAGTAGTATTTTCTTTAATTTTTTGAAGTGCCAATGTTGAAAAGAGATACCCTTCTTGGGGACTGAGACTACGTTTGCTGGGAGACCAGACAAAAGGTTACCATGCACCCTTCCTCAAGGTCTATTCAAGTGACTTAAATCTCGATGAGCCTACATGATCAATCAAACCTGCTGCTGTTCTATCTAAGATCCGGGGGAGGGAAGGGGAAGGGGAAAAAAAAAAAAGACAACTTCGTGGCCATGGATTGTTATGGCCCAGCCACGTAAAGATCCTAACCTAGTAGAAAGGTCACCTTTTCACGAGGCAAAGGATGATACTATTTGACACTCGCATGGTATATCTGAGCATATTGTACATTTTCGCCCGTGAGTTAACCTTTTTTAATCCCCGCTCGGAGCTGTAATATGAACACCAGATCATAGGAATGCCCAGTTCCATGCTGGTATATCTAGGCAGTGACTCCGCGTGGCAGTGAAAAGACATACATAGAAAGTATCTCTCGATGTGAATTGGAGGGTAAATTAGAGGCACACATACAACACCCTGAGTTTAAAGCAGCATGGCCGAATATGCCAGCCGTTATTGGCATTCCTACTGTCACGAGGTAAACAGGCCAAAAAGTATGCCGTCCTGTCATGGTCCATGGAAGCGGCGCTGTCAAGAGCTTTTCTTCTTTCTTTTTATTCCGACATCGTTTTCTTTCACCAGCGAGCTAAGCTAGGTAGGCCGGTCATGGCTACATGGTGTACAAAGCAGCGGTTTCGTGGCCAGGGATCAGGCACGCGGGTTGGCGGCTTGTCATACATGTAGAGTTTAGTGACTTTTTTTTTGCACAGCAATTTGCAAGGGCACACAGCCAGCCAACAGCAAACTTCAAGGCCGGTGCATGACCATAAGCAAGGTCAACTGTTTTCAGGTACTTCTCCGAGAGAGAAAAGAAGGTTCTCATCAGTCAGTAATCCAGTGTGTGGTTTGGCTCTTCACCGTTCCGGAAGTACAATGTCCGCCCATGGCACAGAATCAGAGGACGGTGAGATTGTCAGTCAGACGGACTTGTGAATGATTCCATCTCACCCTCCAGAGCACTGGTTTTCCTCCCGCGAAACGTCACGAAAAAAGATGAAAAAGGACCTCTCCGTGTCTTGAATCTGACTGCTAGTAAGCACATTTTAAAAAAAAAAAAGGTATGCGTGTCTAAAATTTGGTATTTTTTTTTTTCGGGAACTGTTGAATATTCTGCAGCGTTCCCTTATAATTTTGTATGCTATGTAGTACAGACCGCATCGCAGGAACCGTTTACTGTTGCGCCCGCCCATTCGCCAGAAACTGCGGACCGGTAACGGTTAGTTGGGGCGCTACACTACCCAGCCAGGTACACGATCGTTTTTGGTCTGGACCGCTCCGAAACCAGGGGCGCTGATAGATTAGAGACATCATAATGGACAAGCCAGTCAGTGAAAGTATTCATTGCCTGACCTAGGTGCGCGTCGTCAACGAAGTAGCTTGATAAAAAAAATTTATTGATAGAAGTGATACTTGTATTGCCTTGAGATTGAGTCAGGCAGATGTATCTTGGGCCTATCTAGTTCATACATTCATCTCCAATCTCCCTATCTACTCTGTACTGCATGGCAGATGGTTACAATTGGTCCGACAACATAAACTTGTTTCCCATGTCTCGTGTCGGTGTGACTTGGGGAACCTGTGGACAGGGGGGTTGAAAGCCGCAAGCCACAAGCAAATCCAGCGGCTGGCGACTTGATCGACCAGTCGGAACGGGATGTAGGCCAGCGAGGTACAGATTCGATATGTCGCTCGCTTCGCATACTTGTATGCGAACTGCATGGCGGCCAGCTACGACAAACCAGTATCACAAGCCTCTCTAGATTAAACATATATGTTTACTTACTTATCAATGCTGTGTCACGATTGAATGTCTTGCTGATTGCATTGCAGGTGGCAAGGCTGGGGGGCTGGTTCGTTATTTCAAATCGTCCAATACGTGGACATGTTCCTCAAGGGTCCGGCGGTGCAACTTTGTATGCGACCGGGCTAACCATATCCACGTCCCGCATGTGCACCGTCTAGGCAATGAGATCGGCAGAATGTCGTTCGTCTATATGAACTACATACTGCTTACATGTCACTCGGGGGAGGTTTTAAGGTTGGTCGTGTTCGTGTATTTCCACAACTTGCGTCTTGCATTGGCATCGTCGTTGACTCGATTGCATCGGTATTGCCAACCGGACATATTTGGGGTAAGTTTTCGCGAGGCCGATCTCCCAGGCGGCATTGGCTGTGAGCAACTAAGTGCGCTGCGAGACTGGTAAATTGTATGACCTTTCGCTGTGCCTTCATACCAAGGAGAGGCCTGAGAGGAGGGGACAAAGGGACCCTGTTGTCAACGATCAGAGGCCGGGGCAAGCTGAGGTTGGGGATGCCTCTGCTACGACACGTGGCGGTGAGACGAGAACTGCATGACGCTGCACCTTCATGTCTGGCGGAACGGCGACTTCATTGATGGGATGATATGACACTTGTAGTACGAGTTAGGGATCATAAGGAAAGTAGGTTCCGGTTTGCATATTCTGGCAAGCTAGAAACAGTATGACAAAAGAGACGTACAGAGACAGGTGCAGCTCGAGGGCTGGGAACTACCAATTGCCTGCATACTGATGGAGAGTAAAATGCAGCGTACTTGGAAAAGCACTTATTAGCAGTCAGAATCGACACGCGAGAAACAAGGCATGGCCATTGCCGTATGGAGGGAGCATTAGTGCGGCCAGACGCTAGACAGCGGCAGCTGAGTGAGCTAGACTCTTCCTCCACATAAATCGATGAAGAAGTCGGAATTGCTGGTTCCTACATTAACCCCCAGAAGCGGAGTGGAGCGGCGTGATTCCCGAGCATCACTACACTATTATTGGCGGTGTAGCGGGGCGACGATGGGAGGAGGGAGTCAGGACTTCTAAACCGCCGGACAACTTCGTATTGGGCCATGGCCCCGTCAGTAGGTTGGCCGTTACCAGCGCTAGATAGACCCAGCATCCCATTCTGATGGAGTTCTCGGGTCAACGACGGCGTTTCTGGTTTCCCATTGGATCAGTCGTGGATTGCCATTTCTTAATCCTGCCACAATACGAACAATTGCACTTCACTTGTGGATGCAATGCGGCACCTAAGTTTGAGAATAAAGCACTTCTCCATGGCTTGTGGGAGAAGAGGGGGGAGAAAAAAAAAAGAAACGAAAAAAGACCTGACTTTTCAAGCCTGTTGATTACAGCAATAATGTCCTAGCTTTACACAGTACACGCTTGTCCATGCTCCCGCTATCGATATCAAATATACATCCTTGTGATCCTTTCAAACGCCGTCGCAATGCTACCTGACATAGGTATTGTCGATTTCAGCGTATCCTTCGATCAACATTTCTAATCCGTCTGTATGGCCTATTCAGTGTTGTGCGCCACTTGACATAGAGGAAGAACGCATCCTTGAGAACCACAAAAAGACATCCTCCGACCAGACTGCGACCCCATCTCTCTTGGAGTATGCCAGTTGCAGGACCCGACGCTGGTTTCGTGACCCAAGAAGCCGGCAATGCCAGACGGAGGAGACTTCCAGCACCATAAGACACCGTTGGCCACAGCAGCGCTCCCGCCAGGTAGTTCAACAGACCCGAGAGACCGCCAGTTCCAGCATTAGGCCTCACGGGCACAGCGTTGCCGTTGCCCTGAGGTTGGTTGGCTGCCGCTCCTTGGTCTCCCTCATCCTCCTCACCACCGCCCAGGTTGAGGTTGAGATTGACATCGATAAAGTGTTCGCGACCTTCTTCTTCGTGTTCTACTTGAGGCTCCGGGTTTAGCTGCGCAACATCACCCTGCTGACCAAGTGGATTGGCAGTAGCCGCCGCCAGTCTACGATCCAGCGCTTTCGAGACAGCGCGGTGGAAATGGAAGTAAAATGCCCTGGCAACGGGGAACGCAGCAAGGACTTTTTGGCCTGAAGGCGGCCAGGTGAGAAGATCTGTGCTATGGTCGCTAAGAAATATGGCATACTAGAAAACGTTGGCTTAGTCCAGGATTGAATATGAATTAACGGTGTTTGCTTACCATGAGTGACGATGGGATCATGATCGTCTCACCCAGAGGCATTCTGTTGAGTACAAGAGCAGGGGCGACAAGAGTGAGGCTGAAAAAGTGCAACCAATCCACTGTCACACCTCCATCTACAGGGATGTTTTCTCTCGACAGGATCTGCTGAGCAGTAGCTGTATCATTGGGCCCTAACGACGGCAGGGCATTCTTCAGTCGCTTGAGCACAACGTCCAGGTAACCTTCAGTCTCGGGTTCGACAAATATGTAGCGCACAGCGGCTTGCGGTCCTGCAAATGTCTCCAGTGCCTGCATTCCATATAAAGCGCTACTCATAATGATTCCGCCAACGCCGAAGCTCAGCAAGACCATAGGAGACAGGCTCGTCAGGTGTCGGGTCAAGGTGTCGCTCAACTGAACAGCAGGGTCCCATCGGTCTATCACATCGATCTTTGACTTGCAGACCGGGCATTTAACCGTCTTGCCTTGTGCTTCCAGGTCGGCAATCCACGTAAGCAGGCACGCCTGGTGGCCCTCGAGGCTACATTGGCAGGGCGTTACCCAGTCCGAAGGTAATTCTGCTTCGGGCTCGTCTACCAAGCAAATGAAACAGCGGTGTGTATCGTCATCGTCCTCCCCATGCGATGATGTCGTGGTTGCGCTTGTTGTTGTCGCTGTCGTCGTCGTTGCTGTCTCTGTCGTTGCTGCTGTTGGCGCATCGCGGTGGTCGTGGATTTGAGGTGACGGGGCCGCGGCAGCATCCAGACCGGACGTGGCACCGGTATCGAGGGGCGAGGCGGGCGCCGACATATTGGGAGATCGGTTAAATAGCAACTACATAAGCAGACTCATAGCTGAATGCGACAGGCCAGAGTAAAACGTCTCAAAGTGTTTGTCACTGGGTTGGCTCAGTGGTGCGATCAGGAAATTGCCGACCAAAGGTGGACCGCTAGCTGAGAACTGGAACGAGACGTCATAACGACCCTGCAGGAGCCGCTTTGGCGCTAGCCGTTAGTCGCATAATTGGCCAGATCTTCCAACAGTCCGAGGCATTCAAAGCATCTTAATAGCCAGATCTTCTTTGCCTTTTTGTAGCGATTCCTAAGTAACGGCTCCCTAACGATGCCATATTTGTAAACACTACAGTCATATGTGTGTTCTCTAGAAACATATCATCATTGGAGCAAACAGAGAAAATTTTTCGATTCAGGGGAAAGTCCAAGGGTGGGGGATACAATGATGGAATCGAGAGAAAACGGGGAAAGGGCTCCTTACCACCTTGCGAGACCTTTGACTTCTTGATCAGAGACTTTTCGAGAAGACTCCCAGCCTTCAAATTCCACGATAAGATAGCTACCACCCATGTTTTAAGTCTTTTTGGTTCTGACTGCCGACCCGTGACCCCATTGCAGATGTCACCTAGCTCTTGTCTCGGGCGGGTTAGGGTTTAGCGCATTAGACGCGTGCGTTCGGGTTGTTCAGGGCCAGGGTTCAGTGCGTGACAGTTAAGGTCCATAACTCGGCCATTTACACAGATTGAGGAACCCATTATTATAACAAGAAGTCATGGCATGTAAGCGCCACGCCTATTGGGTTTTTTTTTTTTTTTTTTTTTTGGTATAAAGATCACAGTCGGAAATACAGGGGCTTGTAACTCGTCAACCAATGTTTGGTCTAAGATACCCGAAGAGGATTCAAGTATTGCTGGTATTGGCCCGTTAAGCCTGCATCAACAAAGTCAGCTGATTATCTGGGGAGTCGTAGACTTGAGGCATCTTCAGATATCCACTTAAATATCGTTCTAAACCTGCTGTATGAAAGTATTCTCTAACATATGACTATAAGCCACTTGGTTTGGCAAATTTCATCCCCACGAGATAGTCTTGCCGCTCCTCGCTCCCAGCCGTTTGAATACTTCCAAGTAGGTCGTTGTGTGCCCTCAATGTTCCTTGACTCGGGTTCCCGGTGTTGCAGTTGTGCGTCTTTGGCAATAAGGTTTTCATCCGTTGGATTGAGTCTAGTTTCATTATGTATCGACGCCAAGAGAATCCCTGGAAACTCAATCGGGATTTGAGCATGGCTCAAACGCGTCAATTAACTTTTGGGCGACTTTTCGCATGCATTGAGCCTTCTCAGGATGTACTGAGTGCAATGAATTCATAATTCAGAAAAGGAATTTGTATATAACCCGTACTCTACATCCAATGGTGTCCATAGCTGTTTCCTGCCCCCAGTGTAGCAACAATTAAGACAAGTCTTTTACCCACCAGCGACCAACCCTTGAATCACTCTTCCCTCTTCTGTCCATATGTCCCTCCATACTTGCCAGAATCTTGTTCACCGACCCCTCTTAATTCCACCTATGTACTCCAAACTAGAGCCATTTTCTCATCACAATGATCAAAATCAACTATATTTTGGCCGCGCTCGGTATCGCCTGCTATGGCGCATATGCTTCGTCACATCATGAGCCAAAGCCTGCCGCAGCACGAAGAGAACAGCATCCTACAAGAATATCACGGATTCGGCGATCATCGTCCAACATTGACCTGTTTTCCGAAACATCAAGCTTTACCATTGTGAATCAGCACAGTTCGGCAGTAAAGGTGATGATGACGAGAGGTTGCGATGGTCGCCCTGGAGGTGCCGGGTGGTCGCCATTTCCGCTTGAGATCACCTCTGATGGCATCGAATATCACATATTTCCGCCGTCTAGCTTTGGGCGCGCTGGGGGTAGCTGCAGTAATCCAGAGCAATCAGTCCACCTCGACTTGGGAGAAATCCAGTCTGACGACAGTCTGGATTTTGTTGTCCCTGTTGGCTGGCATGGCAAGGTCTCTTTCGCCGGTGCCGAGTACGAAATGACTGGAATGAATGAAACACTGCTCGAGGGCAGTTTCGGCTTCCAGAGTAATGGCTATGGTTACGAAAATCTCAAATTGGACTTTGACGTCAGCTTTGTGTAAGATTATCCTGCTCGCACTAAAGAACGATACTTACTATATCCAGGGACGGGTTTACCCTGCCGTTGACGTGCTCTTGTGGTGGTCCGGTCCTTGCCGGATGCAGTTGGGACTTGCTAGAGATGAGTGAATGTCCAGTGAGTACTTCTAATATATATGATTAATTTGAAGTAGCATACTAAGGCCATATCTTGCTACTCGCAGCCCGGGTATCTAGGCGAAGGTTCTTGCAGCAATCCTCTCCGGGGCAATAATGCCGCGACATATGCAGCGGACTTTTTCAAGCCATGTCAAGGCGCCGCCTATACATTTCCAAATGACCATCTATCCAACGTCAATGGCAACTTGGACTGCGAAAGAAACGGAGTCGTCTGCTGTATTGGCTCTAGCTGCGCTGCGCATCAGGCACAATGCACTGGTGAACTTTTTGAAGAGGAGGCTTGTGCAGCTTTTCGCTGACGAACAAAAGCGTTTGACTGCATAGAAATTGTCTGTCTTTTCTGGAATAGAGACTGCGAAGGGTTTATCCTGTCGATGCACATTGCCTGTTCATTCACCCTATCTATAGACATTAGAATAATCAAGTATCCATATTAGACCCATGCAAAATCTGTTTCGTTTCTGTGTTCTAATATTAATCGCAGCTCAATTACTTTTATATCAAGTCTCGAGGCACTGACAACTGACATCAAGATTACCGATTTGAAAAGTGAATAACTATCATGGTGATTCTGCCAAGTTTAATCTCTGAAAGAATGTTCAATGGCTCGTCGTGAATCACTGGCAGGATTCAAACCATATTATATGAAGACATGAAATATCAAGGAGGCGGAGCAACCATCGTCATCTTCTTCCTTCTATGTATAACCACTTCGTTGATTTTGTATAAGTCTACTACGAACATGAAGATTTTGATACTCCTCGCCGCCACGGCTTCGTGCCGAGTTTTGGACTTGCTAAACAATCTCGGTACATATGTTATCGACGCCTCACCAAAAACGAATAGAGACGCCGCGCCCGACATATTGACCGAGACGGAATTGTCAGTCCGTCATCCCGAGCCCGAACCTGTCATCGTTGCCCACCAGAATGCGCTCAGGGACGATGAGAGTGGCTGGATGTTTAAATGCACTATTGTACGTTCAAACAAGGCCACAATAAAGATGACAAAATTTGCCCAACCTTCCCCTCACCCCATGTTTCTCATCATACTAATATGAGCTATCATTGTCTAGCCTACTGCCGCCACCGTCGCGGATTGCGAAGTGGTCCTCAGTCAAGTCATCGCTCTGAGACCCGATTCGCACATTGTGGTAGGAGAAATCGGGTGCAAGCGATGGGACTGGGGTAACTGCCGAGCCTCGATCTGTGCCAGCGGCCAAAACTACGTGAGCATCAACGCCATGGTTGCCAGCCACTCCATGGGTCGGGTTCTCATGACGAACTGCCTGATGCGTGGGACCAATGGCATCGTGGCCAACTGCGGCGACTTTGGCGGCGCTTGCGAGAACTTTCAGATCACCTTGGGACATATCAACGATACGCTGCATCATCCTGCTCCAACGCATTCTAATGCCTTGCCAGCCCATAGCGCTCCGCACGTTAGATAGACGGCGCGGATTACAGCTATGGTGACTGTACACCCAAGCCCTAATACCAAGCATATTATGACGGAAGCGGCTCGACATTCGTCTGCTCAAGTATAGGGTAGAATGACCACAAACCCTAGAAGACATTTGTAGAGAGATGAATGGAGGCGTCAGTGGATATTCGCTACCTCTATAGTCAATGCTAAAATTCAAAATCTTGCTGAAAGAACTCCTGCAACGCTCGTCGCTGGGTCGCGCCTAAATATGACACATAAGTTTACCAGACGTTCAAGTTCGACCCTGTTGTTATAAGATAGCCATTCCACCTGGCCAGAGCAAACAACTTTCGTCTTGATTGAGAAGAGCTCCGAGAGACGGGCTCCAATTGCTCGGCAACAGCAGATAATAATGCCGAGAATGTTTTCCAGGCAGGCTTTTGCAGGGAAGGCCCAACATTCCATCGCTCCCGCGGACAGCACCCACAAACAAACAAATCTTCATCCCTTTTCCCATCTACCCCAGCCACCACCTTAGGAACCTTTTTCACGCTGTCTGGTCTCCAACAAAAGTCCGAATGGGCTGCTGCCTCTTTTGCTTTCGCGACTGAAAGAACCTCCTAAGGAGCACAAAGCCAACTGCTGTGCCCAGTAATACAAAAGCCAAAATGCAGATGATGGCGATCAGAGTCGCGGATTCGGTACTGCCTGCCCTCCGAACCAACAGCGAGGTCGTGTCTTGCTGTATCGAGTTTAGGTATGCCATGACGGGTTTTGTCGTGGCTATTGGGGTTGACATGTAAAGAGTGACGGTCGCCTCGTATTCGTAGGTGGCTGGTAGTAATTGATTGTTGTAAAAGGTCGTCGGTGCAGGTCTCGACGTTGTTGGGAAGAGCAAATGCTCTGGCATCGATTTTATTTCCAATCCCGGTCAGGCAATTCCCTGAGTGTACTGACTGATACTCGTTCAACGTTGTAAGTTGAGTAAATGCAACAGAGGACCGATGTTGTCACTGCTGGTGACTAGGGGTGGAGAAAGGATGTCTTTGTTTCGACAATTACTAGTAGGTGTCTAGAATGAATCTAGGAACTGCATTCTTTGTTCAAATAGGTCCAGGACTTGTAGGCATGACTGCAAAATGAGGTACAACAATTAACGAAACCGGCTTCTGCTCTTTTGGTCACAAGCTATCAACCGAACGTCCATTTTTGGCTCTGCACATTGTCAGTGCTGTCTGTGCACATGGTAAAACATTAGAAGGCGTAATGGGTGCCGCGATTGCCCCCCAGATAGCTTCAAACTTCAATACCTAACCAGGCCCATGCTTATTCTAAGCTGTTTGTGATTGTGACCATAGCCAAAACTTGCGAGTACTGGACAAGATACCAGCAGATCAGTCAGCTCTGGCAGTCACACTCAATTACAAACATTAAATTAAGTGATCCTATATTGTGACCATGCTTCGAGCACTATGAAAGATGTGATTGGTCTATGCCATTGTGCTCCCATGTGTCCATACCCCGCACCCAGCCTTACTGATCTGAGTGATCAGGCAGACTGCGGGCGTATGGAAACAAGATACAGCAACAATAGAAAACGAGAGCATGCTCGCGTATTTGATATCCCTCGTCACGTTAGCAGCTACAAGCTGAAGAACGGACGATGCGTCTACTACAATGTGACGATACGGGCAGGTTTACACTGACCCCAGATCTCGCTTCCGACCATGGCCTTCCCTACGCGATTCTCTCCCATACATGGGGGCCTGACGAGGTTATCTTTACCGATATAACAGGAACGCAAATTGATTGGCAGCAAAAGTCCGGCTTTGATAAGATCAAATTCTGTGCAGAACAAGCGCGACGAGACGGTCTGCAGTATTTCTGGGTCGACACCTGCTGTATCGATAAATCCGACAGTATCGAGCTTCAGACGGCGATAAATAGCATGTTTCGATGGTACCGCGACGCGAAACGATGCTATGTATATTTAGCAGACGTTTCGGTACCTTCAATCTCTGGTGCGGAGCAAAGCACATTACAATGGGAAGCAGCATTTCGAACAAGCAGATGGTATACTCGTGGGTGGACACTCCAAGAGCTTCTTGCTCCCGAAAGAGTTGATTTCTTCTCGAAGGAAGGGGCTCGGCTCGGAGACAAGCGATCGCTTGAGCAAGAAATTCACGACATCACAAAGATACCTATTCCTGCGCTTCGGAGAGCAGTTCCTTTTGATCAATTCAATGTCGACGAACGAATGAAGTGGGCCGAGTCTCGCCGTACTACGCACGAGGAAGACTTGGCATACTGTCTGTTGGGAATCTTTGGTGTTTTCATGCCTCTCAACTACGGCGAGGGGAGGAACAACGCTTTCATCCGCCTGAAAAAGGAAATCGGAGACAACCCAGAACGACAAGGTGTGATTTCATTTCTTCTACTTTCCATACTATAATTACAAGGCGCTAATGTTAAATAGAATGGCTCCAGAAACTTTACGTCTGTCCGTATCAAGAACGCAAAGATCGAAACCCGCCACGGGTCGAAAGCACATGCAAGTGGTTCACGGATCACTCACTCTTCCAAAAATGGCAAATGAGTAGTACAGCTCAGTTGCTGTGGGTGTCCGCTGACCCAGGATGCGGAAAATCGGTTCTGGCGAAATACTTGATTGATGATGTGTTGGCAAGCACTATTTTGAGAACAACATGTTTTTTCTTCTTCAAAGACGACTATGAGGACCAACGATCTTCAACAACTGCGATGTGTTCTTTGCTACACCAAATTTTCCATCATCACCCGATTGCATTTTCGACCGAGGTTCTCGAGAAATTTAAGGAGAAAGGGTCTGCACTTCTCCAATCCTTCAGTGATCTCTGGGATATTCTCATCTCCGCCACGAGTGGCCATAAGAGGGAGTTCATCTTCATTTTTGACGCTCTCGATGAATGTGAGACTTCAGGGCAGATTCAATTGATCAATGCTATTAGCGAATTCTCTTCGCGCGCCACGACGCGCTCTCCAGTATTGAAGTTCCTTTTACTTAGTCGGCCGTACATTGATATTGCGAGGCGCTTCCTGCACCTGAACCACGATCTACCCACGATTCATTTGGCTGGAGAGAACGAAGAAGAGGCTACCCAGATATCTCACGAGATCGATATGGTCATCAGAAGCAGAGTAGCGGTCATGGGTCGAACGCTTGGACTTGACCAGGAGAAACAAGCCGTTTTGGTTGGAGAACTTGTTCGAGTACCCAACCGCACCTATTTATGGACACATTTGATTTTTGATGAGATCCAAAGTAGTATTCTTCTCACGCCGAACAGGATCCGATCTATAGTTCGCAACATCCCACGCTCAGTTTCTGAGGCTTACGATAAGATGTTGTCAAAGAGCCGGGACATCAGACTGGCAAGAAAGCTCCTCCATATCGTCGTTACAGCATCAAGGCCACTCACTCTAAAGGAAATGTCTCTAGCATTGGCGATGAGACCTCACCATCAATCAATAACTGACGCGGATCCAGTGCCAGAAGGACAATTCCGCGACGATCTCAGGCAGCTCTGCGGGCTTTTTCTAATTGTCGTCGACTCTAGAATCTACCTCCTGCATCAGACAGCCCGTGAGTTTTTGGTTCTACCTTCAACGCGGTCATTGTCTCCTCTTCAAAGCACCACAGCGTTGCAGTGGGAATTTTCCTTTCATCCCCAAAAGTCACACCGCATTCTTGCCGAGATTTGTGTACAACGGCTTTCTTTCGCAGATCTCAACGGCTTTCCTCTAGGTGGAGTCATGGATCTAGATGATTATCTCGCTACTCGTACGCTTTCTGAATATGCAGTGCGACATTGGGCAAACCACTTCGGCAAAACAAAATGGGAGGATGATTATCAGACAGTTGAGAAAGTAATATTGTACTGTCATCCGGATTCGCCTGGCTCCGCATGGTGCTCAATATACCCAAGAATCACGAGGGTCGATGCGCCATACGATTTCACACCTCTCCTGCTTGCATCCTACTTTGGTCTAAGCAGTGTCCTTGAGCGTCTTTCTAAAAAGGCTTTCAAGTATATCAACTTCAGGGATGAAGATTATGGAAGGTCTGCCATTTCCTGGGCTGCCATGAATGGCCATGATGCTATCGTGGAACGACTTCTTGATCGCAGTTTAGCCCAGCGACTTCTTGGTCGTAGAGCTTGTCTCAACACTAAGGATCACTACGGCAACACACCGCTTGCGTTAGCTTGCAGAAATGGTCATGAGCTGGTAGTACAACATCTTCTCAAGGCCAGTGCTCATATTAATACGGAGAATCTCTCGCGCGAAACGCCTCTTTATATGGCTTGCGGAAGAGGCTATAACACAATAGTCCAGCAGCTTCTGCAGGCCGGCGCCGATATCGATATCAGGAATCGATGGGAAGAAACGCCTCTTGGGAGAGCTTGCGGAAGAGGCTACGATACAATTGTCAAGCAGCTTCTGCAGGCCGGCGCCGATATCGATATCAGGAATCAATGGGGAGAAACGCCTCTTGGGAGAGCTTGCGAAAGAGGCTATGATAGAGTAGTCCAGCAGCTTCTGCAGGCCGGCGCCGATGTCAACATGAAGCACTGGAATGAGGATATGCCAGAGAACAGTTCCGGCTGGGATTGGCGTTTACACCGCACGCCGCTTGAGATTGCAGAAGGCAGAGGCCATACCACGATAGTACAGCAGCTTCTTCAGGCTGGCGCCGATGTCAGCACGAGGGATGAGTAAAGTTGTGCGTCGGTTCCTTTTCCTTCCGTTCGACCACAAGGACGAGCTGAGCCTGGAGTCTTTTTTCTTATTCCTGTTATTATTTGAAAAAATTGTGTTCCAAGGAAAATACTTCATCCATAATAGTGTAGTGCTCTAATACCATTTCATGATCCAATTGATAATTTACCCATCTCAATTCTTTGTGAATTCATGATGAGTTCAAGTTATTTGTGAATAACGTTCGGGCATGATACCGATGAAACAAGTAGTTCCACAATTATATGTGATCTCGATATTACATTATTACTCTTTGGGGGTATCTCTGCCGCAATATACTGCCATCGCCGTCCAGCAGCGTATCTCCATACATTGCTAAATTTCATCCTGTCTTGCCCATTACCTCTCAGTTACACTTTGCGTTATTTAGTGCCGTTCCACGCCGGGTAAGTTGTATGCCAAAAACCATCATCATATGATTTGGAGCTTGAGCTGGGCACAGGTGTCGGTACCGTCCCATATGTCCACGCTGCCCGGGACGAGATGTTTTGCGCCGGTGTACTCGACGGGAAAGACGACGAAGAAGTTCCACTTGACACAGAAGTCGCGGTCGATACTAGTGTTGTAGAAGAAGTAGAGGTGGAAGTGGCATTGGTGGCTGCTGTGACTAGTGTCGAATCGCTGCTCAGGCTCGACAAAGTAGTAGACGAGATTACCAGCGAGGTGCCGCTCAATGTCGAAGTAATGGTGGTAACAACGACGACTGAGCTGCTGTTTGACGCGGACGTGGTAGCAGATGTAGTTGCTACCGAGCCACTCGTCGACGTAGAAAGCGTAGTAGTTACCTGGCTTGTCACTGCTGAGCTACTTGTTGCTGTATCTGTAGCTAGCGATGACGTCTGCAGGCTCGAGGTCGAGGTTGAAGTTGAAATGGCTGTAGTTGTGGATGTGGAAGTAGGCGTGCGGACCACTGTCGTCGTCACCACATCTGTTGTGGGCTCTACATCGATGACAGAAACGGTCGAAACTATCTTTGTGGTTGGAGTAGTTGTGACCACGACCGTATCTGTCTCCGTAATGGGGACCGCGGTTTCCACCACTGTCGTATGCACTGTCGCTACAACGGTGGTGTCTGTGGTCTTGCTTTCGCTGCCGCTCCCGTCAATTGGCACGACTGAATACGTAGCTCGCGCCTCCACAAGAGGCGCTGGCTCACTCCTCCGCCATGGCAGAAAAGGCAGGGCCGCACTAGAGTGGCAGAGGGCGGATAAGGTGTAAAGGAACGGGATCGGTCGTTGAGGCCGCATTGTGAAGGAGAGTTTTGGCTCGGCCCGGGACGACAGAGAGAAAGCTATGGGCACAACTGCAAGAGTGAAAATGAACCTCACAGACTTGGATGTATACGGGACACCTTTCACGGGCTCTGCGGGATGAAAGCAAGATCAAGAGAAGTGCTCTAGTTCAACGGTTCGGCCGCATGGTGATTATATTGTGGTCCCACTTGATACTCATTGGGTATTTTTCTTTTTTATTGAGATGGCTGGATAGCTACGCGCGGTTGTCCATCGATATCACAAGGGACCGTCGCCTAACAAGACACGATGGATCCTTGGAGTTTTTGCTGAGTATGGACAATTTAGAGAGAGGCTGGTGTAGCATCCAAGACACAACGCAGGGACGGGATTGGCTGCAGCGCTCACCAGCCACCCGTGATAGAACGGATGTGGTAAAGCGCCATAGTGCCTGGCACTAGCGGGGGAGTGCGTGCATTTGCTGCCGAGATTTCTATTTCAATATACCTGAACCTTGGTTATTATGGGCGCTAGTCGTACAGTTTCATTCGCGATGAATTTTCTATTTCTTGATAATATCAGATGCCAAACTCAAATTTGGTCAGCCATTTCAAATCACCAAGCACAGAAGAAAGAAGATAGCCAATAAACATCGCGATTCTGGTTCTCGAAGAACTCGGGCCCCGGCAAGGAAGTTTAGTGGTACAAGCAGGGATGCTATAGTCGGAACCGTGGGGCAGTGCGCCCTTGATTGCTTACATACCTACCATACCTTGCCGCTAGGTACCTTGCGGTAACTTTTCCAAGGATTTAATGGGTTACCTCCAGCCCTGCGTTTTGACAAGTCGTCACCTGCAAAGACGGAAATTGGCATAGGCAAGCTCTAAAAGCATACCTAAAGTTCAAAGAGTTATGACGGTCCAACCGCAAGTGAGAAGCGTCATCATATGCAACTTCCAAATTTCGCCATCAGCTAGAGTTCCGGGAAAAAGAACTGCGATATTCCAAGCAGCTTGCAATCAAAGCCGGTGTTGAACAAGATTAAACATGCGATGAGGTCCGAAAAGAGGACATGGTTGCCTGGACACCACCCTTAGTTATTCTCATTAGTGCCCGAATCTGAGATGGTGTACCTGGGCGCGGTCGATACAAGCACGTCATCTGTTGTGGCTCAGCAGGCAAACTGCCACCAGTACAGAATACCTGCTGCCCTACGGCAGGGTTCCACCAAATGTATACTTTGGACGAAATAGTCGTGGTTGAGAACAGCCCTTGCCATGCATGTTGAACATGTTTTTGAATCTAGGTGCAAAAAGTCCAACAGTAATCCATAAAGCACATGTCTTGTTTCGTCGATCTCGTCGCAAGGACCAACGCTTATTTGGGGTAATCCTTACTGACACTAAATACCGGCTTTTTTCGCAAATTTTATAGAACTATTAACGCAATGGGCACCTAGTGGGCCCCTTAATTAGCTAAATATATAAGGGGTTTAATATTAAAATAATAGCTTATAACGCGTTATTCGCGTTCGTTTTACATATAGCAATAAAGTTTAATTTAAATTAATTAAACCTATTTAACGATAGATTTTAGTATTTTACGGCGCTTGCCGCTAAGCCTAATTAATAAGAATGCATTTAATTTAAAGCCTTTTAACTCGGATAAGCGTTAGCCGGCTATAGCTACGGAGTTTTTGCGGCGTAGGCTATTAGCAAATTACTATATTATATTATATATTATATCGTATATTATATTATATATTATATTATATATATTATAGCTACGCTTTTATTCCTAATTAGATATATTAGGTTTTTAAATATATAAAAATTTGCTAAATTATATTTTAAATCCGATTATAATTAATTTAATTAGCTAATTAAAAATTCCGGTTATACCGACCCCGGCTTAGCCGTATATTTTACCTTCCGGATTTAGTTAAATATAAACTCTAACTAATGCCGAAATTAATAAAATATTAAATATAAAAAAAAAGGACGGAAAAATAAAAACATATTATAATTAATTATATTTAAGCTAATCTAAGCTATTTTATTAGCTAGCCGCCCCTTATATAAAAAGGAAAAATATAATAAATATATTTATAAAAAAAAATAAGCTATTATATATTTTACGTAATAGCGTATACCTTTTAGCCTTTAGCGCCCGATCCCTCGTTTAAAAAGCTATTTATTAAATATAATCGTAAATAAAATATATAAGCGAATATTTATATTAAATAAAGCTTACGATCTTTTTAATATACTTATTTTTATTTTATTTATATAATAAGCTAAAAAAAATCGATTTTATATAATAAAAAGTTATTTTTTAACCTACGATTCCTTTAATTTAAACGTAAGCTTATACGATTATTTCTTTAGCGTAAAAGCAAAAATAAAATTACGTTAGCTAGTTAATTTAAATTAACTATTAAACGCCTATATAAGTCTTTATATACTAATTATAATATATTATATTAAAACGTTAATAAAAAATAGCCACTAATAGTGTTTTTTAATGGCTAATTTACCCGTTTTCTAAATAAATAAAACCTATTATTACGCCGAATTATTTTAAAAAAAAATATATTATTAGCAAATTATAAAATTTAAGCTAAGAAATTTATTAAATTTATACGTAAAATAAGCTAATTATAAATCGAAGGTAAATTTATAAATTACCTTTTAAGGATTATATTTAATATAAATAAAATCCTTATATTATGTTACGAATAAGCACCTTTGCATAAGAATAAATAAATGTATTAGCGCTTAAGGAAAGAAGGGAAGGGCTTAGCACCGAAAGCCGGGAACAGGTCAAAACAGAAACCACCATCTTTAATAGCTGTTAGCCAGCTGCCTAATAGGATTATAATTTTAGCAATAATCCAAACGGTTGGATTATTAGGATTATTAAACTTTATTAATTTTAGGATTATAAAGTCGGCTTGGTATTATAATTTAAAGAATATTAGTAAGGAAATAAATGGATATATATTATAAAAGGATTTTTTATATAGATAGTTATTATTTTAGTAATTAATTTAAGCATTTATTTTACCTATAAATAAAGCATTTAATACGCTTTAACGATTATATTTATAAATTAGTTTAATTATTTTTATTTTTAGATATTTATTATTTAATACCTTTTTTTAAAATTACCGTTTTTTATTAGCATAAACCCTAATATTTTTTATATTTTAGGTTTATTTTAAAAACTTATAATATAATCGTTATATTTTAATTATTTTTATTTAGGTATATTACCTTTAAAAAAAACCTTAAGCAATATTTAATAGAATATCGTTAACCGGAAAAACTCCTTTTTTTTTATTTAAATACTTTTAGCACTCGCTCGCATAAAAAATGGAAAAAAATAATTTCGAATTAACTAAAAACTAATATTTAAAATTAGTTAAAAAGATCTGCGTATTTAAAAAAAAGGAAACTACCTTTTTTATACGCGAAGCCTAAATAGGATAAATTATATAAAAATTATAAAATTCTAATAATATTATAGCTAAAACAGCTAATATTATTTTTACCTTAGTTTATTCCGAAAAATTTAAGCTTAGCGTATTAGCGGCTTTTAATAATACTTTTAGATTATTTTAAAAATTTTTAGCCTAGGTCCGAGCCTATTAAATTTTTTATAGCAACTAATTTATAACCGAAAAACAAAAAATACTCTATATTACGTTTTATTTTAAAAAACGAGTAT